AAAAAAAAAAAAAAAAAGAACAACCACATAAACTCCCTCCTAACCTACCTCCACCGCATCCGCCCATCCTACCTCTCCATCAACCCAACACCGCAATCCCAACGAAACCACCACAAAGAACCCCCTACCTCCTCCCCAACGACAACCACCTCAAACCTCCAAACCGGTTCCCTCGACCCAACCAAAGAACTAACCGACACAACCCGCACCGAAATCGACACGGAAACCTCCACGCTCCTCCGCCAACTCTCCACCTCGATCTCCACGCTCTCCTCCGCCGAAACCCTCCGCCAGGAGACCAAAGCCCAGCTTCTGAGAAAGAAATACGGGGGCGCGTCGGGCCTGCTTGCGCGGTGGGCGGCGGGGGGGTCCGCGCCAGCTGATGATAAAATTGCGGGGAAGACGGCGGAGCAGGTTGTCGAGGAGGCGCAAGAGGAGGCCTTGAAGATGGTGCGGGGCAGTGTGCTCTGGTTTCTTAGGCGGGGGTTGGAGAGGGCGGTTGAGGTGCAGCGGGGGATGGTCGAGAAGAGGGTCGAGAGGGTTAGGGAGAGGGAGAGGAGTGTGCTTTATCTTTCGGTTGCGCAGCAGGGGGTTATGGAGAAGGGTATGGGGGTGGGGCTGGGGCAGGGACCGGGGCAGGGGGCTGGGGTGATGACGCTCCCGGAGGAGATGGTGACGCAGGGCCGGAGGCTCGATGAGAAGGAACTCCAGGCTATTGAGGCGCAGTTGACGCCTGAACAGTTGCAGTTGTTTGCCGAGGAGAATGATCATATGGTTAGGTATTATGAGGATACCTTGAGTAAGGTCCGGTATGTACTCTCCTCTACTAACTTTTTGTGTGTGTGTGTGTGTGTGTTGTGGTATGCACGAGTAAGGCTGACCATGTGTATTTCTGCAGGAACGCCGAAAAGTCTCTCTTGGAAATCTCCTCCCTCCAGCAGACGCTCGTCGCCCATCTCTCGACCCAGGAAGAATATATCAGTCAGTTGGTTACGGATGCCGGGAATACCCATTCCAACATTGGAGAGGGAAACAAGGAGCTCAAACGCGCCAGCGAGCGGCGGAGTACTGCTCAGGCTGTCTTCTGGGGCACCGTCGGGCTGTGTACGTGGTTGGTGGTATGGGACTTGGTCTTTTGAAAACATCATTCAAAACTGTACAGTAGACATTCTAATTCTTTTGCGCATTATGAGAACCCAATGGTTTATGTATGTATGTGTGTATCTTTGTCAACATTCAAGACAAGAAAAGAACTCATGACGTCTCCCGCACAACGCTATCCACGGCCTCGGCGAAGTAATCCAAATTATTCGTGTTCAGACCCGCCATCGAGATGCGCCCATTCTTCGTCTACGTTCGTGTGTCAGTCATGTAACTCCCACAGACAGCAACATCTCGGGAAAACTTACCATGTAAACATGCCACTTGTCGCGCAGGACCTTGACCTGGCTCTCCGTCAACCCCGTGAAGCTGAACATGCCAATCTGATCCGTGATGTGCTGCCACGAGCCGGGCGTTCCCTTGGCCTCGAGTCTCTCCCGCAGCCCCTTGCGCATCTCCGCGATCCGCCCACTCATCGTCCGCAGGTCTTCCTCCCACTCCGCGAACAGCGTCTCATCGTTCAGCACCCGGCTGGCGATGCGCGCACCGTATGCAGGGGGGTTAGAGATCTCGGATCTCTGGAGGATCGCCAGCTGGGAGGCAATGTTGGAGTTGTTGGCCGTAGCCTCGGCGCCCGGCGCCGAGACGAAGTGGAACGCACCCGTGCGCTGACCGTACAGACCGAAGTTCTTAGCGAAGGACTGCGCGATGCACAGCTCAAACCCTTGTTCGATGAAGTAGCGCACAACCCAGGCGTCGCGGCTGAGGTCGCCCGAGGCGAAGCCCTGGTAGGCGCAGTCGAAGAAGGGGAAGTGGTGGCGCTCGCGGATCACGACGGCGACCTCCTTCCATTGGTCCTGGGTCAGGTCGACGCCCGTGGGGTTGTGCGCGCAGGCGTGAAGGAGGATGACGGAGCCGGAGGGGGCGGATCGCAAGGCGTCGAGCATGCCGGTGAAGTCGAGGCCCTTGGTCTTGGCGGAGAAGTAGGGGTAGTTGGCGAGGGAGAGGCCGACATTGGTGAAGATCTGGTGGTGGTTGGCCCAGGTGGGGTTAGAGAGGTAGATGGAGGGGCGCGCGGGGTGGAATTTGGCGAGGAAGAGTGCGCCCAGGTGGACGGCGCCTGTGCCGGAAATGGTTTGGAATGTGCAGACCTGGCGGTCTTTGGTCAGTTTCAAGCGCGGGATATACAAGGGACAAGGTGACGGACTCTATTCTCGCGGATGGCGGGGCTGTCGGCACCGATCATGAGCTTTTGGGCGGCGCTGGTGTAATCGGCCAATCCCTTGATGGGGAGGTATTCATGGTTGAGATTGGGGTCGTTGCGCACAAGGTCATCGGCCTGGCTGTGTTAGCGGTGCTCGAAACTGCTTCCTGGGGGGGGAATTATTTACCTTCTTCACAACCGGCAGAATCCAGGGTTTGGCGTTGTTATCGCGATAGGCGCCGATAACGAGATCGACCTTCTTGTCAGAGGGATCTTGGCGGAAGGCCTGAGCGAGACCGAAGAGGGGATCCTCGGGGGCGGCGGGCACGTTGGCCGTAGAGAAGACAGTGGGGCTTGCGGAGCCCATGATGTGTGAGGATAGGGAGGCGAGACGGGATGAAGCAGTGGAGAGGATGGAGGAAGCTGATGGAGGTTGAAAAAAAGATGTGGAGGTGGAGGAGGAAGAGGAAGAGGAAGAAGAAGAGGAAGAGGGTGCCATGAAAGCTTTGAAGTATGGCAGGGAATGCTGGCAGGTCACACCACCTTGACTTTACTGACTGGTTGGTTGGTTGCTGCTTGCGTTCACCGGCGATCAATTAGATGGGGGGTAAGTCAATGACCGAAACAGATAAATCCCGATGTGGATGATGCCAATACAAACCAACATACATGAGTGTTCAATCGGAGCAAGCTGGACAAAGAGCAGGGGCCGGTCTGTTGCCGTTATTTAACTTCGGACTGTTAGGGAGCATGAGATAATGCTCGGAGACTCAGCCGAGGATGGAGGAGTGAATGTGGGTGGTTCCGATGACCACAAGCATGAGCATGACGACATGTATGTACATGTGTTTTTGATCATATACGACAGCAACAATATTCCACAAATTACTCTGTCCTTACCATCCAGTATTCATTCTCTAGAGATTCAACTCGAATTCTCAAAATTACTTGCTTATGATCCCATTCGGAGTAAAGACGACCCGTTCTTCAAGTTAAATGTTCAATCTTAATATAACTGCCCTTCCGAGCATATCTGCAGGGGAACCCGAAACCTCCGCTTTCATACAAACCACAACATTCTTGCGGCCACTCCCATTCATCCAACTCAATCCAGTAGCAATACTTCTTGTTCTCAATTGATCTCTACAATCCTTTTGCCGGGGCCAGGCAAACGGGCAAAGAGAACAGCCAGGGCCGACTCGCCGACTTCAACCGAGGGGGAGCTTTGCCCCGCCAATCATCGAAGACCGGAAACCCCGATGTGTCATCTTTTTTACCCCACTGTTGTCTAGCCCTGCGTGATTTTTGGACGGTTTGGGGGAGGGGCCTTTCTAGTTTCGATCGCCGAGTGCTGCTGTTGAAGCCGCAATTGAGGCGATGGTCTCTCACAATATCATATTCAAAGAGAACGGAGGACTGGCATTCGGCATATACCCTGCACAAATTTGGGGACTATTCGCAGGATATAACTTAGCGAGTACTGCCTCTTAGCCTAAGCTCATGCAAGAAATATACTTAGATACCATAACTGGGGGCTCAAACGGAACCAAACAAATGGATGCTACCCAATATCTCCAATGATAGCCTCAGCTCCAGCTTAGGGTAAGACTACCACCTTGTGGATCATAACCACTCTCCATTGTGCCGCCTCTCAAATCTGAATCTAAAGTAGGTTCCCAAGCACATCAATCCAGCCAACATATTCCTCCTCCAAATCCACGAGCAAAACCCCCAATCTACAGTTGACTAGGATCGCATTGAACGAAAGCAACTCAGAGTCACATTCCCACATGGTCTGGGTGAGACTCCAAACAAACCCACTTCTCTATGGTTAATAGCCAGTAACAAACCCAAAGACATCAAGTCTCGGAGCAACCTTGGAGTCCAGCTGGAAGTTTTACCCCATGGGGTCAATTCATGTCCTAGCCTCGCCGGATCCCGGAATCCGACTTTTTGTTTTTGTGTGTGTGTGTGTGTGTGTGTGTGTGGTGAAAAAGCACGGGCCCCCCCCTCCATCCTCCTCCTCAAATCTAAATTTCTCTTCCTTCCCCCCGCAACCCACGTTATTTTCTCCGAGAAATGCCTTATATATCCCCCCGTTTGTTCGTCTTCTTTTCCATATTTGGGAAAGGGGTGCCACGGTAGGTAAGGTTGGAACTTGGGAAAGTTGGACGGGATTCAGGAACGGGGCCCGGGAGGGGGAAGGATTCCCGATTTGGAGGGGTGCGGGGCCCTGACCGACTCATTGCATCGGGGTTCTTCCGTCATTACGTTGCCAGGTTCATTCTCCGACTGACTAGTCGTCCTTTTGGGGTAGGAATATCGATATGGTGCCCTGGTAGTGATGTAGTCAAGGCCTTGAGGGGGTGAGTGAACGAGTGAGGGGAAGATTGTGTGAGGGGCAAGGCGGTTTTCCATTTGCTCCGAGTCTCCCGCCTCCGCATCGAGTTTCCTCTTGTGGATGAGGTGCTTAGTGTATATTCATGGGTAAGTGTTGTAGTAGGTATGAAGTACTGCATGCCAGATATTAGGTAAGTGTAGTCTAGCTGCTACGATCATCGATATCTACTGCACAAGACCTCGCGGATGATCATTGATCACAAGTCATCTTCGATAAGAGAAAGTGAAGTCCTATGTACAAATCAAAACCCAATAAATCCCAATAAACCCAAACAGCTACCCCTCTGAAACGCCGTTTATTGCCTTGGACCATGTAGCAAACAAACAAAAAAAAATATGCTGAAGAGAACAAGGATGTCAGAAAACACGAAGAAAAAAACAGAAAGCCGATAGCAGCCAGGCTAGGCTATGTCACAGCATCCCATCCTCGTCATCATCTTTGTCGTTGTCAGGTGGTGTCGTTATCATCGTCGTCGCCATGTACATACTATACAACCCGTGTATAAATCCACAGCGTAGTATCACATGCTTCGAAAAGAAAAAAAAAAAAGAAAGATAGAAAAAGAGAAAAAGATGCATCTTCTGCGTGCGTGCGTGCGATGCTCAAACAAAAAAGAACATACAACATATACAGATAGAAGTCATGTTAGGTAGATCGTCACTGGGTGGTGGCAGGGGCGGGCGTGACCGGTGCTTCCTCTGGTGCCGGCTCGGCTCCGTGCGCCCGCGTGCGCACGCGGAAGCGCTCGCGCAGCCGTCTCGTCAGACCGCTTCGCCGCCGATCGCTCTCTTCGGTAGGGTCAGGCTGCGAGTCCTGGCGAGTCGTCTCTTCCCGGACACTGCGCAAAGCTGCGAGACGCTCCTCAACGCTGGCATCGCGCATGCGGCGGGCATTCAACGTGCTGTGAAGATAGCTGCTCAGACGACGGTGACGGTGCTGGTGGCTGTTGGCCTCAGGCGCTGCTGGGGTGGCGGTGGCCGCCTCGGGAGCCGTCTCCGTGTGGCTATCGCCTTGCTCTTGTCCTTCCTCGCCTTCGGGTCGAGCGGGGTTGAGATCGATCCGACTAGATGTTCATTAGTTCGGTTCCATAGACCATGGTGCCAGAGAACATACCAAAGCGGGCAGGTGCCAGACACATTCACCAACCAGGGATCGATACACTCCGGGTGGAATTGGTGGTTGCACGGAAGCACGCGCAGATCTTGGCCCTTGACAAAGTCGTCCGTGCAGATTGGACAGGAAAAGTTCGGGTAATCGGTTGTTCCCGCATCGGGGGCAGTGCTGCGTCGCTCATCCGTGGAATGCGGCGCAGTTATCGGCATCTCCTGGGAATGAGGCGATGCAGGTGCGGAGACCTCATCCGTCGTCGTATTCGTGGTCGCGGGCATGGTCGTCGTTTCACGTCCCTCCTCGAGAGTCTCACGAGACTGCGTTTCGGGACCCATTCCCATCTCTACATCCCCCTTGACTGCATCGGTCTTGCCGTTGTCGGTGTTGTTGTCCCCGAATTTGACAATCGGGATCGTGTCGAGCATGGCTCGTGCTATACCTCTTGCTCGACTTTGCCGCGGTCGCCCCGCCGTATGCCGCGGTCCATAGCGTTCAGGATGGCGATGAGCCCGGACTGCACCGGTAATGATGATGGCTAGAAAGAGCGCCGTGATAATACCCGTGATAGTATACAAGATGATCATGGCTTTCCATGGGGTCAGTTAAGATTCGTAAGTTGATGGGCAAAAGAACATACCCGTGTTCGGACTATCTCCGGTTGACCCGACCTGGTTCGGGTTCGTGGCGAGGAACGACATGTTGGTGGATTTCGGATAGATGGTAGACGAGCCGTCTCCAAGGGAAGTAAGCTGCGTGAGAAGTGGTTTCGACCAGAGCGGGTTCAGCACAGTAAAAACGTTCTCGTACGGGCTGGCGGATGAACCGGAAGATGAATAAGTGCAGTGTGTTGCGGACGCACTGTACAGGATCACGGCGGCTGCCTTTTGCTGCGCGGTGAGGACGTATTGTACAGTTGCACTAGCATCTAAGTTTCCGTGATATACAGAGGAGTCGCAGCTGATGACAGCGATATCCTGGCTACTTAAAGAGCGGGAATTGGTGGCGTCCACATCCACCAAGCTGCCGGTGATCTGAAATGTCTATGTCGGGTCAGTCCATCGGAGTGTCCGTGATACGCACTCTGTCGTATCTCTAAACATTCTCGAGGCGGGAGACGGCTTACTGTAAGATCCGAGTCGGTAAGGTTGACCAGGGCCTGGGTCAACGGGGCCAAAGTCACGGATGCAGACAACTGGAGCTGGGAGCTGTTCAGCAGGAATCTATAGTCACCGATCCAGGAGAGATCCGCCGAGCTATTGGACGGCTGCACCGTCCAGTCGGCCGAGGTATCTGCAGCGACAATGGGCGAGAGAAGAATTAGGAGGAGGGAGAGAAAGAAGGCGAGAGGAGGAGGGTCTAGAAGAAGAAAAGAAGAGGGAGAGGGAGAGGGAGAAGGCGGGTGGTGACGGGGAGGACCCATCGGCAAATCACTTATTTAGCGATGAGTGATGCTGGAGAAAGGCCGGTTGTTCCCCACAGTGACGAGGCGGACGGAGACGGTGGAGGATACAAGTATGGGGGATGGAGAATGGCCGGCGATCATCAGCCACGGGGCAATGAGTAAGTGATGATGATGATCAGAGCAGGATAAACACCGGCATAAAGGTTTCAGGGTCCGAACAGGTACCGCAGACCCAACCAGGGTGATATCACTCCGTGCAGGACCCGGTCGATCGTCGGCGGCTACAGCTAAAAGTGGTGGTTGTGGTGTGGTGTGGTGGGAGGTGAGGGAATGAGAGGGTGGATGGAGATTTCAGAGGCGGACAGGTACTAGTACAATGGTACAATTTGAGAAAGTAGAAGAGGAAGCAAGGGTAGACTTAGATCATTCCCCATGGAATTGAAACAGAAGAGACTAGAATTGAGGATTTGAGCTTAGGGTGGGTGGAGAGGAGGAGGAGGAGGAGGAGGAGGCGGAGGGGAATGAGGATAGGAATAGTAATTGTTGCGGCTTTGGGTGGGAACAATAAGGCAAGTTAGTTAGTTGATGCTGGAACGGACGGATGAACTGGGAGGCGGCGGGAAGACAGGCTGGGGCTGCGATTGGATTCTTACTCTGGTTCGCGCCGGACGACTGACGGCCAGCCGAGCACTTCCGGTCGTTCATCGGTTGTCAAGCAGTCAGATGTTTGACTGTCAAGAACAATAATAGGTCAATAAGTCTTTCTAAAGGACCATCATCACCACCTGAGTCTGATCTGTTCACTGCAATGGCCCATGAGCTGCGGATGATGAATCGTCGCAATACGAACCAAGGACTTGGTTGTCCAGTGACTGAGCTGCGCAGGCGCCAGTGCCATGGATCGGCCCTACCATTACGGGAGGCGTGAAGCAGATGATGGACCATGAACGGATGAAAGACAAATTACTCAGTCCGAAAGATGAGGCAGGGCAATATCAGAAACAATCTGATTGCTGGAGACAACTGTCCGTGATGGTCGGAGTGGGCCCGCAAACCAGGATAAGATAAGCTGACTGACTGGCCGACGGGGCTTTTTTCTTCGGTCGAGATTGTTTCAGTCCAGGCCTAGAGCATTTGAATCCTCTCAGCAGTTGTTCTGGTCCTATGAGTTCATCATCATCACCATCATCGTCATAGTTATCATCGTGTGGTAGATGTTAGCTCTCCCAAAGAGCAAACATGTAAAACCATAAAAAACCAAAAGCAAAAGCAAAAGAAAAAGCAATAAGAGTACGAAAAGTGCACTGGGCATTGGAGGTGCGGGGATGGCAGGCTTAGCTTCGACCGCCGATCCTCTTTCCCACTCTTTTCCATCCTCAATCTCTCTCCCTCATTTTCAGCAATGAACTACGGATAGACCCTAAGCCTCTCCCGGCCAGGCCACTATCATCAATTTGGGAAATGCAGTCTCACTGGATGGACACGGGGTTTATGGAAGGCCAAATAGACTTTGGCGACGTCGGTTCTGGACATAGACCCATGGCTTCTTCGACCGCGAAGCCTTAACAATCTGTTAAGGCCAGCGAGAACGCTTGATCGTATTGCATCATACGCAATTAACTCTGTCCTATCTTCCTCAGCGTCGAAGTTAGAATAAGAGCAATAGAAATACGTACTTTGGATTGATACCGACAGAGAGACAGACACAACACATCATCCTGATCAACACCACTACCCAATCCCTCAATGCCAGTTAGTCCTTCACCAGCATTCACCGGGCGCATGGGCCTCCGAAGGATTGTTTGCTTTTTGTTTCGGCCTTTCTCCCATCTCCCATCCCCAACCCCGTATTTTCCAACGTGGTCTCGCGTCACCCAGCCAAATTGGGTTGTCCTTCCTTACTCTCTGACCTGCATAGGCAGGTCAACTCATTGACTCCAATGAATCGATGAGCTTTGATTGCATCTGCCTTTCCTTCAGTCTATTGTACATAAAGATATCCCACCCTGTCAGGCGTTCTTCTCAGGTCTCCATGGTAGCTGACTAAGATTGGCTTTCCAGCTCGGGAAGATTGCCTTCCTCAAGCAAAGGATGAAGGCGGGCATCCTATTGAAGAAGGTCAGCTACGACGCGTGACCGTCATGTGTTTTCTGCATCAATGCGTCTCCGGTGATTCTCCGCGCCCTTGACGTAGACAGGATAATAACTACCCTTCCATGTGGAGGGCGCGTGCCCGACCTCCCTTTCGCCCCCTCCGATCACGAGACCTCGGACGGACTCCGAGATCGGAGCGTGCCTATCATCCAGTTGTGGAGAAGAGAACGAGGCCAGGCCGGACGGCCTAGTGAGTAGTTACTTGAGAAAATGTAATGTACATAAAGTGAGGTTGGTTATGCTTTATTGGTTTGTGTAATTATCATCGTAATCGTAATCGATCTAGCACCCGAAACAGACCGGGGCTCTGCAGTCTGTAGCTTATCCAGCGGGGTTTGAAAATTGGAACTCCCCTCCTTCCTCGGTCATTATCCTCGGGCATTAGGGCGGAGATAATTAGTTATGTTACCTTAGGTGTTCTCATCCAGACCACAACACCCGATTTGGCTTCCCCTATTCTCAGCGCACTGCTGCATTAGTTTCGGACTCACATGTAGTATGGAAATCTACCCCGACAATGTCGGAGTTTAGGCGTTCCGGATCGAAGCATCAAAGGTGCTGGAAAAATCTTGTCATGCGTGGAGATCATAACAGGTACTGTGGCTCTGGCCAGGAAACCATGGGATATTGACAACGGTGGCTATAATCGCAATCTAACTCCCCCGCGCTCTGTCACCAAAGTACTCCGGATTCCCGCGCGCGAAATGGCATCGCAAGCTTCTCCGAGGTAGGAATAAGCGAAACAAAAGCAGCAGTCTGAGGCTAGCGAGGGTTTGGACAGGGATTCGCAGATTAGGGTGAGATACTACTGTATCAATGAGGGCGATTGCCACTTGACTGCGACGACGTCTCGGGGATTTCTCGATCCGATGCGACGGGGAGCCGTGGCTGCAGTTAATTAACAAGGGCGAGCTTCCTCCCTCCCTCTCAAGCCCTGCGGAGCCATACCCAGCGGGGTTGAACTGACAGGACAGGACAATGGACACACGTCTACCTGCCTATCGTTACCTATATGGAGGAGAGCTATATATGTGTCTTTTCGGCTCCATACCCGTACGTACAGACGTACGTACACAGCGCTGGAGGTCACGGCCCATGCCCTTCCGATAGAAAGCGTTCATGATTCAGGGAGCAGCTGGCAGACTTGAGGGGTGGGGTGGCTGACTGGCTGGCTAGATCGCAGCCCTGCACTTGCCACTGATCTGCTCCCCCAAAGCTACAGTGCGACGGAGACCACACTGTGTGATGTGTGTTACCACCTGTAAGATGCTTTGTAGCCCGCATCCATATTCAGCTGTAGACTAAGCTTTGACATCCTGGTTGCATGTTGTCAAGGTGGTTCCGAGGCGATCAGCAAGAGAGAATGGGAGCTGGCCGCTCTGGTGGGAGCTGCACTGGACCAGTATTGTCTGTAGCCAAGTCTCTTGTCCACTTGGGAAAGACTCCGTGGTTAAGTCAGGTGTGATATGTCGAGTGCATACATGAGTTGCGCCCTGATATGGGTACTTTTTCATGAGTTTTGGTTTTCATGTCATCTAGAAGGATGATCAACGTGCTCTCAGAAGAGGTTGAGGGGTCTCCACCACATACTTATACTCGTGTGTGTGGGACCGATTTGCTAAATGTTAGTTTCCAGTCACGAGAATCTCAGCTAAATACCCTACTCCGGATGAAGTACTTTCGGAAGGGGGTCGTATCGTACATACATACCCAAGGTCTACGTCGTCACTAGATTCTGCACGGCCCAACCGGGCAAAAGGTGAAATACGTGTCTAGAGATTCCAGACACCCTGCAGGCGCACGAAAGTGACAGGTCGATGATTGTTCAGGGGAAATTTCCAATCAGACATGGTCAATGAAAGAGAGGCTGGACGAGCCGAATCTGTCGTGCTTCCTGGCTAGGAGAATGTTGTATCACATCCATGCTCCCCAGAATTCGCCATTTTGACCGGGTACTCACTACCGTCTACTGCATCGGTGGCACAGTGTACTGTACTTCGTGTGGTTCTGACAGTGTTGGTCCGGTCGGTGGACTGGACAACCCAAGTGAGCGCGCATCCGCCAGCCCCATAAAGGCAACTATGCGCACCGACAGATATACTACCGATATATTTGGCTGCACATATAAGGGGATGGTGGAGGAGGCGTGTGGCGACAACACAACGCGAATAAGCCCGGTCGCGAGGTATAGTCTGCGAGGACGACATGCGCTTTCCATATTTCCGGCCGCACTTGTCCATGGAGTAGATATCGCAGAGCATCAAAGATAACAGTGCCGTTCTGCCGACTAAAGCCGTGATCAAAAAGTGGCATGGTACTGGTGATGAGAGGGGTAGAGTGAGTGGAGGAGGCGAGACTAGGAGGGAGCTTTGAAGGGCCCGGGGTCGGGGGGGGGGAAGAGGGGAGAGAAAGGAAAAACGACGACGACGATTGGCGGATGGAATCGGGTCTCGACCTTTCACCGTGGGCCCGTGACAGCAACACTTGGTCCGTGTGTCCCGTCCCATTCTCTTCCTCTTCCTCTTCCTCTTCCTCTCCCTCTGGCTGACCGACGCCCCTTGCCGTCGTCCCCCTCCTCATCCCAATTGCTGACCATCGAGCATAGTAAATCGAATTTTATTGACGGACAAATGACAACTATAAGATTGTTCTTTCGACAGACTCAATTAGTTTCTAGGCCATGGATGACCCGAGCTACTGGGTGATTGATGTTTCATTGTTGCGGTCGGGTCGACGGGATGCAGCACCACCAGTCCCTTTTTGTCTATTTGTTTTCGCCTTTCTTTTTTCATGGAGTACATGGATACCAAGTACGGAGTAGTAGGCAGGTCGATAGGAGGCGGTCGACTACGATATACCTACCGGCTTCTGCTCTGCGGCCACATACTGAATGAGTGACCAGCATAAGTACTACATGCTCGTATCGGTTCGCAACTCAAAAGGGTTTGCGGTATCGTAGGAGATCCTCCGTGAGCACAGCTGTAACCCTACTGATGACTCCCAAGGGTAGTCGATAACCAGCACGCTCATTAGGCGAAGGACTGCACAGTATCTTCATTCTGGTGACGGTGTCAGATGGGCAACCCTTGACAAATGACCGTCTTCTTATTGAAGGTCTGGATGGTGGATAGACGAGCGGATTTTAGGCAAAAGTAAATTCACTTCAATCAAAATACATTAAACTCATTTGAATCGAAAATTATCGATCATTTCTCGCTCCCTGTGTTGAGTGAATCGCACTGGAGCTCACTACTGTACGCACCGCTGCTCCTCCATAGGGAGGTCATCCGAAAATGTTTGATCCATGCATGCATACGACCAGCATCGGTCAATAGAGCTCGTCCAGGCAGTCGGCCTCTTGACTGACTCGGTCGCAGTGCCTGGAGGGAATTCAGAACTCTCTTAACTTATCACAGCAATGGCTATCATCCTAATGATCGGACCAAGATCACCACTCAACTTCCCCCCTAAGACACAAACGGCAAAAAAGCAAAGGGCCAGGGCGCGCACCATCCCAGGCCGCACCCAAATTAGTAGCCACCACGTCTATGCTCTATAGGCCTCCAGGGCCTGGACGACTAATCATCCCCCTCTCTCCCTCCAGCGCATTTCCGCTTCTGCTGAGGGCCTCGAACACGCGGGTGGCGCGTTATTGGTTGAAGGGAACCAAGGAGGCGTGCCAGTTTCCCTGATGGGGGGTGGGTGTCAGTTTCGCGCTGCCAACTGAGGCCGAGGCTCCCATCGAACTGAAGCGCCTATTGCCCAATCGAGCAATGATAGCTCGGGGGACCCGGTCAGATGTTCACACAGGCAGAGAATTCATCGGAAGTACGGCGTCGAAAGGTCTTTTCTGTGCCAGGGGAATGAAATACTTCTTGTCGCTTTCAAAAGGCCCCAACAAAGTAAAAAAGTGGAGGAGAAAAGGCGGAGGAGGAGACGGCAACAGAGTCTAAGGAAGAACCCCGGGATTTATGTACCCGCTGGGTTATCATGAAGGGAAGGGAAGAGAGTTAAAAAAAGTGAATTGAATTTAGTTTTCTGTCTGTCCCGTGATGTTTTAAGATCAGTTTAAATTGGCATCATTGTCATTCGGTGTCGGTTTCTCACTCTGGCTCTTCCTCCCTCTGCGATAATAATAAATATTCCAAAGTTAGTAGTCTTGCGTCCCAGATACAGACAGTACCACTGATCAAAGCGAGGCTTAAAAATGATTCATGATTGATGATTCATAATTCGATTGCCTGTCATATTAATTTTGTACCATAATACAGAGAGAAGGAAATAAATCTCATAATAATATCAGACCAGATTCATCTGATCAGACCAGGCAATCGTTGTCCAAAAAAGTTCTCCTTCTGCAGAGGTACTTTTTAGTTCCTTATTAGATTTTCTTCTCGTTCCTTTCCCTTCTCTTGCTGCTCCCTTTGGGGATGGGCTTTTCTCTCTCTCTCTCTCTCTCTCTCCCCCCTTCTCCTTCTCATTTCTTTCCCTTCTTTTTCAACCTCCCAGTCCAACTCTCCTTTCTCATCTTCTTTCCCATTCTCCTCCCCGAGCGGGAGCATCCGCCAACTTCAACCCGCTCAGGATGAAGGTATGATCAATGAAGACGACCGTCTGCTATCAGTCAACCACCCAGTTCTCTTCCTCACCTCTTAAAGGGACACAGCTGGAAACGACAATTAGGATTCTTCCAATCCCTCTCGACCTCCCTCAAATCGCTTCCCTTCCATCTATCTACCTTTCCTTGCGCTTGAATGCTTGGTCGACCACCTCCTTATTCACGATTAGCTTTTTTTTTTAACCTTTCCCCCTCGTTTCCTCCTTTCCTTTCCACTCCCCGACTCTCCTCCCCCTTGACATGATCACTTTGATTCAGTTGACGAGAGAGAGATCGTCCGACCGCCTGCCATTCACAAACTACGCCTAGACCACATCATGGCCCCTCAATCCATCGACTCCAATGCTGGCCTTTCTCCATCACCCGAGGCGATCTCCCTGTGGAAGAAGCGTTTCGACAAGCGACATCCATCGACGTGAGTCTTTCTTCTAATCGTCACTGGTTTGGTCTCCCGGTTACTGTTCTTCTCAGTCTGCTTTTCTTTTTCGCATCTATTCTTTTGTTCATCCTTCTAGACCACTCGTGGATCCCTCCCTTCCCAATATTTTTTCTTTGTTTTTCCCTTTTGGTCTCGGGTGATCTACAACCGTCTCCATAACCCCAATAATGAAACAGCCCGTGCTTTCTGTTTCGATGCGATCACTCCCAATCCACCCAGACTCTGATGCTCTGATTTAACCCCATGCAACTCTAGCAACCCAGTAATTGCCATTCTTGATGTCGAGTACAACGAGCTCGTCCTGTCTTGGAAAAGGCTCCAAGAGACCCTCGCCCCGCCAGATCTGGTCCATTTCCAGGAACGTGCCCAGGGACCTGAAGATGTCTTGAGTCTGGTGAGCAGCATTGAGCCGGTCTGGACGTCCAGCTCGAGGCAGCGAGTGGTCCGTGACCATTGTACCGAACTGAGATCCACCCTTCATACCCACAGCGTCCTTTTGAGTGCCCTCCCAAAAAATGAAGCATATCTATCCCTCTTCTACAGCGTCCTCCAGTCAACGCTTAAGGTAACCTCTCCCCATCATAAGGCGCCTGATGCGTCTCGAAGCCGCTGACGGTCACCTAGGCATCAGCAAGCTATCCAAGGATTATGGAGGGATACATAAAAGCGCTCGTTATGATCAACCGGTCCTCGAGCCTGTCCATCACCACGGATTTATCATCCTGCTCGAAAGACACAATCAACTCGATCGCACGCTTCTACACGTATTTCTTCTTCTTCCTGGGCGAGTTCATGGACTGGCTTGTGCGCAAACAAAAATGCCGACTGCTGAAGAGTCCCAACCACAACGTTTACCACACATTCCGAAATCTCGTCGGCCACCTGCGGCGCAGCGCCAGGGACATAATGGGTGGAATCGATGATGTGATGGACGTGGATGAGGACGACAACGATACTGAAGCGATAAGAGACACAACATGTGACATGGAACTATGTCTTTCCGAACAAGCCCGCTTGGAACAAATTGGTTTACAGCGGATGGATCGCCGATACAAAGCCCAGAACGCCTTTATCCGCCAATTAGTCTGGGAAATTGCAGAGGATGCGGTGAAACGCGCAAGGCTATTGAAGGAAAGAGACGCCCTACTTGCGAACTTGCTCGATACGGTGGGCCACCAGATACGCCCCGTGAGCCAGCAGAATACTGGCATTGCTTGCTTAACAACGACAGCGTCCAGGGATATAGGTAGGGTAACGAAGGCGTACATGAAGGATCAGACGGCTTGGTATGCTGACGATATCACCTTGCAAGACATGGATAGATTCACCTCGAACGAAGGAAGTCAGAAACACAAGTACACGCGCGCGGAACTGCAACTCGCTTCCAGTCATTTGGAGAACTTCTTCGACGCGGACGATCAAAACCCTGAGCTTGACCCGGATGTGGAGGTGATTGCGGAGGAGAATGTCATGACTTCATTGCAACAGTGGGCGACCGACACATATTCCCAAGTGCTTGCCGTGGGAGGGTCGCCCACCACAGCTTTCCCTAGCCCTGTCCTTCTCATCTCGACATGCTATGCCAGCCTCGCACGGAAGGCCCGATTACCGGTCATCTCCCATTTCTGTACGGGTCCCAACAACGGAACAGACGAATTGACGTACGAGCAACATTTGATCGCTTTGGCCTACAGCTTGATTCGACAATTGATAGAATACTTGCCTCCGGTGATCGAAAGCCACTCGGGGTGTAACCTGAGCGCCGAGCGCTTCAAACCGTTGAATGGCACGTTAACCTCCTGGAAGGAAGTGCTCTCCTTGATCGACATACTCCTCTACTATGCCCCACCTCTGATGGTGTGTGTGATCCATGGTCTGGATGCTATCCAGGACCCGTCCACTGACCCATACATCCGGTCTCTGGTCCGCATTCTCCTGACACACACAAGACACCAAACCACCACGATGGCGGAGGGGCTTGAGACACAGAGCGTTCTACTCAAGATATTATTTACCGTCGCTGGACGACCGAGCTCGCTGGTGGAGACGCTGTCGGAGAGCCAGCTGATATTGCGCGAGTCGAACCAGACGGGCGAGCTGGCCACGAGCGACTCTAAACTAAGCCCCGATGTTGGGGTTGTCATGATGAATGCATAATCCAAAGCACATGACAACAACGAAGCCAATTTCTCCTTGTTTTATTCTTTTTCTTACAGACTTGTCGGGCTGTTCTCGGGCCCAAATCCGGGACATATAGAATTGTGCGCAGGCTGGAATCTTTGAGTATAATCCATATTGGCAAGAGACCAGTGCAGGATTTCGACTTTTCGTTGCCTTCCCTTGCTTCCTGCCCAACTTTGTCTTTGGGTCGTGTTGTTCTTACAGCGAAGGAGGTACCACTGATTCTGGTCATTCGTTTTGTTGTCCTCTCTACGCAGACGTTCCTCCTCTGGTTGGCATTTGTCAGTATTTGAGGCGCAGGTGGCTTTTACCGTTTACTGGTATGGGTGTGCCCGAAGCCGCACAATTGGAGGTGTTGGATCTGATTTCTTTGTACATTTGTAATAAACGATTGCCATTGGCGAGGTGAATCACTGAAAAATGCATACCGTGAGAGGACTGAATTTGCCTCGGGATTAGGTTTCCGCTGTCCACGTGGGGAAAGTCAATCTCATCCGAACTATACATACCATCATCAGTATCATCCGAGGAATAATATCCACACAGTTCTTTCTGCCTGAATTGTGAAGGTCAAGCGCCTGAAGATCTGCGCTATCCCGGAATTTCAGCTCCGCCTAAGATACAAATAGAGCTGGTGTTCCCTTCTCACCTTCCCTCCCATTCCACATCACCAACATCCATTTCACTCACACAAGAACATTACCATAGCAAAAGAAGATTAAGCAACAATGGGCGCCAGCAACCCCCCGCCCCAGCCAAAGACCGCAGCCTCAACCCTACTAGACCGCCTCATCCCGCTCGACTCCTTCTCTCTCGACGAATTCAAGCGCATATGTGCACAAACCACGGACCCAACCCTCTACCCGCACGCGACGAGCATCGAGAAGAACATTCCGATCTACAACACAAGCACGCTCTCCCTCACGGACGCAGCCCAAACAACCCAGCTACAAAACGAATGGTACCACATCTTGCAGACGGGACCCGGGATCTTCGTACTGCAGCAGATGTTCAACCCGACGGCCAACACCGACGACGCCGCCACACTGACAGCCACAACAGCAGCCTTCACGCAGATCATCGACCACGAAACCTCCAAGACGCAAAAGAAAGGCGACCACTTCGCAGCGTCAGGCCACAACGCGCGCATCTGGAACAGCTTCAGCAAGCACGCATTCACGGACGCGGCCTCGTTCGTAGCCTACTACTCCAACCCATGGCTGCAGCTCGTCAGCGAGACGTGGCTGGGCCCAGCCTACCGCGTGACGGCGCAGGTCAACATCGTCAAGTCCGGCGGTGCGGCGCAGGCCCCGCACCGCGACTACCACCTCGGTTTCCAGGACGAGGCCGCCTGCGCGGCCTTCCCGCGCGGCCTCCATCACGCCAGCCAGTTCCTGACCCTGCAGGGCGCCGTCGCCCACTCCGATATGCCGGAGCGGAGCGGGCCCACCCGCTTCCTGCCCTTCAGTCAGCGCTTCGAGGCCGGATACCTTGCCTGGCGGAGGCCGGAGTTCAAGGCGTTCTTTGAGGAGGAGGAAGGGGGATATGTCGCGCTGCCGTTGCGGATGGGCGACGCGGTGTTCTTTAACCCCGCTGTTATGCATGCCGCGGGTGCGAATCAGTTGCCGGCAGAGAGTGGGTTCGAGAGGAAGGCCAATCTCTTGCAGATTGGCTCCGCCCTCGGGAAGACTATGGAGTCGGTGGATGTCGTGCCTGTTGTGCGGGCTTGTTGGTATGAGGTGAGGAGGAGGTTTGATACAACGAAGGTATTCGATGCGCGGTGGGAGGCCTTTGTCAAGGCCCTCGCCGAGGGGTATCCTTTCCCGACCAATCTGGATCGTAGGCCGCCGGCGCCGAATGGCATGGCGCCGGAGAGTGAGCAGGATTTGATCCGGAGGGGGATGTTGGAGGGCTGGGACACGGAGGAGATGGTTGCCCGGCTGAAAGAGCTGCATGAGGATGAGAGGGGCCATCAGAGTCTTTGAGTTCTATTTTTGGATACGCAGATAAGCGGGTCGAGTAAGAGGGAATTGAGAATGCCACACACTAATCTCATTACACTGGAGGGGTGATATGTGTATGTGAATATTACTTCTTAGGGTGCGTTGTCTAGCTCGTTACAGACATCATCATCGTGAATATTCCAGCCATGTTACTCCGTCCACAAGGGTATACCAGATCGCTACGCCAAAGCCAATCAATGCAGTCGTTATTCATATCACGCCTCGTTCCTCCACCCAGATCTATCTGCGCATTAGTTTCGTCCTGCACGTTCGAGGACAACGACTTACCTCCATCTTTCCGAGCTCACTTCCCTCCCGTTGTGCCATCTCGCGGGCTGAGCTCATCAGAAGATCTAGATCCTCCTGGTCCACCATGGTAATCATATCACCGTCATCTTGCATGCGAATTCTAAGCAACGTCCGGAACTTGAACTTGTCCCGGATCCGTCTCTCAAACTCCGCAAAGTCGATCACCGGTTCGATCATGATATACCTGGTATCCTCGTGGGAATGCGTCTTGACCCGATATTTTCGGACCTCAGGCCGCCGCGCTCGCGATGTTCCTCGTCGAGAGTTCCGCTGCGGCGATCGTCCGTCCACAATGTCAAAGTCACCTTCCGCAGACCCCGACCCACTGACGTACTCTTCTTCCTCGTCAATATACCGTTCCCGCTGGCGAGGCCAGCCAGTACCCACGGGCATGGACCGTGTGCCCGAGTATGCTCCCTCCGAATACCCACCCGACGTCGATGCAGACCCTGTGTCACTGACCCCGCGCCGATGGCCACGCATTTCTCGGCCGCGGGTTGACTGTTCTTCCCGGGCGCCGGCTCGAGACGAAGACGCTGCCGCTCTCCGGGGCTCGGATGCCGTCCGAGTCGTTCCGATTCGCGGCTTGTCGCTGAGGACGGTCTCTCGCCCGGAGCCTTGATTCAGGTCGAGCCGCGGGGGCGGTGCGGCGCGAATGGACCCCGGTCGACCGGTGGTCCCAAGACTTCCTGTGGAGCTGTTGGTACTCGCCTTGTCTGCGTCCGGCGGGGGAGTAGGAGGGAAGAGATTACGGTTCAGAGGCGGTTCAGAGTGCTGACGGCTCCGGCTCGGCAGATTTTTGTGCACCAGATGTGAGGTGGCGAACGGGAGGTGCTCCGGATGACGATGGTCAAGCACCGTCTGAGCCCGGGGAATTTCCAGGTTCAGCGGACCGGACGGGACGCCGTTGCGCTCCCCTGTCGCGGCAATCAGCCGGGCCTTACCCAGGTAGTCTTTAGACTTCAGATTCTTGACCTTCGCCTCGTTGGGCCTGTAGACCACTCCTACCGGGATGGAAAAGACCGTGTAGCCCTGTTTCTCGTTGGGATCACATTGTTTCAATTTTCTGGATGAGACATACCTGTGCTCGTTCTCTAATGGCATCGTTGATCACATCGTGGTCCGGTGTCACCTTCTCTTTGGATGCGTAGTCCAGATCCTGGAGACCTGGGCCCACTTGCTGCAGGTATATATAGCACAGGCCGCGGTTGAACAGCACTTCGCAGGAGTACAGCCGGAACTTCAGACCCAACTGCTCGTAGTCAATGGATGTGTTACCTCGAAGGTACAGTAACGTGTCATTGAAATTGGCCAATGCTTCCTCGAAGTCTCCCAGCAGGAAGTTGGACACTCCTTCTTGGAAGTACGCAATGGCCAGGTATTGATCGAGCCCAATCGCTCGTTGGTAGCACTCAACCTGGATAACCGTCAATAAGAGGGACAGTCGTGGGTGAGATATGGTCCTACCGCTTTGTCATGCTCTCCCAACGTAGCATATATCACTCCACAGTTGAAAAGGATCTTGGATGTTTCGGCAATGGCACTGAAGACCTGAAGGGCCTCATCGTATTCTTGATTGTCGTAGTGGTCCAGGGCTTGCACCCAGGTCTCGATCTCCTGTGGGGACGATGAGCTTCGCTCAAGCCACCTTTGTTACCTGGGAAATTGCAACCTACCTGCTTTATGGACATGTCTGACTTGAGCCCGTTGCACCGACTGAAGGCAATGTCAGGTGCCGCGGTCACCCTGGCTCTGGCCTAATTTTCGATGCAGACGGTGCTGCCCGGCCGAGAACTCCAGGTCGTAGTATATATGTACCCGACTTGTGATTGACCGGACCAGCACGCTGACGACAGAGTCCCCGACCACGCCGAGGACAGGGGATGAGATCACACGGTAGGACCGGGACGAAAAAGACTGAGCGCAGACAACGAGCAAGCGACAGACCATGCGCAATTGGTGTCTAGTGGGGAGAGATAGGTAGATAGATAGATAGATCGGATATATAATTAGATCACGGATCCCGCGACCCAGCCGCTAGCGATGACCGTCCAGAGACCAGCCAAGACGAAGGCAAGGAAGAAAGGACAGGCTGGGCGGGATACGTAGGGGATGAGAAGGTTGGGGGAGCAAAGTCTGTTTTCAGAGGTGATATGATGTGATTTTCCGCGTGGTTGGAGACTGGACTGATGAGCGACAAACACGTTCAGTGAGAGATACGCCTCTCTTTCTTGGAATGAGATATGATGAAGTTTCCACGATGAGACAGAATTAGAAGTGGCCACCAGGCACTGTACTGTACCAGGAAGATGGGAGAAAATAGACAGAAGGAAAGAAGATCAAGGCAAGACTGGGATTAGCGTGCAGAGAGTGAAAGGGGAGGGAGGGATGCAATGCAGCAGTTAGCAGCAGTTAGTGAGCAGTCAGCCAGGAACTACTCAGGATTGTGCAGTGAGGGAAGGACGGGTAGGGAAGGCGATGGACAGGGAAGAAAGAGGGGGAAAGCATAAAAATAGGCGGGAAAGGTCTGATCCTGGTCACATCCCAGCATCTCCCAGCATTGGGAGCGGATTGGATGCTGCAGGGGGTGACACTTTCATCACCTCGCAGAGAGTCGATCCATCCGAACCCGATTGATTGGATTCATGCCCTCTCCCTCCATATCAGGAGATTATGCCAGATAGTTTTACCTACTGCTTTCAGTTAACTGCCCGTTCCGCGCGAAGAAAGCCATGCGGGGCTGCAGAATTGTCACAATTGATACATTATTCATTTCATTGTTACCACCCACCCACCTATATCTACTGTACTGTACTCTATCTACCTCATGGCTGTAACCAGACACACATGATTGCGGTCGATGAACCAGAAACCATTCAGGAACCACCATTCGTTCATTTAGTTAATGGCCAATAAATAATCCACCTGGGAGACCCAACCAACGTCACCGCTTGAACAGATTATACTTTCTGTCCTTTGGGGAATTTCCCCGCCACGGCGCTTGCGCTTGAACGACTCAACCATTCCTGCCCTCAAATTAGATCGGCCCACTCTGAAATACGGACCTCATTGCGCACCTATCAGTGCCATCACCCTACTCTCCCTCCCTGTCGGACCGTTGTAACCAGTCCTGACCGATCTATCTTTAGTGGGTTGCCATGCCCTGGCCATGACTAGTCGGTGTGTCGTGCAGCTGCTCTTGCATGGCTGCCAGTCAGGTGAGTCTGGGGTTGTGTGTGTGTGTGTCTCTGTGTGTGTATGTGTCTCGTCTTCCCCCTACTTCCCATCCAGCAAGCAAAGAACATCTTTCATGTGGCTCGTATCAAGCTATTTCTGATAGTAGGTAGTAATATCAAATCCATTCGCCTATGCACAATCCCTCCCACGGTATCCCCGCTCCGATGCCCTCTCTCGTTCCCCTCTCCCCCTCTCTCTGTGCTATACATAGAACATCTCATGTCCCCTGATGTAGTCAAATCACATCAGATATTCTGGCAACTCGCCATTATCAGATCCCTCTATACCATTCCTTGGGCAACTTGCTCCTGCCGCTCCTGCCAAACATTCTTCCCGGAGCAGGAACACACCATCTTATCGTTATCCCATACCCCCGCGCTACGAGCGATCACTCCGACCAATGTATTCGAGTCTTCCCGGTCAAAGGGGCCCTCGGCACTTTTTGACACCACCATACTGCGTCCAATCATTTCCCAGATCGCCACCGGTCGATCCAAAAAGACATTGCCCCGACCCTTTTCGTCAACCTCGACCGACCCGAAGACCCCACGTGGTTCCTTAGCAGGCTCCGCCGAGCCCAATACCTTGGCCTTGACGGCCTCCCAAATACCTCCCGTCGACGCCGCTCCTTGTGAGATATCGCCCGCTTCGCGCACGGTCGCCACGTACTTGCCCGGTGCGAGACCATTGATCGTCAGATCCACCAAAGTCATATTGGACGACACCTGAACCATGCGTGCCAGACCGCGGATCTTGTTTGAGACGGACGAGGAATGCGTTTCGAGGATGCAGACTGCGGAACCTAGAGGAAAGAGATCACACCACCAGGGGTCAGCCTGAGTCACAACCCGGCACATCACAGAGGGAGCACGTACTGTTGGAGGTGCCACTTCCTCGCAGGATCGCATCACGGCCGGTGGCTTGGAGGGTAGTGACAATAGAGCTGGGCGGCGCGGTGCCCTCGATAAAGACGAGTTGATCCTTCAGGCTGGCCTCGACCTTGGTGATTCCTACACAGATACCGGTCAGAGCCGCATGAGCAAATGGCTAGAACCGGCTCATACCGTCCAGCTTCTTGAGCGACGCCGAGACATCTTTAACGCAGCCCTCGCAGGTCATCGGGACCGCGAAAGTGGTCTGGGTAGATTAGAACTGCTTCGTTCGTAGCGTAGAGAGCGGCAACACCCACTTGGAAAGGTTCAATCATCTTGTCTAGTAGAGCTGCAGATCTCCAATAGTGTACCACCGCAAATTGCACAGAATCATAACCAGCAAAAGCCTCCCAGGAACCCCTCCCTCCGTCTCTCTCTTCTCGAATGCGGGCCGAGGCGGGGAGGCTTTGAAATCAACCTCCTGATCGGGTTTAGTTTCTGGTCGGTCCCGCCCCGTCAACCGATAGCGTCATCCGGCCAATCATCCTAGCGCCCCTGCCGTTCATCTTCATGGTTGTGGTTGTGGTAGTGGTAGTAGCGTGGCAGCTTCACCTCTCTCTTCTCGACTCTCTAAATGATTACACTCCAATTGCCCATGCCTTCCATCCAATAACCTAAAGACCATCATGTCCTCCAAATCGCGCTGGGCCAACGACGATGACCCGGAGACGGAAGCCATCCTCGCCCAACGCAAACGCGAAAAGGAAGAGAAGCGACGCGCTAAAGCCGAGAAACAACGCCAACTGGAAGAGCAGCAGAAACAGAAGCAGCAGCAGCAGCAGCAGCAACAACAACAACAACAAGCTGACTCTCAAGCTCAATCACAAGCTCCCATCCCCGCCGACACAGATGCGCCGCCACCCTCCAAGCGTCGCCGCCTCTCCAACGACCACGACCAAGCCGAACAATCACCGCAACCCTCCAAATCGACCTCCAACAACAGCAGCACCACCGAAGGGAACAACCTCCTGACCCTTCCAACCTCAGAATGGGGCCCCTGCCGCCATGTCGACAACTTCGAGCGTCTCAATCACATCGAAGAAGGTAGCTACGGCTTCGTCAGTCGCGCCAAGGACATCACGACCGGAGAAATCGTTGCGCTCAAGAAACTCAAGCTGGAACCCACCTCCCCGGAAGGATTTCCCGTAACTGGGTTGCGAGAGATCCAGACCTTATTTGAAGCGCGACATCAGAACATCATCGAACTACGCGAAGTGGTAATGGGGACCAAGATGGACGAGTACGTGCACCCACCGCGATAACCCACAATCCCCCGGGGGTTTATTCCATATCTTCAATTCAGTACCGGTCCTCCGACCTCAAACCCCCAACAGACTAACAAAATCAACCTCCAGAGTCTACCTAGTAATGCCCTTCCTCGAACACGACCTCAAGACCCTCCTGGACGAGATGCGCGAACCCTTTCTCCCCTCCGAGACCAAAACCCTCCTCCTACAAATCATCTCCGGCCTCGACTTCCTGCACGGCCAATGGATCATGCACCGCGATCTCAAGACCTCTAATCTCCTGATGAACAACCGCGGTGAGATCAAGATCGCCGACTTCGGCATGGCGCGCTACTTCGGCGACCCGCCGCCCCCGAAGCTGACGCAGCTGGTCGTCACGCTCTGGTACCGCTCGCCGGAGCTGCTGCTGGGCGCCGACAAGTACGGCCCGGAGATTGACATGTGGAGTATCGGGTGTATCTTCGGGGAGCTGCTGGGCAAGGAACCCCTGCTGCAGGGCAAGAATGAGGTCGATCAGGTCTCGAAGGTATGGATTGCCCCCCGCTCTTCTCTTCTTTCCTTTCTGTTTTCTTCCCTTGCGGCCTGCCTAGCAATAATACCTATCGGAGGTGGCGGCCGGAGGCCGGGGTGGGGGAAATATGTCCGCTACCTTGCAAGAGAACGATAGAAAGCTAAATATCAAACCTAATGCATCATAGATCTTCGCCCTCACTGGCCCGCCAACCACCCAAACATGGCCCGACTTTCGTTCCCTCCCCAACGCAAAATCCCTCCGACTACCATCATCATCATCATCCTCCTCCTCATCCCTGGGAGGCGCAAACCCGCCGCTCTTACCGCGCGGCAAGTTCCCCTACCTGACAAATGAAGGGCTGCGACTGTTGTCCTCGCTCCTGGCCCTAAACCCCAGTTCGCGCCCGACGGCGAAGCAGTGTCTGGCACATCCATACTTTCGGGAAGACCCACGTCCCAAGCCCAAGGAGATGTTCCCTACGTTCCCGTCTAAGGCGGGCCAGGAAAAACGGCGGCGGCGGGAGACACCTGAGGCGCCCAAACGTGGGCAAGAGGCCCCCAAGTTGGATTTCGCGAGTGTGTTTGGCGGTGCGCAGGCGGGTGGGGACAGTGCGGAAGCTGGGGCTGGGTTTACCTTGCGTCTGGGGTAGAGCACGTCCCAGCATGGAGGATGTAATCTTACGATCGGGCTATATATAGGCTTACACCTTGTGGATGTGACACGTTGGTGAAACGCTTACATTTTTCAGTACTCTTATCCGGGATGGCTTCTGAGAAGGCAAACCCGGAACACAAGAACCAGCTCTAAGGAACAAGGTTGTGGGACAAATGCAAGGGAACGAAAATGAAAGGTCTTTGAAGGGCTTGCTCGCTAGCTGTCGAGGCAGTACGAGCCTCAAGGAAGGGTCAGTAAGGGATGTATGTAAAGATATAGTCAGCCGTCTCGTCCACCAATCTAATGTGATCATGATGACAAGTAATATCTCGGGATCGCAGGAGAGCCGGACATATATTCGTCAGTGGAGTCACTGGCATTTCGCTCTGTGCGGAATGACCGCGGAGCATGAAACTGAACCGCTGATCTCGGGCCCACGATCTCGGGAATCCCTTGGGTCCTAGTCGACGAATGGCGATCGAGTCCAGGCCCGCTATATAAACATCCGTCGCCGGTGAAGCTGCGCTCGGATTTGATCGCATTGTTGCCGCGGTCGGGGCGGATATCGGGTGACTTGTCGACAAGGAAGTATTCATCTCTGAGTGCGAGAAGTGACGCTAGATCGTCGGTTTCAATAGTGGACCACGGCTCTTCTGACACTGGGTCCATCTCCGGCGTGAGCCTCTGGCCAGCATTCTGGATCGATCCCATAGCGCCATCTTCCAATAGGGAAACCACTCCTGCTTGTTCATCCTGACCGGCAATGGGGGCAGTAGCAGCAGTAGCGGTCTCAGGACCTACTCGTACCAGCCCGTCAGAATCCGCTGAGCGGCCAACAGCCACATAGGTTTGCGACACCCGATTCTCGGGCATTGACAACCTTTCAGTGTTGCTTTCATTCTCCCGGGGCTCACTCGCACTGGCTGATGCTTCCTTGGATTGGTTAGAGCCCTGTACCGGCGATTCGCCCTGTGGCTCCTGTTGGCCCACCTCTGAAGCATAACCATCTCTCAGGTCCAAGCGGTCACACAATTTCAAGGCTTCCATGGTGAACTCGGTGTCTATGATTTGAGGTGTTTCAGATACACGATTGGCCTTGCCCATGCGAGTCATGACCGGCTTGTGACTATTGATCTCGTTCATCGACATACGAAGCGCCTTGGACTTGCGTGAGTTGCTGGGGGCTGAACTTGAGAGTGTGCATACATCTGTAGCCATGCGAGTGAAAGGGTGCGACTGCGAATGTAATTCATTGGGGTCGGTTGAGGAAGGCACCAGTGCACCGAGACAGTGATCCTTGAGTTCTATTTCGCTGCCACTCGGTCTGTGTTCGTCAGAATCAATGAGATTCCTGGTTGGTACTCTTGTGGAGACAGAACGGGGTGCCTGGCTCGTCGAAGCTGGCTCCAACTCATTCGCAGTACTCATTGTTTCACTATCTCCGGGAAACGCCATCTTCGGCGAAGTATTAGGATGCCTCTCCTGCGCTTCAATCGAAACGGCCTGTGGTCTAGAGGTAGTGAGAACTGCTTCGGAGCGGGAGCAACGTATGGTCGAGCCATCAGGGAATACACTGTCGTCTTCACATGCAAAGGGAAGTGGTAGGCACTGGAGATACTTGCTGATGTCGCCATCGGGTTCGGAAGGGTATTTGCAGCGGATGCGTTGGAGGTCAGCTCCAAATTCAACGTCTTCTGCGGTGCTAGCCTCAGACACCGTGGATGAGTAAAGTGTTCCCTGTTGGTCCAGCGAATCTTTTGCCGAGTCCGCCGAAGACCAGGCGCTGGTAATATCATCGGTATGTGTAGGTGGAGGAATACCGGGTCGCCGGCGCATTCCCGACCTCAGAGCGAGTAACCCCATGTGGGCTTTCCGAAGAGACCTTCGGGGTAGACTCTGCATCCAACGCATTGTTCCTGGAAAAGCTGTCTGCTGGGAGAGATCATACTCATCCTGCAGCCATGACGATGTTGTAACATCAGGGTTATGTCGCGGGTCTCGGGGATTGAAGACCGGGTAATGGATGCTTTCTTCACAGGCCGGTGGCGGGGTTGGAAGCCTTCGAATGCCAGTCCTAAACAATTAGTACCCCTTTCCAAGTGGCCCAAGCAAATCCATACCTGATTCTGCGGCTGACGGGGTAGCAGAGGGTTAGAGAGAACAATGGCACCTGGCGACGTCTGTTGATGCCGGTTTCTGGGTCTGGTGCATCCATTATTCCGCCTAATCGAAGTCTAACCAAGAAGAAACCAATCAACAAAAGCCAAGACTATACCGGATGGTGTTTCAGCGAGCAGCGACAGGAAGCCAAGTGCTTGTTGATTGTAGAGCCAAGGTCCGGATGCCTCTTGAACGGTATATGCTCGATGGGCGACGCATTTTAGAGGCGATGACCAGACAAGCCCGAGGCAGTCATAACAAATCTGCCACGCTGTCCGACAGGCGCATTTGCAATGTCGGACAGAGGCAGGCGTAGGGTGGAAAGTGCTTTCCTCCCAAGCCATGACAAATGTACGGATGTTGCACAAACGAGGGTAGAACAGCCCGTGTTGCAGCTACCCGATTATTTCGTGACTTCGACATTGAATACGAAGAGTGGGGTTCTTTTGCTGGGAATGATTAGTCTGAAAGAAAGCCTGCCGGGCGGATTGAATGAAAATCAGTCCCCATAGAGTTTCCAGGGTTAAGAGAAAGTGTAAATTTTGCCTTGAGCGAGGGGACTTGTGTACTGGCTACTTGTAGGTAAATCGAAATGCAGTGCCGGGAAGCGGAACCAACGCCGGAGCTCTCCAACTTCTAATCCGAAGGTCCAATGAGTTCCTCCGCGTTTGATTCGGCTCGACCTACAACTCTCACTCGACCTTTGTCTTGACTCCCTCCCCCCCAGCTTGTACTCTTTACAACATCTATCTTTGGATTCTTTCTTTGTTGCTTTTTTTGGGACGGTGTCTCGAGCATTTTCTGGTCGGTCGGACCCTCAATCCGCCTTAATACCTTCCATCATGGCTGCCGGAAGGGATGCCGCCGACTTCAATGCGATCATCCAAGCTGGTAAGCTAGTCTCTTGCCCGGCTCAAATCCATCACCAGCCAAGACAACGAAGCTAAGTATGCGCTTAAGATCGCAAAAGGAAGCAAAAGGAAGACCTCGCGAACCAGCTTCTCGGCAAGAACAGACAAACAACGAATGCGAGGGGCGGCGCAAAGAAGCCGCAGGATGCGAGGCCAGGTAGCCTCGCCAGTCGCATCGGAGTAGCCAAGGTAAAATCAGCCAATGTTATTACACAGATACCATTGATATACCTAGAAATTAACTTTCCATTTATCGATGCCAGCGTCCGACGTCTGCGCCCCTGAAACCTAAGCCGAACCCCAAGCCCATCATTCACCAGGCCCGTCAAGCGCGTCAGACCGACCGGCCGGCCCCAAAGCAGCGTCGTCCCGACGAGCAGCGCCTGCTTTCCGCTCTCCTCCCTGATAGCGGACAAGCAACAGTAAGAGGCAACAAGGTGGGCATGACCATCAAGGGCGCTGGTTCAGGGCCCTCTGTTGTGATCGGCAGCAACTTCGCACCGGGAACCACCGCGGCCGACATACAAGAAGCTCTCGAGCCCATGACAGGGCGGATACTCAGCTGCTGGGTGACAACGCAGCACCCCGCAGTGTCGGCAGAGATCACATTTGCAGAGAGACAGGGCGCAGACAGTGCTATTGCCAACTTTCACAACCAGAGGGTCAGTTACACTCCGGCTCTTCCCCGGTTTAACACTAACGGGCGTCTAGGCTGATGGCCGAATCATCTCGATGCGCCTGAAACCCCGTAGCTCCGGACCAGACCACGGCGCCGCCAACTTTCAGAACCCACAGTCCCCTTTTAACAATCTCCGTGAGCAAGCAGATGAGGCCCGTCGTTTGCAACGCTCCAATGATCCGACAAGTCAAGACGGAAACTATGGATTTGACGAACAGAACCAGGCGATTGAACAACGCAGACCGCGGGGCAACAACCGCAGATGGAATAACAGGGGTAACCGCAGTGGACCTCGGAATGGCGGGTTCTCGCACCAGGATACGCAAGAAACGGGTCTCTACAGTGATCAGATGATGGTGGACGCGCCACAGCAGAACCACCAGCCCCAGGGTAGACGTTATCATCGCTGAGCTGTACGGGCAGTACAGAGCTTGTATGGCTCATGTCGATGTTGGCAGAATTGATACATCGGAAATAGGTATTTAAATAACTAGACCGGCATATGTAAAATGTTATGGAGAGACGGAAATATGTAAAACCAAATCTCAATTTATCCAGTTCAAAACACCAGATTCAGGTTCCGGAGATGGCTGATAAACGATAAGGCCGGACAAAATCACGTGCAGCGGAAGTTTTGCGGAGAAGTTGGAGAAAGCGTTATATTCATCTTGAGCAGCATGAATCCGAGCCTGCATTACCCCGGACCGTATCCCATGGAGATCTGCCTCAGGTCCTAGAATTAGCTCAATTGACCCTCGCTCTGCATTCAATATCCTCCCCTCGCTTACCTATAGCGTAGGACGGCGCTCAAGATGCATCAAGCAACCAGGCGCACCCTGGCGCAGCTCCGAGCGCTCAAAAAACACCCAACCCCGAGCCAGACTTTTGTCTTTGCTGCACGAAGATGCCAATCCACCTTTGACAACACTCGCCAATGGTCGACTCCTCTCGCCCAAACCCTGGCTAATGCCATGAAGGTAGCATCTACCCAGAATACTGTTATTTCGAGTTCACGTCCCGCTCGCATTGCGCATCCGGTCACATTGATGGGCTAACTCACGGATCGCAAAATAGGTCACAGGCCCCATCCCCATTGCGGCCTTCATGCGTCAGGTTCTCACGTCCCCCGAGGGAGGATACTACACGACCCGCCCTGCGGGCGAAGGCGAAGTCTTCGGTAAGAAAGGCGACTTCGTGACATCCCCGGAAATCTCGCAGGTATTTGGCGAGCTAGTGGGTATCTGGACGATTACAGAGTGGATTGCGCAGGGACGAAAAAGAAGTGGAGTGCAGCTCATGGAAGTTGGACCGGGGAAGGGGACATTGATGGATGATATGCTGCGGGTGAGTGCTACAACCCCCACACCTGGTGTTTGAGAGGCTAGTGTGTGGATCGCTGACGATGGCGGTGGGGTTGGATAGACTTTCCGCAACTTCAGGAGCTTTGCGTCGAGTATCGAGGCGATTTATCTGGTCGAGGCGAGTTCGACATTGAGGGAGGTTCAGAAGCGGCTGCTCTGCGGGGAGCATGCGGTGATGGAAGAAACGGACATTGGCCATCGGAGTGTATGCAAATACTTTGATGTGCCGGTCATTTGGGTGGAGGATATTCGGTTGCTGCCACATGGTTAGGATACATGACCTTCTTCCCCGCGTGGTGTACGCTTACTGATTTGAAAATCCCGTGTGTGCGCAGAGGAAACCAAAACACCATTCATCTTCGCACACGAGTTCTTTGACGCCTTACCGATCCATGCTTTCGAGTCCGTGCCGCCCGCACCGGAGAACGAACCTAAAGACGAGGTCATGACACCCACGGGACCAGCGAAACTTCGTAAGCCATTGAAGGCCGCAAATGTACCGCAATGGCGGGAGCTCTTGGTGACGCTCAACCCGAAGGCTGTGGAGGAGAACATCGAGGGAGAACCGGAGTTCAAGCTGACGTTGGCCAAGGCATCCACGCCATCGTCCTTGGTAATTCCGGAAATTTCGGAGCGGTACCGCGCTCTGAAGTCTCAGCCGGGCTCTACAATCGAGGTCAGTCCAGAAAGTCGGATTTATGCGTCTGACTTCGCTAGACGGATTGGCGGTGCGTCAGAGCCGCCTCGTACGGCTTCCAGGAAGGATGTTACTGCTGCTGCTGGCGGTGAAAAGCCAGCTGCAGCGAAGCGTGTAGCCTCCGGTGCGGCGTTAATCATGGATTATGGAACTCTTGCTACAGTGCCCATCAATTCGCTGCGTGGAATCCAGCATCATAAGACCGTACCAGCACTCTCGGCACCGGGTCAGGTGGATGTTAGTGCCGATGTAGATTTCACTGCGTTGGCTGAGGCGGCCATCGAGGCTAGCGAGGGTATTGAGGTCCATGGACCGGTTGAGCAGGGCGACTTTCTGCATGCGATGGGTATTGCGGAACGGATGCAGCAGCTACTAAAGGGTGTGAAGGATGAGGAGAAGCGGAAGACGCTGGAGACTGGCTGGAAGAGGCTGGTTGAGAAGGGCGGCGGTGGCATGGGCAAGATCTACAAGGTCATGGCTATCATCCCGGAAAATAACGGTAAGCGCCGTCCAGTTGGGTTCGGTGGAAATATCATGGCATGAGCACCTATATAATATATCCCCAAAATGTATAGTATCTACGAAAACCCCTACGGGCTTATCAATCAGTTAGAATCTGAATAACCACTAATCCTCCAAACGTCCTTGTTTTAACATAACTGCAATTATGTGTTATACTCATTCCAATCATTTGTATATTTCGTGCCACAGCGAGATCTATCTCAACGAATGAAGCCCATGGGTATATATCTAACAATGCCTAACGGAGAAACAGAAACGAAGCGCACCCTTTCAATACTCTCGCCAGATATCCTCAACGTACGCCTGAGTCAGCCGAGTATCCTTTCCATACTTTTCCTGCCACTGCACGAAGCCTCCTTCTAGGACATAAACCTCCTGTTTGTGGCTTTCCTCAGCGCCGAGCGTGCGCTCTCTCTCCCGCGCATAACGAAGGGCAGCAGAAGGGCCACGCTGCTGACTGAGCGCGCAGTGGAAGACGACCTGCTCCTTGTCTTTCAACGTGCGAACGAGTTCGGGCATGCGCACGTCCAGCGTGGAACTGGGAACCCAGGTGGACGAATAAATGTGACCGCCGACGTGGTCTACGTTGATAACAGTTAGTATATAGAGTTGAGGCATGATATCCATTTAAGAAATACTTACCAGAGTCCCGGACATCTACGATGGCCAATTTGCTCGGGGAGGTGGCCGAGAGGAGTAGAGCCGAGAGAGCATCGCGGCTCATGCGGGGAAGAGTCGCGATGGTGATGGAGGACATTTTGGATGTCTGCCTGGGCGACGGAGGATGCTCTTGAGAAGCGGATGCAATGGTATCAGAAGTCTTAGTGCTGTACTGGCTACGCTGCTTCAAATGTACAAAGGCGGGGCTCCCAAGATGTGCGTAGTTTGAGCCTCTCTCGATCGTAAGTGATTCTTGGAAGCATACAAATCACGTGACATGAAGATTTCCTAGCGGGAAATCCCAACGGATGGCCGCTGCGAGGAACCCTCTCCGCGGTCTGCCCCGACGAGCACCTTGTTCTTTTCAATTGGGTGTGACAGAAGTCGAACCACAATTGAAAGCTAGCCGTGTGAAGGACATTTTGACACACGGATAGAATACTTTCAGTCATGGAGATGCGCATCCTTTCCCAGTGTCTCCGTGCAACCGCCCGGCCGACGACGACAACATCCCTTCTATATACGAAGCAATTCGCCAGGCAATCCCTCCCAGCCATTCGCTACAACTCCTCGTCGTCCTCCTCTCCGAAGTCCATCTTCCCCACCTCGCGCTCTACTTTCCCAAACCTCTTCAACAAAGATTCGAAATTCAGCCGTTCACAATCCACCCCGAAGCCGCAAGAATCCGCGTCCGGCAATGAGTTCGACGATATCATCAAGAACCTCAACTTCGCCGGCAAGTCCAGTTCTTCCGTGGATGGCGCCTCCAGCCCCTACGGCGCCGACGTGGACAGCATGCGCCCCGACCAAAAATTCGAACTGAAGCTGGGTCCCACCCTCGGCCGGCGAGTGGAAGTCGACAAAACCAAAGGTGCAGACCTGGGTTCTTCGATACGAACCCTCCAGTATAACCTAAGGGGAAACAATGTCCCATTTATGGTCAACGCACAAAAGCAATACACCCGGAAGGGACAGCGCCGCAAGGTCATACGGAGGTTGCGGTGGCGGAGACTGTTTAAATATTCGTTCAAAGCCACCCTTGAAAAGGTCAGGACAATGAGAGATCAAGGTTGGTAAAATCTTGCTCTCTTTTTTTCCTGGCCCAGAGCTCTCTAAGTGGATGGGGGCTGGGGGTATTTTGAGGACGGCCTGCGGTGGTGTACATACGAGAGGCGGTGGTAGAAAGTGGAGGTTGGTTCTATAACTGAGGTTGTGTCGGGGCAGACATTCAGATTTTGGGAAAGGCAGGGGATATGCTTTGCGGATTGTGTACGCTACGCTTTAAGGCTGTTTCTTATGCTATGGTTGCTGTCTCATTTCTGTTCCCGGCTTTATCTTATTTGTTTCGGTTGCATTGTTGTAACAATAGAGTCCCTAAAATGGTCTATATCTATCTATCTATCTATCTATCTATCTGTGATCTATGGCCAGTCATGTTGTGTCTAAGCGAAATAATAATCATATCACCATGTTTCTGCTTAAGTCCCATATACAATACAGACATATCCATCGCGCACCGAACCATCAAGTCAGTTCAATCCCTCTTCCCACTACCTGTATACCCTCCATACCCATAAACACCCCCGGCTCCGTCGCCAGCCGTAGCCCCAGTCCCAGCCGAAGAATAACCACCATATCCATTCATCCGGCCGCCATTCCCATACGTAATGCCCACAGCGCCATTTCCAGTCTTCCCTCTCGAAGACGCACTTACGCCCAGGATCCCCTCATCCCTTCGCCGCCTCATACCCAGCGAGCCACCATTCCTCTCCCAATACAACGCCACCACCGCACCAACCCCAGCAGCCATAACGAAGAATAACAGCCTCGAAAAGAAGCCCGTGCCGCCTTCCCCCTCTCCCCCACTCCCCGCACCAACCGACCGCAGCCCCGAGGCAGGCCAGCCGATACCCCTTCCACCCTCGACCCAACTGACATGGAACGAGAACGTCAATGGCTCGCCCCGGATCACTTTCGTCCCATGCCCAGCGGTCCACGGATCCTTGGCCGCCACCGCCACCGCCGCCGACGCCGCCTTCTCCTCATCGCTGGTATGTTTTTGCTGCATCTGCTTCTGGATGATAACGTCGAACTCCGGGACCGAGTACGCCGTGCCCGCGACTACGTAGCCCGCGGCCGCCTTGCCCTTGCCCTTCTTCTTCTTCCTCCGCTGGGGGCTCAGCTTCGCCGCGATGTTATGCACCAGGAGGTTCATGTCCGTCCAGATGTGGAGATGGCTCCGCTGGAGGGTTCCCTGCAGCGCAAAGGTGAGCGGGGTGTAGGAGGGTCCGTCGGTGTCGATATCGTTGCTCGCCGCTGGCTCGTCGGCGTCGGTCTCGGGCGTGCTGAGGAGGTGCTGCGCCAATGGGGCGGTGGGGACGCGGCAGGTCATTGGCACGTCTGAGTGCACGTAGTATTCCAGAAGGTGGTAGAGCTCATCTGGGAGAGAGGCAATGGTGCAGTTGACGGTTTCGGAGACGCCGTAGTGGAGGGCGAGGGGCAGGGAGGTCTCGTTGCATGTCGGGAAGGGGATGTATTGCAGGTGGCCTTGCGTATCGGTTATCTGGGGAGGTGATCAAAGGTATTAGTTCTGTGGTTGTTTTTTCCAAATCGAGGGTGCAGGCGGCGAAGGTTGAGAGGGTTGAGGGTTGGGTTACATGTTCGCCAGAGTCACTAGAGTGTGAAATTAGTATGCTTGTTTTTCCGAGCAATTTGTGCTATTGGGAGCACGCACATGGTCCGATTGAGACAGGTCACTGGAATGGGCTGTCCATGACTGTACCCATTTCTGCTGTTGGACGGGGAATCGCTGTCCCCCGCTGCGGAGGTCTGAAGACACACCGAGAATAGAAGGCCGTACTGCCACAGAGAGTGGGCAATGCTGCCCCTGGAATGAGATGACATTGTTGCTAGAGGCTATTGTTCTCGCGCACGCCAACAAGGCGTTTGAGATCGCTGCTGGCGATAAGGAGCGACAACGGAGAGAACAGAAAGACAAACAGCGTGGTCCGTCTTAGTCCTGGTTGTAGTTATGGGGGCCGCCGCCGCCGCCGCCGCAAGGGAACTAAAACTTGGTAAATTCGCCGTCATCCACCACAACCCATGAGACTGCCCAAACTTCCCCCACACTGTCACTAGACCTATTGCTATTGTATAAGCAGGACTGTATGTGTCATGCTGTGTTCTAATACGATCACGACATTGATTTAAGGTGAGTAGTCTACGCTATAACCACACAACTACCATTCACTTCAATGAAAAGGTATTAAATTAAAATGTCACTCATAGCTTCATGAACATGTACAACTTGTTTTTGTCCTCTAAGCATATCCATCCAACTGCATCCAAGATATTCATTTATGCCAGATTGGCCTTTTTCTTGAAAGCAAGCAGCAGTCCGCTGGTCGAAGCATCGTGGCCAGCACCGGCGCCGTCGGTCTCCAGCTCCTGCTGAATTTTCTTGGCCAAGACCTTGCCCAACTCGACTCCCCACTGGTCGAAGGAGTTGATGTTCCAGATGGCACCTTCAGTGAAGGTGACGTGCTCGTAGTAGGTGATCAATGCACCCAGAGTGGAGGGAGTGATCTTCTGGGCCAGGATCGAGGTGGTGGGACGGTTGCCCAGGAAGGTCTTGTGGGGCACCAAGTTCTCGGGGGCACCCTCGGTCTTAACCTCCTCGGGGGTCTTACCAACCATGAGAGCCTCGGACTGCGCAAGGAAGTTGGACGCAAGCATGCGTTGGTGCTTACCACCCTCGACGGGGTTGTGCGACTCGGCAGCCATGATGAAGTCCGAGGGAATGAGCTTGGTGCCCTGGTGCAGCAGCTGGAAGAAGCTGTGTTGGGCGTTGGTGGCCGGCTCACCAAAGAGGATGGGGCCGGTGGTGTACTTAACGTACTCGCCCGTGCGGGTAATGGCCTTACCGTTGCTCTCCATGGAGAGTTGCTGCAGGTAGGCCGGGAAGCGGTGCAGGTACTGGTCGAAGGGAGCAACCAGGTGGGTCTGGGCACCGAAGAAGTCACTGTACCACACGCTCAACAGACCACCGAGGACGGGAATGTTCTGCTCCAGGGGAGTCTCGCGGAAGTGCTTGTCCATGGCGTGAGCACCTGCCAAGAACTGGTGGAAGTTGTCGAAACCAATGTAGATAGCAACGGACAAACCGATGGCACTCCAGACGGAGTAGCGGCCACCCACCCACGATTCGAAACCAAACATGTTCTTCTTGTCAATACCGAACTTGGTGACTTCAGCCTCGTTGGTGGAGAGCGCAACGAAGTGCTTGGCGATGTGAGCATCTTCCTTGGCGGTCTCAAGGAACCACGTCTTTGCAGTGTTGGCGTTGGTAGTGGTCTCGGCTGTAGTGAAGGTCTTGGAGGCAATCAGGAACAGAGTGGTCTCAGGGTCAGAGTTCTTGAGGGCCTCAGCAATGTGAGTTCCGTCAATGTTGGAGACGAAGTGCAGCTTCATGTCAGCAGCACCATAAGGCTTCAAGGCCTCGGTCACCATGACAGGACCGCTATTTCGCTGTCAGCTTTTCGTCTGATACACATTTCGAGAAAGTGAATTTTACTTACAGATCCGAACCACCGATACCGATGTTGATGATGGTGTTGATCTTCTTGCCAGTGTAACCCTTCCACTCGCCGCTACGAACCTGCTCAGAGAACTCCTTCATGTGCTCAAGCACAGCGTTGGTGTCCTCGACAACGCTCTTGCCATCTACTTGCATGGGCTCATTGGAGACGTTGCGCAGAGCCGCGTGATAGACAGCGCGATCCTCAGTGAAGTTGATGTGCTCACCCTTGAACATAGCATCACGCAGCTCCTCAATGTTGGCTTCCTTGGCCAGCTTGACCAGGAGGGCCAGGGTCTCCTCAGTAAGGAAGTTCTTGGAGAAGTCGAAGAGAATGTCGGTGTTGTCGACAGTGTTGTTGAAGGTGCGGCTGAACTTCTCGAAGCGCTGGGGATCCTTTTGGAAGCATTCCTTCAGGACAATGTTACGACCCACGGTGTTGTGGTGGTCCTGAAGCTCCTTCCAGGCGGAGAGCTCGGTGGCTTGAGAGAAGCTAGGCATGGTGATGAGAGCTACAGCAAGAGTGGACGTCAATGCGGGGCTCGAAGCAATGTAGGCAGGAGGATAGAGCTAGCTCGGGATAGAGTAGAGGGGGTAGAGCGCGCGGGTGCATACCTGTATGGTAGAAGATAGGGAAGGAGGCGATGAAGGAAGTACGAAACGGGAATGAAGCTGAAGAAGAAGAAGAAGAAGAAGAAGAGGGAAGAGAGAGAAGAAAGACAACGGGAAACGCGGACAGATGACAACAGAGAGGGAGCTAAGATGTCGTCAACCGGCGTGTTGCCCTCCGTCCAAAGAGGGGCTGCCGTGGGGCAATCCCGGTCAAGCAGGAAACTCCCCCCACCACCACCAGTACAAACTACTTAGTCACCAGTCTCACCTTGCCGGCCGTGTCCCTCCAATTTATCCGATAGTTCCATTGCCATGGACGAATGATTGCAGCCAACCTCTGCAGACCCTAGACGGTCAGCTGGACAGAGCTCTGCTCCGTACTCTATTGATTCTGGCGACGACTGGTGTGTTTGTCATAGCCGTCATTCTAGAACAATGCTCCCAAGGTCTCGGATATTAATCTCGACGGATTGACCGGCTGGGGTCTGAACACGAACCTTTCACACCAATTCCATCTCAGGCACTTCCGGAGGAATGTTGTCCGATCAATAGTTCTGAGAAGCTGAGAACACCCTTGCCATGTCCTCCTTGAAGCATCTGTTCTAGAAAATTCTCAGAATGCCGCTTATATGCTTATATCCCGGGAATTGCTTCCTTTCTCAATCACTCGATTTCGGGTGTTACTCTATCATTGTTCAACCACGCGCAATTGACAAGCCTCCGTGAATGCACCAGCTGTAGAAGCATAGACACTTACGGGGGATACCGATAGAAACGTTATAGTGTCCTAGCTACAGCAGATAGAGTCGCCTGAATCATTCTTGCATTGGAAAGACCCTGCAACCAAGGTTGTAGAAAGTGAAGTTATTTCTGTCGCGCTGTCTTTGCAGCATCTCCCTTGCTTATGAAGTCTGCAGGCGAAGGGTATGTTGGGTTGTAAATGTAGCCGTTGTCTTTCTTGCAAGCCTGTGTCATGCTGTCCAATTGTTGCTTGTTGTTAGTTATAGATTCGAGTTGTTAGATGCAATGCGATTCTGCTGTTGACACCTCAGGTGTCATTATCTCTCCTTTTGCCTGATATATCAGGCGCATTACCAGGGCCGCGCACAGGCCACCCATCTGATCGAGGCTGGATCAAATCCGCGGCAAGTCCTGTATCTTCTCCAACCACCAACCTTTCTGCTTTTTATTTATTTCTTGAGCCGCGCCTTCGTGAGGGGAGTGCTTCTTCTGAGTCTTGCCGAACATACTCTTCTCAGGTGTTCATATCTCACCGATAAACCTGTTTTCAACCACGTGCCTTGCTTCTTGAATCTTCTGCAGCTGCCGCATCGGAAGCTGCGATTTCGTCGCAATGTACAACCCATACCAACGTATGTTCCCAAACTTTGGTTCTCCGAGCTGCTTAATCTCTTCTATCTCCTTAGTATGTTATACTAACACTGCAAAGCCCCTGGTCTTTATGGCCGCCCGCCTGATTTTGGAAGTTATCCCGGAGCACCTCCCGGCATGGGTAAGGCCACCAATGTCTCCTTGATCTCCTCCGCATCTTATACTGACTATAATAGCTCCTCCCCCCGGAATGGTTGCGCCTGGAACGACTCCTCCGCCGGGAATGCAGCAAGCCAACGCCCAACAACCTGGCCGACCGGCCGGCTTCCCTGCCAACTTTCAGCCTCCACCCAACATGCCCAACATCAATTTCTCTGCCCCAGTCATTCGTCTTGGAACCTCAGGCCCAGCTAAATCGGCTACCCCAGATACCAGCAAGGAGCGTGGCGGAGACGTCGCCGGCCGACGGGCTGGCTTGGGATCTTCCAGCCTAGAGTCGCAGCGTCAGAATGTTCGCGATGCCATGATGCAACTACAACCGCCGACGCGGGAAGAAATTGTCCGGACCCTCTTTGTCGGTGGCATCACGGAAGGTGTGGGTGGCGACGAGGGCGTGGAGAGAATTCTACGGTCCGCGGGCAATCTTCGGCGCTGGATTCGCGCCACTGATGCGGACGAGAAACCGTGCAAGTTTGGTTTTGCGGAGTACGAAGACCCTGAAAGTCTAGGCACTGCGGTGGAGGCGCTAAAGGATGTTCAAGTGCCTGTGAAGAGACAGTCACCGCAGGAAGGAGATGATAAGGAAGAGCGCGAGGTCGCAAAGAGTACTCTACTAGTACGTTCCCTGCCATTAAGAAAAGGTAAAATGTACTGACGGTACTTGCGTATAGGTTGTCGTTGATGAGAGCTCCCTGAAGTACCTGGAGCAATACGAGTCCGGCAAGGGAGAGCAGGATCCAACCGAGCGTGAGGGGCGGATAGAAGCTGCACGCAGTGCCCTTGCAGCTGTCTTGTCCGACCTGTGTCATCCTGCCGCACCCACACAGAAAGAAGACACCTCGGCTATCGATCGTGAAGGGGACACGGCTATGAAGGACTCAGAAGGGCAGAATGATGGAACATCGGCGGAAGTGGTTACGATCCCGATCACTGTGGAGGATGAGCTTTCTGATATTCCTCCTGAGATGAGAGAGACGGTTGCCAAGGAGATTTCAGCTTTTCGCGAGCGTAGCAACCGCCGGGATATTGAGCGGTTGAGGCGGGAGGAAGAAATCGAGTCTATGGAGAGAGCACGCAACTCTGGGTCGCGCATCAATCGACTGGCATCTCCTCCCCTTTCTGCCCCTAGTGGGCCTGCCGCCGGCGCCAATGGAGTTCCGTTGGGCCCTCGCGACCGAGGTGTGCCCTCTGGACCAAAGGGCTTTGGCGTGCAAGTTCCTAAGGATTATCAGAAGGGAGTCTCTTTTGTTAATGGCGGCAATATTAATGGGGCTACAACTGTCTACATTGACCGGGAAGATGAAGAATCAGATGCTAGCGATGAGGAGTTAGAGCGTCGTCGTCAAGAGAAGAAGGAGGCTGAGCGAGAAAAGCAGTTTCTTGATCAAGAACGCCGCTGGCTGAATCGGGAACGAAGCCGAACTGCCGCTCTGGAACGCGAGAAGAAGCGAGACAAGGAAGAGGCTGCTAAAGCACAGGAGGTACGCGATGAGATGGATAAACGCTACCGGGAATGGAATGATGATGTTGAGGCCAGCCGCAAGGTGGAGGAGTACTATGCCGATCGAGGTGCATGGCTCCGAAGCCGGGCAGCTTTCCGGGCTCGGGAAGTCAGCATGGACGAAGCGGATCGGGCGGCAGAGGATAGAGAACGGGCCCGGTCCGTGCAGCAACGGGAGCAGGCCCGCGGCATGGCAGACGACTTCCTCGCTCGGCAGGCCGAAGAGCTCGAGTCACGCAACCAGGCTCCCCGCGAACCCCAGCGGTTCAAGCTTTCCCTCGGTGCGGCTGCGCAGAAAGCTCAGGCAGCCACCTCCCGCCGAACCATTGCGGAGGTCGAAGGCTTGTTGGAGGACGAAGAAGAACCACAAGCCACAGCCAGACGGCCTCTTATCCCCATCAAATTCGACAGTGCCGCCGAAGCTGCTGGTCTGTCCGACGAGGAGCGTGCGCAAGTTGCCCGACAGCTTGCTGCGGAGATCCCTACGGACAAGGAGGGACTCTGGAACTGGGACGTCAAGTGGGAGTTTGTGGACGAGAGTGTGGTCACCGAGCAGCTCAAACCGTTTGTGGAAAAGAAGATCGTGGAATACCTGGGCGTGCAGGAGCAAATGCTGGTGGAAGTAGTGGAGGAACATGTTCGAAAGCATGGTCAACCCCAGGAGCTTGTAGAACAACTGGAAGAGGTAAGTACTCATTCCTATTCTGGCACTCATCTCGTTTGGTCGCGTCTAACCAATCTACCTTAGGCTCTCGACGAAGAAGCAGAAGTGCTGGTCCGGAAGCTATGGCGAATGATTATCTTCTTCTCGGAGAGCGAGAAGAGAGGCCTTTCTGGGTAGAGGGGAGATTCTATTATTGCTTAGGAGCCAGTAATATCATGAGACATACAAGATTGACTCTCGCTGACTTGGTGCTACGTTGACTTCATGCGCAAACTCTGTGCATGAAACGAGAACATGGCATTGCGCAGGGGCATTTTGCATTGCATCGCGTTCCCGCATTCATTCTATCCGATTCGTCTATCCACCCTTTGCGGCATAAATATGACTCCCGTAGCATATCAAGCTAATGTTGGCCCTTAAATTTCTCCACGTAGATATTCTCTGACAGTCACGCGGCGCCCGAAAAAAAAAAATCACTCATTTTGAGGGCTGGATTGATGTTGATTATTCAAAACGAGCTGTGAGTGGCGGAGAAACCCATCCCACGGCCAGCCACAATTCCTCCGCCAATCATGCGGGGTTCCCCACACGACGTGGAGGGGAAACGGGGGAGAGGCCAGTCCCCTCCCCCGCTATATAATCGCCCAGGACCCCTCGACACTTTCTTCTGCAATTCACAGACCTGGAGTATTCCAATTGACCCCGGCGCAATCAGACAAGATGGTCAAGATCACTAGTTTCACCACGCGGGACGTGAGGTTTCCGGTATGGTACACCATTGGACATGTTTACCCCTCTGTTTACTACCCCCGCAACAATGCTAATTGGCAATGCGATCATCACAGACCTCCCTCGACAAGACCGGCTCCGATGCTATGAACGCTGCTGGTGATTACTCTGCCGCATACTGTATCATCTACACTGATTCCGAATACGCTGGACATGGCATGGTAAGCCAATCTCTACCTAGCCGCCTCCTAGACCAAACAATCCAAGACTAACTGAAATAGACCTTCACCATTGGCCGTGGTAATGAGATTGTCGCTGCTGCCATCTCCCTTCTCGCCCCTCTCGTAGTCGGCAAAAACCTTGATGAACTCACCGCCGACTGGGGTAAGACCTGGCGGTACCTGGTGTCCGACAGCCAGCTGCGCTGGATCGGTCCCGAGAAGGGTGTCATCCACCTGGCTCTGGGCGCCGTGGTCAATGCTCTCTGGGATCTGTGGGCCAAGACCCTGCAGAAGCCCGTCTGGCGTATCGTCGCGGACATGACTCCCGAGGAATTCGTCCGCTGCATTGACTTCCGCTACATCACCGATGCGATTACCCCGGAGGAAGCCATTGCTCTCCTCAAGGAGGTCGAGGGCGGCAAGCAGGAGCGTATCAAGGAAGCCGAACAGAGCCAGGCCGTGCCGGCCTACACGACCAGTGCCGGTTGGTTGGGTTACTCTGAGGACAAGCTCAAGGCGCTGTTGAAGGACAGTGTGGCCCAGGGCTACAAGCACTTCAAGCTGAAGGTTGGCGCAAATGTCGAGGAGGACCGCAGGCGGTTGGCGATTGCCCGTGAGGCGATCGGTTACGACAAGGGCAATATCCTGATGGTGGATGCCAACCAGGTATGCATCCAATCATCCTACTACCGTGGATCAACGAAGGATGACAACTAACTGGGATAAATCAACACTAGGTCTGGTCCGTCCCTGAGGCCATCGAGTGGATGCAGCAGCTCGCCGAGTTTAAGCCCTGGTTCATTGAAGAGCCTACCTCCCCCGATGACATCCTCGGCCACGCCGCCATCAAGAAGGCCCTTGAGAACACTCCCCACGGCCCCATCGGCGTGGCCACGGGCGAGATGTGCCAGAATCGCGTTGTCTTCAAGCAGCTCCTGCAGGCGGGAGCGCTGACCGTCCTCCAGGCCGATGCCTGCCGTGTCGGTGGTGTCAACGAGGTCCTGGCCATCTTGCTGCTGGCCCGCAAGTTCGGCGTCCCCATCGTCCCCCACTCCGGTGGTGTCGGTCTGCCCGAGTACACTCAGCACCTGAGCACCATTGACTACGTCGTGGTCAGTGGAAAGAAGAGTGTCCTGGAGTATGTGGATCACTTGCACGAGCACTTCGTGCACCCCTCCAGTGTGAAAGATGGATACTATGTCACTCCCCTCGAGCCCGGATATAGTGTTGAGATGAAGCCCGAGAGTATGGATGCGTTTGCGTTCCCCGGCGAGGAGGGCAAGAGTTGGTGGCGCTCGGAAGAGGCCAAGACCATTCTCGAGGGTCCCCGGATAGTATAATTGAAGGGGCTGATGTTTTATGAAAGATTTTGTATATAGTTTACTTAAACGAAATGAGGAATACGTCTTAATTCTTATTCATCTGTGATAGGATGCCAACCAGAGTTAGGTAGAGGTGCCAATAGCGATGAGCATGGCGGTTGGTAAGGCTAAATATGCTGTGGTTGAAAGGCGACGGTAAGTATAACTAGCCTTTCTTCCTTCCTAAATCAGCGGGGTATATTTGTATATTTTACAGTCATGATAGTGCCAAATATGCAACCAAGTCTGGCCATATAAGAGATGCGAATCCAGAAAAGAGCGGTCGCCGGTACACCATTCCAGTCGACTCAGCAGGGTGAGCTCGAGGTGTTCTGGAGATTCTTCGTTGATCTCCAGCAAGTCAAGCACTGTAGGGCCGAGAGCGACTCATGAAAGGGTTGAAGATCAGAGACAGAGCCGCAGACGACTCACTTCATGAGTACTTCCCGAGATGTATCGAATTCTCGCCAGCTTATCGCCATTGAATACCGAAAATCTTAAGCGCTTTCCCAACTCCAGGCTTTTCGCGAGCTTGCTCTAGAACGACTCGGGGATGACCTAGAAGAATTAGTCAATGCATTCTTTAGACTGTTCGTAGATTCGAGCTCACCTTTGACTTCCAGGGCAAGAAGCTGGTATTCCCATTCATACTGATCCAATGGCTTCATCATGTGCACGAACACAATACCGGTGTTGAGCGGGCCCTCGACCTGTACCAAACAGTCAATCATCTTGCACAATGCCTACCATCGATGAAGCAGAGTAACTTACATGGAAGTTCATCTTCAAATGTTCCCGGCCCATTCGATCCTGGAAGACGGACGTCCTAGAAACGCAGTCAGCATTCACCATCGCCCACTCGGAAGTATAAAGTATGCCCTACGCGATCGGTCGGTTCCGAGCCCATCTGCTCCAGGTGTTATCCCCATATGCTTTGATTTCCCTGCGGTCACCGAGAAGATCCGTACACCGCGGGTCATCCTTGATGCGCTCAACCGCCTTTTCGAATTGCCAGGTCTTGCTGTTCGGAGAAAAGACCTCGGTATAGAGAAGGTAGAACACTCCACCCTGGTAGGCCCGTTAGTTTCGGCCAAAGTCACAAATTGCCATCAATTTGCAATCGACTTCAAACTTACCGTCAACACGGCACCGGCGACAACGACGAGGAAGTTGACCGACTGCTGCGTCGCCCGCGCAACCTTCTCCCGTCCGCTCAACTCTCCCCATTCGTACCGGCCGTCATCAGACAAGACGGTCACATTTCTCCGTCTGGGGGCCGGGTTGGATCCGGAGCCTGAGGTCGCATAGTAGCGCGCGAGGGCGGTCGTGCGGGGAAGCGCTGGACGCAGGAGATGAGCGGCGGCGGTGGCCCGGAGGAGGGCAGCGTTGTTAGGTTGGAGGTAGGAAAGCATTGTGGTGGGCTGGTCTGAGTACCAGTAAAGGCCTCATGGAACGAAGGGGTGGTGCGATTGTTATCGAACAACGGTGAACATGGGCAGGCAGGAACAAGTTCGGAGGTCTTTGCGAATCTTCTTCCCGGCGGGAAGAAACGAAGCCATGGATCCAGTCGGCGGACGGACAGGCCAAAAGCGTGTGGGGAGCGGAATGGGAGTGGGTCACGTGCGGCCTTGGGCCTTGTTTCAGCCGCCGTTGTTGCATACAAAGACCCTGTTTTTGCAATACACTTTCAAGAACTGAGGAGGAGGGCGGAGGGCGGTAGTCGGTAGTCGGTATAGTAGGAGACGACGAGTATCTTGAACTGATGTTGACATACTCTGATAAATGATCTAGGTTTTTTCAAGTCTAATTGGCTCGTATTGTGTCAGCCAGGTCTTCAGAGCCCATGTACTCCGTACTGCTTGTATATCCCTTGGGTTTGCCACTACAAGCAATGTGTTGCAGAAGTGCCACCAGCTAAAGTGAAAAATACCGGGGTGGTATTCAGTCCCAATCCGACCACGTTCGCTCCTCCTGGGCTGCTTTTTGGATCCTCTCGTTCTCCCTCATCCGCGACCGATCACTCTCTTCCCCCTCCTCCCTTTCACGCTCCGTCTTCGCCATTAACTCGGCTTTGGTCTCTTCGTCCGGGTCTTCTCTTCCTACTCCATATCAGCCATCATGTCTGCCTCTAAGGCGGAGTCCCAAAAGATCTTTGAGAAACTGAAGCTCAAGCCCGCAAACAAGGTGCGCAATGCCCCTCCCCGCTTAGCAACCGGTCTCAGTGCTGATTAAAATTCGTACAGATATGTTTCGATTGTGGCTCCAAGAACCCGACCTGGTCCTCGGTGCCCTTCGGTATCTATCTGTGTCTTGACTGCTCGGCTAACCACCGTAACCTGGGTGTTCATATCTCCTTTGTTCGCTCTACGAACCTTGACCGTACGCAACTCCTGACAAACCAAAACGTCCCAATGCTAACGACCTGCGCACAGAATGGCAGTGGGAGCAGCTCCGGATGATGAAAGTCGGTGGAAACGAGTCTGCCACCAAGTATTTCCAATCGCATGGAGGATCTGCCGCTCTGGCCAGCAAGGACGCAAAGGTCAAGTATACGTGCAATGCCGCTGTTAAGTACAAGGAAGAGTTGAAGAGACGGGCTGCTCAGGATGCGCAACAGTGAGTCTCTCGCATGCAAATTCCACGCATGATCTCTGCTATGGTATAGAGTCTAATCACACCTGATCCCATCAGATACCCCGAAGAGGTGGTGATTACGGACATCCCCATCGGTACCTCGTCCAATGGCTCCAGCACCCCGGCCGGTGATGGCGACGATGATTTCTTCTCCTCCTGGGACAAGCCATCCATCAAGCGGCCAAGCAACCCCCCTTCCCGTACGGGTACGCCTCCCGTTGTCAGTCGCACCGCGTCGCCCTTCCTGAATCCCGGTGCCAACGGCTCGCGTTCCAAGTCCCCACTCTCGGCTTCCGACAAAGACAGCGCTGCTGCCTCTCCTGCCCCAGCGGCCATCCGGGCTAGTGCTACTGTTCGCAAGACTTCTTCGACCTCGACTGCCAAGAAGGGTAGTGTGTTGGGCGCCAAAAAGGCCCCCAAGCTTGGGGCCAAGAAGATCGTTAGCGGCGCAGACATGATCGATTTTGACGAGGCGGAGAGAAAGGCCAAGGAAGAGGCTGAGCGTATCGAGAAGCTTGGTTATGATCCCGAAGCTGAACAGGCCGAGGCCGAGGCGAAAGCTAAGGCTACCACCGCCGCGGCGCCAATTGCCTCGCCTACTCCTATCAACCCTTCGCGGTCATCTCAGGAACGCAGCTCAGGTGATGTCGAGCGCCTGGGAATGGGCATTGGGAGACTTGGGTTCGGACAGACTGCTGGCGCACCGAAGCCTGCTGCTCCGAAGAAGCTAGGTTTTGGTGCCGTTGCTTCCAGATCTGCTGCTGATGGTATGTCGATCTGCCTTGTCGCAGTAGCAGTAACGAATACTAATGAAACCACAGACGAAGAGTTGAAGCAGGCAAAGTCTAGGTTCGGATCTCACAAAGGTATCTCGTCTGACGAGTTTTTCGGACGGGATCGTTTCGATCCCAGCGCGCAGAACGAGGCCAAAGAGCGTCTTCGTCAATTCGATGGCGCTACTGCTATCTCTAGTAACTCCTACTTCGGCCGTCCCGAAGATGATCTTCCCGCCGAGAGCGACACCTACGGAGATATCGAGAACGCAGCAAAAGATTTCGTACGTCGGTTCGGTATTACCGCAGGTGATGACCTTGAGAATCTGACGCAGCTGGTTGGAGATGGTGCCGTCAAGCTACAGGGTAAGTCTTATCTCTACACCATTATTGGTGGAACATGTTATTAACGGTGATACAGGTGCTATTCGCAGCTATCTGAACAGCTAAGCGTGCCCTCATACTAAACGCATCCAATTCCCTGTTTCTTGCATTCATCTTGACCCTTTGTTAGCCAACTTTCTTCTTCGATCTCCTTTCAATGTGGCGTTTCATCCTCATGATCTCTCTATTCCCCTGATTCGTACATTCCTAGACAGACGGCTGCCCGGTCGACTCATCCGGCCGTGCAGTGCCTTGAAGACTGCTAAACTCTCCATCAGTTGATGCGGTGTAGGCCGGCCCAGACCACCTCCACTTATTGTTGCCTTTTTGTCTCCATTATTCAAAATTACCGTCAGCAATGTTCTTCGCAAAACTTCGAGCTTCCTTTGGATTCTTGTATATTCGTTGCATATAAGTAGTCACCTCACAAGTATTAGAAACTTTGCAATGTGGACACATGGCATTTGACTTCACGCCTTCCCCGTGCATGCCGCTCGCTATACGTAACCTCCGTCTAGATATAGCCAACAACCACGGTGTGGTATAGAGTATCGACCAAACTTCTCAACTCAGTTCTCCTCTCGTTCCCCAACCCTTCCCAGAAAATCCAATCTTTTATATGGCACCCCTATAAATCGCATCCGCTACTCGCCCGACCTGCCACATCTCCTTCACATCATGCACGCGCACAATGTCCGCGCCTCCGGCCACACTAGCCGTGACCGTCGCGGCGGTGCCCCAGGTGCGCTCACTCGCCTTCGTGACACCGGTCAAGCGGCCGACGAAGCGCTTCCGACTCGGCCCCATGAGCCAGGGGAAATACTCGAGGCCCTCGACACCGGTGCGCAGCTTCTGCAGGTCACGCAGGATGGCCAAATCGTGGGGCTCGTTCTTGGCGAAGCCGAGGCCGGGGTCGAGGATGATGCGCCAGCGGCGCACGCCGGCGGCCTCGGCGGCGGCGACGCGGGCGCGCAGCTCGCGGCCGACGTCCTCAATTACGCCGTTGGGGTACTCGGTCAGCCCCGTCATGGTGGCCGGGGTGCCGCGCATGTGCATCAGGATGATGGCGGCGCCGGTGCGCGCGGCCGTCGGCAGCATCTCGGGGTCCAGCAGCCCCGCCGACACGTCGTTGATGATGTCCGCGCCCGCCGCCACCGCGGCCTCGGCCACGCGCGCCCGGTACGTGTCGATGCTCAGCGCCACGGTCCGCGCTTCCGGGATCGCCGTCCGGATGTGTCGGATCGCCGGGATCACGCGCCGCAGCTCCTCCGCTTCGCCCACGGGCTGCGAGCCCGGCCGCGTGCTCTCGCCGCCGATGTCGATGATCGTCGCGCCGGCGGCGATCATGGATCGCACCGTCGTGCTCAGTGCGTCTAGGTCCTGCGGTGAGTGCTTCCCGCCGTCCGAGAAGGAGTCCGGCGTCAGGTTGAGGATCGCCATGATGTGCGTGCGGCGCGTGGGCGAGGTCGAGTGCAGAGCTGGGAAGGTCGCGGATATTGGCGTCGTCGAGATGGGCAGCGGGTGCGGCGGTGCCAGCGATTTCAGGTGCGATAGGTAGGTGGTGTTGTGCCCTGGGAAGGGCGGCCGTTCGTGCGGGATGAGTCTGGCGTTGAGGTTTAGCCTGCTGTTGACACGCTCATTAAGGTGGACCTACTGGCTCAATGGGCGCAGGACAAAGTCGCGCTCCAGCATCAGTTGATGAGGGATGCTCAGGCGTTCATGGGAGAAGATCTGTTGGTCGTAGAGGAGGATGTCCAGGTCGATGGATCGGGGCCCCTTGTCGATGAGCTTCTTGCGGCCCAGGCCGAGCTCGATAGACTGTAAAGTATCGAGGAGATCCATGGGGCTCAGGCTGGTTTCTACCTGTAGATGGATGTTTAGCGGCTGTTTCAGAAGGGTTGTTTTGAGATAGGAGGCGTATGGACTGACCTCGCACACTCCATTGATGAACGGATCCTGATCGAGAACATACATAGGAGCCGTCTCGAACAGCGAGCTTGTCCTTTTGACTCTAATGCTCGCTCGCTCCATCTCACGACAGGCGGCCTCGATCATCTCAATGCGGTCTCCCACATTGCTTCCAAAGGCAATAAATGCGCGGTGGAGAGGGGGCTGGTGGGCGTCCATGCTGGCGTTGAACAAAGCCTGTCGGCCAGTCGAAACCCGTCGAATAAAAGGAATCGATGCTAAAGCTTCATGGCCGACTCTGCTCAGTCTTGATGCAGGTAGAGATCGTTTCACCAGGGCGGATTGTACATATCCTAATTAGGGGTCAGCTAGGGCTACAGGTTTGCGATGTAGAAAAAAAAAAGCTGTTCGCTAGACGCTAAGATGTTCTAGAAACAAGCAACAACAGGCCATTGGACTGCTAGGGTGGGTCTGATAACTCCGTACCAGCTGTAGACAAATTTCTATGAGGGGTGTTTATGTTAGATCTAATTACACGGACACATTGACTGGCAAATAGACCTGCCTCTTCGTGGAGCTTTGACTCAATCTATAAGCACTTCCACAAGACCTTCCAGATGATTGGGGCGCAAAACCCGAGCCTCCTCGGGGTAGGCACGACGAACAAGGAGTCCAATGAGCCGTATTCAGGCTCGCAGCATTGCGGTGCCAGATGGAAGAAGACCGATATGCCATCCTCCCAGTTCGGAAAAGCAACGGTGATAAGCAGGGGCGAATGCGAAAGGCGTTGGAGGGGGAGATCGGAATACGTCATGCGCCCCAAGCGCCAGCGAGACTTTGGCGCGCTGCAGTCAGCTGATCAGGTTGACTCTTGAGACTTTCCCAAGTCCGGGTTGTAGTGCCTGAGGCGCCTCTGCAATCCCGCTTCCCCCGCATTTTGTCTCTATCTCTCTCTCTTCAGCTGACCACGTGCCAGCGCACGATCACAAATCCCTCTGAATATTCAATCAATTGCTTACCCCAGTAAATTGACCATATCTAGTGCTTTACTGAAGAGCAATACACGGGTTGTTATGCTGACGTGAGGTTCGTTGTATGCAATCACCCTAGATAGGTTGAGTGGTGGGTCAATAAAGGGTGACGAGTCCGGAATAGCGTCTCGTGCTCTGGACCGAGGCACAACCCATGACGGCGATTCTCCTCCTCGGTTCTCCCCACGTCCCCCGGTCGTCTTTTGGTCGTTTCTTTATGCCTTCCATCGATGAAGCTTTCTTTTAAATACTCCTCCTCAGCGTCTTCTCTTCTGTTCAACCTCTGTCTTATCTGATCTATTGATACCCACTTTGCAGCTCCTTCCTTCAGACCTCAAACATGGCCTCTCCTCGTAAGCTCCCTGCCCCAAAGGTTACCACTTTCACATGTGTGACCGTCGTAATACTCCTCGCATTCTTCCGATGTCTAAAGCCATCCTCGCTAACCAACAAACTTACCACTTGCAGAGCAAATCCGTACTACCCTCACCGATCTCCTGAAGATCAACCACCCCATCCTGCTGGCAGGAATGAACGTGGCCGCTGGGCCCAAGCTGGCCGCAGCCGTCACCAACGCTGGTGGCTTGGGAGTCCTCGGTGGCATTGGCTACACCCCCGAAATGCTTCGCGAACAGATTGCCGAACTCAAGAGCTTCTTGAAGGACCAGAACGCACCCTTTGGTGTGGACTTGTTGCTTCCCCAGGTTGGCGGTAGTGCCCGGAAGACAAAGTGAGTCGTCCGCATGTGATTGGCCGATCGTATGATCGTATGACCCTGTACTGGGGATTTCAATCGCTGACCTCTTTCATCAGCTACGACTACACCAAGGGCAAGCTCAACGAGCTGATCGATATCATCATCGAGAGTGGCGCAAAGCTCTTCGTTTCGGCGGTTGGTGTGCCACCCAAGCATGTCGTCGAGAAGCTGCACGGCGCTGGCATCCTGTACATGAACATGATCGGCCACCCCAAGCATGTGCAGAAGGCTTTGGATGCCGGCGCAGATATCATTTGCGCTCAGGGTGGTGAAGGAGGGGGCCACACCGGCAACGTTCCTACCACCATTCTCATCCCCACCGTGGCCAAGCTGTGCCAGGGCAGGAAGAGCCCCTTGACCGGCAAGCCCGTGCAGGTGGTCGCTGCAGGCGGTCTGTACAACGGCAACTCGGTCGCCGCCGCTCTTATGCTGGGTGCTTCCGGAGTCTGGATTGGTACCCGATTCATCCTGTCCGAAGAGGCCGGTGCCTCTGTTGCTCACCAGGAGGCTGTTCGCACGGCTGGCTTTGAGGACAACGTCCGCACCATTATCTTCACGGTATGTTCAGTCTGTCGGTACATGGCTGGGGTGACTTGAACTAACGATCCGTAGGGTCGCCCGCTCCGCGTTCGTAATAACGAGTACATCCAGAACTGGGAGGAGAACCGCCGGGATGAGATCAAGCAGCTGACCTCAAAAGGCATTATTCCCGTCGAGCACGATATGGATAATCTCCCCGACGACGTTGATGACTCTGTCCTTGAGAACGCGCGCCCTTACCTGATGGGTAAGGTTGCTGCCGTCGTCAACGAGAAGAAATCCGCCAAGGCCATTGTTGACGAGCTTGTGACGGACGCTGCTGCTCTGTTGCAAAATGGCCACAAGATGCTCGCCAAGCTGTAAATATTTTTGATTCTGCCTGATACCTCTCCTGTATATGCTTGAAAGCCCCGACATGTGTCATCTTGCTCTGCTATCGTTCAACACAAATCTAGTCATACATATTGCGGCCGTTGGTTTCGACACATAGGTTTTTACAATTTGTTTGAAGCTTGGCTCTAGATATAACCTTCATAACGTTCCTTAATGATTATTCTTAGTACGTTAATTTAAGCTCGTTGTGACGGCTAATCTTCCATCTTCTGTGAGTGAACAAACGGTCGCACTAGGTCGAGTCAAGCCAGGATTGAGCATTAATTCTATTCATTTACTTATTGCAGACGAACTCCTGATAAGCTAAAGTACTGGGTTCTACACATCAGGATCGAATTGTTCACAAAACCGCCCAGGTGACATTCCTTGTGCCACGTCAAGAGTTAGGCCTGATGTGAAATACCCATCAACCACGGAAATCCAAGCAACGATGGGGTTGATTGAGAATATAGCCGGTCGATTGAGTTTACAGTTTCGGACGAGCACATTGGAAACCCGCCGACACATTCCAGCACTAGCCATGCATGATTCCAGATTCATCGCCCTACGAGACTTTCTACCCCCAATTCGGTCTATGACAGGGCCATGATGCCGCTCTCATCTTTCACGTTGCTCATCCACAGCACAGCAACTTGTATTCCGTGTCCTGCTCATCGCTTAGTCCCATGTCAAGAGAATTACATCATCGTGCTTCTCTAACTCTTGCGGATCTTTACCGGAGCCAACCGGACCAGACAAAAAGACAACCAGCAGGTGGCCCAGAACGATACAATGCCCTGCACAGGCGGACGCGGCACGGGGCTATTTTTTGAAGATGGCCAATTGCCAGGATGGCAAGGATATCGACTTTTCAAGGATGAATTCTAGAATTCCGGGTTCATATCCTCGATGAATTTACCAGCGAGGGTCTCAATTTCGCGCAAACTGAATCGAAATCTCCTCCCCCTTCACCTTGGAATTGAACCACTCCTTGATCTCAGTCCGGTCCTGGACAACCGTGGCGCCCGGCAGTAGATCTGCCTCGGCCACTTTGGAGATAGCCATGGTGACTTCAACCATCGCCAACGCCTGCGCGATACACGCCCTCGTTCCTTTGCCAAATGCGAAGAAGCTGGTCAGCATTGCCTCATCTGCGTTCTCCCATCGCTCAGGAAGGAACCGCCTTGGCTCCGGGAAGACACTGCTATCCTGGTGTAGCTGGAACGCTGCGACACCTATGCCGGTGCCGGCTGGGAGATAGTGGCCCTTGAACTCCCACCCGCCAGTGGGAACGGTTTGAGGCAAGCGAACGGGGTTGGCCCATGACGAAGACCCTCCCGGACCACGCCTCGGAGATATGCACAATTCATCGGGTCTTCGCCGTTGACGATACTCTTCTGGACTGCTTTGCGAAGACGGGCGTACCTGTTTTCATGAGAACAACTGTGAGATTGGGAATGTTCACTGAACTCTCAGGAATATTCATGGATCGCGGACTCACGTCTCGGGTTGCTTCGCAAGATACCACAGGATAGTCGCGGTGGTCATCCCCGTAGCAGACATCCTTGACCTCGATCTGCGCCTGTTCGACGGAGCCAATCTTCTCCAACAGCCGGCTCTGGTAACTGCCGCTTTTCGGCATGCGGTGCAGACCAGCTGTTTGTGTACTGATCTATCAGGCTATGGGACACCTCTACGTGCGCATGCGTCATCGCCATCACTCGGTCGACGACCGCCATGCAGAGGTCGCCCACCAGCCCCGGCTTGAGGTTTAAGAAGGCACCCACGCCGACGTATGAGTCTACGAAGGGCGACGCCGAGATCGAGGTCGTCTGCTCGGTGAGCGCGCCGTAGCGCTGGTGGAAGAGATACGCGCTCACGGCGTCGATGGCCATGGCGCGCGTGAGGTTGAGCACGTTGACGGGTCGCCTGTCTGGGCTTCGGTCTTCAGTCTGTCGATGAAGTCACCAAAGACTTGGCCTAGCACTTTCTGCGAGTCTCGGATGGAGGCTGTGGAGAAGATTGTCGTGTGCTTATCGATGTCGAACTTGGAGTACGCTGCGGTCTTGAGGAAGCCTCCGCGTGAGATGTAGATGGGTTCGACAGCGTCTTTGTCGGCGATGTCCACGTCGTTGGGTGCGACTCTTAGCAAGGGCCCGTGTTTGCGGTGCAGCTCGGAGATCACGGTACATTCGTCTCCAATGTAGGTGTGACACGCTAGCCATAGAGATGTGCAAGCTGCGAGCTTTGGCCTTGGGATGGATGCTAGAGGGTGGAGGTAGATGCGATAGATACATCTGCTGATGATGGCACAAATGCTAACAATAAGCCGTGACGGCAAGGAGTGGAAGGATTGCAAGCATTGCAGAATTCCCGCGCTTGTCATTGCATTGTGAATGTAAGGGTCTGAAAAATCTGTCAATGAAGGTCAGAGGATGGAGGTTTTCTTTTGCCTTGTATGATTGGAAACCCCGCATGTGCAACCTGGAAGTGAGTGAGTCACTTCAACTATCATAACGCGACGAGCTAACCCTTGCTGCGGACAATCCGACTATGGAACTAATGATTCCAAGCATAGGACGGACTTTCCGATTCTGCAGGACTCCTTTATCGATGATCGGTTTGCCGCTATTGCCCAGGGATGCGCGTCCTGCCAATGATGATGAAATAGATGCATGCCAGTCTGCTGATAAGCAGCTGGGCGAATGGTACAATCCACTAGGCGTGATAAGCTGATTAACATCCCTCAATATATAGTAAAGGGTGACCAGCAATGTGCCAGACAACGGTTCATGCATCTGCACGCATCATGCTCGCCGACGCCATGGTTGAAGCACCCAAGCAGACGCCTAATTCTGGAACCGAGGAAGAGCTCACTCTTGAGCACCTAGGCTACCAACAGGGTACGAATGAACCTTCCAGTAATCTAGCGAGTCAGGAATTGCTAAATATGTTATTGTGTCAGAGTTCGAACGAACCTTCAGTCTCCTAGTTATGGTGGGCTTCAGCTTCAGTATCGTCACCTGGTCGTGAACCTTTCCCCTGCCGTCCAGCAGACCAGTCAGCTGACTAGAATGATATAAGCTGTAGCGCACTCAGTGGAGTCTTTATCATCGGCGTGACCGCGGGCGGACCAGCAGTGATGCTCTTTGGCTGGGTAGGAGTATGCGTATCCACCTTTGCGGTTGCCCTAGCCATGGCAGAGTGGTGTTCGCGATGGCCTGTGGCAGGAGGCCAATACTCCTGAGTCTTCATGCTGGCACCATCTTGGATCGCTCGACTCATGTCGTACATTACTGGGTGGTTGATGATTACGGGTAAGTCGCGGGAGTGGGCGAGCTCTTCTTCCGAAATGCAAAAAGATTCAATAGGTATCCTTGCCATGGGCTCCGCGAACAGCCAACTTTATCCTCGGCCAGGGAAATTGGTATATCCTGGGCTTGTCATACAGCGGTGGCATACGGTGCTTGTCACCTATGCAGTCGCCATCTGGGCTTTTGCGGTCAACATCTGGATGCCGCATCTGCTCAATCGCCCGTCCCGGGCCATCTTGCTGTGGAACGTCGCCTCCTTCCTCATTATCATCATCGTGCTGCTAGCAACAAGAAACGACAAACAAGACGCAGCATTCGTATTTCAGGATCTCCAGAACATGACTGGCTTCAGTTCCGCAATGGCAACGATGGTCGGCATACTGCAGAGTTTCTTCGGCATGTGCTGCTACGATACTCCAAGCCATATGAATGAAGAAATTATGCATCCTTCACGGAACGCCCCTCTGGCCATGATCATGTCTATCGGAATGGGCGCTGTGACGGAGTTCATCTTTCTACTTACGCTCTGCCTCTGCATTGGGTGACATCAAGATGACTGCCGATTCCCCCGACAGGAGTGCCTATAATCCAGATCCTCTATGGTGCAACAAACAGCAAGATCGGCACCTGCTTCATGGCAAGCATGATGACGACCATCATGATGGTAGCCAGTGTGAGTCTGGTCGCCGAGGGCTCACGCGCGCTATTCGCATTCGCTCGAGACCGCGGGCTGCCGTTTTCTGGTCTCCTCGCCACAGTCGCTCAACGGAGGATGATCCCCATCAATCCCAATCTAGTAGCGGTTGTGATTCAGATGGCGTTCAATTCCATCTACTTTGGTACGTTCACTGGTTTCAACACAATAGTCTCCATAGCGACCACGGGATTCTGTAAGTTATGCATGCCATTTTCGAACTTCATCCTCTCCTCCTCCTCTTCATCCAATGTTAGGGAACTGACCTGCTTTCTTTACCGAAACAGATGTCTCGTACGCCCTCGTCCTGCTCTCCGGACTCCTAGGCCACGCGTTCGGCCACCACATCGCCTCCGGCACCACAGGCCCGTACGCCATTTCCGAATCAACCTCCCTCGCGCTCCACGAATCGGCTTCCTATTCCTCTTCTTCGCATTCATCACGTTCAGTTTCCCCTCTGAGGACCCCGTAACCTCGGAGTCCATGAACTACACCAGCGCAGCCGTCGGTATCATCGCGTTCCTTAGCATAGCCACCTGGTTCACGACTGCACGGAAACAATTCAAGGGACCAGCCGATATCAAGGGTCTGGCTGTAGAAGGGAGAGAGCACCCATCCATCGCTACTGATGCGGTCGACAACAGAGCCTCTTCAAGAAGGAGAAGCCCGAAGACGCCTTCGCGAATCTGACAGAAGAAGAATAAATGTCCACTCACCCCGACCTATGGGGGATGGATCCCTGAATTCGATCTGGTGTTGTATCGCAGATATTGTCTACTAGCAACAAGCAGATCTGAGCATTGTGTAAAAGGGGGTTGATGGAGAGCATGACGGCACTGCTTGATACTTCTCATATCGGCAGTGTAACTACCGCACTAAGCTCGTGGGAAGCGGGCAACGCCTCGGGTAGATTCCGCTGGTCTACGTACGACATAGCTAAATCTCTGTGTTAAGCTTTAGAGCTAAGATTTTTAGGGGAGGAGTTGTCGGAGACAATTGACTCATTAAGGATAAATAGCTTATTGGATCATCTGGATCTCGTATTAGAGGTTCGGACTATTGGAGGAATCCGAGCTAGGCTGGATATGGTATGACTTCAGGAACGAACGATATCGGGGCTGGCGGAAATACAGGATAAAATTGGTGAGTTTCATGTATTGTTACATACGACTGTTAGAAGGCACGATTTCAATTTGTATGAAGTTGATTCTGTGATGGTGGAGACATTCAAAGGGTAATTAAGGCGGATTTTAGGGGCACAGGGCTGGGATGAAGTTATTTATATATATAGTATAGAACAATGTATGAATCGCGGGATGGGATCGGGGCACCGCCGGTCCGAGATCTAGGTCATCTTCAAGTTGGGCAGGATTTCTTGAATCGGATGCTTCTAGCAGTTCGATGCTATGAACTTAAGGGATAATATTCGCGCCGAGAAACTTAAGAGCTGGTGCTATAGAGATACAATACCATGTGGATAATTCAATTCAGCTACTGAGCCTACACCATATTGACACATTCGCTTTGCAAAGGAAATGAATGAGAAAGAGACAACATAAAATTCACACAGCAAGTTGTTTCTCAAGACATCTATTGCTCTTGCACTCAATAAAGTCTCTTCGTGTAGTAATCTACTCACAGTGCCGAAAAATCCTTCATCGAAAAGAGGACCGAACTACTTTCCGTCAACTCGGCGATAGTAGACGGCGTTCAAAAAATCTTCCACCAACCACCGAGTCAGCCCAATCATATCTACTCCGAATCTAAGGTGCATCCCAGTCATAATCTATCGCCGACTGCCATGCACAAGAAGGCAAGATCTATCTATCCCAGTGGTGGTTCTGTTCTAGTTCATCATCCGCTCGGCAAAATACCCGCTGACTAAAGCGAGCGGAAAAACTCGTTCCCACACCTTCGATGATAGCGGTAGCGACCAGAATCATTATTCGAGGGAGTGAATATTGATTCAATTCAATCAGAATTGATAGGACGGGCTGAATGCCATACACACAATTGATTGAGCCTAGGCTAACCGTAGCTTTCCATCTCCAACTCTGCTCGGTAACCCGAGCCGAAAAGAAGGTAACCTAGCGCCTGCCACGGGCGCCCGCGAATTGCGGTCCAACTTTCCCGAGGGAAAAAAAAATGAGAGAGAAGAAAAAAATGACCTCCAAGGCTTCAAGGCTCAACGGGGGAACTTTGATGGGTCTCCCTACGGGTCCCGATGTTTTCTTTTCCTTGTCTTTTTTTCCCTTGGACTAGCTGGGTAGTGAATGGCTGGGAGGGGGTTTTTAATCGAAGAACAAGTCACTTATAAGACAAACGTTGACAGCAGCTTGGTTTGTGACCGGCTGGAGAAATAAATCGCTATGAGGTTTCAATTATGAGATGCACCAACAACGTAGTCTATGTATTCTATTCTGGTGCCTGGTGTCCGGGTGGATTGCATTAGTAGCCTTCTAGTACGGCATGTCCGGGCTGGCATTCCAATTTTCTCAAAGTCTTGCTCTTTCGAGACTGGCAGCTCCGACAGTAAGCTTGCACCAATGATAAAACGAGGCGCCGCTACCCGAGTTTCGGTCTTCTTGGGCGGGCTTGGCTGTTTGATCTATGATGGATTCGATGGATATACGGATGGGATAATTGCCGCAAGGCGTTCCCATCGTATACTTGGTCGTAAATGCATGTGTTGTCGCGGAAGAGGTCAGGCATGAGTAGATACAAAGATAAATGCAATGGGATGGGTTCTAAGTTGAATATTGAGATGGGAACAGTGACCAGTCGCGAGACATGCGGTGAGTGACGGTTGTATCGATGCATTGCATCTTCATGTCCAATGCGCAATTACACAGCTTGGGCGGATAAAATGATCGACGCGACTCATGACGGTGGCCCTAGGCGGTTTCTCCATAATTAGACCGATGGAGGCGAATTGATGATGATGGGGAGCATCAGAATTGCTAGGCATCCCAGAGGACGGAAAGTGACAGAATCCGACGGTTTCGAATCTCGAGTCATCATTACGCTGGTCGCATCTGGACACTCGGAGGCAAAAGGCTAGGAAAATTACGGGAGGACGGAGGCAGTGGAGTGGGGTTTCTTGTACCGGAACCTGGTGGAGCGCGAACTTCATGGAGATCCACATCCTGTTGCTCGACGGTACGGGTAAAATGCGGTACCTGAATCGCATGGTTGATGACAGGTTGACAGACTTACAGAGCATGGCGAAGACGGTAAGGCGAACAAGACATGAAGCCGTAGCACGGAAGGTTGGAACGATTCAGGCTGGCATACGAGTAGCGACAAGGTTTCCTGACGCTAGACAGCGCTGAGCAGGGAACGGAAATTGCGATTTCGCGGTTTCCGAGAGCATATCCGTTACTTCCTAGCTGTCGATAACGGGATTCACAATCTAGTTGATATTAAGATAGAATTGCTTCCGAGGTTCAATCAAGATCTCCATGATATTGCTCATTTCGGCTGATGTCAAATAATCATCGCCTGGATGGGTGTCCAGAGTGAGTTGTCTCGACGTGACGAGAAAGGACAATGCGATCAATTAGTCGCCATCTTGAAGCTGAGCTGGCAGCAATCTAATAACCTTGCGCTAAGCATTGGTATGAGGCAACGGTTGCCCCTCAGATATTCCTGGACGGGTGAAGTCGCAGTAGCTCTTATCGCTTGCTGCAGACGTCCAATCATCAGAGGCGTGGCTAACTGCAAGATGAAAGGTCTCCTTCCAATCAAGCGGCGTCATGCCAGGATGAATGCGCCAAGTCGGAGGTATCTCTTGATTTTGTGCTTGTCTGAAGCTTCTCTCTCCGATAACGATCACTGACGGCGATCACCGCTGCAGTCAGATATAGAGGTCGTAGTCACGTAGGTTGCCGACGGCGTGAGGTACTCGCAGAGTCTGGGGAAGAAGAAATAGGATGATGCCGTCATGGCCATGCACTGGAACGGGGAACCTGGAGATGGCGGATGCAATCGATGAGGGGTTTGCCCACTGCCCAGACCCCTGTCGTGAACGCATGGAGCCGCGGTCATAGCCTGATGACGGACGTGTCTAGTGTTGTTAGCACAAGCCATGCGCTGGACCAGCGTATTTCATCGCAGAGTACAGTCAGACCGATAAAGCTGAGTGTGCGTGGCAAAACAGACGACCCAGGAGAACAGTTGAAGATCCATCGGCGATGGCCGACTACTAAAGAGACACGATACCAGCATGAAGCAGATACTCGCTCCGTCTGGGGAAGGTAGAGATATAGGGAAGGATGATATAGAGGGTGACAGATAAGGACCGATGGGGGTGACGGGAGAACTATCGGCAATCCGCTGAGCGCCTTGTTTCTCTCTCTCCAGTTCTCTAGGCCTGACAGTACCTGTATTGACTGAGTACAAACAACTAAGGGCAATACATGACGGACTGTTATCATTATCAAATCGCTCAGGGTTAGAGCCCAGATACTGTGCCTCATTGCCTATCAACAGACGAGGTCTTATCAGGGGTGGAACCGCTTGCCACTGACCCCACTCTGTAGCAGAGTTTTGCGGGCCAATCCCGCCACGAGGGCTGTTAATTTCTGCGACTCAGGTGGTGCTTAACTCAGCTACCAAACACCCTGGCTGCCAATGAGAGCGATGGTGGCTGGGATTTACCTGGCATGATTGGGATAGGACATAAGCTTGTGCGCACTAGGGCTCGACTAAGCCGCAGTTTAGACCCGTGGGGCACCGAAGTTCAACTTGCCCTTTCTCGAAAACCCGAGGGCCGTTTCCATACCTGCAACACGCGACACCGAACCCGAATCCACGGGCAATCTTTTTCTGTTACAGTTACGCGGTCGCGGCGGTTTTCCGACCCGGAAGCGATCATTACATCGATCTGGATCCAGTGGGCCTTTCGCTCGTCTCGGACTGGCGTGTGTTGTGTGTGTGTCCACTGTCCACTCTTCACTGTGTGGGTAAGAAATCATTCGCCGTGCCTCCCAGGAAAAATCACTTATTAGACGCTCTGATCCCACCTTTCCAAAAAGAAAGAAAGAAAGAAGAAAGAAAGATGTGGTCGTCTTTTCGTCCTCTCTCGTCCCTCCCCCTCCCCCCTTGAGTTTATACTCAATACTTGAGCTTTTCAAGCTCTCGTATCAACCCAAACCCCACAATTCGAGTCTTCAGTACTCATTACACTCAATCCAACCACGTCAAACGCCGTTGAGATATACGCGTAAACATCATGTCTGGTGGAATCGATCCGGACCTTGAAAAGGCCCCCCAGGTGGCCAAGGCGCCTATGGATGACAGCAGCGATGGCGCTGTCCCTGGGGAGAGCTTCATGTACGGCAACTCGCTCTACGCAAAGCTTCAGCGGCTGGCTGGAAAGTTCAACATCGAACAACGAGGTGTTGAGCGTGTCCCCGAAAACGAACGGACGGATACCTCATACTTCAACATCAGCAGCATGGTGTGTACCTAGTTTACTGCATTATGCTTTTGTCTTGCTGGCTCTCCGCCGGTTATCACAAGACCGCCTCCCAAACTGACCCCTCGCAGTGGCTGGCAGCCAACATGGTGGTTAGTTCTTTCGCCCTCGGTGTCTTGGGACCTGAAAGCTTCGGGCTCGGCTTTGTCGACTCCATTCTCGTCTGCCTCTTTTTCAACCTGATGGGTATCTTGACTGTTTGCTGGTTCTCCTGCTTTGGTCCTGCCTTCGGTCTCCGTCAGATGGTTCTGTCCAGATTCTGGTTCGGTTACTGGCCGACAAGATTCAGTAAGATACCCTCGTCTCGACCTCGAATCAACCAATCCTAACCCAATCGCCTTGCAGTCGCACTTTTGAATGTTCTGTCCTGCCTGGGCTGGTCGGCGGCCAACTCGATTGTTGGCGCTCAGTTGCTCAATGCAGTCAACCATGATGTCCCTGGTTTCGCGGGCATCCTGATCATCGGCGTCTGCACACTTTTCGTCACCTTCGCCGGATACAAGATCGTTCACTTGTACGAGTACTACAGCTGGATTCCCACCTTTATCGTCTTCATGATTGTTTTCGGCATGTTCGCCCACTCGGGCGATTTCTGGAACATCCCCATGAAATCTGGTGGTGCTGAGATCGGTGCTGTCTTGTCTTATGGTTCAACTATCTATGGATTCGCCACCGGTTGGACCAGTTATGCTGCTGATTACACCGTTTATCAGCCCTCTGACCGCAGCCGCCGCAAGATCTTCCTGGCTGCCTGGGCTGGTTTGATCCCTCCTCTCCTGTTCACTCAGTTCCTGGGTATCGCCATCGGTACTGCTGCTATGGTCAATGGTGGAGACAACAAATACATGGCTGGTTACCTTAAGTCCGGAAACGGAGGCATCCTCTGGGCTGTTGTCGAACCTCTTGGCGGGTTCGGCAAGTTTTGTCTGGTCATCCTCTCTCTTTCCATCATCGCCAACAACTGCCCCAACATCTACTCCGTATCCCTCACCCTACAGGTCCTGAGTCACCAGAGCCAAAAAGTGCCTCGTTTTATCTGGGTGTTTTTGGCCTCGTGCGTTTCTGTTGCCATCGCCATTCCTGGATACTCTCACTTCGAGGAGGTTCTCACGAACCTGATGGATTTCATCGCCTACTGGCTGGCCATTTACTCAGGTATCGCTATCGCCGATCACTTCATTGCCCGTCGTGGCTTCAGTGGATACCGCATTGAGCATTACGACAAGCCCGAGAAGCTGCCTTATGGTATCGCTGCTTGCATCTCCTTTGCCTTCGGTGTCGTCGGCATGGTCACAGGTATGAGTGAGTCTTGGTTCACTGGACCCATCGCGAAACATTCGCATGGTGGCGACCTCGGTTTCGAATTGGGATTCTTGTTTTCGTTTGCTGTACATGCTGTGTTGAGGCCCATCGAGCTGAAAAAGTTCGGTCGGTAAATTTGTGCAACTTTCTTACTCTCTTTATACAACGATTTGGGAACGGGTTTTCTTGGGATAGGTTAGCTTTTTTTTTTATGTCTGTTATGAGGAATCAGCTTGTCTATGAGTGTTCCATTTGGGAACCGGGCAGCTTCCATCATGCTAGCTGGCATTTTGTAAATAGATATTATTGTTGATTCCAATGGGCCACGTGCAGATGAGCCAGGAAGTCAATGTGAATGAAGTTGTCATGAAAATATCCTTCTTCGTCGCTGTAAACTTCCTTTCTTGAACATCTACTCATGATTAGGATGGCCTTGGTTGCAGAAAGTCCAACCTTGCTTTTCAATCGAATTAAGATGCGTATAAATTGTTGACAAACTCCTACGTTGGTACCAGAGATCATGCTGGAATGAGCCAAACTCATTAAAGCTTGCAGTCAGGAGAACATTGGCGGCCATCACTGAACCTCCAACCTCCAAAACATGGTTGCGAGTGAATTTGTTCTGCTACTGAGGTCAGGTTATCCTGCCCAGGGCTTCTTGTGTCTATGAGCACGAACCAGCCTTCAGTGCGCGGCCAGTGTTGCCGAATCAAAACCATCATAGCTTGTCATATTGACGGTGTTAGACGTAAATAAAGGCTGCATCGCTGATGAGATTTTCGCAGATTGTTCTCATCGACAAGTCAAGGATTAAAGATGCGATGCTCTGCCGATTGAGCTGGCAATGCGTATGGCCTTATCGCTTCCTACGACGACGTCCAGCGTTTCAACTCAGGATGACCTCCTTGACAAGCACTCTGCCATGGATACCAGCCCCTGAGCCCCTTTGAATGCCGTCCACCACACGCAATGCTTCCTTCGAGTTGTCTCCTGCGACTGCAGCATTTTCTCTGATGGGCTGAGAGAACATTCGGTAGTCGAATCTATCTATGATGATTTGACCATGAGGATAGTGTTAGTAGCCTTGCGGTCTTCATGAGAAAAAGACTATCATTAAGCCAAGATGTAGTTCAGTATCACCTCTAACCATGTATCGTTTTTGTAAATCCATGAGCCTGATCGTCGACATTACTATATAGCAACCTACGTAGTATGATTGATAGTCTAGGAAGTAGCAACGGCGTGTGCAAATGTGTTTATAAAGCTGAATCAAGAAGCAGTCAAGTCTTCCTGTGCTGGTCCTAACATTTGTTCAGGGGGTGATGTGCTTATTTACTGAATGGCAAAGGTCCTAATAGTCGCTCCACAGAAAGACACCTAATCACCTCTGATCTATGGTTCGTTTGCTACCCCTCGCCAGACCGGCAACTATCACGTGACCCAGTGCAAGCCAGCCAGCCACACCCCATGCGCCACAAGCAAATTGCCGCGCCGCGAACAAATCCACAACGGATTCATTCGCCTTTCATTGAGAAATCCAGAAAACTAGCAAACCAAGTGCCGTACGCACCAACACACACCATACACAATGTCTAAGCTAGGAAAGTAAGCAACCCCCGTATCTTCAGCCCTTTTCTTCGCTCGACGAAACCGCATCTCTCTCCGACTACATTTATCTGACAATATTTTTTTCCCTTCTTTGCAGCCGCGCCGACTGGGCCGACGACGAGGAGTTTGATGACCCCTCCGCTCTCCCCGCACAGCAGATCACGACGAACAAAGATGGCACCAAGACTGTGGTCTCGTACCGCTTCAACGACGAAGGCAAGAAAGTGAAGGTCACCCGCCGCATCAAGACCACCGTCGTCCGGGAACATGTCAACCCCCAGGTCGCCGAGCGCCGCAGCTGGGCCAAGTTCGGTCTGGAGAAGGGCCACGCCCCCGGTCCTTCCTTCGATACCACCTCGGTCGGTGAGAACATCGTCTTCCGCCCCAGCATCAACTGGAAGATTCAGGCCCAGGAGGAGGAGAAGAACCCCGAGAAGGGCAGCATGAAGGACCAGCTCAAGGACAAGAAGGTCAAGTGCCGTATTTGCAGCGGCGAGCACTTTACTGCCCGCTGTCCCTTCAAGGACACCATGGCGCCCGTCGACGAGCCCGCCGGTGGTGCTGGCGGCTTGGAGGGCGGCGCGGAGGATGCCCCCGCCGCTGGTGGGCTGGGTGCTACCTCTGGCAGCTACGTGCCTCCTCATCTACGGAAAGGTGCTGCAGGTGGTGGCGAGAGAATGGCTGGCAAGTTTGAGAAGGACGATCTGGCGACTCTGAGAGTTACGAACGTAAGTCCTTCCATATTCCTTTCTTTCCGCTGCGGGGACATTGGGGAGAGCAAAGTGGTGGTGCGGTCGTGGTCGATAATGACGCATACGCACGCAAACACACTCTCTCTTTCTCTTCAACTTTTCCTCCCCCAAACCCGTCAGCAGAACTTCACCCTCTCAGAAAGGGTGTCATTCCTAATATCGCAAACTCAAAAAACAAGAAAACTAACAAGTCCGACAGGTCAGCGAGTTGGCAGAGGAAGGCGAGTTGCGGGATCTGTTCGAACGCTTCGGTCGTGTCACCAGAGTTTTCCTGGCCAGAGACCGGGAGACCCAGAGAGCCAAGGGTTTCGCCTTCATCAGCTTCGCGGATCGCAGCGATGCTGCCCGTGCCTGCGAGAAAATGGATGGCTGTAAGCTTTTTCTCCCCTCCCTTCTCATCATCGTCCCAAATTCTCCCAGAGAGGAAAAGAAAGGAAGAAAAAAAAAGAAAGAAAAGAAAAACTAACGTCTTTCCTTCCTTTCCAGTCGGTTACCGCCACCTTATTCTGCGCGTCGAGTTCGCCAAGCGGGCTACTTAGATATCTTCAACCTCGTTTTGTCCTCCCTTAACTCTCTCGCCCTCACCACCTTTCTAAACTCAATTCCTATCTTACTTCCGGTTCACGAACACCTTGACCTCTTTTCCCGTCTGGTGGGGGTTCTCCTTTATGACCTAAGGATTCTCCTCCAGCTACTACTTTACTTTGTTTTTCCTTTTGTATTGTATGATCCGATCGATAATGATGATTACCCCAAAAGGACATCCAACGTGTCAGTTTTTGCTAGCTTGCGTCTATGTGCATGTGTGCGCCGTGTGTCCATGGTCGAGTTTCAATACAAAGAAAGGGAAAAGAAAGACAAGTGGTGCTCCTTGGTTATGTTCGCAATCATCTCTTCCTTCCACTTACGTCGCTCATCTCATGGTTCGATTCGGAGGATCTCCCCTGTGACTGGCTGGCTGGCTAGCTTGCTTCCAAGTTGAATGGTCCTCCTTCTCCTGGGGCGTTTCCCCCGCTTTGGCTTACCTGCGTTTTCACTTCTTCATGAGATTTTTTTTTTTTGAAAAGGGGGCGAGGTTTTTGCTTGCATCAAGAAAAGTGCTTTTGTTTTACTGGGTTCTGAGACGAGATCACGTTGCATCCAGACTTAGCGTGGGCTTGTAGCCATATCCCAATGATAGAAAGTCTGGTTCCATGGCCCCTGCCGTCGTGATCATGCGGACGTAGCAGTAGACAGCCATAGCCTGGGGGCGGATACCGAATCTCCTCCATCCCCATATCCAAAATACTCCTGAGAAGATTGCTAGTCCTTCTCCGTAGATGCATAAGCTGCTCCTCGTTGCCCCTAAACTCCCAGCCCCAGTCCGCTTTGCAGCAGTCGCTTATGGGGCTTTGTCCGATGAGTCAACTCACATCATTGCCAGCTGTTCTCCCTGCATACCCACGAAAAGATGTCTGCCCTGTAGGGGGGCCTCAAGAAGGGGCCGAGGCGGCTGGAGGGGGACTCCTAGTCCGGTCATTGTTGAGAAGGGACTGAAGATGGCCTATAGGCCACAGTCAGAGGAGGTGGCGGATTGGCGTTCACAGGCTGCGGTGAACAGACTATTGAAGTTGCTCTGTCAAGGATGGCTTGCCATATACAAGCTTCTGTCAGGCTGACCAGACGGTCTGTGGGTAAGCCAGATGGGTAGAGAAGGATCAGTAGCACTTCGAGCTCCAAGAATAGCGCCGCCTCATCTCACCCTCACCACGCGCTTCACGCAGGCTAGACCATTATGCCTCTGCACAATCGTAATACTGACTCCTCAGCTAGAGGCCGCGGGCCTAACCATTCCGCGGTGGCAAGATCGGAGGTGTTCTACGTCCGTATTGGTGGATCTTCGCCCACCCAGGAAGGTGGACATGGCAAACGGAAAAAGTATCATATCAGTGCGTCATCTCCTGCCGTCTAAGCCGTCTGCCATTCAGGTGGGCGGAGGCCTGTTGTCTGGGGCGAGGCGTAACGCCAGGTCAGCATCAGGGAGGTGTATGGAATCTACCTTTGTGAGTGCACCAATGGCTATTGCTCGGAAGGTATGTCAATGGGTGTGCTGACTCCTTCCAACATTGGTTACATTGCATGGACACGGTGTTAAATAGTTCGGTCGACAATGGTCTTGTGTATCGCCCTGCGAGTGATTCGGTCAAGTGTTGATATGCTCATCCTTTGACGACCCTCGCGAGTTTCTATCTGTGTTACCCGTGAGAGACAACTGAGCTGGCGCTGACCATTCACTGGAAGAGCCGGTTCCCCACGGGATTCAACATACCCGTCTCGCCAAATGGGCTTCTTGCACGCCTCTCTCCTCAACGTCACCAACGCCAGTCTTACCCAATCAAGTATAACGACCGTCCTATCCGGGTCGGCTCATTCAAAGAAGCGGCCTCCGTGGCTGGTACTCAGCAGGCATCATACCTCTTCGGCTTTTTTTCTTGTTCGTATTCCCTTGAGCAGCTGCCTCGAAGGCGTCGATCCGCGCCAGCCTTCTGGCCCCGTGCGTTTTTATTCTGAGACTCCAAAGAGGTACTATACAGCTCAAGCGTCCGATCGAATTGAGGCGGTGGGCATGATAGGGCGAAAGTGTCCCGGCCAAACCTGGCGCCTCCTGCAGTATTTTCAGATATGGACCGGAACTTAGAATTGATGCTCGCATAATACTGGAAAGATTGGGTCGTCTGCAAGTCCAAAGAGACCGAGAATAACAATTCCAGGCAGCAATTGATCCTAAACCCGTTGAGTTGCACAGACAAGGCAGATTTGATAGCAACCCAGCCAACGAAAACAACCACGAGGAATAAGGAATATCAGCACCACGTTCAGTTTCTTGCGCAAATGCTGATTTACCTTTCCAAGATATCAGCCGCATCATGATCGGATGTGAGAGGAACGATTCGAATCAAAGATGTCTGGTAAGATATGATCAAGGGTGGGAGCACAACTAGCAAAGAGCCGTAAAACGGGTTCGTTTACAAACATTGGTCCCAGATGCGCGACATTCAAGACTGGTCAACAAGTGGACTATTGTTAACCTGCCACCGTCAATGATTCGGAAGTGAGTGGCATCAGCTCAAGGACACCCTAGCGTAACGAAGTCGCTATGTTTCGTCTTTTCAGGAGAACTGGGCAGGTCACAATTGGACCGGGAGGAACCGGTGTATCCTCGGATCCGAAGTTACCACAAACTAACGATGCTCCTACCTAAAACACGCGTGGTAGTGACACCTGTGCGTCCGTCACGGCAGATTTCCCCTAATAATGCTGCTCGACTGCATATCAGTCAAATCGCTGAAGACAGCTGCTACAGCTTGCATGAGTTGTAAAGAACGGATACTCTCGGAGAGCTACTTTGTGCCAGAACCGGCTGCCCGGTAAGAATGATCCGATGGAAAGGCTAATATGCAAAGTGATGATCGTAATCCGCATAGCAGCTCAGGTATGAGAGCCAGGATCCTGTCAAGGAACCATCCAATTGTGAAGTCTATCGAGGATCCCGGAAATTAAAGCCGAATGTTCTGGACTCGCCTCAAGCGCAGCTGCTTGGATCGACACGACAACCGTCTAGCGGGGCTTTGTCGATGGTCCCAACCGCAATATCGGCCATCTGCAGCCCAGAGCATGCCAGGACAGCATCACTACCCCATCGTGGATAGGAAAGGTACTGTAATTATCTTGCGGTTGTACAGGATTCTGCGTCGGGAAATGTATCAGCCACCGGCACGGGTCAAGTCAGCAGGAAAAAGAGCGGAACGCTTTCTGAAAGCGAAGGACCAGAGCAGTGCATCAAATCGGAAAGACACCAGTGGCGCAACTTTGTAGCGATGCTAATTATGAGACAGGTCCAACTGGTTTCCACCTGGGTCAGGGATCTCGGTCTTTGATAGGGCCTCGTTCAAACCTTAACGTAGGCACCGTCATGAATGGACGGACCCCGTTCTTCCAGGTAGAATCGGGACTGGACTCCAATCGAACAAGAGAAAGAAAAACAACCAAAGTACCAGCGAAGAAGGCAATGTCTATCGGCCTAAGAAACAATGACACCGTTCCGTCTGGCCTCTCTGATTCGCGACGGTGCCCCGACGGTGCCCTTGAAATTACCTAGTCAGCCCGATGAAGTCTTGGCCAAGTATCTGGAACAGGTGCAAGTTCTTTAAGGTTTTTTTGCTTAGGTATACCCAGCCCAGTCAGCCATGTTTGTTAGATACGGAAGCAGTGGGAGGGTCCTCGGGCGTCGTCGGCATTCGGCTTGTATCCCATCTCATCATCATCATCATTGGGACCGACAGAGTCAACATTCTGCTCAGGATGAGAGAGATGACATCGCAACGGCGCTGACTGACATAGCAAACCGTGGGAGGTCGTAGAGGAAACGGCTGCTGAATTAGTTGTTGGTCGTTGGCTCAATAATAACAATTCTTGTAAATAGGTGAGAAGAAGAAGGTGGTAGGAACAGTACAAATCGGCATGGCACTAAACCTCCTTCAGGCGAGCTCATGCACGTGCCATTTTTCCTCCCGGAACTAACTACCTAGCTAGTACTAGGCAAAGACCTAATCTAGAGGGATCGATAATTTAATTAGGTATAATGTAAGTCTGCCTCTTCCGGCTAGCGTCTCATCATCGTTCTTGCTTTTGCACGGCACTTCACGATCTGGAAAATGCATCCCTGTCCGTCCTTGAGGTCTCGAACGATTTGAACGGTCTTGAATGATTTGAATGGCTCTCAAGGCTGAAGGTCTCGATTCTCTATCAGCAGTGATCTTCTTCTGGGAATCGCGTGAAATCATATCTCCTTTACCATGGATCCATCTACAGAACAATATTCCAATCAGCGGGCCTGTCCGTTAACCCTGGCTTGAAATGCAACGTCCTTCGCGTCTCAATCTTGCCTTGCCTTGCCCCCACCCCCTGTTCAAGGTTACTATGGGATTCGCGCCGCATCCCGCGGGCACATCCTGCACGACATCCCTCCTCCACTAGGGACTCACTCTGTACTCAAAATTTGCAGTCTCTCAATGACTGGCTTCCGAGGAAAAATCTCACCCGGACATTCTGCCAATGATATGTGCTTGGCGGCTTATTTCAGCACGGTGCGTATCACATCTGGACCAACTAGCTTCCTGCAGGCCTGGTCGATCATCCAGCCACAGAAAACTTCGTCCATTTGGAGGAAAGTGAAGGGCGAAGAGGGGGGAAGGGACAAGCAACCATTGATCGGAATAATCAAAGAGGAAATTTGTCCCCCACTCCCGCAAACTGCATGTTCTTTCCACATACAGTGAATTGAATTGGACTGTCTTACCTGGTAGTGGGCCTGATCGATTCTGGAAAACATGCTGGGCGCAGCACATGTACGCTCCACACCGAGAATTGGTAGGACTGGAAAGGGGTCATTGTCGCTGAAGCGCATGCGGTCCGGTCAAAACATCCAGCCGAATCATGATAGGCGTGTTATCCATACTACTGCAGTTTATACAGGCTGCATATCTGAAGTCATGGCTCATTGTGTCATGTCGGTGAGCGAGAAAAAAAAACAAGCCATCGCGGGATGCGGGAATCGAATCCAGCCGTTGAATCGAAATTTGACGATCGCTTGATCCGTTTATTCATGCAAAACTCGCTGGTGCTCGTGCCTTGAGCATACGAAAATCCTGAGGGGAGAACCCCAAAGTGGCGACAGCTCTTGAACATGGATTCTTTTTTTGGAACCATGGCCCCTACCTGACACTGTATGGCTAGACGGCGTACATTGACCGTTCTTCGACGGCCCCGAGAGCTATTGGCTATCTGCATCTGCCCAAGCTCAGTAGTAGTATCGACAATCCCCATCATGAGACTGGGGTCTGCGCGGTTTCCCGGAGGCAATGATCGCCGCAAATCGGGTCTAGTATCATCTCATTCGGTCTTGCTGCACTTTGCCGTTCCCCGGGTGTTCACACACTAGGACAGCTGACTTCATAAGTATTGTTCTGTATGGAGCATAGAGCAGTTCACCAATCAAGCTGCCGGTCGAACTATGCCGGAGTTGGAGTTCATTCCAGTCTGAGTTTGTGCAGCGCTAAGTTTGTCTGGACTTGGGTCAGAGAGATGTCACATGGAAACTGACCAATGCTGTGTGTCTCCAACGGTTTTTGGCAAGGTCCAGCTCTTTTTGCACTAGTCTGGATGAGACGTCAATCTTTCCCTCGAAGGTTGTTGCTCTGTTTCTGGTTGAGGGGTTTAGTTTCTTTCTTTTTTCGTTTTTGAGTCGAAAAAGAAACGAAATCAATTCGCGGACCAGAACGTGTCGGAGAGGGAGGGAGGGGAGGAATTGAACCTGAAGGCACGCGCGCAGGGCAGACAGGGAAAAAGTATCAACACAGAACAACACAGAGGAGCAAGATCGGCATTGAAAGGCACAAGGCTTTTATTCCCCAAATTGAGCTTCAAGCATATATAATCTTCTTCCCAAAGGCGAGGTGCTCCTCATTGTGATCCAGCTTTTCTTTATTTGGGATCAATTCAATAGAGAAGTTGGAACAAGGAAGGTTTTTGGCCCTGGCATGGTCTAGCTCGACAGCAAACTCGTGGCGTGGGTGGTATTTGTTCTCAAGCTTAAATGGGTAACCTGGAGCTTCAGGGCTTGTGCACAACAATTCTCTGCAGACAATTTCCGCCGCACATATCTACAAGGTCGCTCATTGGACGCGGTAAAGGGGGCCAGCCTAGGTAGACAACGAAGATCGAAGTGTGCGCTTTGTTGGTGTGAACAGGAGGAAGAACCGTGGGCAAAGCATCTCCATCTAACACCCGAAAATCAATATCAAGCGAGCAAATCCCTCGCAACGACTGTCAGTTCAGCCTTGCCCTTTCCCCTTGACCGTCGGCACCTGCGAATGGTTTAAACAGAACTCGGACTCCCAAATTTCTCGCCAGGTCTTCTATTTAATCTCCCGAGAACCAGGCCTCTATTGTTCCAATAGCCGTCTTCTTGCCGTGGTCTACCGAAGTCCTGGGACAGCCGATCTACATACACATATGGTTGCAGCTGGGAATGAAAGCTTGCATTAATTGATGCAAGATACTCGCCCTCTTTTGCGCACATTCTAGTAAGTCCATCATATCGGTTTCCTGTTCTTGCATCGGGAGTCTCTGCGCGCCTGGCTTCCCACCTCCAAATTCTCTTCCTGGGATTCGGCCTTGAAAATATACTCTTCTTCGGTTCCGAGCCAGTGTCATTCCTAGTGATGCATTTCATGTCCATGACATGAGTCATGGAACTGTCACTGGCTGTATAAGACATGCAAGCTTTGGTGTCTTGGAAGGTTTTCGTCAAGAGACCTGCTGGACATCCACAGCGAGATGGCTAGCAACAGGGCTACATTAACTCTGTCAATTGTCTACGTCAACTCTCCCATGCTATACATATAACCTGCCAGAAGTCATCATGTCTACTTAGTCACTGTCCTCGAACGCATAGGTGTACTGCTGCTTTCATGTTTTCTTTTCTTTTTATTTTCTTTTTCTGTTGATGTCGTCTATTGCTTTTAACTTCCTTCCCATCCAATATTCCTTCCACCCTTCCGACAGTTTTATTGCCAGATCCCCCAGTTTTGTTTCCGTCGCGGATGATCAGAGCGGCAGGCCTACTTCATGGGTGCTGCAGTCTCCTTTGAGAGTCCATTGCTCTTGATTTTTATCCTCGCTGGCAGATTTGCTTTTGATATAATAACCTAGCGCTACTATCAGGAAGTTAGTACCCTATCGCTCGACCAGGATCCTGAAGGCGGGCAATATCTCCGGGTAAGAGCGACGACCTGTTCCAAACCGCGCGGTTGCAAGCCTTGTGGGTAGGCGTCACTAATAGCAATGATTAGCAGCGCTTCCACGGCTTTAGCATACCCCTGTTGAGTGCCATCCAGGCCTAGTGTCGACAGGGTCTTTTGGCGCTGCTCAGCTTGGGCTGACTCTTAAAGACGCCCCAGGCACGAACCCGTCTTTGAGCTTAGTTTGCTAAATTCTCAAAAGTCTATCTGTTGATCTTTCGTGGCTCAGATTTCTCTTGTTGAATTGTCGCTTTTCTTTCTTAGAGGTTTTCTATCTTTCAGGGCAGTGTCTCTTCGGTGGCTTTTCCAAATGAATCATTGTGAGTGGTTCTGTCTCTCTTCTGCTGATCCTGATTCGACTCTGCGGCATTCCTTACCCTGGCAAGTTTTCCGTCATTGCGATGATGCGGGCTCAGCGGCCGATAAGTTGAGCTCGTGACCTTCCCCCATTGCCATTGCTTCTGACAGCCGATCTACATCCGGGGGTGACGTTAAGATTCTTTTTTGTTTTTCCACACCTCAAGCTTCTACTTTGGTTACACAATTTCAGAATGCCCGATTTCCTTGTATTCGCATGACATAAAGGAATACTGCTTCCTTGGCTGACAGGGAATCGAACCCTCTTTTCCCATGCTGGACTGGCGGAAGTTAAACATTCTTGTACCTTTTCGTCAAGCGTCCATTTCTGTTTCCTTTATGAATTTTGATTTTTGATTTCCTTTTTTTTGTTTCAATTTCTCTCGCTCTATCCCGCTCGCTCTCTCTCTGTCTTAGAGATCTCATGTGGCGGTATTTTTCTATCTCGTTTTGCCTCCATCTCATCATGCCTTCATCTATCTATAACCCCGTTGGCATCCGTTCAGAGCTACTCTGCTAATTATGGGCTTATCGCCAGCAACTCTCTTGCAAAACTCCTTTCCACTGGATGGTCCCCTCAATACGGACGGAGACTACGCTGGGGCGCAACGGCCGTTTTCTGGATCGACAGCCTTTTCGATGGACGAAGAGGAAAATACCCGGAGAGGTGGCGCCGTTCACCATCCTCTTGCGCAGCCTGTCTCAATACCTGCTACCAACGGTTTGCGATACAACACACAGCAGCCTGCACTGCAGGATGTACCGTAAGTTCAGTTCTCTTTCAATCCAGACTATCCTCGTGCTCCACTTGGCCCGCTTGCAGCCACTAGTTACAGCATTCCCTTCTTGTCCGAACAGCCTGACTACCGAGTAGCTCGCTGTTCAGCTCACCCTCTGTGCTTCGATCATGCTTCTGCCTCTTTGTATTATTATTTCTATTACTTATTCTAATTTCTCTCTGTCGACCACTGGGTACCTGTCCTATTATTATTCCATTTGGTTTTCCAATTTCTTCTGATATTCCAATTTGGCCCGTGATCCTTAATTCATCAAACGTTGGGTTTGGTAGCCTGTTGCTTGCATAGTGCATTGACTTGCTGCTCCCTGGTCGCATCACTGGACCCTTCGCCTCGCTTCTGATACGCTTATACATGCCTTGCAATCATGATGCGTTGGAAGCCAATGAACGTTACCTGGCCTTTCTTTTCTCCTATCTTATTTTGGCCCTCGCCGCCATCATCCTCTCCAGACTTTTTGACGCCTCCCCAACAGACACGGCATCATGACTAAATAGGTTCACAGTTTCGCTACGTCTCCAACAATGATTATGAGCCCCACTGACTCGTGCTCTGGTCTGCCTCCTTCTCTTTGCTTTTAGCTGGGTGCGCTCTGAACTGACAGGAGTGGTTCCGGACAGAGCCCTTCTCTTCCTCATCCAACTCAATCTACTCACATTCGCCCGGACTATCCTATGATAGGATTTCAGAGTTCAGATCACATCGAGTACCTCCTGCGCTGTAAGTCTGTCTACGCCCCTAAAAGTGTGTTGTCAGCCTGGGTTGATTGATAAGAAAATTTTGGGATCCGTTCAGTCAACCGCCGACCAACATGTCGCTCAGCGTACCATCGCAAGCCACTGCGGTTCCAGCGGGAAGATCCGATAATTACTCGGGCTATGCGCTTCATCGCGGGTTTCCGTCATTGTCAACCCTGCCCGAGATGACTCGCATGCCTCCCTACACAACTACACCAAGAGCGCTTGACGGCCCTGTCGAGCGTTCGCTATTCGGGCAATCGACGAGTCTACTGATCGATCCTGTCCAGCGTTTGGCTCAGCCGATGGTAGATGCACCTCCGTTCCATGAGACCAATGTCATTCATCCCATCATCTCCGGCAGTCAGTCAATCAGACCTGAAATACAGGCCAAAATCCACAAGGGTTTCTTTCAGGTGGACGAGAAGTGGACTTGCTATCGGCGTAACTATTTTTCTGTCTCGTGTTCATTCTCCTTGTGTCCTATGCCTCACGGTCCCCTCTATCTGAAGTTTTCCGAGCAGTCCACGGCAGAACGCATTCTGTCATTTTCCATGTCTATCTCGGCAATCGTGAATGCACAGTGTGGGGAAGTCCGGGAGCTGGTTCAGCACACACCAAAACGAGACAAGCAGTCAGAAAGGAAACCCGGGAAGATTGTGCTCCAGCCATGCCAAACTTCGCCTTTAGCCTTAGGCCACGGTGCCGCGTCTAGCAGCAGTCCTCACGGCTACTCACTGACATCGCAATCGGCCGGAATACCGATGGAGTACAGTTCCACGTACAGCGGGGCCCCGCAACCGTCACAGCCTCCAACCCAACACACTTTTGAACGCATCCAATTTCAGAAAGCAACGGCGAACAATGGCAAGCGACGGGCTCAACAGCAATATTACAATCTGGTGGTGGAGCTATACGCAGAGGTCTCCCATCCGGTGGGCGGAACTGAGACCCAATGGTTCAAGATTGCCCGACGCCTCTCTCATCCAATGGTTGTTCGCGGTCGCTCCCCAGGACATTACAAAGATGGCCGGCGCGATAGCTCAACGAGCATGGGGGGCCCGGATGGAGGAAGTGGTGGCTCGGGCGACGGCACTGGAGGGGCTGTCCTACCCCCGGGCATAGGACAGGCTGCACGGTCTCACTTGACCTTGATGCCGTACGACTCTTCTCACCGCGGCGGTCCACATTACCCTCGAACAGACTACCATCAAATGGCAGCGGCAGACCAGTCACCGCTCAGCGAAAGCCCGCATATATCGTCATCATCGTCATCGGCGTTTGACCTGGGGCTCATCACAGACACGATGGATCCTATGGATTCGATGAAAAGCACCACCAGTATGGATCCATACCCGGATCCTGGGTTTACTGTCCTGAATGGCCGTAAGCCCGGCAGCCAGTACCGTCTTCATCTGCCGCCTTTCGATTATGACTCTATCACAAAGAATAGCGATGAGTCCGCGAACAGTTTCGCGGAGACGTACGATCCGATGGTCTCGTTTGTTTCAAACGACCAGCCTGAGTCGCCGCACTGTCTGAAACATCCCTCGCGAATGGCTCCTAACCTTTTCCACCATAACACTAGTAGTGGGTATGATCCCGTCTATTCAACGCGCGCCGGCGATGGCAGTCCTTACGGTCGCTTCTCCAATTCTCAGAGTCTGTGCGCCTAGCAGTTGGCGCCTCTGGCTTAGTTCTATCTCACCCTTTCTATTACGCTGCTTTGAGCCCATGAGGATTGACCTCCATTCTTGTGGACTTTCTTCTTATTCATTGTACTTCCTTCCCTTCCGTTTCATTTTCTTCTTATACTCAACCTTTCTGTCATCGGAATGCTTCTACAATCTTATCGATCTCATTGCTTTTCAAAGCCACGGCAGGATCAAAATTGCAGAGTCAGGTCTACCTTTCTACTTGTGGATCTTTGTTGATGAGCTTTTTTCTGGTGGGAAAGGAAAAGAAAAAGAGTTTCGGATGCTTGTGATGAACTTTCAGAAACTCCCTGTGTGTTCGATATAGACTGGTAGCTCGAGTGGATTAGCCCCGTTCCGTGTCGCGGAAGCAAGCAAAATTGCATTCTTTATTGAGGAGCTAGCCTCTGCGTGCATCTTTTCTTTGTTGCGCAGTTCGATGGTTGACCTTGAGGTCCCACCTTCAATCTAGCCCCTCTGCTCTTTTTTTTTACTGTCCGTTTTCTTTTTCTTTTTCCATTTCTTTTCTCCTGGTTTATACTTTTGACCCCTCTATTCTTGCTTCCACAACAGTTCTTTTCTGCCTACGCAAGGAGTAGTAAGCCAGCAGTTGACAGAAAGCCTACCCACGACCAGGATATTAGATAAAAGGTTGCGTCCCCCGCCCTTCCTGCGATAAGACCCTAGACGATAGGACCGACAAACGCATGAAGCCCCGAGTCAAAAATGCAAGAAGGAACCAAGAAACAGGGAAAGTGTAACCCTCGTAGCCTAATAATTGGCTCTGGCGGGGGTCAGAATTTCTCCGACATGTTGCCCTACTTAGGACTAAATTTGAGGGTCGCCGCCGCCGCTGTCAGGCCAACCTAATAATGCATGTCAAACCGACATGGGGGGGGGGGGGCAGGAGTGAGAGAACGAATAGAAAAAGAAAGAAATCCAAAAACAAAAATTGACCCATACTCAAAGAAGCAAATGAACATCCTAAGGGTGGCGGCAATTGGAAGGTGGGCATTTGTCTGCCATCCGTTTGTGATAGGAAAGGAGGGGGAAAGGGAATCTGCATCTCGGTCGACAAGGCTGGGCTTCCTTTCCATACGTTTACGGATAGACTAGGTTCAAGGGACAAGGGGTGGTGAGATGTGGTCTCGTATGTGTCCAGAGAAGTAGTTGCACTAACAGCAACAGCATTAGCAGCATTAGAAGGAAAGAGAGGGTCGGGAAGGGACACAGTTCGATGATTTCAAGGCCCGACGATGAGGAAGATCGACAAGTATTCCATACAAAGCAAATGACATGCACTGCAAAAGGTGACGGATATGGTCCCCGGTCATCATGGATCCATGATACTGTCGGTACTGTACCTGCCAAGTTTGGCGGTCGGCCACCAGCAGCTGATGTTGCTCACTGACGGACTCACACCTCCTTTTTTCCCTTCCCCGTCAGCTTAACCTTTCTCCGCCCTTTTCTGGCTGCCAGTCGCTAACATGTTACTGTTACTGTTAATGTTTTTGTTGTTGTTTTTGTTGTTGCTGCTACTGCCGCCGCCACCGCCGTCGCCGCTAGACTGACTATCTTCCTTCCGTCTTTCTTTGTTGTTGAGGTGGAGTGTCTACAAGCTACAAATCCCTTCCTCATCTTCCTGCGCGGCTCAATGGCTTTGCTTGCCCCAAAGTTAGATCCATAAACTCCGATCCATCCATCCATCCTTCCTTCCTGGTTTCCTCAGCCCCCTTCCATGCTATTCCAGTCCAGTCCGGTCTCTCGGTCCTCAATTCACCGATCGATACGTGATGCGGGATGCTTGCTCTTCCACAGCTGCGAATGACAAGACTGGAGCGACGTCAAAAAAGGAACATGCGACTAACGCGATGATCATCCACCAATGCGTTCCATGATCGACCGGGCATACATTAGGCCGCTGATTCAATCGCGTTAGGAAGCCCGCATCTTCCCTCTTGCACCCACCCCCTCCCGCAATCACCCTAAAGGCTTGGCGCTACTTTCGATCCCAACACGGTACGAGGCAGCTCCCACGCTCAATGGTGGTCAGACAAATGGCTGTGAAGGATTTGAGCTCTTCTTTTGCCCATGGAGTACTGTACCGGCTGCTGCCTCCGCCACCACTCTCGGCACGTTCCGGTGCCGTTCCAGACGATCCCTTCCCTCAAACATAACTTACTGTACTCTAACTGTAGGTTGTCTGGGTCTGTGAATGCAGCCATGGGTGCTTGAAGATTCCCGTCCACTCTTCGGATAGGATCGCATATTCCAGGATGTTCAATATGTGGACCGCATCGGGAATGAGAGTTAGGTACCACTTCGATGAAGACAGAATCGTCAAAAAGCAGCCGAGTACCCTGCCATCCTCTTCTCATCGACCTGTTATCTCAAGAAACACAAGCTTAAAGTCCCGCCTTCCCTCTGATTTCGACAGCCAGAATTTACCAGTCATCCTCAGAACCACATGCAGCTGATTCACCCTGCGTCATTTGAAACATCATTAGGAATCACATTAGGCCGATCCGTTTGTTTTACTTCAATAGCTTATCGATCCTTAACATTGGCAAGTGGAGGTGCCGTGGCTACCGAAGCCAGCTATCTCGTTGCAATGAAGCTCCCCTAGAATAGCCCACTATGCACGTCGTACAAGGGAGTAGGAAGAAGGGGAAAGGGCCCGAGACAAGTTAACCGGCTCCGAGCCTTGGTGAGCCACAAGAAGTCGGTCGTTGATGAACGACGGCAAAGACGAAGGATATCTGCCTGTGAAAACAAAGCGCCCAACATGAGCACCGTATTGCCTTGGGCCACGACACGCCTCCGAATCGTGGTGCAGCTGTTGGGTTCGTTCTTCTCGTCGGTTCCACCGCATCATCCCTGTTTCTGGAGCAAGGTATGGAGCCTATCACCTTGCACGTTTCAGCCAACGGTCAGTACGGCGGCTACTGTTGCTTCGGAGCTATCCGGCTTTTACAGAGAGGCGGCGGAGACGTTTCATCCCATTCATCGTCTACGGCGGTTCATGTGGGAAATAGGGGCTTTGGGCGAATTGCATGCAACAGGTACCCAGAAAACATCTGAAGCAAAGAGGCCCTTGTTTACTGTATGTCTGTTGTTTTGATCGGGTCTGATTTCAGCCTAGGTTTATCGGGATCCGAGACCATGGACTACAGTCGGTTGAGATCCCTGAAAGGAAGAGAAACAGACCCACCATGGACACCCCTTGTGTATGGGCTACTGTTCGCGTCAAGGCTGGCGTCTCATTGACCAGCCCTATTGCGATGTCCCGAGGATCGAGAGCTCAGACCCTGGGTGCACCTCTCATTCGATTGGTGACTGCATCGAAGGACACTACCGGTACTCTGCCTGGAAAGGATGGTTGTTATCATTCTCGGTCTGGCTCCAATTGCTTGCACTTATGATATATCCCCTTTCAAACGCCTACTATACCGGACCTCTTCCTATTGAGGCCAATGAAGCCATAGGGGACATTCTCAATCGCCCAGGTCGACAAACTGATAGCTGCCTCAAAACCTCATCCCAACACTGCATGCGTCCATATTTCTGTTTCACGAAACGGTTTTCCCGGACGTTGTGTCCCGTCAACAAACTTCTGACGAGGCGAGACACGCGACAAGAACCGAATGCCCGCCTCGTCCCAACTCGTCCACTACCCTGCAGGAAATGCGCCGCCATCTGTCCTTTCTCTCCCTAGCTTGATTCTCGGCCCTCACCTTATACTTAGTTGCCACCGTGTATGATTCCCTGTATTCCCCAGCATCTCACTCCGCCTGCAAGACCCGCACATTCATGTGACGGTGGTCCGGTCGCCCATCATCAGCAAGCCGCGATATGTCTGGGCCCCATCTCTCAAACCCGCCAACCAGTTTCATTAGAAACCTAGGTCGCCCCCCTTCCTCCGTCCAGTTTCGTAGTAGCGTAGTCCGCACCGGAAGATAGAGAGAAAGCAAGAGAAAGGGAGTGACTCTCTTCATCAACGTCGGTCCTGCTCTGAACCCACCGGCCGCCGGACAGAACCGCTTCCGCTTTCTCTCACTTTGTGTCCCCGTCTGATTCGCTCCAATGATCCAAAGCTACCTCTCGACCCTCGAGACCCGGATCGCCAATTTCCGATCCAATTCCTGCTGTTCCTCGGGTGTCGGCGTCAGGCCAATCGCCCCCTCCACCTGCGGCGTCATCCACAGCCCAACCGCCGCCCACGCCATGACTCCGACTCCGAAGAGCGCCCGTGTCTTGGGCGAGAGGCCTTTATATGAACTAATCGACATCAAAACCCATCAGTCAATGTAAGAATAATAAACAAAACGAGCCGAAGAAAAAAGAAAAGAGAAACACGGAGAGAGACATAACGTTACGCCGGCCGAAAGAGGCGAGCGAGCGAGCGAGCGCTTTTTCGGTCTCAAACGTAGGCGGAAGCCGCGGCCGCCCCCAACGGCAAGGGGGGTTAGAGGGGATAAGTGGAAGATTGAAGCAGAACAAACCTACTTACCTCCAGAACGACATCTTGATATATAATCCGACAAAAGAATGATTTCTCGCAGACGGGCAGTACGAAGGGATTACTGCGCGGTGGAAAGGTAGATAACTAAAGTAACTCCCGGGCAGTCCGTCGGTTTCGAATGGGCGATGGGCAAGGTAAATCCGGGCTGGGGAAGGCCGGAGGTCCGCGGTCAACGGTAGTAGGAGCCCCTACTCCCATTTTGGTTTAGTGTGTGGTAACCTAGGTAGGGCCCGTCTAGACCCAGGGTTGATTGAAACTTGACACCGCCGGCGTATACAAATCTATAGCGGCAAGTTAATCACAAGTAATATTCTTTGGCTCGGCTGGTTCAATAATCTTTGAGGGTCGCGGGGTATGATTCATGCGCTGCTGGGCTTTGTGGAAAGGTAACTGGCTATAAAGCTGTTCCTGCCGACGCAGCAGGAAGGTGGGTTTTACTCTATCGCAATAGCGTTCGTGATGAGTTCATGATGGACTGTCTTATTTCTGCTAACATGAGAAAGAAAGATATTATTCCATTCATCCAGCGACCTAGCCTACTTTTCCTGATCCTAAGCAAAACTCGAAAGAACTTAGGTCGAGATTTGAAAAAGATCTTGTATAAGAGAGCATGTGATGCGCCCAGTACACAAAGAGGAGAGCGAAAAAGGACATCATGTATACACATATCACATCGAGATAACAAGCAAAATCACTAAATTAAGGAACAGCAGATAGACAACATGCGTCGGGCGAGTGATAATGCAAAATCACGACAACCAGCGCGGATATCCGATTCAAGAAGTACAAAAGAGGAAAAAAAAGAAAAGCACATAAGAAAGAAAGTTCAAAGAAAATGGCTTATGTAGTCTCTCTATTTCTTGCCGTATGCACGGTCAACGTCGGCCTGAAAGCGGTTGAGGATTTTCTTGCGCTGGAGTTTCTGAGCGGCGGTCATGTAGCCCTTTATGATCGACACGAGTTAGTTTTGCCGCGTAAACGTGCGAGTTTCGGTATGGTTCAACTTACGTTCTGAGGAGTCCACTCCTCATCAGAGAGAACAACTCCGTTGATAATTTCAATGCCCTTCAAGCCGCCTGCCCTGCCAGCAGCCTGGAGCTGCTTGAGGACGATAGCCTTCAACTTCTCATTGTGCGCCAAAGTCTCCAAGTTTTCACCCTCGATACCATTGTCCTTGGCGATCTTCTTCAAGGCGGGCTCAAGGGGTACGATGATGGCGACTGGCTTGTCTTGATCCTGGGCGGCATAGACACAGATATTGCCGACCACAGGAGACGAGCGGTAGATAGATTCGAGCTTCTCCAAGGCAATGTATTCGCCGTTGAGCGTCTTGACCAAGTTCTTTTTGCGGTCAATGATCTTAATGTGGCCGTGCGTGTCGAACTCGCCAATATCGCCAGTCTTGAACCACCTGTCTTCAGTGAATGCTTCCTTGGTCTCTTCCTCGTTCTCCCAATAGCAGCTGCTAACACTAGGTCCACGAATGTAAATCTCTCCCTGGGGAGGGGTATTCTTGGTCAAGTAACCGGCGTCGGGGAAGTCCACGAGTTTCATTTCGATCGATCCCGGGATTTCGCCCAAGGCATCCGGGTTCCATGCCAAAGGATCGTTCAGCGCACCCATTGCCGACGTTTCCGTCAATCCATAGCCACTAATCATGGGGGCAATAGCCATGGACAAGAACTTCTGGGTATCTTTCGAGACCGGTCCACCACCGTTCATCATAATGCGCAGGCGGCCACCGGTTGCCTCTTTGAGCTTGCGGAAAACGATGGCATCAAGGATTCCGGCTCCCATATCAACACCGGGGAAGCCAGCGGTCATGAGGAAGTTCTTGGCAGACATAGCGCCCCAGAACAAGCTCCTGACTAGGACGTTGTTCTTGTTCAGATTGTTGAGGACACCCTTCTTGACCGACTCCCACACGGCTGGCACGCCGACCAGAATCGTAGGCTTCAATTCGCGAATATCTCCCTTGCAGTTGCGCATCGAGGTGTCCGAGAGAGTGCGAGGGTTTCCGTAGCCCATAGTGCCGCCCCAGAAGAGACAAAGGTTTTCGAACATGAATTCGAGAATATGGGCCTGTGGAAGATACGTCAGAAGCGAATCGGAGGGTCCGATGTAGGGTCCAACGATCGCGTGGATACCCGCACCTGTTCTATAGTTAGTTCTACTGGCGTTATGCACAAGATGATCAGATGGGCGAACTCACATGCGGAGACGACGTTAGCCTGAGTCAGAGAAACACCCTTGGGGGGTCCGGTCGAGCCCGAAGTGTACATGATACAGCAGAGATCCTCGCGACTGGGGGGCACTGGATCCACGGGGTTCTCCTCGCCCAGCTTGCGCAGTTCCTCGATGCTGATCACATTCAGATAATCGTATTCCGCCTTGAGTTTGTCCAGGTCCTCTTTCTTGACCTCATGGTCGGTGTTATAGATAACATGCTTGATCGACTTCACGTCCTTCAGCACGTGGGCCACGGAAGGGATGAGACCAGGGTCGCAGAAGATGGCGAGACTGGACGTTTGAGCCAATGAGTGTTTCAGCCCTTCCTCACCCAGAGTGTCATACGCAGTAACGACCGTCAGCGACTGAGATGCGGCACCTGTAACGAGACAATCCAATCAGTAAGGGGTCCATCGATAACCGAATGTTCGTGCGCACGAACCGTGTGACATGGCCAGCCAATTTGCACTGTCAAAGCCGCCATAGTTAGCCTTCAATCTTAAGGTATCACCAAGCACCATGAGTTACACGCGTACCTTGTTGCGCCGTAGAGATGGATCTTATCCGGCTTCTCCAAACCAAGTTTCCGCAATCCACAACCAAGCTCAAGCGCCAGCTTCTCGTATTCGGTGAAGCTGAGGAAGGTATACCCGCTCATTTCGAAGTACGTCCACTCCTTTTCGACCTCCTTCTCAACACCGTCCACGATCTTCTTCACCTTCTTCTTCTCCACGTGGGTCTTGATCAGGCGGCGGGTACCAACAGCCTTTGAGTTTCCGTACAGCCTCGCAGAGCGACGGAAGATCTCGTAGGTGGTGCTGGCATCATCAGCCGGGCGTTCGAGCAGGCCATCTTTGGCGAGAGGCAGTCGGCGGGGGATGGTCTCTCCTTCGACGGCTTCGACTCCGGGAACTTCCACCGAGAACGGTGGCTTCTTGTACATGCGCGGTTGAATGCGCAGCTCCTTCAAGTTCGTCATGGCGAAGGAGGGTTCAGCGCTCGGCGGATCAGACTGAAAACGGGATCTGTGGACAACAGAAAGAGAACTCCTGGTCAGCGACGAGGTGGGATTATGGTTCGATTTGAAGGGTGATCATTGGGAAGGCAAACGCCATGGGAGAGGGGGAACCAGAGGAAGGCAGCGGATAGCACAAAGTCAAGGATCAACAACTTACGGTAAGCAAGTTCCACTATGGATCGGTGCCACACCGGGAAAGCTTGGGTTCTAAGAATTCGCCGTTCTAAAGCGGAGAGGCAGAGAGATAAAGATGATGGACAGGGTCTTTTGGGGGGTGAGGAAGAACGCTGGTAATGAAAGAGAAGCGGAAGGGCGAAGACTTAGAGGGAGGGGATGGAACGGGGAAAAGGGAACTTGGAAGGGGAAAGGTGAAGCTACTCTTACTTAGTCCGGACAGTGCAGAATAATGAAGTCAGTTTATTGTGGCTGGGCGGGAAATGGTCAAGGCGGTGGTCTCTCTTCGGTCAGGTCTTTCCTCTCTTCCCCCGTCCTTATTCGCGGCTACTACTTGGGTATGACGGAACCCGGCGGAGGGAATAGAAATTGAAAACAAAGACCAGTCCAGTATTCTGTTAACTTGACCCTCAAAAATGGGATTGCCCCCATGGTTCCATCATCATTAAATACTGTTTGCCTCTGGGCCATCACTCCCGTGACTGCCTCAGTTGTTTACGAGATTTCTCTGGAACTGAGCAAATCATTCGGCGCCACGGAGGAGGAGAGAAAGTCAGGAGGAGCTTTGAGCATGGGTCGGCAAGCGCACGAGCTAGTTGAGATACTACGCAGGAGGGATAAAGAATTCTTGCCGCGGTCCCGACGACGACAGTCAATGTCCATGGATACGAACTATGGAGTCATCCGCATATAACGGCTCTATTATGACCTACAACGACGCCCCCCATCGTCATTAAAGATCTGACAGGAAATCTGTAGAGCAAATTTTGCCGACAGGGTCATGTCATTCCATTCCGACCATAAAGCGTCACCGCCGTTGTGTCCCTGAGAAAATCAATCCCAAGTGCCAGCTCTTATTGGGGATGGACCCTCTCATATGTCACTAGAGGCGCGTGGCTGGAAGAATAGAGATTCAATCACTGATATGACAAGGTCAAATAGCTTCCAGGGGACCTGATTGTGTAACTGGACTTACATTAGTGCTGACGTCTCCTCCTAGCATACCGGTACAAGACTTGTGCCGCTTGGCCTATGCAGTGCTTACCTAACTTTCCCACCACGATGTTTCCCCGCTGTCCGCAAAACTTCATCCTTCGGGAGATGCCGAGAAATTTTTAAAACTAGGTGGAACGCGCTCGTGCAGATCGGCTGCTAATTATTGCCAAATCGACAGTGTATTGTACCCTCCATCGCATTCTCAATACTTTGGTTAAAAAGCAGAGCTAACATGGCTTTCTCTCTCTAGATTGGTCTTGTCCTATCCGCCGCACCTCCGACCCCCAAGTTCACGAGCCACCTGCGCCATTTTATCCTATAGCCCATTGTTCTGTACCTACATTACTGCTAGACAGGAACACTTTTTGAAACAATGGAGGAGCTCACAAGCTTTCTATCGTTACTTGGAGAAGAGGTAGAAGACGCTGAAGAGGGTATGTCACGAAAAATCCATTGCTTCGATATCAGACACCGTGCCCAATGCAACATAGCGAGAACCAGCTTCATAGATACCGACCCTGCAGCTCTAGAATACGAAGATCAAAAGCAAAGCAAGAGCGCATTATCTATCTGCATGCCTATAGCGAATCAAAAACCCTGTTTCTAGTTTACACCCCAGCAGCAGCGCTACTAGAACAGCATTGATTAATCCAAATCACCCCATCCTATAGAAGCCTTCTACCTTTTCGCACAAGACATCCCCTCCTCGAATTTAGGCTTCGTCGACTCGCGCGCCACGACCGTCGACCTCACAATCCACAATCAGGACTACATCATCCATCAATCCCCCACACTACTTTCCTCGTCCCGCGCAGGCGGGACAACAGGCGCAGGTTCGTCCAGCACATCACCGCATCACCACCTAGTTCTAATATAAAGACTCAAACAACAGTCCTTTGGAAAATCACCCCCCTCTTCTCCGAATGGCTTTCCTCCCCAAACAACCCGCTCTGGACCCAATCGCTCCTCTCCGCCTCCTCCACCCTCGTCGAACTTGGTTGCGGCATCTCAGGCCTGAATGCGCTCACCCTGGCCCCAAAGGTCCATCACTACATCGCGACAGACCAAGAATACGTCCACCGACTCTTCCGCCAGAACATCGAGACCAACTACCAAGCCTCCACCACAGCCAAAGCCTCCAAGTCTCGCAAGCAGCAGAACCAGCAACAGCAACAATCAAAGCGCAAGCCCAAGCAGCAGCAACAAAACCCGTCGCAGACGACGTCATCACCAAACATCACCTTCACCTCCCTTGACTGGGAACTCGACGTTGCGGGATCGCTGAAAGCCAGCGTGGGGCTCGAGAGCTTGCCTTTGGAGAACGGTGACGGCAATGACAGCAATGAGGAAGAAGAAAAAGAGGTTGATCGAGGGTTCGATTTCCTGGTGTCGTGCGACTGTATCTACAACGATGCGTTGGTGGCCCCATTTGTGCGCACGTGTGCGGACATTTGTCGCTTGAGGCCTGTCTACACTTCCGAAGATCATGGTGGTAAGAGGGGCAGAGCGCCGACAATCTGCCTCATCGCGCAACAGCAACGGTCGCCGGAGGTGTTCGAGGCTTGGTTGCAGGAGACCTTGAGGGTGTTTCGCGTATGGAGAGTGACTGATGATGTACTCGGGGAGCGGCTGAAGTCCGGGACGGGGTATCTAGTTCACTTATTGCTGCTCAGATGAAGTGGATCGGGGGTGTCCGGGTGTGGTGTGGAGAGGAAATGGGATAGTAGAGAGGATTAAGGAAGCCTGTATGAACGGCGAAATCCGAACAGTAGTTTAGGTGTTCGTGTCATTAATGATCAGTCAATCCTTTGACTCAATATGCACCATTACTCTGGTCTGGGTGGTGTATATGTGGGAAGCCTAGGTGTCAGTTGTTGGAACATGGACGCTGAAAACCATGGATTTTCTGACGACCGGTACGCATTTGCGGCGGTATACACATTTGGTGGATTACGGGTACAGCAACCGCGCGCCATGAAGTGTGAAATCATCCATTTGCCTTGTTCAAAAGGTATTGATGGGAGATTATGAGACTAATCATAAGCATCGAGTATATGCAAGTGATACTAGAAACAAGGAGGCAAGTGAAAGCAGATCAATCGAGACCCTCGGGGCCAGCCATATGAGGTAAGACATTATTACATTAAAATAGAAACAACGTGCAAAAGGCCACCCACATATACAAAAAGGCGGGTATTAACGCAGGAGCTCCATGGAACGATTGAAAGCCAATAGTCCATGGGAACATGCTTGTGCTATGCAAGGCAATAATGCGAATATCTTGCGTCCTTCGGTATTGCAACGCGACGATAATTAGTAGTATATTATATAGACTCCTATTACTGTGTATCGGCCGTTTCTTTGGGGTCAGTGTTCTCTTTTTCATGTTCATGTGGGCGAGGAAATTCGGCCTCGTCCTTGAAGGAAGGTTTGTGATCCGGAGAGGTTTGCATTGGAATCTCCATTGGACGCGGGGGGTTCGTATCAAACCGCTCGCGATGTTCACATTCCGGGTCGCGATCGATGATAGATGAGATGGATTGTTTCGTCGAGCCGTTCAGTCGAGCTTGCAGTTGTTCCGGGGCCGAAGGCATCGATATTACTGCCGGGACGGGCAATGTCCTGTCGGTGGACTCGGTCTTCACTGGGATATCCCGACTTTCCTCTTCGTCAGATGCAGAAGAATACTCAATCTCTTGTTGATATCCTTCATGGTCGGTTGGGCCAGATTCAAGTCGGCTCTCTTCCGTGGATGCGCGGTTGACGTTGGCCACTGGGGGAAGAGGGGCGTTGGGATCATAAACAATCCCGCATACTTCCAAGGCCCGGGACTGGCTGCCCAGACTGCGGTCTTTGTGCTTCTTCGTCAAATGACACATGAATCCATGGAGGGTCACAAAGTCTGCCTTCCCGCAGCCGGAAACCGGGCAAGTCAGATAGACCAGACTACCGTCTGACGGACGCTTCCAGAGAGCCCTGCCAGAGGGGTCATGCGCTGCCGGTCGTCCATGTCGCTCCCCCCAAGCTTCGACGTTCTTGATAGTGTATTTCTGCTTCCGTCGGATCGAGGTGGCGCCGGTGGGGTCATGGTGAATGTGCTGAGGCGGAGGGGGAGGGACGTGGGGTGCAGGTGCTTGTGTCGGTGGTGGAGGGATTAGACGAGGCTCTGGAGGACTTTGTTGCTTGAAAAATGCAAGCGTAGTGGCTGCATTGGTCTCGGATAGACGGCGAGGCGGCGTTGGTCGGAGCGGCGGAGATTCCATCCCAGCGTTATAGCCTAGGCCCATGGATTCCCTCTTCAAGCGTTTTCGTTGCCTACGCAGTTCCTATTTCGTAGGCAAACGTGGATCATGTCAGACGAGGGTTGTTTATAATAATGAAAAACAAGGCACAATATCACTTTTTTTTTTCAGCTGTTGTTCTTAACCATACCTCTTCTTCTGCTTCAGCATTTTCAGTCAACCTACGGAAGTCTTCGTCTTCTCGCTTGCGCAGGGCGAGAAGATGGCTACGAGCCGCCATACGAGCCGCTTCTTCATGTTCCAATTGTCTCAGACGGACTTCGATTTGATCAATATGCGGATGATGGGCGGGCGGTGCTGGGGCCGAAACTGGAGCTGGCGGGCCTGGTTCCTGCATAGGAGGAGGCGGTGGTGGTGGAAAAGGACGGAATTGATGGTGGTGGCCATGCATCAAATGCTCCGGGGGGATTGCTTGGCTCGGGTTCATTGCGATTGGATGGAAACGTGGGAGGCTCATAGTATTAACATGATGACCGACACTGCCGTTAATGCCGTTCTCGTGCACCGGTGCTACAGGAGGCGCTGCGACTGTCATGATGGAAGACTGGATGCTTAGGTTAGAATATTGATCGGTTGCAATCACTCGTTGTTGGCATGCATATGGGAAAGTTTGCCGGGAGGTTGGATGCAGCCGCGGGAGATGCACTTCGATGAACGCAAAGGGGGACTCGATTCCAGAAGTATATCCAAGGAACGATAACTCGAGGAAGGAAGGGGATTGCGTGACCCAGGTATGACTGCGACAAGGGTGATGGAAGGGAGGTAGGTGTAAGAGGGATCAGAGGGAAGAGAAGCAACGGAAAGGGGAATAGAAAGTAAATGTGAGATAGGCGGCTCCGATGAATGATAAATTCAATGAGGTCAAGGAAAATAGGGTGGGAATGGAGCATTCATCGAATAAAGCCAAAAGGATTGCTTCTACTTACTCTTTTACACTGGCAGCAGTGATCAAAGCAATGTCAAGACTCAAGAGGCAGTAGAGTAAGCGTACTACTGTACCATTCAGAACAGAAAAGAAAAACAAAATGCTAGCGCGATGCAGCTTGCCCGTTTTTCTCTCCAAATTCTTTCTTCTTTGCTTTACACCTTCAGGGAAAAATCCCGTGAATTTTCCTTAATGGGCTGTTTAGATTTCACCCACTAGAGTTGAAAGACGATGCAGGTGGTAACGGCCAAGCAAGGGATTTGGTGGGTTGAGAAAGGGACAGAGGTAGAATAAAATCGAGGGTTGTCAGAGTTAGATCGATGGTAACGATCCTGGTAGAGATGGAGTTTGGACGAAAGTTCAAGCTCAGACAACATCGAAAAGAAAACAAGCGCAAGAATAGTCTAGAGAGGATCCAGAGCTGAGAAATATTAATCAAAACAATAATAATAATAATAATAATAATAATAAATTAAACCAGTCAGCTGGGACAGCTCTAGTCAAGACGCTAGTAGCTAATAAAACTAGTCAATAGTAGTCAGTGGTGACTAGAGTAGTAAAAAGCCAGTTTGATTCTACGGTCAGTTGGAAACAAACAAGTCCATGGATAAAGTCTGGGACCTGCAACAGCACTAGTGAGGTCCAGTGTCAGATGTAGTAATAATTGACAATATTGGCCATAGTCCTCCGGGCGATGTATGACAAGAACGCACAAACTGTTGAATCCATTGGCATAACAGAACATATGTCGGAGGATTCAATAGATTTAGGGACTGGAAGCTGTCAGGCATTGGATCTCTCCCCGGAGGGGCAGGAAAAAAGGAAGGGGGGAAGTGTGCAAAAATTGCCCTAAGATGCCATTGTCAGAATGATTACACCTCCCAAAATCCTTCAGTTCCAAAAATTCTTATGTGTTTGAATTAGCCTGGACCCCCTCCGAGCTGGAAAACCCACCACTGTCACACTAGTGACAAACACAAATCGGCCTAGGATTCTGTGAATGTGTTCCGTAAGATATCGTTATTCATCATCCACCCTCCCCTTCCAACTCTAATCTTGGATCTGAGATGTATTCACTTACATTGTCTAGCGTAGAGAAGACAAGCAATATGGAAGGAGAATTACAAGCAAAGACCAGGGTTGATAAGTGCCACAGCAACTAGGGGCACCCCAGGTGAAGACGCGGAGACCACGCTGGGCATGCCAATACAATCAGACCAAAATCAGGTACGCCCACGGTAAGAGGTGCGAGACTTTTGGTTGATGTGGTCCCCAGGTCCGGGTGCATTCGCCTCGGTAACTCGAAAGATGAATCACCAAGCCAGTTCCAACTCTTTTGCAAAGAGTTCGGACATGCAAAACAAGCTGTCGTAATAATAATGAAAACAATTAATATGTGGTACATCCAAACCCTCTTCAGTAGTGTTACCTTGGTTTTTATTTTTAGCCATAAGGCTCACAGCCAATGAGGCCCAATTGATCTACTATTTATCTTGTAACGCAAGTTCTTGAGAAGACAGGTAGAATATCATGGAAGTTTAGGGTCTCGCACATGGCCAAATAAGATTTAAAATTGTAGACACATATTCTAATAGATTGCTGTCGCGTTCATCAACCACCGCAACCTGCTCCAGCCCTCACTGATGAAACAAGAATCTCTCAACATTGACGGAAGGACAGCGAGAAGGGACCGACAAGCAGACCACAAAAAGTGGGCGGTACCTGTTCCTCTCATGTCAAGGAGAAGAGTGGATGTACTACGATTGTGCTGATGAGGGTAAGTAATAATGAGGGCACCAAGTGGGGAATGACCCAAACCCCAACTGGATTATTCCTGGAACAGGTACATTGGCAGAGTGATCGACAAATGATGAAGGAGAAATTTTGCAGCCAGACGTAGAGGCATCAGTCTAAGGAAATAGACTTGCTCCAAGTGGCTCTGAAATTAGGCTGGACGTGAGGAGTGCCCTTTTCGTCTAAGCCAGGGTAGAGAACGGGGCAAGCAACAGACGATCCAGACTTTGGAAGTCGGTAACAGTCAGAACAATCCAGTGAAATGAGAAAATGAGGTAACTGCACCGTACATGTGTACATTAGTAACATACTTCTGTCTTTGATGAAGCGAAGTATGGTCCGAGCTGGATAATCAAGAAGAAGGATCAAAACTCACACTCTCTCAAGTGTTTAGCTCATCAAGTAGTTAACTCGGCTCTGAGACACATCGGCTGCGGTCTAAGATCGCAACGATCGTCGCATTGAGAAGCCCACCCGAAAATCGAGTCTACTTTGCCAGCCTGTCAGTCAATGCATCAACTGTGAGCTGGGAACTGTTGAAGAACCCCCGCGACCAAAGAAGAATCTTTCTTGGCTTGGAGTTTCCGCCCGCAGTTGTGTACAGCGTTGATTTGTCCTCTCGGCGGCACCACCGCTGCAAGTCTCTCAGTGGAGATTGGCTGCACCTGTAAGCTGCCGATAAGGACAGAAGTACTGTACACTACAGCTTACCGGACCCTCGTCCCCCATCCATCATCCTACATCAACCATGCCACATCTTGATTCGACTGCTCATGGTGTGGTGTGCTTGTTGACCTCCATCGCACAAGCTGATAGGGGGAATTCAACTGCCTTGGAGTCTTAACAGCCCTTCTTATATGGCCCTTTTACCCCATAATCGACAAGCTAATGCCTTGTCCATGTCCAACAATGGTGTTCTGGCCTGCCGCTTGAGACCATTGAACTATATTAAATAATCTGGATCGATAAGTCCAAAAGACACTGTCAATCCTGCATATCCTGCTCCACTAGTATGGAGCAATGAGTGTATTCCTCCCTCCTTGTTGTCTAACCTTGATTGATGGGATTCTACACAGAGGACCTTCCTGCCTCCTCTCTCTGTCTCGTCGCTCCCACGCAGTGGAATCCTTTCCCTTCTGGACCAGACACACTCCCACTTGAACTGAACTGGTCTTGGATAGACCAGAAGCTTCGAATCAGCCTTCTCAACGGTAACAATCCCGCTGCAGAGTCGTGGCAACCTCTCATTCATTACCCCATACACCTCTCTGCCCTGTTTACTTCCGGAACCCAGAAGTAGTCTTCATTGTCGCAAAATTTCGGTCCAATCAGTGAAGTAAGTGTGCATGCAAGGAGTGCCACCCACCACCACCACCACCTCTTACCTTGCCCTCGCCCGGCCTGTTATACTACGCGATAATGTGGACAGATGCAATCCCACCTCAGTGAATTGTCCTGCACACGTAGTTCAGACTTGACCCGTTGATCTATACATCAGCGCCGTCGTCCAAAAGTGAGGCTGCATTGAAAATAAGCGCTACGACTGGAGGAACCGCTCCCTTTGCCAAGGACACAGTAACGAGATCCGTGTCCTCATCATAGACCGCAGTTTCTCCAATTTTAAGTGCACCTCGTCGTTTTCATGGCCGAGTAGACATCTTAAGAAAAAAAAATGCAACGGATGACGAGCATCTTTAGTTTGCAGGAAAGACTTGTCTGCAGTTCTCATTCCTGGGCGCTATCTATCTAATCAGTGGTTATCATTGATGGCCCGCCCCCGCCCCTGAAGCGTGCACTACCAACACAATGTCTCTAAAAGAAAGGACTGAATTAGACTAGTCAACACAACCGTCAACGAGAACGATTCAGATATACTTTTCCTTTGTTTGTCATTCAATCTGTCCCTTCGAGAAAATAGACTAGAACATCTTGATTGGGATGGAGAAGGAGATTTGGTTTTGACCCTTTCCCGAGTGAAAAGACGATTGCCGAGCTGGGGCACTACTACTCATAGGCTACTTTGCGAGATTCAGTGTATTTGGCATGAGGCCCGAGGTGTCCAAGCTGCCTGTCTCAGTTCGCGGAGCCAATGATCACAATGGACTAATGCCCTTTTTTTAGAGGGACGCTGATGCCGATGCGGTAAGACTGTAAAGCTGGTGTAGTACCCTCGTCCTCTCAAATCACTCAGAAGAAGATTGGGGAGGGGAGCCTGGGTTACTGGGCCTAGCATCGGAGAATATGTTACGCACTACGTAGCCCCAGCTACGCGATGCTCAAGAACTTAGAAAGGGAAATAATTACTGTTGGTGATGAAGAGGGTCACAGTGAGTGGGACTGAGTAGTCAGTACTGGGGAGTCCACGCGCCCAGTCGGCCCACATCAGATTCTGATGATTCCAGAATGCTTGCCACGCAAAACCAGGGATCCAAGACAATAAGTCAGCGCAGGCTCTCAGGGCTTCTCACTGAGATTAGACTACATCGTCCATTCAGCTAAGGGATTGAAAAGAAGCATGCACATTGGCTTGAATCGAGAGGAGAATTTCTTCTTCTATTGTCACATGGTCCCACACCACATACTTTTCCTTTTTTGTGGTCCCCCAGCCATAATGTCATTAAGTTACAAAGATGTAGACACTCCATGCATCCGACCCAACGGATTGCCCTCCGTCAAATACAAACGCTGATCCGGCCCAATAAGTGCGAAAGGAGTTTATGAAATGGGAGAAGAGAACAACAAAAGTAATGGAGGAAATAGGAAGGTGAAAAAACAAATCAGAATAGAACACCCATACACCGAACAAAGGTAAATCAATCAAAGCTATCGGTATGTGTACATATCATGCGTAAATCAAAGGTGAAGAGGAAAGCCTCTAGGGAATACTGAGAAAGAGATAGTACAAGAATATCCCATCGAGGTATGGGATTTTCAATCATGATACACTTAGGCCTTGTTCTCGCCCTGGCCCTGCTGCTGCTGCTGCTCAGCCTGGGCCTTGTGCATCTTGTCGAAGAGGGTCAAGCTAGCGTTCTGGAGCTCGTCGGTCTTCTGCTTGAACTCCTCGGCAGTAGCAGTACCCTCACCAGACTGGTTCTGGGCGATGAACTCGCGGAGAGAAGCAATCTTCTCGCGGATCTGCTCGGCCTCAGCCTTGTCGAGGCGGTCCTCGAACTCCTTGAGGGCCTTCTCGGTGTCGTTCACAACGCTGTCGGCACGGTTGGCAGCCTCGATGGCGGACTTGCGCTCCTTGTCCTCAGCACCGTACTTCTCAGCATCCTCAACCATGGACTGGATCTCAGAGTCAGAGAGACCAGAGCCAGAGGCGATAGTGATAGACTGGTCCTTGCCAGTGGACTTGTCCTTGGCACCGACGTGGACAATGGAGTCGGCGTCGATGTCGAAGGTGACCTCAATCTGGGGAACACCGCGGTGGGCAGGAGGAATACCAACGAGCTGGAAGTTTCCGAGGAGCTTGTTGTCCTTGACAAGCTCACGCTCACCCTGGAAGACCTTGATCTCGACAGCAGTCTGGAAATCAGCGGCAGTGGAGAAGGTCTGGGACTTCTTGGTGGGGATGGTAGTGTTGCGGTTGATCAGACGAGTGAAAACACCACCAAGGGTCTCGATACCGAGGGACAGAGGGGTGACGTCCAGGAGAAGAACATCAGTGACCTCACCAGCAAGAACAGCACCCTGGATAGCAGCACCGATAGCAACAGCCTCATCAGGGTTAACGGACTTGGCGGGGTCACGACCGAACATCGACTTGACGGACTCGGTGACCTTGGGCATACGGGTCATACCACCGACAAGGATAATGTCCTGGATCTCGCTGGACTGGAGGTTGGCGTCCTTAAGGGCCTTGCGGACGGGCTCGATGGTGCGGCTGATAAGGGGGTCAACCAGTGACTCAAGCTGAGAGCGAGTCATCTTGAGGTTGATGTGCTTGGCACCGCTGGCATCAGCAGTGATGAAAGGAAGGTTGATCTCGGTCTGGAGGGAAGAAGACAGCTCAATCTTGGCCTTCTCAGCAGCCTCGCGGATACGCTGGATAGCCATACGATCACCGGAGAGATCGAGACCAGAGTCCTTCTTGAACTGCTGGACAATGTGGCGGACAAGAGAGATATCGAAATCCTCACCACCAAGGTGAGTGTCACCGTTGGTGGACTTAACTTCGAAGACACCCTTCTGGATCTCCAGAACGGAGATATCGAAGGTACCACCACCGAGATCGTAGACGGCGACAACACGGTCAGCCTCCTTCTCGAGACCGTAAGCAAGGGCGGCAGCAGTGGGCTCGTTGACAACACGGAGGACGTTCAGACCAGCAATCTGACCAGCGTCCTTGGTAGCCTGACGCTGGGAGTCGTTGAAGTAGGCAGGAACAGTAACGACGGCATTCTTGACGGGCTTGCTAAGGTAGTTCTCGGCAGTCTCCTTCATCTTGTTGAGGACGAAACCACCAATCTGGGAAGGAGAATACTTCTGGTCGCGAGCCTGGACCCAGGCATCACCGTTGCTGTGCTGGACGATCTTGTAAGGGACCTCCTTGATATCACGCTGGACCTCAGCATCGGTGAACTTGCGACCGATGAGACGCTTGGTGGCAAAGAGAGTGTTCTCGGGGTTGACGACGGCCTGGCGCTTAGCGGCGATACCCACCAAGCGCTCACCATCCTGGGCGAAAGCGACAACGGAAGGAGTTGTTCTAGCACCTGTGAAAATGAGTCAGATGCAGGATTCTTCAAGTGTTTTTTTCCAGCTCCAAGTCATAATTTGATGCTGGCGGTCTACCGCATGGGAAATTTCTTCACATACCTTCGGCGTTCTCGATAATCTTGGGAGTCTTGCCCTCCATAACGGCAACGGCGGAGTTGGTGGTACCTATTCATCGACGTCAGCTTTGAACAACGAGCCAGTGTTTGAAATGTTCGATGTGCACAACATACCCAAGTCAATACCGATGACCTGACCCTTCACCTTCTCCTCACCTCCCTCCGTGGAGTTCCATCTCCGGATGGAAGCACTGGGAACTCTGAAGGCAGGAGTACGGGTGAAAGCAGTGCGCGGGAGCTATGTATATTGAACAATGTTAGATTCGAATCAGCGCATAGCATACTATGTCGCTAGGGGAACATACCGCGCGAGAGATACGAGAGGACAGCATTGTGAATGTGATTAAATGAAAGGGTTAATACAGGTATTAAAGAAAGGGAGCTATAATGATCACTCCGGTCGATTCAATCGAGAGGAGTGGAGGATGGAAAAGGAGATATAAGGGTATAGGTAGGATGAGATGGAAGAAGAAGAGAGGTAGGAAGGAGACAAGTTTTTTCTGCTCTGATTCCGGGGAGAAAGAAACTAAAAGAAGGGAGACGGCAGGCGTCGTAAAAATCGTCCCGGAGAGCTTCGGCCCGTCGTCGAACTTGGTAGAATCACGGCAACACAGCTAACCACCCAATGATATCTCAGCTCTTCTACTGACCGCTCAGCATGTTGGCCGGATCTCTGTCTTCGAGTTCGAGAAGCTACTAGTAGAATAACGTCCATTACTTACTGGTGGCGGATGCTTGCCTCGAGAATCTCAATATAAGGTATAATTCACAAAATATGAGCATACATATAAGATTCTCGTTCATCTACACATTTATCTGCCGAGCTCAATGCTGCAAAGGGATAGCCAACAAGGAAGCTGAGGGCCAGCCCGGAGTCTATGATACAACTCCGTGAGTATCTACCGTCAACCGGCAATACCCGCTCCCAGCTCAGAAAGCTCCGATGAGCGGCGGCCACTTGAAGTAGGCTCTGCATGGCAGTATCAATGTTCGTCGTTTATGCCGGCCTGACATGACTTTCGTTTTTTCGGGAATGCAAAGCTTCTCGATATCATGAGTACTGCTTTCATTCTCTATTTCTATTGTCTGTGACTCAATTCAATGGGTATATTGCGCCTGAACAATTGATACATTTTGAGGGCATTTGACGAATCAAGAGTATAAACGATTGGTATAACCCAACATCTCAGATAATGACTACTTTCATGATGCCCGCATGATATAATGTAAATTAGATAAATTACCCCCAGTAAGGCTATCGGAATCTGGTCCGGAATCATTTGTATCCAAGATGCCTGCAAAGTGTGTTTGGTCAAGGTGTTCCAAAACACAATGAAATTATTACCCCGAACGGCTACATTACACTCCAAAGAACCGAGGCTGATCCTGACGCCACGCCCGAAACATTAATTTGCAGGCTACTTGTGGCACCGGGCTTGCTTGTAGCTCCAGTGTTTGGGAGGTAACTTTTCAGAATATTAGTCCTATTCCCAGGCCTCTGAGGGATTTCATGTTTACCAGCCCAAACATTCCAGCGGCACCGTTTGGGTCAGGTCGCCCGAAACGGATGCTACCCTCACCTTTACTATGACTCGGAGAGGAAAACCCATGCATTGATGTGTACTGTAAGTCTAACTTGAATTGAAAGCATACTATGATCAAAAGTAGGCGCATGTGCACCGGGGTTCTCACCCGAGTTGCTTTTCAAACAAGATTTCTCACGCGAGAGGTAGGGCTCTCAAAGTAAAATGCACGCGGGCTGCCGCCTGCATAAGGCTTAGTTGGAAAGACTATCGTGTTGAGACTGCTCGTTGCTGGTTGTCGGATCCTCAGAGAAACTGATCCAGCCGACTCCGAGTGCGTCCAGGCGGGTTCGAGGCTTCTTCAATAATTGAGCAAGGCCTGACCGCATTCGCCGCTGAGGTTCCCCGGATTGGGACCGGAAAAGTCTTACGTCATCCGTCCGCACCCGCCATCCAACCTCCGATCTCGTTTCCAGGCGAGATGGCGAGCGAACTCAGTTGCGCAGGTGAATGAAGTGTTGAGTGTGGTAGGAGGTAGTCGTGGTGGTGATTTCTCCCTTAACTCAGATGCCAGAGCTCCAGGTCTCAACTCTCTGGGCTAGACTTCCACTTTACATCACACCACGACATTAGTCTCAGTCTTCCCCCGACCTTCCTCGCAGATCTATCAACCGTTCTTTTTCTCCGCCGTCGCTCTCACCACACCGTCCGCCTCTTCCTTCTGCGTTGTCCGTCAGTTCCGCAACAGCGGCGTTTCTCCTGGTATAGCTGGACCACCGACAATGCCACCTTAAGGGTTAATTTATCTTCACCATGACAACGGATTCGCTTTCGTCAGTTCCTTCTTACCTTTTCTCTTGTCAATAGTATCAACACAGGTGTGACTAACATTCTACGCATGGGAAGGTTTCAACCAACCGAGTCTCTAGTCCTCTCAGCCAAGCGTCGCTTCTTCCCATTCAAAATCCCAAATTTGTTTGTGCTTCGAGCTCATAGTCAATGAAGCTGAATAAGGCTGATGGCGGTATAGCCACCAACAACTTCGCAACTATATAAGCACCGCCGACCCTGATCGAATTTACGTCGTCGCTCAAAAGCTCGTTTACTCCATTCATATCTCAACACAGAAGCGGGAAACTATCGCTGTCATTCCTTTTGAGCCAAAATGTCTTGCTGCCGGCTACGGCTGGGTTGCAGTCGGAGGATCCGAGAAAGGCGAATGTGTCTTCATCAGGCTACCTGATCACAGCGCAGGTACGCATGGTAGTAACCCGGCTGCTCAGCCTGCCGATATTGATAGTGCCCTTCCGATTGGGTTTGAACCTTCAGCAAGAACGTTGTCGCCTAGAGTCGGTGATGAGGGGCAAAGGCCAGCTCGAGATTCTCGCAGGAGGCAAGTGCCCGACATGCAGTATCATTCATTTGGAGGTAGCATTGTGAACTCCGTAACCATCCATCGTCTTCCTGGCGGGGACAAAGATCTATCACATGAGGACGTGGCAATTCTCAGGTATCATTGTATTCCATAGCCGCTTACCTATTGACATGCTGATGATCTGACAGTAACAACGACCAAACTGTTACCGTGTACTCTTTAGCCAGGTCAAAAGTTATCAAGGTTCTCCATCATCCAGCTTGTATGAATTATGCGATAATATCACCAGACTCGAGTCTCCTCGCGGCTGTTGGCGATGAAGCCGGTGCATACTTTTATGAGATTAGCCGCGACCTCGAATCGATTGTCACAACAGATGCGGGCGATAAGCTCTGCGGTTGGAATTGGAATCTTGTCCGCTGCGTAGAGATGGATATTGGGACGCGACCTGATGACCGCTGTTGTTTCACCATCGCATTCTCTCACCTTAGCCATTTATGTGCGATCGGTTCTCAGTCCGGGGTTATTACCATCTTCGATGTGAGCGCAATTTGCGACATCACGCGTGAGCCCCATGGCAAGAACACGATTGTCTGCCACTTCAATTCGTCAAGATCATGCTGCAACGGCGGCGCTGTGCGCTGCATAGCGTTCGCGCCAGAGCCTTGGGATCTTTTAGTATGGCTTGAGGATAAGGGTCGGGCTGGTATAGCAGATGTACGCCAGGCGTTCATCCGTCGTCAAATCATACACTTGGACATGAATGAGTCCGGGACCCAGGAGGTTTTCACAGAACCGATCATTGATGATTCTGATTCCGACCTTGAGATGGAGGGCGCGCAGCGAGAAATGTCAGATTCAATCGAAGGGCTACCCAACGACCTGGGAGGCGAATCGATTGGTAACCTGCTTCTGAGTGAGACATTTCTGCAGAACCTCATAGAAAGAGAAAGGCTGATTGTAGAACATCTGGACACAGCGCGATGGACATCTAGGCCTGATGAGAATCGGACAGAACGACGAGCCAGAGCTTACCCTCAAACAGCCACCGGGCCTCGTCAACAGGCTCAAGGTTTCACAGAGGGTGCTAATCGAGCTTCTCGTCCCACCTCTCCTCTGCGTTCTGGCGAAACGCCTGGCGACCTATCACGAGATGAAAACCCAGTCATCGCGGAGATAAATGAGCGCAGGCAAGACGCAAGACGCTTGACCACAGGTATTGCAGCGTACAATCAGGCTGGAACCAGTAGCCGACCTTTAGAGACAGATACATCGAATTTGGATCCTCAGCCTAGCATTACACTTAGCTGGACTGCGTCGCCGTCAGAGCTGTACTCTGCTTCTTCAGGCAACCCCTCACATGCCGCAGATACAAGCTCGCGTGACCCTGATAGCTCTGGTACCGATATCAGTTCTGCCAATCGGTCTGGTGGGACTACAGCCCGACCATCTGCGCATTTTGATTACTCGTCTACTGCGGATGAACTATTGTCCCGATATCGAGCCCACGACAATTCTAGCTCAGGTCATAGACGTTTTGAGAGAAGGGGCGATGCGGCTGAAATTCGCCATGACTCGCCAGGTCTCAGAGCATATCTCGAAGCAGAGCGGGCTCGACGGCGCAACTTGGGTAATCTACAAAGGCAGATCGATCATCAGCTACTCAGTCACGTCAATCGACGAGATACACGACACCTCGACCACTTAATGGCATCCGACCAAAATCGTCACCCCCGATGGGTTCGCAACGTTCTTAATGGGCTTCAGGATCGAAGCGTGGGCACCAGACATCGAGATCAGGAGCCGGGTGGTACAGCTGGCATTGGCTGGGGTGCAGATGGCAGAACACTGTACGTGCTATGTATCGTTTGCAATGTGACACAACTGACTCCTCCAGGTACATTGCCACTGTGGATGGAATCTTTGAGTTTCTAGTCAATATGGCTGATCGGAGGACATTCCCTGTCTTCACTTACAGGTGAACAAGGCTCTTCAAGCTGCCAGCGGGTTATTGGCTTCAAGATATCATTCTACCTCAAAAATGTGTTGGGGAACATTGGCTTGTCCTTGTGATTCATGTCGCGAAGGATGCGCCTTTGCCCTAGCTGCGATTTTCCCGAACCTGCCACTTTTCCGTAACGCTCACATTGACTAGTACAAGTATGACCTAGGATTACTTTTGTCATTAGGACGAAAACAATTGCAGGGATGTATTCTTCTTTTATGCCTCTTCTCTGTGCTTTCCGTTTTGTCCCGCTGCGGGTTTGGTTCCAGGAGCATCCATTCTGTATCATTGAGCTCACATACTGTGTTGCATCTATTCTTGGCATCTTGGTTAATAATCAAGACAAGTGCTTATGTATAAGGGAAGATGAGATAATATGCTGCACATGGAAACGAATTCACGTTGTATGCGAAATCCTGCGCAAATTGATGCCGCGCGCGATCCGGACGCTTAAAGAGATAGCTGAGAAGAACGCTGGAAATCGTACATGATAAAGTATTGAGGCTTTTGAATCATAGCTAAAGATCTTGTACGGATTTTCAAAAACCCTCCCACCCGTCTGTGCGCGGTGTTGAGTTTGACAAGCTACTTAGGGAGCTGCTCACCAGCGGGCGGAAAGGGCCCAGTCCCCACACGACGTCAGAGCTGTTTGGGTTTGTCCAAACTCCAAACTCCATTCAAGTTCCCGCCGCCGCCGCCAAACGCCTGCCAGTGATTAATTAATGATTTCGAGTAACGTCTCTCACCTCGAATCACGGCCCACATCCTCTGCTTTCACCCCAGTGAATGCTCGCCTGCCTGGCTGTTCATCTCTATCCCGCACAACTTAATAAGAGGCGTGTTGTTGCTCCCTACACAGGCCTGTCTGCATACACAGTGTTCTCACAAACACTCCTCGGCGCCCTGTTTCCGATTTGGTGCCTGAGCAGGCCTGACCTGAATTTTCATTGCTACGATATCTGTGATGGCGGGCAACCTGACTGCTGCTCTGGCGCAGCTGAGTCTAAACTCGGAAGATCTCAGCGCCTCTAGCTTTGATGCCCGTCTGGCCGATGAGGAAAGTGCCATTTACAGAGAGGCCAAACCGCGACAGAGGGTTCGCCAGAACGCCGCTGACCTCAAGAAAGAACTAGAACACGAGTTCCTTAGTCCATCGGCCCGTTTCGGTTCAGGATGGCTGAATCGTCTTCAAAGGTTTGCCTTACCTTGTTACTGTTGTCGCACTGCCCCTCCCCCAAGGCTTACTAAATTTATGTACCATACCTGATCATTTCCCTGAACTTTCCTGCTTCTATAAATTGATTTACCATCTTGATTTTGGCGCTAACACTACGCAGGAGATGGGATGTGTCCACGGACTATGCAGATCTGTTCGACATTGCGGGAACTCAAACGCGAACAGTCGTCCGATTCGATCGCGATGGCCTAGAAGGTCGCGTTACTGGCTACCACGAAGTCACTATTCCTGCCGCCAGTGCCAATGCAAAGAACTCTACGTCTCTCCTTCGTCGACCCGCTGGCCGTGCGGATTTCGTGAGGGGAGCGGCAGGCTTTTTCCCGTTCGCTCCGGGTGGGCTGGAAGGGGTCGAGGCGATTGCTGAGATGGAATCGGATTCTCAAGTCGCAGACTACCCTAAATCTGGGGGGAAGCAATCGGGACTTGACCGAATTATTAACTTCGGTGCCGAAGGCGGTCTGCTAGAACTTGCCCCTGGATTCTCTCGTGGACTGAAATTCGATGAAACAAAATCCAAAGAGGCTGCGCAAGGAGACGAAGAAGTAGAGCATGCTTTGCAACAGGAAGAAATCGAGCTTCGCGTTGAGCAAGATGAGACAGCTTCAGATGCTGGAGGTGTTAAGATCGACGACGAAGCAGAGTTAAGTGATGAAGAGGATATCGACTCCTTGTTACCAGTTGAGTTCCCGGCATTGGAACCCCACGCTCCGCTGCTCGCAGGTGTTCAGCAAAGAAAGAGTGGTAGAGAATGGGCTCATGTCGTTGATGTCAACAAAGATATCCCGAACTTCCGTGAGCTCGTGCCAGACATGGCTCGTGAGTGGCCATTCGAGCTGGACACTTTCCAGAAAGAGGCCGTCTATCATCTGGAGAACGGTGACTCTGTCTTTGTGGCTGCACACACATCAGCCGGTAAGACTGTCGTGGCTGAATATGCCATTGCTCTAGCTTCCAAGCACATGACCAAAGCCATCTACACTTCGCCAATCAAAGCTCTGAGCAATCAGAAATTCCGTGATTTTAGGACGACATTCGACGATGTGGGTATCCTGACGGGTGATGTCCAGATAAACCCTGAAGCAAGCTGCCTTATCATGACCACCGAGATTCTGCGAAGTATGCTTTACCGCGGAGCGGACCTGATCAGGGACGTGGAGTTTGTGATTTTTGACGAGGTTCATTATGTCAATGACCTAGAGAGAGGTGTGGTCTGGGAAGAGGTCATTATCATGCTTCCGGAGCACGTTACTCTGATCCTGCTGTCTGCCACCGTTCCTAACACTTATGAATTCGCATCATGGGTTGGTCGTACGAAGAAGAAAGACATTTATGTCATTTCCACCCCCAAGAGACCAGTCCCTCTCGAACACTACCTTTGGGCTGGTAAAGGGATGTACAAAGTTGTTGACTCCAACAAGCGTTTCCTCGAGAATGGCTGGAAGGAGGCTGACGAGATCATTTCCGGAAGGGACAAAATCAAGGCTCAGAAAGCAGCCGAGGCTCAAGCCCAGTCGCAGGCAAGCCGTGGAGCACCACAGGGTAGAGGACGCGGACAAGCTCCTGGTAGAGGCGGCGCCCGCGGCAACTCGCAGCGTGGAGGCGCCCCCCGTGGAAGAGGTCAGCCAGCCAACAGAGGTACCGGGAACATTGCTCGCACGGGGCGTGGTGGCGGAAGGACCACAGCCGCGCAAGATAAGACTATTTGGGTACAGCTTGTTCAGCATCTTCGGAAGGAAAATCTGCTCCCCGGCTGTATCTTCGTTTTCTCGAAGAAGCGCTGCGAACAAAATGCTGACTCGCTTTCTAACCAAGACTTTACGACCGCTGCAGAAAAGAGCTTGATCCACATGTTTATCGAAAAGTCTCTTACAAGACTCAAACCAGAAGACCGGACGCTTCCACAAATCCTTAGACTCCGAGACTTGCTTAGTCGGGGTATTGCCGTACATCATGGCGGTCTTTTGCCCATCATGAAGGAAATCGTGGAGATATTGTTCGCCAAGTCATTAGTCAAAGTACTATTTGCCACGGAGACGTTTGCTATGGGTCTGAATTTACCGACTCGTACGGTGGTCTTCTCCGGGTTCCGCAAGCACGATGGCAAGGGTTTCCGGGATCTGCTACCCGGAGAGTATACTCAAATGGCCGGACGTGCTGGAAGAAGAGGTCTTGACACCGTCGGCTATGTGATCATCGTAAACCCTGGCAGAGATGAAGCACCACCAGCTGGAGCTCTGAGACGGATGATCTTGGGCGATCCGACGAAGTTACGATCTCAATTCAGGCTCACATACAATATGATACTCAACCTACTCCGCGTCGAAGCCTTGAAGATTGAAGAAATGATCAAGCGTAGCTTCAGTGAGAATGCCACTCAGGCACTTCTCCCAGAGCATGAGAAGCAGGTTCAGCTTTCTGAGGCCAGCTTAGCGAAGATCAAGCGCGAATCTTGCGACATATGTGATATCGACCTTGCCGCCTGCCATGATGCAGCTATCGAGTATGAAAAACTGACCAGCGAACTTCATGTGGGACTGCTGTCCTCTCCAGTAGGAAAGCGTCTGTTCATGCCGAAGCGGCTGGTTGTGTATAGGAAGGCAAGCACAGCGTCCCTGTTCCCACAACTTAGTCAAACTGACCACATCTATAGGACGGATTCCGTACGGCGGGTGTTATTGTTCGGGAGGGCATTGGAGGGGGTGCCACGCCCACCATACAGGTCCTGGAAATTGGAAGAATTGGAGGCAGGCGTCATCCCAGCGATATTCTTCCATTCCTTCCAAGATTCCGGCATTTGTTCCAGTCTTTGCCCACTCGTGCCGCGGATATGACCCTGAAGACGTCTAAGATACCATTGTCGGATCTTGAATGCATTACAAATACAATGATCAAGTTGGGTGGCCCAATATGGTACCTGAACATCAAGAAAGGTTCGTGCAATTAGTCCAATTCTTTGAATGAGACTAACATCGCGACAAATCAGAGGCAATGAAGTTCGCGGATAAAGAGCTTTCAAAGTTCTGTGCTTCGTGGACGACTCCAGCCTGGGATGAGATGGACTGGGCTAGGATCAAGGAGCTACAGGTTAGAGACATACTGGAGAAGCGGCAGGAACAAGCTGCAATTGCCCAATCTTGCCGATGCCTGCAATGCCCAGACTTCTTAAAACATGTAAGGACCCTGAGTTGTTCTAACTAGACACCATTATCATGCTGACATTCAACAGTTCGAAATGCAACACGATGAATGGCAGGTCAAAGAAAATATCTCGCAGTTGAAACAGCTGATGTCCGATCAGAATCTGGCGCTGCTCCCTGATTATGAGCAACGCATTCAAGTACTAAAGGATTTAGGCTTCGTAGATGAGCAGGCACGTGTGCAGCTTAAAGGCAAAGTGGCATGTGAGGTAAGTTTTCCAAATGTATCATGGCCATTTCGTAGCGCCAGGCTAACATCCGGCCTCAGATCCACTCATCCGATGAATTGGTCCTGACGGAATTGATCCTTGAAAACGTCTTGGCCGAATACGAGCCTGAGGAGATTGTTGCGCTGCTGTCTGCCTTTGTCTTCCAGGAGAAGACTGAAAATGTACCCACATTGACACCGCGACTTGAGAAGGGCAAGGAGGCCATTGTCAAGATCTCGGACAGAGTCAATGACATTCAAATTCAACATCAGGTCATTCAGACCAGTGAGGACAGTAACGACTTCGCTAGTCAGCCGCGGTTTGGCCTGTCGGAAGTCGTCTACGAATGGGCGAAGGGCATGTCATTCAACCGTATCACCGATCTCACCGATGTGATGGAAGGCACTATCGTGCGGACTATTACTCGTCTGGATGAGACTTGTCGGGAGGTGAAGAATGCGGCCAAATTGGTGGGAGATCCCAACCTTTATGCCAAGATGCAACAGGCACAGGAGCTGATCAAGAGAGATGTTATCTTCGCCGCATCGCTGTATATGTAGGCCGGGGAGAGGGACCACGTGGTGGGGAGGGCTTATTTTATGTCGGAATCCTATTTTGATTTTTTTTTAAATGCGTTCCATTGATTTAGTTGAATAAACAAGTGAATAATAACACAGACTTTTAAGAGTTGCAGATAGCCCAAGATTCAAGAGGACCTCTCCATCCAAATTCACGGAAACCCGAAACTCAGCCTAGGAAATTTATCCACATACTCCGTGCAGATCGGATCGTTGCCCCAAGATTCAGTCAGGGAGCAAAATTCTCTTACCGCGCGTGGCGGCGAGGCCTCTGATTAGCTGCCATAGGCGCGGGGCGGGCACCGCTTATTGAAAAACCACGAGAGAAAACTGAACCAAACCTAACAAACCCGAAGGGCACTTTTGCAATCTGCACACTTACTTACTATCATTACTCCCCCGCTAATTTATCTCCCTCCCCCCTCCTCCTCTCCTCCTCCCCCCTCCTTCATCCCGTGGCTCAGCACTACGTAACGGGTCTACTTTCTTTTTTTCGAGCTTTAAAATATCACCGGGGGCCGTTGCTGGTGCGAGATGGATGTTGCAGCTTTGAGAGACCGCATCCAGTCTACCCTCGACGCCAATGCGGATAACAGACGCCAAGCTGAGTTGGACTTGAAATATGTAAGTGTGGCATGGTATCGCATGTTTGGAAGCGCTCTATACTTATTCAGTTATTGTCTAGGCCGAGACACAACCGGGCTTCATAAATGCGCTTCTGGATATCTTGCAGGGGGAACAAAACAATGCCGTTCAACTGTCGGGTAGGTATTACCTAGAGATCCTGCTGCCTGATTATCGCCCACCGCTTTCTTCCTTATGGTCTTGGGCGCTAGAGTACATCAACTAACGAGTAGTCTACTATATATAGCTGGTGTTTACTTGAAGAACAGGATCACCCGCGGTTGGTCTGTCGTCGAAGAAAGTCCTTTGCGCGCACCGATCCCCGAGGAGGAAAAACCTAGTTTTCGAGAGCGACTGATCCCCGCATTGGCGTCCACTCCTCCGAATGTTCGAGCACAGCTTGTTCCCCTTCTCCAGAAGATACTTCAACATGACTTCCCGGAGCAGTGGCCGGGTTTCTTGGAAATCACCCTTCAGCTGCTGGGTACCAACGATGCGAGCTCTGTCTACGCAGGCCTGCAGTGCCTGCTGGCCATCTGCCGGGTGTATAGGTTCAAGGCCGGAGAGAAGCGGGAAGAGTTCGATAAGATTGTTGAGCATACGTTCCCTCAGCTATTGAATATCGGGTTGAAGTTGGTTGATGAGGAAAGTCTGGAGGCTGCGGAAATGCTTCGAATTGTTGTCAAGTCATACAAGCATGCTATTTATGTGGGTGAACCGGAGCGGAATATGAATTACATCTTGGAAGCTAACCTTTGGGGCGCCACTAGTTCGAACTTTCTCCCTCCCTTCAAGCGCAGCAGGCCACGGTGGATTGGTGCACCCTGTTCCTGCGCATAATTGCTAAGGAGCCTCCGGCAAATGCCATGATGGAGTCCAAGGAAGAAAGAGAATTAAATCACTGGTGGAAATGCAAGAAGTGGTCATATGCCAACTTGAACCGTCTCTTCATCAGGTACGTTCCCTGCTTTGTACAGCCTTGGAACCTGCCACTCACCTGACTCCGCTGAGCAGATACGGAAACCCCACGACGATGACCAAGTCTAGCACTCCCGACTACACTCAGTACGCGAAAAACTTCATCGCCAACTTTGCTCCGGAGATCCTCAAGGGCTATTTGCAGGAGATCGACAAGTGGGTATCGAAGGGCCAGTGGCTCAGCAACCCGGCACTCGCCTACACTCTCATCTTCCTGGAGGAATGCGTGAAGCCGAAGGCGATGTGGGATCATCTCAAGCCCCATATGGACAACCTGGTTGCTCACTTCATCTTCCCGATTCTTTGCCAGTCTGACGAAGATATCGAGTTGTTCCAGGAGGATCCTTCGGAATACCTTCACCGGAAGTTGAATTACTATGAAGAGGTCTCGGCGCCCGATGTGGCAGCTACCAACTTCCTGGTTGCTTTGACGAAGAATCGCAAGAAACAGACTTTCTCCATCCTTACATTTGTCAATGGTGTCGTCAGCAAGTATGAATCTGCCCCGGAGGATCAAAAGTCGCCTCGGGAGAAGGAAGGCGCTCTGCGCATGATCGGTTCTTTGGCCTCTGTTATCCTGGGCAAGAAGAGCCCCATCGCTGGTGAGGTGGAATACTTCTTCGTCCGTCACGTTTTCCCAGAATTCCGCAGCCCCCACGGCTTCCTCAGAGCTCGTGCATGTGATACTCTAGAGAAGTTCGAGGCTCTTGATTTCCAGGACCCGAACAACCTCATGATTATCTACAGAAACATCCTCGAGTCCATGACAGATCCCGAATTGCCTGTCAGGGTTGAGGCGGCGCTCGCTTTGCAGCCTCTTATCCGCCACGACATTATCAGGACTTCGATGCAGCAAAACATCCCCCAGATCATGCAGCAGCTTCTCAAGCTCGCCAACGAGGTCGATGTGGACGCTCTTGCCAACGTTATGGAAGACTTTGTTGAAGTCTTCTCTGCCGAGCTCACCCCGTTCGCTGTAGCACTCAGCGAGCAGCTTCGTGACACATACATGCGTATCGTTGGAGAGCTTTTGGAGCGCAATGCCACCAAGGGTGACGAGGACGCCTACGGCGACTTTTTGGATGACAAGAGCATCACCGCTCTTGGTGTCCTGCAGACGATTGGCACATTGATTCTCACTCTCGAGAGCACACCCGATGTGCTGCTTCACCTTGAAACCATCCTCATGCCCGTCATTAGTATTACTCTTGAGAACAAGCTTTACGACTTGTACAACGAAGTTTTTGAGATCATCGATAGCTGCACCTTTGCCTCTAAGTCGATTTCTCCTACTATGTGGCAAGCCTTTGAGCTCATCCACAAGACCTTCAAGGCTGGGGCTGAGCTCTACCTTGAGGACATGCTCCCTGCCCTCGACAACTACGTCGCTTATGGCTCTCAGATGTTGGTCCAGAACCCGGCATATCTGGCGGCCGTTGTTGGCATGGTTCAGGACATCTTCCGCGACGAAAAGGTGGGTGGTGTGGATCGGATCTGCGGCTGCAAGCTCGCCGAGACTCTGATGCTCAATCTCCGCGGCTACATTGACCAGTACATTCCTGTCTTCATCGAGCTCGCAATGCGTGTCATTGATGCCGGCGAGGCGCGCACTAAGTCCTACCGCATTCACCTGATGGAGATGGTCATCAACGCGATTTACTACAACCCTGTTCTGAGCTTACAGGTGCTGGAAGCAAATGGCTGGACGAACAAGTTCTTCAGCACGTGGTTCTCCAATATCGACAACTTCAGACGGGTCCATGATAAGAAGCTGTCAATCGCAGCAATCAGCTCTCTTTTGACCTTGAAGGCTGGTGATGTTCCTACTAGCGTTCAACAAGGATGGCCTAGACTTCTTCAGGGAGTGACCAGACTCTTCCAAACTTTGCCTGCTGCAATCAAGAGTAAGTGCTCAAGAGTGACATGGCGCATAATTGTGTACTAATTTCGATTTAGACCGAGAAGATGCTACCAAGGAGTCTGACTTCACGTATGAAGACGAAGACGATGTTGATGATGAGGACAATGACTGGGATGGTGAGGTTGAATGGACTGAACAGGACGAGGCAGAGGGCGTTCTGGAAGACGACGTTGCTGACGAGAGCGCTGCCTACCTCGACTTTTTGAACAAGGAGGTGAGTTCACTTGTTCAGAAACTCTTATGATCACATCCTGAATGTGTCTAACTACCTCAATAGGCTCAGAAGTTCGGCTCGTTCGCCGATGATGACGATGAAGAGTTGGACGAGGAAAGCTTGCTTGAGACCCCTCTTGACAAGGTTGAGCCTTACGGCATGTTTAAGCATGTGTTCATGAGTATGTATCTCTTCGAGGGTTACACAATGTGCTGTCGACTGACTTTGACGCAGGCCTCCAACAAGAACAGCCGCAACTTTATGAGAACCTGACGAAGATCCTAAGCCCCGAGGAACAGGGTGTGCTTCAAGCTGTTTTCCACGAAGCCGATGCGAAGGCGTTGGCTGCAGCCAATGCTGAAACTGCAGGCATTCAAGCCAATGGAAACTGATTAATGTTTCAAATCACCCCGGGAGCTGACGAAATGAACCAGTCGGTCTATTCTGGATTAACGTGGTGTTGAAATGAATAAAAAACAAAATCTTGCAATATAAAAGTGCCATCCCAGGTTGGAGGACTGTCTTGGCAAGCCTGCTATATTTCTTCCGGGTCGCTTCGACAACAGATACAGTCGGACGGTCTCAGCTGGATACGCCATTACGCCATATATGCCTCTTTTGATTGCCTCCTGATTCTCCTTTCCTTTGTTGCCTAGATCATATTCCTTCTCACCCCCTCTGCGCGTTCAAGGTTGCAATGACCTGTATTTGATTTCCCCGGTTCTCCTAAAAGTTTCATTTCCGTCAGTCTTGACCTCAATTGTTATGCAAGACTTGAATGTCCGATTCCCCCAAATTAATCCCTGTCAATTGACTTATGATTATGTCGGCCACGACCTGAACATTCCATATCTATACTCAGTCTCTCTGCGGAGAACAATAACAGTCAAAAAGGACAGAAAAGATAATAGAATTCAGTTTGAGAAGCTGTGCATTCTGACACGAGGTGTCAAAGTCTCTCATGATAATACATGATTCCAATGGTTGCTTCGATAGCGAAAGTGCTCAGCATCAGTCTATTGTGTGTTTCCTTCAGGTCTCATGCATAAATGAGACACCAAGGCGTCGTCGTCAGGGCCGTTTGATCTCGTGGAAAGAGGTTCCCTCAAGACAATGTCGATCATGTTTCTCTCTCAGCGAACCCTGCGCTTGTCCATCTGCTGCGAGCTCCAGCCGCTGTCAGCCTAAAGGTGTCTTGGTTTGAACAGCGGCCCGTGATTTTCCGATTAACTAATCAGGCGCCAAGGAAAAAGCTACAGTGTATCACGTGAAATGAACAAACATATCAAACACGCGTCATTTGTCTATGACATCACTACATCTTTCATCTTCCTCGTCGACCGCACCAACCACAAGACGCTATATCTATGTATAGCAAAACCGCAATGACTTCTGAAGCAATGGGAGTACTGTACTCCTGTCCGGGCACTAGCCTAAGCCAACCCCTTTGTCTCTTCAAGAAACCCACCAATTTCACTTAGAGGGTGGAAACCAAACCCCACTGCAAACATCAGACGGGCAGCCGGTGTGGCACGAAACGTCATGATGATGATAGATGAGCAAAACCGGCGCACCCCTCATCGACAAGATCATAACTCTCTTAGCATACATACTTAAGAAGTTTCCTTCAGCTCCAGAACACAATTCTATTCCCCAAATTTGACCGTCCTTACTAAACCCTCTACACTATCTGATAAAACTCGCAAAGCGACCGATCCTCTTGTCGAATTCCGCAAGGTTCGTACAGGCACACCTAGTCACTTAATCTCAACCAAACCACACATTGAAAGCAATTGAACTAACATCCAACCCCCAAATTGTCCAGAAAGACGAAAATTCCACCCGCTCACACCCCAATACAATAAACAAAATGTCCGCCCCCAACTCCGGCCGCCAGTCCCCCCCTCCCGAGAGCCAGACCGGCGCTCAGCAGCAATCTCCTCCCTCCCAGGGCCAGACCGGCCAGACCTACTCGACCCGCACCGGTCAAGCTTCCCAGGAGCAGTCCGAGAACACCAAGTCGTCGTTGCAGAGCAACCCCAAGCATCCCTTGGAGGATGTAGAGGCTGCTAAGTTCAGCAAGAGCAGCTGAAGGGTGGATTTAAGATTCTTTTCTTGTGACGAAACATATGTCCCGTTTGTTTTTTATGTAATGATATGAAGCGAGAAATGACATGAGAGGCTCTTTTTCTTGAACTCATGAGTAAATATACTTGTCGGAAAGTCAGACTCTTTCAGGTCTCGATTTTGGGCTTGATTTGAGATATAGTAGTTCTCTTAGGTTTATTCTGCTAAGTTGCATTTGCTTCAAAGGATTCGGCGAATGTCTTTGATATGAAGTACAAACTACGGGGCGATATGACGACTTTCTACGACTAGATTAATTGAAGAGTCCGTAATAGCAACAAGGTTGACGCAAGGTCAAAACATCATCACTTGATTAGGTGTAGACAGCAGACACATTCGCTTGTTTCAGACAGCTAACTAGCTAAGACGCGCGCCGAGAGAATAATAAAAACATAGGTGCAAGTTCAAAGTTCGAGCATCAAATGAACAGACAGGTCGTCATTAGGCATACAGAACAAGAAACAAATAGAAGGTTAAAATCTCATCAGATCCTCCAACGTCGAGTCAGATATCTGCTCGCGATTTATGCCTTCTGCTCAGCAGGAGCGGCAGTACCCGCGGGCTGAGACGAGGAAGTGGCGGGAGCAACACCCGCACTTTCTGCGCCAGCGCCAGCAGTGGAGGCATCAGCGTTGTGCTCGTCGCCTTCGCTCTTGCCGCTCTTCAAGTCCGCCAGTCTGCGAGCCTCGTTGTGGATGTCGCGCACCTGCTTGTCGGTCTGGGCGTAAAACTCACGCAGCTTTCTACCGGAGGGAGTCTCGAGGGCCTTCTCGAAGTAGCTGTGGAGACCGCGCCAGCCGCTGCTCGCCTTCTCGGTGATCTTGTAGTTCTCGTCCAGACCCTTGGCTTTATCGGTAGCGTTGTACTTCTTGTCGAAGTTGTTCAGGGCGCTGGTAAAGCGGGAGGAGAAGCCGTGCTTCTGATCCAGGGCGATGGCCTTCTGGATGGCGGTGTCACTGAGCACGTATCCTTGAGCCAGATACTCGGCGACGATGCGGGAACGGGGCTTGTCCTCCTGCTCGAGGTCATGGTCATGCTCGTCCTTCGCTTCCGAGGCGCTGGCGGCATGATCTCCGGCGATGTCATCGAGAGAGTGAGCGGCCTTGACGTGAACGACCGAGGTGCCCAACTGGGTGTGGTCAAGGAGAAGAGCGGTCTTTGCGGCACTGGATGACGGGTTAGTTATGTCATAGGAGCCGTGCCGAAAAAAAGGGGGGAGCTAAGCTAAGGGAATGGTGCAATCTGAGCCGTCGGCGGGATGGGGAGAGAGGGTGCGGGGCAAGGCTTACGCTTCCTTCTCGAAGGTCACCGTGGCCGACTTCTGAGCATCAGCTTCACCAGACACGGGGGTGACGGAAAGGGAAGTGATCTTTCCACTGTAGTGTTGTCAGCTGCATGCCTCATGCAAGGGCCTGGGATGCCTGCATCACTGACCAGAAGCTAAAGAAGTCCTGGACCTCCTTATCCGAGGTAGCGGGCGCGATACCCTCGACGTGAACAGTAGAGCGCTCAGACATGTTGAAATATGATTAGTGTAGAGTAGACTTGAAGTGTAGGTAATCAGGTAGAGTATCTGCAGGTAACAACGCAAAATATGTGAAATGATGATGGGAACTTGGGAAAGAGAGAAAGCGAGGACTTGGTAGTATTTATTTGGGGGGAGGTCGACACTACGCCACAAATGACGTCGCGCGAGGGGCAGAGACCCCGCACAGCCACGGTGGAGCTGCGCTGTCGACCAAATTCGGAGCATGTGAAACAAACATTGTCCCGTCAGGCAGTAGCATTCTCCTACTAGTAGTTCTCGCCCAGTCTAGCTACACCAAACACACAGAAAAAGGGGGAAGGAACCCAGAACTGAGGTGCAAGCATCGAACACTCGTAAGATACGCCTAAAAGAGAACAATCTATAGGATCCGAATGATGATTTATCATTTAGCCCGACCAAAGGGAAATTTTGTTCCTGGATACTCTGTAATTGAGAGCGACTCCTAATACCGGAAGCAAGTGCTTCAATCATCAGTATCTGTTTCCTTTTTCTCCTGACTTACTTCAATATGTGCTGGGTTTCGGATCGCCTGATCTACCCTAGCACGCTCTTGTTCTCGACAATTTCGAACGATAAGTTCCAGTTCCCGTACGCGCCGACGCAGATTCTCGTTCTCCCGCTTGAGCGAATCTACCTCTTCCCTCTGGACTAGAAGCTCTTCGTGGCGAGATAGTGGATTACCAGGGCTTGGTCTCTGTGGGATAAGCGAGTTCCGATGGGAATATCCTCCAAGAGATGGTGAAAGCTGGTCGGCAGACGGAATGTGGTGTTGCGACAATGAGGCGTCTGATTGCCGAGAAGTGAGAGATGGCTCTCTACTCCTCCCTGAGCGGACAGGGTCAGAACGGGTCGACGGTAACTGTGTCTCTCTTGACGGTGCGATCCCGAAGCCGCTCCCCGTTCGTGATCCTTGAACAGCTGGAATATATGAAGAACTTAGACTGGAGGAGGAACGATGTCTTCGCGAAGTCGTAGGGACCATTGAGTTGATGAGGTAAGGGGAGGTGTGAAGTGTTTCCATGTGGTCATTGAGTGTAGTCGATGTAGATGATGTTGTCGATGCGACCGAGGCTGTTTGCTGGCGAAGGAGGGAGAGTTCTCTGGATAGGCGATTGACCTATTGTGACCAGTAAAATCAATATCAAGGAGTTCCATCGAGGTGCAAAGTACCCTACCATTGCTTCTTGCTCTTTTTCCAGCATTGAATGAATATCGGACGGGGTGAGTGGTTTGGGATGGCGCAGTGGGCCTAATCATCGCTTAATACGAAGTTCTTGATTGTCGATCCTTTGTTTCGATATCTAGACTTACCGGACACTGCTGCTGTCCGTGCAGGCTCATGGTCACTAACCCCGGGCGTTGTAGCGGGAAGAGGAACGTTGAGGGGAGGGGAGAGTAGGAGAGGAGCCATGACTTGCGAGGAGCGTCGCGAAGAGAGGGGCGAGGAGAAGGTGGCAGCCGGCTGCACTGCTGTTGCAGCACGGGGCCGTGATCTAAGAGTAGGTAAAGGGACAGAGCTTAGTTCTGAAGTCATGATATATGTGAGCTGAATTGATGCAAGGTGAATGGGGAAAGGGCCTCAATGGTGGGAGAGGCGAAAAGTAAAGAAAGAGGGAGACCGGATTTTCTTGGATGGGTTGGGTGGAGTGCGACGAGACCTCTACATGAGAGAAGTAAATAAGTAGAAGTTAGCGGCGGACAACGATTTACCTGTTTAAGTTGCTTTGGTTATTGGAGTGCCAACCTACAGCTTAGCCCCTTGATTGGACCTTCGAAACATTCCACACCCCGGACCATCATTGATTTGCAACCGGGACCCCTTCAGCTGAGTGGTGGACGAGAGGAGTTGGATTGCATGGAACCTGTCTCATGTTGCTTGATTGGTTCTGAACATGGTTCCATTGTTGATTTTTTTTTTTTTTCATTCAGTAACAAGACGTACTCGTAAACTCAGTGGACTCTTTCATCGTTTGTCTTCTCCGACAATATGCTGTCCGACCTACCTTTAGAGAATGGCGCATTTTTAGGCTGGGGTCGCTATATCAGAAATGATTGTATAGCCATGGATCAATCCCTGCGGGCCGGATGTCCACGTAAGGCAACCATACAAGCCTATTACTCATCTATTGACTGGGACTAGATTGTTAAGATCTTGTAGAAGATAAAGGCAATGCTCTACGATACTTTCTTGTGCCCTTCCATTTACCAAAGTTGGGTGCGGCCCTGGATACTTCACATCCCCAGGACCCCACATGCTTGCCTGGTTCGACTAACAGATCCGAGGCGGAGGCCCACTTAAGGCACCTAGTCTGTGCTGTCACATCATCCATCTCGCTGCAAGTGCTTAGGACGATGTCAACACCCAGCTCTGATAATTGATAAATCCGACTAAAACAGACTAGTAGCAGACAATGTCTTGGTTGGCTGGTATCACTGTGAAGCGCGTCTAGCGAGCAAAATAGACATTACTCCCATCGCCTAGTTGTGTGAGGATCGTGGGTGGAGACTCGATATATATCAAGCAACCTGTTGGAGTTTGAATCAAAGATGGAGTCACAACAATTTGTATGTTGATGGTAGTAGCTGTTCACGCTTGGGACCCAGTCGTAGAGGCACTACTGCGCCCTGGGCACGGATTTCTTGGTTGCAGAACCACAAAGCTGATGCCTGCGAAGTTTGGTTCAACTACGGATGAAGTTGAAGACGGAGGCACTGAATTGCATGTGTCTCGTCGCAGGACTGCCCAGGGGGAGGGGGCGGCCTGCTGGGTTCCTTCCACATTGGGAATTATGAGAGAGTATAAACCCCCCCAATCTCGCATCTGTTCATCTTCACCCCTCTCCATTCCCTGCCTGAAACAATTGCAATATTACCGCAATCCTGTGATCTCCATCTTTGTCGTCATTGACTTGTGTAGACATTTCGCAAGAATGAATCGGCACCCATCTCTTTAATGCGTCCAGAGCTCCATATACGGTGGTGCGCCAGTTCCAATTATTACTGTTTCATTTAGTATCGGTTTTAGAGGTTCTATGCTTCAACGTTGCAGGGCCGTCAAGGCCTCGCTTGGATCCATGAGGAGCAGGGGCTGCCCTGCCCATGACTGCGATGAGCGGTGATGCGGGCCTGCGGCACTGTATCGGGCCGAATACAAAAAGCGGGCAGCTCCATCAATGCGTCCCCAATCCCTCGGTTCCAGCACCCCACAAACATACAGCAGCACACCGGTAGCCCATCACTGGCCATAGTGCCTTTATCTACATTTTGACCTCCTCACTTGCCTAGGCTCAATGGACCAGTCTCACGAGGCTTACAACTCATCGCCCTTCAGTGCTCCTATTCCCGCATTCGCCGAACCGCTTGCTCCTTACCTCAAAAGCCGCCAGGAGGCCCTCCGTATCCGCCAAGCTCTTACTGCCTACGTTCGTTCGCACATCATATTCGCTGAAAATGATCCTGACGATCCCGATTTTCATGCTAAATCGCACCTCACACTATCTGTGCCCCATGATGCAGTTGTCGGGGTGAAGCGCATCCCACCGGAGATAACTGGGCTACGGAGGGAATACTTGGAGGCGTTACAAGCCAATGTTGACGCGAGAAAAGGGTACCAGGCAGCTCTAGACAAGCATACTACGTTCAGCTCGGAACGACAGCAGACGGCAGCCTCGAAACCTCGAAGTGATCCTTCTCTGGACTTGGCTGAATATGTGAAGCTCCTCCGCGACCGTCGCCAGAATGCCAAGCTCCAAGTATTTCAACGCTATCTGCAGGAGCTCAAAGAACGGAATAGAAGAAGAGCCGAGAGTTTCGTGGATATTGGCAAAAGACCTGAGGTAATAGTGCCACCCGAGATGCTGTGCGAGGAAAGTCGATCGTCGTCCGACGCAGGAGATAGTGTTGAGGACTTAATGCACAGACTGGAGAAGGCAGTGATTCGAGCGAAGACCCACTTTGACAGGGAGAAGGAGCTATTGGAGGAATTGAAGGAACAAAGAGCCCTCGACGAAGATCCCTTGCCTGACAGCACGCCAGCTGCCAAAGCGACTGCCTTGCAACGAACACGTGATGAGCTGGTTTATTGGGTAGAGGAGAAATTGGTCAGTGCTGGCAGTCACGAAGACAGTGGATCCAGGCCGGATCTGGCCCCCGAAGACCTCGAGGAGTCCGTACGCCTATTCGAGGAACAGAAAGCGGAGGTTGCAAAAAAATATGCCGAGTATGTCGATGCTCGCAAGGCAGTTCTAGACGCTGCTTCCAGAGCCTGCCAACCTATTGCCGTACCGTCTGCGCCCCCTTCAAGTCGCCCAACGAGCATTATCCAGAGGAAAGATGCGTCGCAGGAGCCGCAGTCTTTAGGTCCAATGGATGTACTTCCTTATGCGGAGAAAAATCTACTCCCGCTTTTGAAAAGCCAACGCGCACTTGCCCTACAAAAGTTCTATCTGGCCGGCCTACTCGGCAAGGAGAAAGCTACAAGCCTCCGTATGCTTAATCGTCTGAGGGACGAGAGCCATCTTCTTCCAGAATTCCCAATTGTCGCCAATCAGCCGCGATCCAATCGCGCAGCAGCGGCCTTGTCTTCCCGTCATGTTCCCCAATTTCCCGAGCCTAACAAAAAGGATGAGGTGATTGCGCTGGCTGATGCATGGGCGTTTGCTTCCGATGAAGCAGGAATCTGCGAAGATGAGTTTGTGGGAGAGAAGTTGACCGAAGGATGTGAATCAGCCCAGAAAGCAAAGCAGGCATTAGATGCGGTTTGTCGCTCGCTTAATCAGGATACCGAGAGTACACTGCCGGGAAATTCGAAAGGGAAACAGGGAATGGGCGATGTTTGGCCATCGGAAGCACGAATGACTAGATCTCGAACAAAGTTAGAGCGGAGTGAACCACAACGCAAGGGCCCATGGGCTGGATTGAACGGCGCCGTAGGTGTCGAAGAGTGATTGTTATACTAGAAATTAGGAAGTCGATAGTCTCAGCGCGACGTGTCGATATTAAGGTACTGAGTCTGAATTGCCTAACAAGGAATGTAGGAGGCGGGGAAGAACCAGTGTATGTAGGTGACTCAATGGGTGAATACCCTCCGATAGCCGGTGCTTGGAGTCTTGGTTCCTTGAACTTGGTGGCTGACCATACTTTTTTTTTTTAGCGTGCAAGCGAGCCCAAGCCGGCAAGCGGAGACCAGAAGAGCATTGATCTGCTAGTGCGACCACGCTACTAGTCATACATTAGACATGTAAAACTTCCTAGCAGGATTTACACCTAACGCGCGGCTGTCATGCTAGTCTGGTTAGCGATTATACGAGTAGGACAAGAAGACAAAGTGATGTCTAATCGTGATTGAACAATAATTATACTATAGGAGACGAGCCTGGCTCCAATAGTAACGAAGCATTGCCCTTCCTGCCAGGGATCGAGATCCAGAAGTACAACCCCTGGACAGCATTATCAACACCGCAGGTTATTAGTGATCGGTATTGCTAACCGCGGGCTCCGAATGATCCAGTCTGGTCACTACGGCTGCTAGTGGCTCCAACTAGGCAGTTAGACTATGGCACTAGCTGGGGTCAAGACCCATCGACCATCTGCTGTGCTGCGGCCCCCCGTACTCCTGTTGCCGACCCTCGCATTCCTTGATTAATGTCTGAGCGGAGGCGGTGAGGTCATCGGCCACTCACAAGGCGAGATCGGCCAGCTTTCCACTGATGGATACCTCCTTGGCCTCTAACACAGAAGGAGGGAAAAAAAAAGGGCTCCGCACACCGGAGCTCTTATCGGCCCTGAATGTTGGGGAGGTTTTGTGCTTTCCGACGGGAATTGTGATCGACTTATTCGGAAGGCCTCTCTGCAATTGGCGCTGGTTCATGACTCCCTCCTTCAGAGGACAAGTGCCGCATTGACTCATCGCTCGTCCCGAGCCTTTTTCTATCGTCTCCTTCCGCTTCATTCTTCTCTTCTTCTTTTAGTCTCTTCGTCTTCTCATTACCTTCTTTCCCTAGACAATCCTGTCGGGATCTCTACCCTTTCTTTGAGTCCTCCCCCTTGTGACTTGGGCGTGTGGCAGAAAGCGGGACACTACCAACCCCAAGGAGAGCCGGATAAAAAAGCGGAGTCTCCAGGTTTGTCTTGTCCGGAAACCTACAGACCAGCAATTGTGTGAGAGAGAGAGAGTATTCCTCTCAATTGACTCATCGCTTCTTCTCCCCCTTTCTTCCCCTCCTCACCCTAATCTTTGCTTCCATCAGCGCAGCGCGCAATGGTTCTCGCCGCTCGTTGTGGGCAGGCTACGTCCGCCCTTCTGCGTCAGCGATGCCTGGCTGAGTCCCGTCGATCGGCCCTCGCTCTGCGCCCTTTCTCCTCCCAGACCACGGCCCACTCGGCCGCCTCGAGTCTCAGATTGCAGAAGGCGCCATCTCCGTGGCGACCGCAGCAGTTGCGCTCTTTTTCTAGTGCCCTTCGTCGCTTGGCTTCCGAGTCCTCGAATGCTCCCTCCGCCGATAGCTATCTGGCTAGCGGAATCGTGAAGCCAGGCAGCAACCTGGTCGATGTCAAGAAGGTCTTGGTCATCGGTAGTGGTGGTCTGAGCATTGGACAGGCCGGAGAATTCGATTATTCTGGTACGTCAGTCGAGCAGTTTCCTTCCAGCACTCAAAGACTACCGCATACGATATTCGTTGAACATGGTAACTAATACTTGTTTTTTATTTGCCTCATTCAGGTTCCCAGGCTCTGAAGGCTCTCAAGGAAGCCGGCGTGCAATCGGTTCTGATCAACCCCAACATCGCCACGATTCAGACGGATCACAAGCTTGCGGACGAAGTTTATTACCTGCCGGTCACCCCGGAATATGTTACCTATGTCATCGAGAGGGAGAGACCCGATGGTATCTTTCTTTCTTTCGGTGGTCAGACCGCCTTGAACCTTGGTGTGCAGATGAACCGTATGGGTATCTTCGAGCGCTATGGCGTTCGAGTTCTTGGAACTAGCATCAAGACCTTGGAAACTAGCGAGGATCGTGATCTCTTCTCGAAGGCTCTTAACGAGATTAACATTCCCATCGCTGAATCCATTGCTGTCAGCACCGTCGACGAGGCTCTGAAGGCCGCCGAGCAGGTTGGATATCCTATCATCGTCCGTTCGGCATATGCTCTGGGTGGCCTCGGTTCCGGTTTCGCGGCCAACCCCGAGGAACTGAAGAACTTGTCTTCTCGTTCTTTGACCCTCTCTCCTCAGATTCTCGTCGAGAAGTCTCTCCGTGGCTGGAAGGAAGTTGAGTATGAAGTTGTTCGTGACGCTGCCAACAACTGCATAACTGTGTGTAACATGGAGAATTTCGATCCCCTTGGTATTCACACTGGTGACAGTATCGTCGTTGCCCCCAGTCAGACTCTGTCTGATGAGGAGTACCACATGCTTCGTACTGCTGCTATCAAGATTGTGCGCCACTTGGGTGTTGTGGGTGAATGTAACGTTCAGTATGCTCTGCAGCCCGATGGCCTTGACTACCGCGTTATTGAGGTCAACGCTCGTCTCTCTCGTTCGTCTGCTCTGGCCTCCAAGGCTACCGGTTACCCTCTTGCGTACACCGCTGCGAAGATCGGCCTCGGCCACACCCTTCCCGAACTTCCCAACGCTGTGACTAAGACCACCACTGCCAACTTCGAACCGAGTCTGGACTACATTGTCACCAAGATCCCCCGGTGGGATTTGAGCAAGTTCCAGCACGTGAAGAGAGATATCGGCAGTGCCATGAAGTCTGTTGGTGAAGTCATGGCTATTGGTCGTACTTTCGAGGAGTCTTTCCAGAAGGCTATTCGCCAGGTTGACCCTCGCTTCCTTGGCTTCCAGGGCGATAAGTTCGAGAACCTTGACGATGCTCTGCAGAACCCTACCGACCGCCGCTGGTTGGCTGTTGGCCAGGCTATGCTTCACGAAAACTACACCGTGGACCGTGTCCACGAGTTGACCAAGATCGACAAGTGGTTCCTCTTCAAGCTCCAGAACCTCGTGGACTGCAACAACGAGCTGAAGGAAATCGGCAGCCTTTTCGGTCTCCAGAAGGAGGTTTTGTTGAAGGCCAAGAAGCTTGGATTCTCTGACAAGCAGATTGCTCTCCTTGTCGGCGCCTCTGAGGATGATGTTCGTGCTCGCCGCAAGTCCTTTGGTATCAGACCTTGGGTCAAGAAAATCGATACCCTTGCCGCTGAGTTCCCTGCTGACACCAACTACCTTTACACTACCTACAACGCCACCTCTCACGATGTCACCTTCGATGACCACGGTATCATCATCTTGGGTAGCGGTGTTTACCGTATTGGAAGCTCTGTCGAGTTCGACTGGTGTGCTGTTAATGCAACCCTCTCTCTCCGCAACATGGGCAAGAAGACTGTTATGATCAACTACAACCCCGAGACTTACTCCACTGACTTCGATACCGCTGACAAGCTCTACTTCGAGGAACTCAGCTACGAGCGTGTTATGGATATCTACGAGCTCGAGAGCGCCAGTGGCGTTGTTGTTTCCGTGGGTGGTCAGCTGCCCCAGAACATCGCTCTCCGTTTGCAGGAGACTGGCGGCGCTCACGTTCTCGGTACCGACCCCAAGGACATTGACCGCGCTGAGGACAGACACAAGTTCTCTCAGATCCTGGACAGCATCGGTGTGGACCAGCCTGCCTGGAAGGAGCTTACCTCCATCACTGATGCTGAGCGCTTTGCTGAGGCCGTCGGTTACCCCGTCTTGGTTCGCCCCAGTTACGTCCTGTCTGGTGCTGCCATGAACGTTATCTACAGCGTCGACGAGCTCAAGGAGAAGCTTCTTAATGCCAGCGCTGTCTCGCCTGACCACCCAGTTGTCATTACCAAGTTCATCGAAGGAGCTCAGGAGATTGACGTCGACGCCGTTGCCTCCAACGGTAAGCTCCTGCTGCACGCCGTTAGTGAGCACGTTGAGCCCGCTGGTGTTCACTCCGGCGATGCCACCCTTGTTCTCCCTCCTGCTGAGCTTGACGAGTCTGTCATGGGCCGTGTCAAGGAAATTGCTGAGAAGGTTGCCAAGGCTTGGAACATCACTGGTCCCTTCAACATGCAGATCATCAAGGCTGATGTTGAGGGTGCCCTGCCTGAGCTGAAGGTCATCGAGTGCAACCTTCGTGCTTCTCGCTCCTTCCCCTTCGCCAGTAAGGTGTTGGGAACCAACTTCATCGATGTTGCTACCAAGGCCCTTGTCGGACGTGACGTTCCTGAGCCCGTTGACCTCATGAGTGTCAAGCGTCCTTACCTTGCCACCAAGGTTCCCCAGTTCAGTTGGACTCGTCTGGCTGGTGCCGATCCCTTCCTGGGCGTCGAGATGGCCAGTACTGGTGAGATTGCCTGCTTCGGTAAGGACGTTGTTGAAGCCTACTGGGCTTCTCTTCAGTCCACCATGAACTTCCGTGTGCCTGAGCCTGGTGAGGGTATCCTGCTTGGTGGTGACATCAACAACCCTGCCCTGTCTCAGATCGTGGGATACCTCCAGCCTCTGGGATTCAACTTCTTCGCTGCTAGCGAGACTGTCAAGAACCACCTCGAATCGGTTTCCGGTGTCTCCGTGCAGGTGATTGAGTTCCCCAAGGAGGACAAGCGTGCCCTCCGTGAGGTCTTCCAGAAGTACAACATCCGTGGCACCTTCAACCTTGCCAAGAGCCGTGGCAAGACTCTTCTTGACGAAGATTATGTTATGAGACGTAACGCTGTCGACTTCGGCGTCCCCTTGTTCATGGAGACCAAGGTACGTAATATTCTTTCCGTCACTCAATCACTTGACCAGTATCTAATTGATTTTTCACAGACTGCTCTGCTCTTCGCCCAGGCTATGAGCGAGAAGCTGCCCCGCAAGGAAGGCATTCCCTCCGAGGTTCGCACCTGGTCCGACTTCGTTGGCGGCAAGCTGCTGTGAGCAAACGCCTGCAGAACGGTTAAGAGGGACACAAAAAGTTTTATTTCATAGATATAATTGCGGTTCTGGCTTGGTGTCTTTGCAGGCACATTCAATAGCCGCCGTGTTTGGCGTAGCGGATAAGTCTCCATGTTGATAGATATGATGTTTTATTTGGCCCTGGTATTGGGGGTTTCTGATTCGTCTTGGAGAAGACGATACGAGGAATACGTTCATGTACTCTGACATTTTACCTTTTGGTTTGCAGATCATTAGCTGTGTTGCCCATGCCTTGGCGGTTCATAGTTGTTGTAGGATGGCCATGTGCTTGAGCGAAAGGAATAGGGAGTCCGATCTCTCACTGAAAATTGTATTTTTAGCTTTCTACTTGATCTGCAAATCTCTAGTTCAAATCTTTCGCATCATCTATGGTTATTGCAGGACTTGCTTGATGCGGAGGAAGTGGCACCCGGCTTTGAATTATAATGTCCTTAAGCTACCTGAATGACTAAGCTATGGATTACAATCTGATAACTAATTAAAAGTTCACTTCTGAGATTGGCATGTGAAATAGCTTGCTAACAACAAGCAGACAATTTTTACAGCTCAGCTCCTTAGGAATATACTTTGAGAGGGCGGGAGTAACGGCAAAATCTGCTTTTATTGGGTCCAGCAATAATCCTTTGGTCTAGGCATAAAAGAGCTGGATTGGACACTAAGCAGCATTGGGGAACACAACGAAAGCTACCAAGTGCACACAAGCAAAGATGTCTCATGAAGGCTTCCATCCTGCTATTTCTAACAGGACCACACCCTCAGCAGCCCCAAATGGCTTAGGGAGAGGTCTTTTCGCTACGACCGACATTGCCCCCGGACAAGATGTGCTAAACGTCCGCACGCCATTCGTGGCCGTCCTAGACACCCACCAGCTGGGTGAGGTATGTTCAGGATGCTTTGGAAGAAGACAGCTTGAGAATGAAGACCGACGTTTGAAAGGCTGCACAGGATGTCAGATTGTGAAATATTGCGACAAGGTTTTTATCCTGTTTTCTCTCCGACTGCTGAGACCAGCAGAACTATCACGCTAACCTTTTATGTGTCAGACATGTCAAGCCAAAGATTGGAAGTTTGCGCACTCGCTCGAATGCTCCATCTTCCAGAAGCTTAGCCCTCGGGTTCTCCCCATCAACGCAAGAGCGATTCTGCGGATGGTTCTGCGCAGTGGACGGCAGAAGTACACGCCCGAGGATCTGGAGATGTTCCTGCAACTGGAGACGCATATCAAAGACATTCGCGAGGAAAACCCTGCTCAATGGGAACGTATCTCCATATCCTCCATGGCCATCAAAGCCTATTCCGGGACCGAGATGAAGGAAGAGACGATATCTGCATATGGTGCCAAGGTAACTTGAATTATCTCCCCTCTTCCCCCTCTCCAAGCCCTCCGTAGTACCTAGCAACAGCATTAGCCAGAACAAAAGGGCTGATCTTGGAAACCCGCAACCCCATTGCATGGCAAAAAGCTTGAGCTCAATTCCTTCAATCTTACCAACGCGTTATATGACCGCATCGGACTCTACTTGCATCCCTACGCCGCCCTCATGAACCACAGTTGCGACTACAACGCCGTCGTCGGCTTCGACGGCGACGAGCTCTTCGTGAAAGCCATCCGCCCCATCGCGGCCGGCGAGCAGATCTTCATCTCCTACGTCGACACGACTAGCCCGCGCACGCTACGGCAGAGGGAGCTGCGCGAACGGTACTACTTCAGCTGCCGGTGCACAAAATGCGAGGCGGAGGCGGAGGCGGAGCCGGTATCGGTACATGCAGACATGAATACCGGTAATGCGGCGATGGTGGCAGCAGCAGCGGTCCCTGATCCAGCAACCGAAGCCAAAGCCTACTCCCTCCTCGCACATAAGTCGGTTTCCGATCCCCTCACACTCGCAGATGACATCTCCTCACTGCTACGCGACCTATCCCCGAGCCATATAACTATGCAACCATATGTTTCCCTCCGCGACGAACTGATCGTGACTTTGCTCACGCTCCAGAGGTTCAAGACAGCGTTTGCGCACGCCGCGGTCCGATACCTCCGCGTCGATCCGGTCGTGTACCCGCAGGAGACGCATCCGATCCGGCAGGTGCATGCGTGGGCGTTGGCCAAGCTGGCGGTGTTGTTGTCGCAGGGTGTGGAGGTTGCACATGGTGGGGAGGGGGAGCTGGAGCTGGAGCGGTTCGAGGTGAATTTTAGTTTGCTGATTTGGGAGGTGTTGCGGAGGTTGGCTGGGTTGGAGGACCGGAGCTGTGCGGTGCCGGCTTTCCAGGGGCTGGTGAAAGGCTTATTCGGGCAGGTTCATGCGGAGTTTGTGGCGGGCGGGTTGAATCCGAGGGGGATGGCGGATGAGATTAGGAGGGAGTGGGGAAAGGTTGAGAGGATGGTTGCGTGGATGGTAGAGACGAGGATGAATGCAAGTGCCTAGGAAAAGAGGTAGAGTAAGAAGAGTCTGCCAATGTTTTGCATTGGATCGGGAATAGTGACGAGGTGGTCTATAGTATTCGCAAGTAGCGTGGAAGGGCCGATGGAGATACTTGTTTACAAAAAGAAAAAAAAAAATTGAAGGTAAATTCGTGAAATTAGACTTTCGCTCCTAGGAAAAGAAAACAAAAGTCTGCTGCCTCAGCCCAGGCAGACTGAGACCTGGGAGATCTTCATCATCGAGAATCGTAAGACTCCCCGGTTGGTTCGTTCTCATGCCGACAAGACCTTTATATTGAGATGCAAACAGCTGACCCGCACTTGACATACAAGTAGATGAACCCAAAGAAATGCATAGGGTATCCATCCATTTTTTCGTAGTTTCTCCCAAGCATTTCCATACGCCCAAATCCTCCACACGACACCCCAGAAAAGCTTTTCTTCTTTACTTGAGGGGAATGAAACGGGAAGAGTGGGTGGCACCGATACCGGGACGACCGTGCTTGACGGGCTTGCTGTGTGGTTGTTAGACTTCAGGACTCGACCACAAGAAATCGAATTGGGAGCGGAAGGTGACGTACTATGTGATGGAGAATTCACCGAGGTAGTGGCCAACCATCTCGGGCTTGACTTCGATCTGGTTGAACTCCTTACCGGAGTAGATACCGACAACGGAGCCGATCATCTCGGGGACGATGATCATGTCACGGAGGTGGGTCTTGACGAGGTCGGGCTTCTCGTTGGGCTTGGCCTCCTGCTTGGCCTTGCGGAGCTTCTTGATGAGACCCATGGGCTTGCGCTTCAGACCGCGGTTGAAGCGTCTGCGGGCACGAGCGTGAACGACATCACGGAGCTGCTCGGAGGAGAGGTCGAGGAGCCTAAGTGGTAATCCTAGTCAGATTCCATGTTTCTTGCGATTGCCATGTTCAACTCCCTGAGCCTTCATTTCGTAGCCGAGTGCATTGCAAATGATCCGGATAGAAGAGGCGCAGAGAAAACTCGGTCGATGTTGAGACACAGGGGTCGGAGGGATGTTTCATTCATGGTGGCACATACTGGTCGAGGTCAATGCCGCGGTAGGAGAACTTGCGGAACTGTCTCTTCTTCTTGATCTCTGTTCGCGTAAATGAAAGTCAGCGACCTAGTCCATTCGCACTTCTGGTTGTGTCCGTTCTGAATTTTCCGATAAGATTGTCGATAGCATCGCCCGTCTTTCTTGTCCAACGCATCTCAATATAACCATATCATATCGCATTCATCGTATCGCATATCCAATCCATTTTCGCTAACCAACATTGTATTCTCATATAGTGTTCGACGTGGATGGGAAGGGAGGGGGTAATTTCGAGTTAAACGTACCGGCAGCCTCCTCGGCGTTCTGCAAATGAAAAGTCAGTCAAGAGTCCCTTGCCACGGTTGAAGACCATCAAGACCGTATCGGAGTACTCACGTAGTGCTCGTCGGCCATTTTTGCGGGTGTTCCTCTCAAGGTCGCTTTTCGAACGGGACTCGAAAAGCGAAGGGAATATAGGTTGTCGTGTCGTGTCGATGAACGTTCGTCGGGCGTCTCTTGTGCCTCTGCGCTGCGTCGGGAGGTGGGCTGGCGGCTCGTCTAAGCGACTAGTCTAGGGTTGCGACCCTACCCACGCTATTCCACTTTCGGTGTCCATCTATAGGGCCGACCGCCTTCAAGTGCCCTACAATTTTGTATGGGGTAATCCTGATAGGCACTGGGCATGGTCTTTACGGGTCTTTATCGATACCCTACCGTCGCATCGAAGACCGCAAACATAGATCTTGAAGTTATCGATCTTGCCATAGGCCGTCTAGGCCATGCTAGTTTACATTTTCGCGGTGGCTCATATGTAAGCGCTCGTTCTACATCCAACTATGCACTACACTTTCTAGATCGCAAGGACATGTAATCAATCGGGAGGTCGGAGATCTGTATTGACTAAAAAAAAGCTTTTCACAGCTTACTTATGCAATATTCGTAGCTGCATCACACAAGCCTGGCGCATCCATGCTTGACCAGACCATTGGGCAAGTTTCCTCCCAAGACTGAAAACAATCGCCAGATTCCTGTTCCCCCACGGACCGTTACGTTTTTCTCGATGTTCGGCGGAGGCGAGACGCTTAGTCGAAAAGACCGAAGCCCATGTCCTCGTCGGACTCCTCCTTCTCCTCCTCCTTCTCCTCAGCGGGAGCGTCACCGCCGGCGGCAGCGCCACCAGCAGCAGCGGGAGCGGCAGCAGCAGCACCGCCGGAGGGAACGGAAGCAAGCTTGGTAGCACCCTCAGCAATCAGCTGTAGAGGCGGGATTTGTTAGCATGTAGTTCCTTGTGCGGCACTTGTTAGTCTGGGCGCGCAAAACTAACCTCCTGGATGTCCTTGCCCTCGAGCTCAGCGATGAGCTTGGTGAGGCGCTCCTCATCGGCATCAATACCGACGGAGGAGAGGACGGACTTGATGTCCTCAGCGGAGGGGCTGGCGTTGCCAGCGAGGGACAGGAGGAGGTAGGCCGCGAGGTGCTTCATTTTGAATCTGTATCAAAAAAAAGGTTTCGTGTTAGAGCACTTTCAAGATTGCACGACGCGCACAAGTTGTTCGGCGGAAATTCGAACTGACTGTAGAAGATAAACGTACAGATATTTCTTGGATAAATCCGAACACGAGAATCAATCGATTTAACCGCGAAGTTGGGCGGAGACTGAAACGTCGGGTTGGGGGGTTAGCGATGTAGTGGACAAAAGAAGAGAAAGTCAGAAGCGGATCGTCTAAAATCGAGAAAAGTGCGTTGCGGCTGGTGGGATGTGGCTGGTAGCCATGTGTGCTAGTTCCGGCTAAGCGAGGAGCTGTGGCGTATGTTGCTTGCTGCCTTGGGTGTCTAAAACCTGAGGTTCGATGCGACACTAGTCACGTGGCTGGCTGCTTCTAGAAGATCGAATGGTAACTGACTTCTTGCACCGTTTTTGCCCGGCGGCCTTATCCAAGCGTCCTCGTGGTCCTAAGCGGTAGTATTCACTATTCATACTCCGCTTCATCGTTCGCTCTTCTTTTTGTGGTCCCATGGCTTTCCTCAAATTGTGAAAAGTGGCATCTTCTCGCGGCTTGGAACTCTATCGAATCTTCAAAGTGGCTCCGCAACGAAGTCATGAAGTTACCCCGTCATACTAACCACAGACGGTGAAGCCCTCTTTGTTCGCATCCTTGCTCGACACTACTTTCTGCTTACACTCACTTTTTTTTGGGTGTCACCATGAGTGTACGATTATCTCTTCCCGCCACTTGATAGATTACTGATGTTTTTGCTAGTTCCTCGACTCCGTTCTCTCGTCCATCGAGACGGGCAAACCGTCTCCAATACCCCCAACTTCGTCTGCCGTATCGCCACCTGTCACTTCCTCAACCATCAGAACGGAGCCACGCAAGACCAGTCTTGGACCACGAAATGCTCCTTCACTGCCAGAACGAAAACCCCTTACACAGGGAATGAAGCGCAAAGCTGACGAGCCGCTGCCTCGCTCTTCTAAACCAACGCCTCCAGCGCCACTTAGGTCGACCGCCACCAAGCCTACTGTACCCGCAACTACAAAGGCTCGTCATAGTGCTACTACAGCCGCCGTGGCGTCCGCCTCCACCAGTCGTTCATCAACGCCTCAGAGGACGTCTCAGGTGTCCTCGAAACCGCCCCCTAAAGGCTCCTATGCGGATCTCATGGCCAAAGCCAAGGCCCTACAGGAGAAAACACCCACACAGGTGGGAATGTTCAAGCATCAGGCTGCAGCCAAAGAGAAGCTGAGCAAAGTGGAGCGGAAGAAGCGGGCGATGGAAGCTCAAACAAAGGAGAAAGAAGGTCGGTCGGTCAAGAGGCCTGGCGCTACTGCTACTGCAGCTGGAGGTGCGAAACCTGGTGGCACAAAGCCAGTGAGAAAGCGCGAGCCGGAAGAGCTCTCTTACAAAGGCACTTCACGACCAACACCCCGTCCTGCGCAACCTGAATATCGTGGAACAGCGGGTCTGCCGGCCAAACGGAATCCGAATGACCTCAGGGCTCAGTCTCGAGGGAAACGGTCAAGGATGGATGAGTACTTGGGAACTGACGAGGAAGATGAGGGAGACTATGCCGAGGACTATGATGATTACTACTCAGGCTCCTCGGATATGGAAGCTGGCTACGATGCCATGGAGGAAGAAGAGGCTGCCGCGTTGGCAGTCGCCAGGCGGGAAGACGAGGAGGAATGGGAGGCCGAACAGGCAGCCAAACAGGCGAAAATGGATCGCCTCAAGAAGCTCAATGCGCTGGCTGCGCGGCGATAATGCGGTGGGAGCATACATTGGACGAATAAAGATTAACCACCTCTTGGTGTCCGTATACTTACATGGACCAGCCTTGTCTCTTTATCACTTTTCCTATATGTTTGTGGCTTTTCTGGAAACCGGAGCATCAGCGAGGAATACCCCGAGGGTGCATTACACATGACGTTGCTATTTTCTTTGTTTTCTTGCCCCATTCTACTGTCTTGGAGTCGTTTCGTTGAGCATCAGCGAGCATCAAGGTGTCGATAGATGGAGTGTTGAGTCGTCTTCTTCGAGTTACATATTATTATCGCAATGTTTACATATAACATTCGCAGGCGTCAGCTGCCCTTAGTTAGTTTGAGCTTTGGTTTTTAGGCTGTACCCAGACCTAAATGTAATAGAGACTGAACCATTACCGTCTCTATCGTCATTGTTGACCAAGAAAATAACAGATTGGCCTCGCCTGGAAGGAAAGGACCGGATTCTTATCATTACTTCAATCAGCCCCACCTGCAGGCGGTGACATCACTTTTATCCTCCCTCCGCCGCCGTCTCTTTAAGTCAGCCAAGCTCACCTCTCAATCGCAACAACAACTTTTGAGGCATCAATTGCGGTAGTTTTACTTCTACAATCAGATTTATCATTACATTCAGTCATAACCACAATGGAGTCCGTCCATCATGTATCGACCTCTTCGAAAGTCCTTCTCAAGAAGGCGCGCAAGTTGGTGCCCCCTATGCTGGAGCAATTCCACAAAGGTATGACTCTCGCAGCCCTCATATTATGCCGAATTCCTAGTCTGACAATTATTCTAGGGCAGCATGGTCGCGTTGCAGTCATCGGAGGGTCTCTAGAGTACGTCAATTCTTACGCCAGCACTTGGACTGCAACATATTAAGACGATTCTAGTTACACAGGCGCGCCATACTTCTCCTCGATGGCATCGGCCAGACTAGGTAAATAGTCCCTCCCGGCTGGATGTGATAGGGGTTTTGAGCTGACATAGCGATGCAGGATGCGATATGGTAGGCAACCGGAATCCACTCTGCTGCTTGCATGAGATCCCCTGTTTCTGACGAATCACAAGAGCCACGTTATTTGCGATAAATCGGCGGCCACAGTAAGTGCTTGATCCAATCTGCCTTTGATAGATGAAGAGCCAGGCTCACAAACTTTCTACCTAGGTCATTAAAACCTACTCCCCAAATCTGATGGTTCACCCTATCCTGCCAAGCAGCGCCTCGGTCAAGGACCCCGAGTCGATCGATGCTCCATCGCTCGCTAGCCCAATCATTGGTATGCTCTCTCGACTGCACTGCCTGGTAATCGGACCGGGACTGGGGCGCGATGGGGTCACCCTCAAGGTTGTGACGGAGGTGATGAAAGAAGCGCGGTCCCGCTCGATTCCCTTTGTCCTAGACGCGGATGGTCTACTTCTTGTGACTGAGGACCCGGACCTCGTTCGCGGGTACAAAGAATGTATTCTAACGCCTAACGTGATGGAATTTGGTCGATTGGCCAAGGCGTTGGGCATTGATGTGCCAAGTCTCGCTGAGATCAACTCCAAGTCTGACGGTGGCGATAAAACAAGCGAGGAGACGAAGGCTTGTGAGCAGTTGTCTAATGCCCTTGGTGGTGTGACCATCATCCAGAAGGGCCCCCATGATGTGATCTCCAACGGTATCACAAGTGTCGTCTCTGATATCCAGGGAGGGTTGAAGCGCAGCGGTGGGCAAGGCGATACGTTGACGGGATCCTTGGGCACACTCCTAGCCTGGAGAGCAGCCTACCATGAAGGACTCTGGGACTCCGGAGAGAAAGACAACGCCAAGGAGGCGCAGAGCAAGGAAGACATTCGGGCGGAGCTTGAGTCAGAGGATAGGCGGATGTCCCCTCCCACGACTTTACTTCTGGCTGCTTTTGCTGGTAGCTCGATCACGCGGGAATGCTCTCGACGGGCTTTCTTGGCCAAGGGTCGGAGCATGCAAGCTAGCGATTTGACAGATGAGGTTCACGAGAGTTTTCTGAAGTTGATTGGCGAGCCGGAACAGTCCAAAATGCGTCTATAGAAGGTTTCTGGCCCACCCCGGAGGCTGCATTACCCGTCAGTCAACAGCTTGTAGCTTGCCATGTCATAACATAATGAAATTCATACCTATGGACTCTTGGCACGTTCATCGTCTATAAATACACATACTTCTGTGATGACCAGAGTGACGTCTGCAAAAAGCTCGTATTTGGGGCAAGGCTGAACGCATATCCCCGCCCAGATCCGGGGTATATGCGCAATTGACTTTCAATTTGCTTGAGACACGGTAGTACAAACTCTACTTTGACTAGCTGATGAACAGTGTCTGGCTTTCTTCGCTTTGCAGAGTTCTTGCTTAGACTGGAATCTGGTTGTACAACAGGACATCGCCTCGTTCGTCCTTGAGTCCACAAGGCTTGAATCACACCCAATATGCTATTGAGATCATTCCACGGCTGCCTCACAGTCGCGCCCACTCAACCGCAAATAAGAAATTCCACTGACTGGTTGGATCTTTGAATTCTCAAAACTACTCGGGTTCAATATATTGCCTGAGAGTAGGGTCTAGTGGCATCTGCTCAAAGTACACTCATTTGCTGTTTATGGTAGAGAACTATGAAGTCTATTTTCAATAGTCCCGATCGCCGGTCTCAGAACGTGTCTCTCGAGAGACACAATCAGTTGTGCTTTGGGCTTGAATATGATTAAGTCACCTGTTATATCGATTCGTCGCCCCGAGAAAAAAACACGCTCGAAGGTCCTTGACAGAAAATCATCTGGGCAGTCACTCATCACGCAGAGGGCCTGAAGCAAAGCCTCGATCCCACGCCCGCAAAAAGCGCCAAACGAGAGACTTAAAGGGCTCTTTATCCTTCTAGGGCGGGCTTCTGAGCTTAATCTGAGACATCCGGATATGGCAAAGTGATCAGATCGCTGCGCTACATGATGCGGACTTCATATGCCTCCCACAAACTCTCTTACATGAGCCAGATCAGCAGTTGTCTCAAACCTACCTGGACTCGGCAAGGCACTGCCAGTATTTCGGGCAAGGAAGATCCCAATCTCTGTCAGTTGTAGACCTCGTATTCGAGACGGCTATCCGCGTTGCCGAATCGTTTGCGGTGAGGATTGGTGGATCTCATCTTCTATCTTCACCGACAGGCATCAAAGATAGACCCTGTCTCAGAAGAGCCGGTGCCTAGACTCTCTGTGTTGGGAGGTCCGTACTCAACGTTGACAGGGCTTTTTCCTGATTGTACTAGGAGTTCAATACATCGAGCGCCATACGGTGCACGGCAAGCCTCGCGGGCTATACGAGCTTCACCGGAATAGTAACACCGTGCTCTATACTAGGGCCCACTTACCGATGTCATGCTCACCGAACGGTCCTGTCATGCCATGGCAATGCCTTGCTCGGATCACCCTGGCTATGACCCTCTGTTCGCACCTCTGCATATCTCCACCTAGCCCTGACTCCCCCTCAAAAAGCCCTATATAAACCATGCCCTCGGGCCCCATCTTCAACAAGAATGTCCATCGGCATCAAGCAACCTAAGAAGAAGCATCTTAACACCCACAACAAATACTTACACACAATCAACTATCCTTCCACATTTCATTCCCCAATCCCAAATTTTCATCATGCATACCTCATCCATCCTCATCCTGGCTACCTCCTCCCTCGCCCTCCTGGCAACCGCAGGGCCGACAGGCACCAATCCTCCTACGGCCCCAACCTGCGGAACCTGTAACCCTCTCTCCGGTCAGAACAACTGCGACGTGACCACCTCGTGCATCAACACTGGCACCCGGTTCCACTGCGCCTGCCGCGCCGGCTACAAGGCCTCGAAGAACAACAACGACATCACCAAGCAGTTTCGCTTGAACATGCCCAACTTTCACTTCCTGGTCTTCACCCCGGAGTTCACCAAATGCGACACGCTGTGCGACAACCCCTTCGGAGCCAGCCCGCAGCTTTGCGCTGAGGTGCCCATTCAGAACGCGTGCCCGGTTTAGGGGGTGTGGAAGGCCGTTGCCTGAGGGAGGGTGATAGTGTCTCGTTCTACTTAATAGCGTTGGATTGAGAGGAGAGGAGGTAAATGATGTGTGGTCATCAGAAGAAGCGGAGGAAGCACTTGGGATGGAAGTGGTGATGGGTCTGGTCCATCATTTTGGTTATTGGGTTTTGGATGCGATGTGTATGGTGAGCGAAGCAGCTGTGTAGGGTTATATACATTCTATGGTAATCATAATGCATACGCACTGTTGATTGCACAATCTGCTTTCTTTCCCATCTGTATGAAAATGTAGGTTATCGAAAGGGTTGTTTGTATCTTCGGAGATGTTCAAACTCGAAGTACAGGAATACATTGCTGATGCTCGCGCCAGGAACTGGCTCTTAGCCTTTGAGAGCAAGCGCGCGATGAGCTGTACCTTCTCAAGATGGCTGTTGTCTGACCTCAGAGAATGTCTGTTTTCTTGGGATCTTGGAGAGTCAATCTGAAGTCTATCAGCCCTTCCAAAGCGGTTGTCTTCTGCGTCAGACAAAACCTAGTTTGCGCTGTGTATTCAATCAAAGGCAGTTTTCTCGACACCTCCTTGTATACATTGGGAGTAGAACCCAGCTTGTCTGACTCGGGAGAGGGAATGACAGCAGTGTGAGTCAGCCGTGGCCTATAGCTGGGCAACGAAGTAGCCTCGACTGATCGTTAGTGAACAATAACGGAACTTGGGACTATGTGCCGATGAATTTAACTAATGTATGTTAGTCATCGGAGATTGCTCGAATATTATGGCTATTCCAACACGTTCGGAACACGAAAGTCTCATACTCCAAAACACCAATCCGGTTTCTAGCTACCCACCCTCAAGCACAGCACGTCTCGCAGATATGAGAGATTGGCCGATTACAAGCAAACTTTGATAATATTAAAGAACCCCAAGAATCTTTCCACCATCTAGGTCAAATCAACCCTTCTCCATCGCTCACATATCCATAGTGTCAACGAAAAGCAGACGGTCGCCATTGCCCATAAGCTGCCAGACCTGAAGAATAGTCAGTACATTGGTATCATATGAAAACAAATCAAGCTTGAACTTACGTTGAATTCTTCATACTCGTTCACAGCCGTCGTAAGCTGATCTTCGGTGAAACCCTTTGCAAGCACCCGCTCGCGGATGCGCCTCATGCTGAGTTCACCCTCCTCGCCGTCACCGACTGCGGCAGCACCACTCTCCCACATACTGCGGATAAGATGGTAGATCTTGCTGCTGGAGGTCTGGTCCAGACCCGACTGGCCATCGCTGGACAAGGAGTCCTTACTGACCTGGATCAGGCGCAGGGCCTCGTCGACATCCTCAATGACGACGACTTCGCTGAAGCGCAGACGAGCCAAGGCCTGCGACAGACGGACAACACCCAGCAGAGTACGGGGGGTGACATGGGAGAATTGCTTCCGTTCGTCTTCATCCTTCTTTTGCTGCTTTCTCATTCTCACGTACGCCCCCACCATGTAATCCGAGACGGAAGAGGGGACCACGGGCCGGTAGGTCCGGGCCTTGGCGATGTACTGACGGACCTCATGAGGCGTGAACATGACACCTGCATCCTCAGTTTCGGGGTGCTTGTTGTGCATGTGAACGTATGTGACATGGTTGGCAAGTTCTTCATCGGCATCACGTGAAGGGGTATCAAGAATCAAGAACATCACATCAAAACGCGAGAGCAGCGCAGCTGGCAGATTAATGTTCTCCACGGGGGACACCCGAGGATTGTATCGGCCGTAGAGTGGGTTAGCTGCAGCGAGGATAGATGTTCGGGCGTTGAGGGTAGTCGTAATTCCTGCCTTGGAAATAGAAATGGTCTGCTGTTCCATCACTTCGTGGATAGCAGTCCGGTCCGAATCATCCATCTTGTCGAATTCATCAATGCAGCAAATACCGTTGTCAGCCAGAACCAGGGCTCCGCCCTCCAAGACCATCTCGTCGGTTACAGGATCCCTCATGACAGCAGCCGTGAGACCAACACCACTGCTACCACGACCTGTAGTGTAAACACCTCGAGGGGCAACCTTGGCGATGTACTTGAGCAGCTGAGATTTGGCGACACCAGGATCACCCATCAGACAGATGTTGATATCACCACGAATGTGCATACCATCACCCATTTCCTTCGTCACACCACCAATAAGAAGTAGAAGCAATGCCTTCTTGACATCGAGATGACCGTAAATCTCGGGGGCGATCGATCGCGACAAATACTCATACATGTTTCCAGACTTCTGATGCTGTTCGATCTTGCGAAGGGTGCGGTTATCCATGGCGGTGTCCTGGTAGGACTTCTTGTGCTGTGTGATATGTTGGGCCTCCAGATAGGTATCAGTCAACAGACCGGCGCGGATAGCCCTGAACCCGGTGTAGGGAATAGGGAGAAAGATACCCGCAATATCGACAACATCTCCCGGGTTCAGCTGGCGAGTGAGGCTTCCGTGGCAGTGGACGGTCATTGTCCGCGGGATGTGGCCCACGGGGACCTGATCGGCCATCTCCTGGATCTTGACTTCTTGGAACGGAACGAACTTCGAGGCGCGCGTGGAAAGGAACAGCTGCCCCTTGGACTGGTTTGTTTGACATTCCGCCGACTTACATTCTGTCATAGGGAGGAATTGCTTAGTGGTGACTGGTTGGAAAACCTCGCTTCCGCAGCGATCACAAGTATAAGCGTTGATCTCGACGGCAGGCTTGACGTCCGAAACGCGGGTCGTGATACCACGGACTGTGATCAAGCCGCCAATATGTTCTGCCCGCACATTCCGCACCGCAATGGCCTTAGATTGACGGTCGGTGCTTGATCCAGAAGGTGTGAGTGGCTTGAAGTTAACGGTGTAGCGACGAGTCAATTCAGGAGGGAAGATCGAGTCGGCTGCCTCTGCATCTGCGTTGGCCTCGGCCGCCATAAGCATGGCTTCGTTCCGCTTTTCACGCTGCGACATGATCACATCGAGCACATCATCTTTGAAACTGTGAATCGTTAGTATAATTATAGTATGAGCAGCATGGCCTAGCATACGTAATATCCTTGCTCTCTTTGGGCATGAGATCGTCGATTGCCCGTGAAAACAGTTCGATGTAGTGGTGGGTATTTTTGTGTACACTTTCAACAAGACGCAGGTCTGTATCATCGGGAAGAGATTTCTCATACTGTTTTGGAGTTAGAAATGCCGGAGCTGCTCGCTATATATCGAGCGCTTACAGTAGCCAAATCGTCCAGTTCAATCAAAATATTAGTGCGCTCCCGGTCAGCAACATCCTGCAACAGCTGCATATACTTGAGCTTCGGCTCTCTTCGTCTGCGCCCAGGTCGCTGTGCGCTATCCTCCACATCATCCATGAAGTCATATTCGTCGCTGGTGCCATCCTCATCAAGGTTGAGGTCTTCAATGGCTTCGGTCGCGGCAGACTCGGACGCCGATTCAAAGCTTTTGAAATGCTTCAGGAAGTCCTTGAAACTCTCCAATTGCGCCTCGTAATCGACGTGAACGGTGTAACTCAGCAAAGACATGACGCGACAGAGGCACTGGCTGGGTACAATCAATCAGGTAGCTGGCACAGCAAGGCAGGTAGTGGCTTGTCAATTTCGCATCCACCGTGTGGTGAAAAGCAGGCGGGCGGTTGCTGTGGTGGTTGTCCTTGGCGGCTCTCGTCGCTGGGGGCAGTGGGTAGGACACTAGTCCAAACTTGGCTTTAATTGCAGAGACACGTCGCGACGCGTCTTTTCGTGTCTCTCATTCTCCATTGCCTGCTAGTCCCAAATCGCTCTAGTGAAAGGGGCACGTGTATCGGAGCGGATTAAGCCTCGGCCCGAGTGCTCAAGGCGGGCCGGCCTCGGCGAACGGCGAGCTTGCGGAGTCAACGAGCAACGAAGTCCGGGGTTGATGTTGCGCACTTGTCATTCTTGACTTATTCATGTCATTCCAGATAGACTCCTCTCTTTTCTCCTCCTCACATAAACCTCCCACTGCTCCTTAGCGCCCGAAAATGGCGCCCAGAAAGCCTTCCACTACTGCGGAAGTCTCTCTGGTACCGTTGAAGAACTGTCTGGTTAACCTCCCGCCGTCGCTGGTCGCACTGCTGATCAATGCCAACACGGTACGGTATTTTCTCTTACTGCGAAAGATGCGCACAACACGGTGTAGCCCAGAGGCTGAGAATGTATAGGCTGCCCAGAATGTAATTATCGAACTTCAATACCGGCCTATCGCTGGGAAGGCCAATGGCAACCCCACGCATCGCTCATGCTACTTGGGCTGGACAGGCATGCCCAGCAAGCGCAAACTTGCTCCAGTTGTTGGGCGAGATGGTATCAATAGTAGCTCCGCTGCTAGAGAGCAGGATATCTCTACTGTTGAGTTGGATACCACCTTCGGTAGAGTCCTCGGTCTGGCAGATGGACAGAAGGTAAGTGTTTGTCGGTAGTCTTAGTGCTCATGATTCTGATGTACGATCAGGTTGGAATATACATTCATCTAGACCCGCCAGTAGCTCACACTATCAATATTGAGCCTTTGACACCGGAGGACTGGGAAAGTATGATCACCCTTGATTCTGTTTCTATCGGACCACTCGCTAACATCGGGTCCGCTGTCGCACAGTCATCGAACTCCACGCTACGTTCTTGGAGTTGAACCTTCTATCGCAAATCCGGGCTTTGCCAAATCCCACATTCAGTACGGCACAGTTAGAACACATGCACCCTCTTGCACTACACTTGTCACCAACGTCGACTGCGAATATCGTTATCACGTCCATGACACCCGCACCTCCAAACACCTCGCCATTTGCGAAAATAGCACCCGACGCAGAAGTTATCGTGGCTCCTAAAACTCGGCCCAAGGCCAACAGAGGGTCCCGTGGGGAAAATCGGAGCGTCGCTGGCAGCAGCCGCAAAAGCGTGGGTGGACGAAGCAGTGGAAGCACAGTACGGCCAAAGAGCAGCCGCTCGGATCCCACCAGCAGAGGCTCGCTCTTCTTCAGAGGGATTGATCGTCATCTGTCTGAACAATTCTTCGACGACGAGGCAGAGGAAGATGCGAACGATGGTTTCCGAATCTGGGTAGATCCTGACATGCTTGCCACAAATGAGCTTCGCGGGGCCACCTGGGCCTGCGTTTCTCTGGTCCAACCATCAGGTCTGAAAGCGCCGCTTGACCCACAGCAACAAATGGACCAAGCAGAACAAAAGGCAAATGAGGCTGGAATACCAGCAACTAAGCTTGTGGCCAAACTGATTTCCTGGATCGACGCTCCGGACACTCAGCATGTTGCCATTTCTTCCTTGTTAAGTACCGCGCTAGGGGCTGAGGGCTTGGTAGGCGGTATTATTCGCGTGGAGGCAGCTCCACCACCGCTGCAAAGGTCAGCTGTGAAGACACTCAAGGTGTATCCATTCATGGCTGATACGTCGAAGCGAAAGGACGGTCTTAAATTCGGGTCGGACACCGCAGCAGCAAGAGATGCATTGGCTGAGCGCATCAGACTCATCCATGGTGGCTCTGGCTTGAATGAAGGACTACTAGCGGGGCCATTGACAGATGGAATGATTCTGCCGAATGCGGACTATCATACGACAGGCACTTCATTTGACGGCGCTATTCTTCGTTTCGACCCCCCATTAAAGGGTAGCTCGGATACGTCTAAGCCTGGGACGGGATGGCTCATTGGCTCCGAAGCCAAACTTTCGCTTGAGGTACAAGCCGAAATAGCTCGTCCAGCAGAGCCGAGCTCATCGGCCCACCCCTCGGACGAATTGATTCCCTCCACCGCCCCTGAACTCGTTGGGATCGACAAGGTGATATCGCAAGCATTGGACAACCTGACCAAGTCATCTTCCGTCCTACTCACTGGTAGCCTCGGGTCTGGCAAGACATCATTGAGCCATCTTTTGGCCCACCGTGTGCGCACGGAGTACTTGTTCAACGTGAAATATTTCTCCTGCCGGAAGCTTGTAACAGATGAAACCCGCATCTCCAACATCAAGGAAACGCTAAACCGTCTCTTCATGTCTGCTTCTTGGTGCGCTCGGCTCGGAGGACAGTCTTTGGTAATCCTGGATGATCTTGATAAACTGTGTCCGGTGGAAACGGAATTGCAGGTAGGGGGTGACAATGGTCGCAGCCGACAAAATAGCGAAGTGATATGCTCCATGGTCCGCGAATACTGTTCTATGAATTCTTCTGTGGTACTGTTGGCAACCGCCCAGTCGAAGGAATCTCTGAACAACGTCATCATCGGAGGTCATGTGGTCCGGGAGATTATTCATCTAAGGGCCCCTGACAAAGAAGGTCGGCGCAGGGTGCTCGAGCAGCTTACGATGCAAGACAGAGACTCTTTCCCTCATACAAACGGCCATGCACGGAATGCCAGCACCTCCACCCACGATTCGTGGCTCGATCCCTCTACTTCTGGAAGTCGGCCAAGCTCTGCTGGAGCGGATGGCTTTGTGCTTGGACGGGATGTCGACTTCTTAGAATTGGCTGGCAAAACTGACGGGTATATGCCTGGCGATCTGGTTTTGCTACTGTCTCGCGCTCGTAACGAGGCTCTTATACGATCTGTCCAAGATTCTCTATCTTCGTCAAAGTCGATCGCCCTGGGTGCTGATGACTTCGAGAATGCGATCAAGGGCTTTACCCCTGCCGCGTTGCGCAATGTGACGCTCACTTCATCTACTACAACATTTTCCGCCATCGGTGGCTTAACAGAGACTCGAAAAATGCTGCTGGAGACGCTTCAGTATCCTACTAAGTATGCGCCTATCTTCGCCCAGTGTCCTCTGCGTCTAAGATCGGGTCTGCTGCTTTACGGATATCCAGGTTGCGGCAAGACACTTCTTGCAAGCGCGGTTGCAGGCGAATGTGGTCTCAACTTTATCAGTGTGAAAGGTCCTGAGATCCTCAACAAATACATCGGTGCCAGTGAAAAGAGTGTTCGAGATCTCTTCGAACGAGCGCAGGCTGCCCGGCCTTGTATCCTCTTCTTTGATGAGTTCGACAGTATCGCCCCCAAGCGTGGCCACGACTCCACAGGAGTCACTGACCGTGTCGTCAACCAGCTTCTCACACAGATGGATGGTGCAGAAGGCCTATCGGGGGTGTATGTTCTCGCGGCCACTTCCCGACCCGACTTGATCGATCCAGCCTTGCTACGTCCGGGCCGTCTCGACAAGTCCCTGATTTGCGATATGCCCAACCACCCGGATCGACTTGACATCATTCGGGCCGTGAGCAAGAAGCTCAACATGAGCGAAGAGGTCATTGCGCGACTCGGCGAGGTGGCAACCCGCACTGAAGGTTTCTCCGGGGCCGACTTGCAGGCCGTCGTCTACAACGCCCACCTCGAGGCCGTTCACGACGCTTTGGGCGATCGCTCGGCAAATGATACGCATGCAACGAAGAATGGCACCTCCAAACCATCCTCGACGAGTGCCAGCGGCACCACCAGCAAGTCATTCATTCAATTTCTCTATTCTGCATCTGAGCAACACGCGGGCTCTGTCTCAATGCCTCCACCTGCTGTTGTCGCTTCCAAACTAGAAGCGATGAAGAGCGCTCGGCGTCGTCAACGGCAGCAGGATCAGGGGACGGTCAGCGCACCGGCGCGTATTCCCAACGGGTCAGCGCAGGAAGAACCTCGTGAGGAGATTATCGTGCGATGGGAGCACATGGAGCGATCACTAAACACGACGCGCAGCTCCCTAAGCGATGCCGAACGGAGACGCTTGGAGGCTATTTATCGCGAATTTATATTTGGGCGGAATGGAGAAATGCCCACTGGCGAGGGTGGACGAGAGATTGGAGGGCGGACCAGCTTGATGTGATGGCAGTTTTGTCGTCATAGAAGCTGTGAAGGAGTATCATGTATATCACTTCTAGTTCAATGTATATACGAAGAAATATCTATCAAGTCTACTGTATCTTACCTCCACGCCACCATCAGGCCAAAGGTGAGAGAAAAAATGGAAAATCATGCCCCCTCCCGGACTCGAACTCCCGCCCAGCTGCACGCCGCAACTGAGCCTAGACACTCACACCTCGAAATGAGGTCTGTAAAGATTACAAAAAAAACTGGTAGCTTCTCTTTGATTGAGCGTGTCATCCTTAGTGCAGGGGCCATGCTAATCTTCTCTGTATCGTTTCAAATTGACCAAATGCCCGAAGGCAACAGTACTACATTTCAACGGCCTATATGGGAACCTTGCTGGCCACGATCGCCTCTGATTGGTTGACTAAGCGATGGCTCCCGTCTATTGGGCGGCGGTCTCTGTGCCACGAACACCAAAACTGCCTCGTGAGGAGGGATCAGGAGACAACCTGGAAGACTGACCGCGGCGATTGCTGCGTCTTGCGTGGTAGACGCAACTTAAGGCAAAAAGCAATGCACTTTTTAGAGTGATTGCAGCTTGCTCGCTCATATGTTGGGCTTCACTCGCAATTTATGCTGGTCCACAGCAATTGTTGAAATGGTTGTTGCCGCGAATTGTAGGTCAGGGCAAGAGAAAGACTGCTTTGCTGACCGGGCGTTGGGCACTGGAGGGGGTTCTGAATAGAAGAGATCGAGAGAGTGACTCGTGGGAAGTCCCCTTATTTAGTAAGGTTGGGGTAAAGGAGCCCTAAAGTACCGGTCCGGTACCGCCAGCTCCCACTACTAAGCTAACCTTGGCTGCAGGGCTTGTGAGGAGTAGTAAGACCAGCGCGTCGCTTGCAAGCACTAGAAGCATGACGTTCCCTGCGTCCCTGGTCCTCGTCTTCGTAGAGTGGGGATGCTTGCAACGGCTTGTTGACATTTCGTTCAATCAATCTAGTAGAGATTTTACTTGTATGCCCTTATGTTGAAGCATCTCGCAATTGACATCAGGCTTGCTATGAGTTGAGTGTGTCTGCTCAGCAGCGTGCTATAGATCGTTTAAGGAAATTAACCCCTGTTCAACAGCGAGTAGGCGTTCTTGAAATCTCAGCTTGGTTTGTTTTCTCAAGAAGTGTACTCAAGCTGTGTCCTTTCGCCGGAGTTCATAATTTGAGTTTTTTTGAATACAACTTTACTAGTAGGGCTTAGCCTCGATCCCGTTGCCTCGTTGCTCTATCATTCAAGCAGGGTGAGATCTTCCAGTCAATGAAATTCAATGTCCTTACATCAGTATGGATACTCGGTAGAGAAAGGGGCTGTTTCAAGTTCTTGAATTGTATGGGCACTGAAGCTCTGGTCTTGAACAAGGCTGCAGTAGGAACAGCAGTTCTGATCGTGACCCAGAATGTGGGTCTTCTGCAGTGGACGTTTACACCTTTATGTTATAGCAGCCATCGATTTCTTTGCTTATCCTGTGGTGTATTGGGATATTCGTCACGAGAGCTGTAGAAGTGGGCAGGGCCTACATATCCTCATGTTGTATGTGAACTTTGAGCCTGTTTCTTGTCCAGTATCTCTTACTACTAGTAATTCTCATGACTATTACTACTCGCCCATACGGTAACTGATGCATTTTCCCTTGGCAGCGTTGACATATATCACTTAATGTACTTCGGAGCAGGCACCAGAGCCGCCTTCCTGATTTCGACGAGGCTGAGTGTTACAAGTGACTTGGTTTTGTTGGTGGCTTTTCGGCAAGTTGGGCTCTTAACATCAAGGCCATGGCAGCTTTTAGCAGGTGTTCAGACCGCTATATCGGATAACCGGGATGTGACCTTTGCGATAGTACACTCTGTGGATTCATTAGGTCATCGCCACCACGTCAATATTCTTTCTAGAGACTTCGGCGTTGATTAGTGTGGTTCTTGTTCTTGATAGGTCTTTAAGATGCTTTCTGACATTTGTTGTAGGTCTTATTCGGTGATTATTGTGTTAACTCTTTGGCAACCGGTACATATATAAAATGTGAGACCAATGGGAGATGGCCGATATCGATGCTACAGCATGCCAGTAACGATTTTGACGGCTCTTGCTTCGTAGCTGATGCAATTTATGGCTACTTAGCCACACGGGCCAGGGAGACAAGAAGAAGAGATAGTATGCAATGAATTGAGCCGGAAATCAAGGCACGACGGTGGCACTGCACCTCCACCTGGAGAAGACTCCAACCCCACAAACAGCTGAGTCATGTCAGTCAACGCTCTTTCCCCAGCCTAGGGCCGGTAAAGCTTGGCGCCACCGAGATGGACAACTACCGGGAATCTTAATTCACTTCTTTATATAGTATTGAGTTCCATAAACGAGGCACATTCCGGAATTGCCCCATTGGTCAGAAGTATGGAGTGGCAGACAAATCTCGAACTCCAGGAAGGAAGCGTCGGGGCCTGAAAGGGCGAACTGGGAGAGGATTGCGGAGACAACGGCTATTCGCGCGTCTCCAACTCGACCGACTTACTTATCTGTCCGCCGTCATGCCGAGGGCCGAAGGGTTGGTTGTCTTAATAATGGGCATCCTGTTCATCTCATCTTCGGCTTCTGCTCCATCCGTCGATTTGCATTCAATATTTTCTCATCGCTTCTTTTTCCTTCCTATTTCTCCCCTCACCTCTTTCCCCGCAACTTTCGCTGCAGGACTACCGATATAGTGCCCATTTACTTCTTCCCCGCATTGTCACAATGCCCGTCGCATCACTTTATCCGTCGGTGGAGATTCCGAACGTTGATATTTGGACATTTCTATTTGAGCGTCAAGACAGAGAGTTCCCAGACGATAAAGGTATGCTATGAATTGTCACAAACCAAGTCCCATTGTCCCTGCGGCTTCTACGCAGTGTACCACGACCCACTTTGGCTGGCATTCCGTAACTGACCGCATTCTGCTCTAGTAATATACGAGGATGCCGATACAAAGCGAATCTACACCTACCGAGGCGTCCGCGATGCCGCACTGGTTTTCGGACAAGGTCTCAAAGCCATGTTTGATTGGCGGAAAGGAGATGTCCTGGCTCTTTTTACACCGAACAGCATCGATACCCCGGCAATAACGTGGGGAGCGCATTGGGCCGGGGGAGTCGTCTCCCCGTCCAATCCAGCATACACAGCGGAGGAGTTGGCTTTCCAGCTGAGGAACTCGGGTGCTAAAGCCTTGGTGACACAATACCACTTGCTCTCCGTCGCAGCAACGGCAGCAAAGGGAGCTGGAATCCCTGCGGACCGGGTCATTCTTATCGGTGACGAGCGCGACCCGCAAGCAAAGTTCAAGCATTTCACGTCTATCCGCAACCTATCCGGCGCAACGAGATACCGCAAGACGAAGATCGATCCATCAAGGGATCTCGCTTTCCTGGTCTACTCCTCCGGTACCACGGGAGTCCCCAAAGGCGTGATGCTCTCCCACCGCAACATTATTGCGAACAACCTTCAACTCTCAGCCGGCGAGGCCGGTAATTTGACCTGGAATGGTGTAGGCGGTCGGGGTGACCGTGTCCTTGCCTTTCTACCATTCTTCCACATCTATGGTCCGTTCCATTTTGCCGTTGAACCTCGGCTTGCATCCTTTTCTTACTAACTAAAATCAACAGGTCTCACCTGCCTTGTCCACCAAACGCTCTACAAGGGCCTCCACCTAGTGGTCATGCAGAAATTCGACCTCGAGAGATGGTGCGCCCACGTGCAGAACTACCGCATCACATTCAGCTACGTGGTGCCCCCAGTAGTCCTCCTGCTCGGCAAACACCCAATCGTAGACAAATACGACCTCTCCAGCCTCCGGATGATGAACTCGGGCGCCGCACCGCTGACCCAGGAACTGGTGGAAGCCGTCTACGCGCGCATCAAATGCGGGATCAAGCAGGGCTACGGGCTCAGCGAGACCAGCCCAACGACGCACACGCAGCCGTGGGACGAATGGCGGACGAGCATCGGCGCCGTGGGCAAGCTCCTCCCGAACCTCGAAGCCAAGTACATGACGATACCGGAGGACGGTTCCGAGCCGCAGGAGGTGCCCGCCGGCGAAGTCGGCGAGCTGTACATGCGCGGCCCCAACGTCTTCCTGGGCTACCACAACAACCCTGCCGCCACGGCGGACTGTCTCTCCCCGGATGGGTGGTTCCGCACCGGGGACGTCGGCTACCAGGACAAGAAGGGCAGCTTCTACATCACGGACCGCGTCAAGGAGCTGATCAAGTACAAGGGCTTCCAGGTCGCGCCGGCCGAGCTGGAGGGCATCCTCGTGGATAACGAGGCCGTCGACGATGTGGCCATCATTGGCATCGAGAGCGAAGCCCATGGCAGTGAGGTGCCCCTGGCGTATGTGGTCAGGAGCGCCAAGAGCCTTGCCTCGGGCGTCTCGGCGGAGCAGGAAGCCGCAAATATCATCAACTGGTTAAATGCCAAGGTTGCGTACCATAAGCGCTTGCGCGGTGGCGTTCGCTTTGTGGAGGAGATCCCAAAGAGTGCAAGCGGGAAGATCCTTCGGCGCTTGTTGAAGAAGCAGGCGAAAGAAGAGGGTATCGGTGCCGGAGCCCCTGCACCTAAGGCGAAGCTGTGAGGGAAATTGTTTAGCGTCCCGAACTCATCTTCCGGTCGCTTGGATGTCGGCGCGAATTGGTAGGGAATGTGTAAATAGACTTATCATGGTATCTAGATATCTTAAGATAATTCATGAAGTACCAAATACGCGACAGCAAGCATAAAGTGGGCAGGTTCATAAAGCATTTAATTTATATTTTCAGCGTCAGACATTGTCAGAACGATTAGCCTTGCACGTACCCACCCGGCATGTCTCACTTCACAACGATTGCTAGCGCAAGGTGAGGATGATTTAGAAGCCAAACCTCTTAACAATCCCCTCTACATCCTCGCCTTCTACCGCGTCAGCCTTCTCCCTGACCACTCTTTCCACCGCCTGCTCAACCTCCTCGTCCCCATTCAAGAGATCATACCATCCCTCCGTATCATCTCTCGCCAAGAGCAGATCCGCCACGATCGCCACATCCTCTCTGGTGACCTTCCCCATGCCCCTCTGGGTCCTGCCGAGATCGACCTTGTGCGTCGCAGGGGTGTCGACCAACGTGCCGGGCCGCAGATTGATCGCCTGCAAAGGTTGCGCGGATCCGGCTGCAACGAGCTTCTTGCGTTGTGCAACCAGCGCGGTCATGTACTCGTCGGCTTCGAGCTTGGCTTTGGAGTATGCGGGGAGGACGTTATTGAAGACGTTCTGGAGGCCGGCCCAGTCGTCGTTGGAGAGCCAGCTGGGCTGCTTGCGTCGGCTGCCAATCCAAGAGACTAGAAGATACTTGGTTACTCGGGGGTGGGAGAAGGAGGCCGAGAGAAAGTGTTTGGCGGCGACTTCGTCGATGGCCTGCGTGCGAGAAGGGCCACCTTTGCCGCCAGCACCTTTCGGGTTCGGGAAAACGGGTTAGTTTGGCATTCAGTATTTTTGAGCGGATCAATGAAGGGTAGTGTGAGGGAATTTGGGAAAGAAGTGGGATCTGGGTTGTCGAGTTTCGTTTCCGATGGTTCATGTTCGTTCTCTAACTGTGAGCACATACCTGCAGACCAGACTACGTAGTCCGGGTTGACGGCGTCAAGAACCTTCTTAGCGTCTGCATCACTCTTTACATCGTCCAGACTAGAGAGAAGGACGTTGATTTTGCCCTTGGCGCCTCTGCCCAGCGCGAGAATCTCGTTCTCGTGTTCTGGGTTGCGGATGACGCTGGTGACGTTCCAGGAGCGGGCGAGGAGGAGCGGGGTTAAGTGGAGGGCCACTTTGCCGTGACCGCCGAGAAGGAGGACCTGCATGTTGGAGAAGAAAAATTAGTGATTAACAATTGTAGCGAATCTGCAAAATTGAGATGCTGCCAGAACAATCATAGAGCGCGAATTATTGTCTTTGTACAGCTTGTATGGCGGATTTCACCTGTAGACATCGAGTAGTGCAAGCTGTGGATTAGTAATACGTGGAGGGGAAGTTAGTGATGGCGTCATTGATGAAGTGATGCTTCGGCCCTTGTCAAAAGCATTGACAGTACAATGCATGAACCAATGGGCCATTCAATGAAGTGTCTCAAGCACTGCAAGGAGCCGTGTTCTCTTATCGCGCATCTCCATGGCAGCATCGCCCTGCAAACCCCTTGACGAACCTTAGGAGCCCAGCTGTGAATCAGCCAGAACTCAAATCTCCACGTGGCTCTGGCCCTGGCTCCTCGGTTGCAGTCACCACCACCTGTTTGCATCGATTTGATAGTCGGCTAGGGAGAAAGGTATTCCCTGAGGCCTAGGGAAGCTCAGACCAGAGTGCGATTCAAGTGAAAGTGTAGGCGAGCTGAGGAGAGTCAGAGAGACTCGTGTTCGGTCCCATCGCGATCTGAAACAGCGGCCGGAGGGTTGCCCACAGAAGACCTCTCCCCGCGCAAAGCTTCAGCCCCGGAGAACCATGGGGCGCATGCTCAAGTCTGAACAATCAGCAGAGTGGATTCACTGAAGTCTTTGCAAAAGAGGAGGTTGTGGGTAAGGCGGGTTCAATGTCCATAATGAGAAGAAGGTTATTGAGGGGGGTGGTCGTGGATGCGGGCTTGGGTTAGTCCGACGCAACCGAACCTTCGTCCTCATGGATATCGGAGATTGGATTAATCATTCGCAGATGCAGAGGACTGATCTGGATTCTCGGGGTGACCCTTCGAATCTGGATAAGTGAAGGAGAGAACCTGATCAGCACAGCAACTCTACAAGCATGACTTCATGATGATGCACAATCTCGAGCAGGATCGAGGAAGAAGACGGGCCACAGCGGAGTTGGATTGGAAAGAGCGACCACTGGGAATCAATTGGTACCTGTCTGTGCCTGTCTGTGCCTGTCTCTCTCCCGTCTTCGTCTAGGATTAATCTAAAATGGGCGGAGAAACAACCCGGTAAGACTACTCGACTACCTTAGACTAGTACCTAATGTTCCCGTCCCTGGACCGGTCCAATTTGTTACAGCGCTACTGTGTGTATTAGGACAAATAGTCAGTTAGTTGTACCATTATTAAGCGTGCTAAGGCTAAATACTTAGTTCTTTCTCCAGACCATTTAAAACCGGCACCCCAATTCCACCTCTTCGGGCCTAGTTAGGGGCATCCACCAAGAGTCCAACAGTGCAATTGTATGGTACAAACCAGACCTGTTTCCAAGGGACTACCTCCGTTGGGCAGACTTTGGTACCGGCTATTTAACGGCTGTCATCTTCTCTTCAATACTACTGACTCGACAATAGACTAATTACACTAACGCATGGTGGATGTCTAGACGAATTACCTAGCAAATAACATTTTTCTCTTACGCATTTCCCCTAGTCGTTACAGACGAAAGTGCGACCTGCCTCCACCCCGAAAGCCATGTGGAATAATAGTGGCCATCACGCGCTTGGATGACGTATCGGATATCCATCGCCATTAGGATCTGGCATCGACCTGCGAAACTGGACATAAGACGAATCGAACTGACTCGTACCTGACATATGCTCAAGAGAATGGTTCTGGAGGAAGCATGCGGTGCTTAGAGAACTAATGGACGGGTCTTGTAAAAAGACACTAAGGCCCAAACGAGACGGTTCTGGAATTTCCAGAGTGATTAGTGACTCCATGTTGGGAATTCCTTCAAGGAGGGGTAAAGGTACAGCAGTAGCACCTTATGCATGTCGCATCTGCACTCCGGATTCGATGCGAGGTCGCCCCCATCCCTGCAATTTTGTCTATCCTCTGGCGAAACTCAGGGGTATCTCAGCTGCGGAGCACTTTGTACTCTGGAATCACACTTTCAGCAGTCGCACACGATGATTGTTTTGACATATCTGCGGGACAACCGCAGTCCCCGTCATACTACCGACTATGGGATTGGGTTCTTCCACTTGGAGTCTCTCAGGACGATCGAGATCAAAATAAAATTGACCGATTACATCAACCGAGCGGCCGCTGTATTGTCGTGTATGTTGGCCAGTCCACACGATCAATGGATAATATAAGTACACGACGGCGGTCCTGGGGATCGTCCCGCTCGTCCAAATTTCCGGAACCGCGCCCAATGTGCCCTGAGCTAAAAGTACCGGCCTAAGAGCCATGAAACAGATTCTCAGGAGACAGATCACATTCCTGCAACGGTGGAAGGTCTTCAGTTCGGTTGGTGGCTTCAGAATGGTATATAGTTCCTCAAAAGCGCCTCATCAGAGTGAAAAAGGAGACAACCGGGAGCATCTCCCGTGTTAGTAGGTGGGCAGCCGCTACCAATGATTTGTGCGGAAGGCGTCTCGCGCAGTGGAAAAAGAGGGTATCCTCCCCCTCTAAGGATGCAATTGAGGCTTGGGCTTTTCAGCCTTCAATTCAGACTTCAGCCCCAGATCGGCCCACATCCCGCCAGACGCGGTCATTCGAATCGCATAAATTGCCCTGCGGTAGATATCCAGCTACTCAGTAGCTGATGGATGGGGAAGGGTGGGGGTCTTGCAGGCATTGCCGTTTCAACTCGAGTACCCATGTTTGACATGCGGGACGAGCAATAAATGCATGAGATATGGTCGACAGGCCGGTTTCGAGCGGTGTCTGGCAGGCTCAGTAGCATAGCATCAACGATCAACATACTTACTGCAGGAGAGGATCTGCTCTGTAGGTCGATTGAGAATGGGCTGGTGGAGGATGGAAGAGACACCCACTCACAAATACTTCGCTGAGAATACAGCCGGTGTAAGGCACGTAAGGACGGTAAAGCGTACCCGAAATGGGGACATCCGATTTGTGGTTCATTCGGAGTGGAGTCTGCAAGGGGCATTGGGTCCTGATGATAGTCAGTCAACGGTACCGTACGGTAACCCGAGGCCACATCCATGGTTTCCGTGACAGTTTATTTAGGGAAAATTGTTATGATCCAGGTATGAAGTCCGAAATGTGCAGGACGGACTGTCACCCCCGGTTACCATTGATTCGGAGAGCGGAGGGGAGGAGAGTCCCTTAGATAGGGAGGGTAAGGAGGAGAAGAAGAGAATTGGTTTTAAGATAGGTAGGAGGGCAAGAAGATTCAGAAGTAGTAAGCCATAAGGATCATATGAGATTGTGATTGATTTTTTTTTCTTCTTTCCAGAGGTGAAAAACAAAAGCAGCATCTCGTGTCGATCCGCAGAAGCGCGTTCCATGGGACCCAATAATTTGTTCGTCTCCAGCACGGCGTTCTGGACTTGTCGGTAATAAACATTTGGATCGACTGACTGGTCCTTTGACGACGGAGCAATTCTAGTCGGCTAGTGCCAAATTCAATCAAAATCAAGAACAAAAAAGAGAGAAAAAGAAAGAAAGAAAAAAGAGTGAGCGCGCAAGAGAGAGAGAGAGTGACTCGATCGGATCGAATCCAGATCCCTTCTTTTTTCTAGTCCTTCTATTGCTCCTCCGCTCTCGCTCTCGCTCTCTTCTCTCTTTCTCTGTCTCTAACAGCCTTTCCTTTCTTTACTCACTCACACTCCCTCTTCATCCTCCACATTCTTTTCACTACCTGTTGGTCCACCTTCGATCTGGGGTCAATTGAACCCTTTCCTCTCCTTCCAATCCAAACTTGATTCCATCCACTCATTATCGCCGACACACTCATTTCTGGGCGCCTCCACCCGCCATCAACCCGGACTTTCAGTATCCCTACCGACTCCGCTCCCGCTTTCCACGGTGCAGCCACATTCCTGCGTCTCATGCATATGACCATCGCCTCCAATTCGATCGCCATCACAAAATAACTTCTGCGCCGGGAATTCTTCTACCACTTGACCACACTACTCGATTTCTTTCGCGACCGTCCCCCGACCTAGCACGCTGCACGTCACGTCCACTATCGGATACCTACTCAACCTAGTCCTGCGCGCGCCCCCGCCTGCAGCCTATCCTGAGCTTTGACGCTCCCCGGAGCATCTCGATTCTGAGGGAATGAAGAGTATCTCGGAAACGCATTGAATAGCCCTCTAGTCCCTTCGATTTATCCTGACACTTGTTGCGTGTTGGGCCACACTCAATCGCCCTTTCGGCTTCGCCGCAGTCGGTCTTGGTCAAGTAGGTCCCTCGTCCCGTCGAACTACGTACAGGGGTACCCCAAATTGTCCGCAGTCCATGTGTCTGACGTGTGAATGTAACCCAGTCCCATCTCAGCGTAGACCTTGATCTGGCTTCGGTCCCTGACGCGATAATAGCACATCCTTGAGAAATACCGGCATTGTACGCATATCCCCACCGTACACCTCGCCATGAATCGATTTCGCAAAAACAAAAAGGAGAAGGTGAAGGAAGAGGTGGTGGAAGTCCCTGAAAGTAGCTCAGTCGGCCTCACCTCAAAGCTGTCATGGAAATCTAGAAAGGAGGACCCTGAAGAGAAACCGGAATTTGATCTCTCATCGGCGTTACCATCAACCGACGACTTTCGAACCAGTCTTTTGATGCCAAAACTGTCTGCACGTTTTAGTATGCTGCGAGAGCAGGATGACCCGGACTCGATCATCGGCAAAGCGAGCGACGACAGTGTCTTATTTCCCAAGCGTGCTTCGCGACTCAACCTCTTCGGCCACAACCCCGGTTTCCTGGCTGATATCGATGAGGTTTCGATTGATGGTCGATCGATAGCTCCGAGGCGTACGCACTCCATTGTGTCGGACAACAATTCCTGTGGGGCTGATGAGGAAAATTCGCAGAAGGAAAGTATCATGAGTCGAGGTCGACGGGTAGAAAGCAATAACCTATTCGGAGGACGACAAAAGATGTACAAGATCTCCTCGAAGGCAACGAGTGCCTCCGACTCCGGACGGTCGCAGATGAGCAGTCGTGCGCTCTACGAACCTGACTTGACGACGTCTGCTTTCCAACCCCTCAGTGCGAAAGAGAGCGTCGAATCGATGACAGAAGAATTGCCGCAGGGCAGCCCCTCTCAGGAATCGGAAGACGCGCTTTCTCGTGTCTCATCCGCCAAGCGCACTACCTTTTCTTCCACTGCATCCGGTCCTATTACGAATGTTCGCACTTCAACAGCTGCTACTTCGATCGACGAGCAGTCACTCTCGGGACCTTCGCCGCTGATACCGGGCAGTGAGGGTCTGTTCTCTGCACCAAAGCCAGCAATGCCAGGTATGGCAGCTGAACGTGGCTCCGTTAAGTCGAGGCGTTTATACGGGCAAGGGCTGGCGCAAAGTGCGCAGAGTCAACAAGCATCGACCCTTCAGCGCTTGGAAAGCCTGAGCCGTCAGAGAGCAGGAACTCCTGAGCATCCACCACTGAATCGGGCTTTCTCCAAAAGCGCCACGAATCTCCGTGATCGCATGCAACCGTTGACAATTAGTGAACCCCTTCCCAGCAACCCCAGCCCGACTCAGCCTACCAGCCCCCAGTCTCTGTTTACGTCGCCGGAGGAATCGCTCAATATCAGTTCCAAAGGACTAAAGAGTCCTGCAAGCACTGCATACAGTGCTCCTCCCTTAAGTCCCCCCTTCAGTGAAAGCGAAGTGGGCGGAGCCTTAGTGGCTGGAGCCTTAGTGGCTGCACTTCGACCAGAGGACCATGGCAAAGCTACCGCCTCAGGCCTGTTTAACAAGCCCAAAACCACCTTTGATGAGAGTCAGTTCAAACAACGCCAGCTGCAGATGCATCAAGGGAGGAACACGCCGTCTCTCCCTCGACCTCTCCCGCCGCCAACTAGAACAAAACTACCTGAGCTCCCTGGACGCGCGCGGGGTTTCTCCAATGCAAGCTACACGTCGAGGCCTGGCTCAGCAACTTCGCACTACAGTGAGGCTCAGCGCCCAGGCAGCCGGTCCGCCACCAACGCTTCGCCCCCAAAGCCCACTAGCACCACTTTCTTTGCTAACCCAAGTTCAAGTGATTCGGAAGATGAAGGCCGCGCTTCACGCATGCCTGACACCATGTACACTACCGACGAAGTGCACCCCGCACTTCGGCCGGAAACACCTTCTAAGCCTTCTACCCCTTCTAGTGAACACCGCAGTCCTTTGCCTGAAGTACGGTACTCTGATTTAGGTGACCTAAAGCCAATCGCAGAGCATGATCTCGTTGAGAACAAGCCCAGTGGCGCTCAGGACCTTCCAGAGAAGCCAGACTCCCCTACTCTGGGGCCCTCAGGTTTGGGCTTAAGTGGCTTGGTTCGCACACATCTTCGACAAGACAGCGATCGTTCGTCGATTTATCCTCCTCCTTCTCCTGGTCTTTCGGCTAAGCCTGTAGAGGCGAACGTAATGGCGGATGCGATGCCGCAATATCAGAAGAGTGCCCCACATAGCTCCAACTGGCAGGACGAGCTTGTCTCCAGACACAGACGTGAAGCGAGCACTGAGACACAGATTGAGCGTGAAGAGTTTGCCAACGAGTTGGCAGAAAGGCGGAGAAAGGTGCAAGAAAAGCTCAAGGGGTTTGCGGAGGTGGAAAGCAGATCAGCTAGTCCTGTTTCCGGCCGCCAAACTCCAGATTTCACCCCGAGTAAACCTGGAAACGCCTTCTCTTTCCTGAAGAACAAAGCAGGGAAGCAACACCTCTTCGGCAAACAGGATCTCAAGGGTGCGAAGGGCCTAGGCTATGCCAACGCCTCTACTCCAGCTCTGGTGTCCGATGATCCATGGCGGGAGGAGGAGGAGAGACCAGCACTGCCTTTCGCGAAGCATGCTAATTCTAGCACCCCCCACATTACAGGCGAAAGATCTTTCCGGTCCAAGATTTCTGTCTTTGGGCGCAGCAGCCAAGAAGACTCGCGTGAGTCTAGCCGGAGCCGCGGGGCATCTCCACACTCCAGCTTTAGGTCACGCCGAGATCGCTCCACATCTGACGCATCTGGTCGCTCTAAGAGTCGCTCACGGCGGGACCGAGACGGCCTGGAGACACTGGAAGAAGTCGGACATGGACCTCACAATCCGATGGCCTATCCTGATCAAGATCAGCACGGCATGTCCTCTGTCGCTTCTTCTACCCGCCCGTCTGTTGAGGCTAGCGAGTCAGCCATGTATGAGCGCTCCTCGTCCGCTGCTTCAATTAGGCACCGTAGTGGTAGCCGCTCCGCTGTTTCGAGCTTCCACGACCGGCCTTCCTATTTCTCGACTCATAGTTCATCCCTGATTGGGGCCGCGCCTCGTCCCTCCCCTATTGCCCCATATTCCGCAAACGCCACACCGCCCTTGGAACTCAATAATGAGAATGGATATCCTTTGGCGCCTGCCCCTAGTGACCACAGCCAACATCATCACGCCCTCAACCGTGCTCCAGGCAACAATAGCCTGCAGAAGCGGGCAGTCAACAAGACCCTTATCTCTGAGCCCACGTTCGTTTCCTGCACATCCAGCGTGCCGACAGTCGGCCTCCCTCCTGGTGCAAGCCTAAGCAACGGAATGGAGACACCTCCGATCCCGCCAATGAACCCGCGACGTCGCCGTCAGACAACTACGCAAACCATTTTGGGAGCACTCAAGGGAGAGAGACACGAATCTCAATATTCCCCATCGATTGACTCGGCCATGGAGGAGACAAGTAATTTCTCCGACGACGGCGACAAGCGACCAAAGTCCCGGGCCAGGCTCCGCAAATCATCCAGCGAGGGAGGCAACTTGAACGCAAAGGCCCGTCACCAGCTGCTGGCTGACACACCTCCGCCTGCTGTTCCGACCTATCCACCCCCGCAGATTCCTCTAGATGGAGGAATGTTTTAACCTTCTTGAACACTTCATATACCTTCCATTCCCTTCTCTACCTTCTGGATCTACTCAGTCTCCGACTACGATGTATTATTTGACGTTCTGGCTTAGCCTTCTGCATCTTTATGTTGGATACCTCTCCTTTGCAATTCCGGTTTTGCATCCATCATGATATACCAACAGCGTTACATTGAGCGGACCATTATTCTTTTCCTTTTGTGTTATTACCCATTCCTTGAGACCGCAATTTCCTATGAGTCATATCTTCAGATTAGAACATTCTATCTAGACATCTAGATGGATCTAACCACAAATACATGGATTACCTACATCGAAAACAACATGTAATATCCTAGTTGTAAAACTTCGGTATGTCTGTCCCAACAAGATCAAGTCAAATCCATCATAACCACATCCCTTCAGCTGTGTCATCCAACATCTCCGATACTCGCATCTGAACCCGTTCGCAAATTAGTGGCTCGAAGATTCGAGACAGCGAGAGTGAGATCGGAAAACCCAGAAGTCTGTAGACTGCTGTAGCACATGCTGAGGTTTTGTACCGACTGGTGGGCTGCACACATCTTTGATCCATGCTTTACTTCACTCGAGGTGAGTCACGTGTGCATGAGAACCCTCACCTAGTCATAGTAATATGGATATCTCCATGTGCCAATAGTAATTAATCTAAAACATAATCTGGATTCGGACACCGACAAAATAACATATACCTGATAGTAACTCAAGGCTCTTATGTTTCGACCTATGTTATCAATGCAATGAGGCACAAAGGCACAATCGGAAAATTGCAGTCTGACGCTGGTTGTAAGAACTACAGTGATAGCACGAAGTACAGGCATTCACCAAAATTGCTTTACGCAACCTTTCAAAGTAAGGAGGAGCATCGTTGTTGTGCCTGAGCTAATGAAAATGACACCAGTCTTTTACTCTCCCCCCATCCCATGTCTTTCACAAGCCCAGCGAATCTCAGTTCTTTTACCTCTACTCTCCTTCTCCATATGTCTTGTTGCGTACAAACCATAACACCTGCCTCCGTCCGCTCATGATTCAAATTCCAAAGCATCCAGAACTTCCAAAATCCTCCAGTGCCTCAAATATTGCCCTCTCCTGCCTTTGTCGGCACTGCCTTGTGTCAATACTCTTAAATTTGCTCGCATTTCGCTTCTAGTGAAGCATACTAGAATCTTATGTTTGCATCGCTTTCTCTACCCTGTTGAATTGATATTTATACCGAGACTTCAGGTCTATTCTGGGTTTTCACTCTTTTTTTATTTCCCCCTCCCCCAGATAAATGGTACGTATCTCCCCGCTTCTACAAGCCTGTCGCTCCCTACGAGAGAGACGAAAGGACGGCTGATGAACTTGTCTACAGTAACATGCATCGTCTGCTCAACCGGACCCAGTCTTTCGGCCCTTCTGAAGATCCTTTCGTCAGCGAAGCCTTCGACGACCTTTTCAAGATCTGGCGGCCGAAGAAGACAGTAGCAGAAAGGGAAATTCAAAGGCAGAGATTGACAGAGCTACAAACAGATCTCGATCATCGCTTCAAGATAGACTCGTATCCCCAACGGCCCCCCTGTCACTCTCGAAGACAATCACTCGATGCAACGATGTGCAGGCTCACTGCTCCTGTTGTCACGAACCAGAGTCCTACCTCCGACGACACTGCCGACACGAAGAACGAGGCTCAGCCGGTCGCTTTGAGCATCACCGAACCGAAAGTTGAAGAGACGATTCAAAGTAGGAAGACAAAACGGAAGAACCGCAAAGGGGAGGCCGAGAAGAAGAGGCGGCAGGCTAAGAAGAAAGATAGGAGAAAGAAGGGTGGCACTCAACAACATGAAACTACTACAGAGGGTAATGACCAGCTGGCGCAGCAGCAGGCCGCAGGCGCAGAGACACAACCATTTTCTGCCCAGGCCAAAGTGCCGCTGTCTCCCCCGCCTCCGTATGCCAGTCAACCTCCTAGACTTTCCGATGCAGGCATACCTCAGCTCGGTTCGACAGATGTAAACTCTAGCTGCCTCTCTCCTGCGGCTTCGACCGTTAGCACCGCAACTCTCCCGGAAACGGACGGCCCAACCGTACCTTTACCTCCGCCTTATGTTTGTCGAAATTCGGCCGAAGGTATTCAGGCTATGGGGTCTGGTGCCGTGCAGGATTTGCATCACCATATCTCAATTCCGGACACAGCCTCTCAAGGCCCGGAAAGAATTCATCCATTGCAGGAGTTGGAGCCACAGACTACGTCTCTGCCTGACGTAAATGTTGTTGTGGTGCCATCGTCTGGACCTGAGATTGAGACTTTAGTATCAAACTCCGCGGTGACTGAAGAACACGTTGGTGCCGACGAAGGCTTCAGGATGGTCCACGCTAGCTCCTCTATTGAGACACCCGCTGACACGCTTGTTGCGGACAACGAGCTTCAAGTGCCAAACGAGCGGCAGCAGCCTGATGAGGAAGAGGACTTGGCGTTTGCCCACAAGATCCGCGAAGAGGAAGGAGAATTCCTGCGCTTTGAGCAGCGCGAACGGGAGCTTTGTCTTTTTGAACCGAATTGTTGCGTGCAAGTGCCAAGGTTTACGGACTGTGTTTGTCCTCCTAGGAGATCATGTTGTTGTACACACTTCAAAACCCACTGTCTGTTCAAAACAACAGATGCTGTAACTCAGTCAATGTCATCAAGCAGTTCCTATCTTAAGGGAGTTCTGGGGACTGTTCCGGAACACTCTCATACGGCTGAGAGGCAGGAAGTTGGTGGAGCTGGAAAAACCGACAACGTGAACAAAAAGACAGGTTAGTCATTCTTCAAAGAAGATAGCGTTAATGGAGCCCTAACCGGTCTAAAGACTCGCATGAAGACCTGAGAAGTGAGGATAGCCTCGCAGCCTATCTCCTTAACTTAAAACGCGAAAACGAACTGTGTGACTTCACCTTCGAGATTATGACGAGAGACGACCCTATCACTCGCAATCAATTGAATGCACATAGGATCATTATTGCGCGAAGCCCATCTATTGCCATCATGCTGAAATTCCCCGCGTACATGCAAGGGCATAACCGGATTACGGCAGTCTTCAGCGAGAAAGTGTCCATGTGGCATGGGTTCGATTTTGCTCTCGAGAATCTGTACGGTGCACCCCTTCTAGACTCCGAAATCCTTCACCTCAAGGCAATGAGACTACTGGGATATACGGAATCGACATATGATGCGCTTCGGTTCCCATTCGGCTCTGCCAAAGCCGAGGTCGCTTACTCCTATGCGCTCGCCGGCGCATGCTTGCATATCCCAGAGGTCATCGAGACCGGTATTGCTCTGACCGTTGGTTTGATCAGCTGGGAGACATTTGATGAGATCCTGCAGTTCGGTCTCCGGCCTCAAGACTACCTAACTACCTTGAAAGGTTTCATAACCTTTGACCCGGCTAATCCTTCAAGTGCGACACCAACGACGAGCCAACCAGGAGCGCAGGAGTTCCGGAACCTTTGGGCTCCCCAAATAGTCACTGCCTGCTTGAGATTTATGGTCACCAATATGAAGCCGGATTTTATACTGTTCCACAGGAGGGGTCAGCGTCCTAGGGGGCCGCCAGGCGACAGGAATGACGAGACGAAGCCCACTCCAAGGGATCCTGAAACAGAGCTTCCGAGTTATGAGATCGTTATGATCTCCTGGACCTTGGCGAGCTTGCCGTTTGTCTATCTCCAAGAAGCCTTCGAGTTGCTACATGCGCGAGGCTTGCTGTCGTTAGCACTGGCGCAAGAGGTCGTTGTGGAGCGAGAACTAAACCGCTTGCAAGGGCTCCTGCTTTGGATCCGAAACGGGAATTCGAGCTCAGACCTTGAAAACGCCGGCGATGCTAAAATATTTGGGTATCAAGAGAGATTAGTTATGGGGTCGGATTCTCAAGGATCAAGCTCGACGGAGATCCGCTTAGAGCGCGATTGGGTTGGACTGGGTGTTCCCCCCATACCAGCAGCTGTGGTCGATCCTGCTCCCTCAAGCAAGTGACCTCCGGTCGTTCACCTGGTCGGCTTTTGGCTGTTCTACTCTACATTGAATCGTTTCGATTGCTCAACGGTAGAGGGTTTCCTTAATCTAGATTTGAGTGGATTTGGGGTGAATAAATGGGGCTGCTGTCCTTGGGTTGAAGGTTTGGAGGAAAGGAAATTGCCATAGTACACGCAGAATAGATTTGGTTTACTGGTAAAACATTCAGTCGAAGTGGTGAGATATTGTGCATCTTGGTTCTTACTTTGATACAATGGGGCCTATATCCAAATCTTGCTCAAGCATGCTGCCTGTGTTCAAAGTGGGCTGATGATCAATCTGTTGGTGGGAAATCTCTATTCGTTGATGCGCACTTCAGTTGGTGTTTGTCATGCGGAAGCTGTCCTGATGTCATTTCAATCGTACAGAATCTTAAATAACAGTCATATACAAATAGTTACCATTTGTCCTTCCCTCTAACCATCCATTTGATGGCTTCTATCTTTCTATGTACCTCTCTGCCCTTCATAATGTATGTACTGGGGCATTGTTTGAAAGTTTCAGTTTGCAACCTTGTCGGGGAAGCCAAAGTCAAGACCAAAGGGCGGGAAAACGTAGCGCTTGAAGGTCTTGGTCCGAGCCAGCTCGTCCGTGTACTTGGCTATAGTGGCCAGATCTGACTCGTCCAGCTCGACCAGCTGGCGGTTGACCTCGATACGAGAAGGAGTCACCGACTTGGCAAGAACGGAGGAGCCACGGGAAACTAAAATAATGATTAGCTATAATCCCCGCCGGGCTAAACAGCTGAGCCAAGCAAAAGTGAACATACTGTGCCAGCTGAGGAGAACCGTAGCGGGGGAGACACCCCTCTTCTTAGCCACCTCGACGATGGGTTCTGCGGAGAACAGCGGGCTACCCGTGCTGCCCAGAGGGCTGTAAGCGGTGACATGAATGCCCTTCTCCTTGCAGAAGTCCACAGCCTCCTGCTGAGGCAGAGACGGGTGGTTCTCGATCTGGTTGACGGCGGGGGTGACCGTGGCCTGGGCGAGGAGCTCCTCCAAGTAGGGTCGACTGTAGTTGCAGACACCGATGGCCTTCACTTTGCCGGTTCCCACCAGCTTCTCCATGCTCTCCCACGTCTCGACGTGCGAGTGGTCGCGCAAAAGATCCCGCGAGCCGTCGGGCAGCTTGGGAACGACCGGGTGGTTTCCTGTTTTTGGGCGAGTTGATTACTGCGTTCGTCTCGAAGGTGATTTGCTCTTTGTATCGGAGCTTCTACTAACCATTGGGGTTCATGGCCACGGGCCAGTGGACGAGGTACAGATCAATGTAGCTCATTCCCAACAACTTCAAGCTCTCGTCCAAAGCCTCCTGCACGCGGGTGTGTCCCGTGCACCAGAGCTTGGTGGTGACGAACAGGTCCTCGCGCTTGACTTCCCCGGCGGCAATGGCATCGTTGATGGCCTTGCCGACCTCGTTCTCGTTCTGATAGGCGAATGCCGTGTCAATATGGCGGTATCCCACCTGAATGGCATGGCGCACCGCCTTCTCGACCTCGCCGGGGGCGGATTGCCAGGTTCCTGTGAAGTGTGATCAGCAAACGTGGTCATAAATCCATGAGCGAGAAGTAATGCATACCAAGTCCGAGAGCCGGGATCTCAGCTCCGGTGTTGAGCTTGAAGCGTGTATCGGCGATGCCCATGATGACTCCGACGGTTTGTTTGGTGGAAAGGTATTGAATTGGGGCACGAAAACAGGTGGTCAGCAGGATGCGACTTGCAGGAAATAACATAAATCAAGGGCAAGAAGGGTAGAAGAGAGCAGATGGCTGAAGGAAGAAGATCAAAGAAGAGAATAGAGAGGGAGGGAGGGGCAGGGAACCCCGCACCACCGGAGCAATTTCGTCTCTTTACCCCGTAGTTTCCCCCTCAATCAACAAACCAGTCCGGTCTTTCCCCCGCCGCTGACACCATTGCCTCGGGACTCTTTGTGCCGACTTTCCTTGCGAAGTATCTTACAAAAAATAACTTCAATGACTCTCAATAGCCTCAAAAAAGCGGAAGCGGAGATTACTTCTTCAATCTATCAACCACAAGACTACCGTATCGCGGGATATTCGCTCGGGTCGCGTCTACTGCACTCGCCAGGCACATTAATCCACACCCAAGCCACGCATGCGGGGAATGCAACCAGCCTTGTCTGTCAATATCCTTCAGACCATTATCATACAACGAACTGGATGCAGAAGCTATCAGTCGTAATGATCATATCTTGCAGAAGGGGTGAACCTAATCGAGGCCGGACGCTTTACAAATGAAGAGGTTCTCTCTGGTTGAACAACGGGCCGCATGCGAACCCACCATCGGAAACCAGAATCCAGAGGCGTTCCCACCTCCCAAGAGCCCAGATAGCCTATACTGTGGCGTCCATGATTGATCTCCTTCCTTCGCAGCCATCACTGCGCTCTTGTTGGCTGGCCAGTTTTACCTAAGAGCCTCCCTGTTCCACCATGGCGAGGAATGTTACCCCAGAGCAAACCCGCCCCAGTAATTTATGGCTACGGAACCCAGAATCCGACCTCCTGGCGTGGGGTGGTCACGCTGGTTGGGAGATCTGAGTCGGTTTTCTAGAATCACACAACGTCATGCCTTGCAGCAGGCCAACCAAAGGGCTATGGTCAATGTTTCGGCAACCTAGCAACGCTGTTTTGGGGGCGCCTTAATCTATCTTGCCGAGAGATTGGAATATCATATTTGAGCCCGTATCGCCTCGCGTTGATTCCTTCACCATTCAAAAGCAACAACTCTTGTGATACCCCCAACCTCCAAGACCAATTCAAGTGCGACCTTTAGGCGCTAAAGAAAAGTTTCCATCTTCATATCTCGCATTTCACCACAATGGCACCCGTCGCAGTCGCCCAAGAAACCCCGGTGTTTAACACTAAGCGGGATGGTCAGGCTCTTGAGGACTTGTCGGACGCCATCGACAAGCTCAACGTTCTTAAGACCGATTTGAAGGAGGAGAAGGAAAAAGGTCTGTACGAGGAGTCCGAGTTTGACAAGGAGAAGGACAAGACCAAGTTCCGCCAGTACGAGGATGCCTGTGACCGGGTCAAGAACTTCTACAAGGAGCAGCACACCAAGCAGACGGTTGCATATAACTTGAAGGCACGCAATGCGTTCCACTCAAAGACTCGCGCCGAGATGACTGTATGGGAGGCCATGGAGAAGCTGAACACTTTGATCGACGAGTCCGACCCGGACACCAGCCTTTCACAGATCGAGCATCTCCTGCAATCCGCCGAGGCCATTCGCCGCGACGGCAAGCCCCGCTGGATGCAGCTGACCGGTCTCATCCATGACTTGGGAAAACTTCTGTACTTCTTCGACGCCCAGGGCCAATGGGACGTCGTCGGCGACACGTTCCCCGTCGGCTGCGCTTTTGACGAACGCATCATCTACGGCCGCGACTCATTCAAGGAGAACCCGGACTACGGCCACGGGATTTACGACACCAAGTACGGCATTTACAGTCCCGGCTGTGGTCTTGACAACGTGATGATCTCCTGGGGCCACGACGAGTACCTTTACCATGTTGTCAAGGACCAGTCCACCCTTCCTGCGGAGGCTCTGGCCATGATCCGCTACCATTCTTTCTACCCCTGGCACAACGCTGGCGCCTACCAGGAGTTGATGAACGAGAAGGACAAGGAGATGTTTAGGGCTGTCAAGGCTTTCAACCCTTACGATTTGTATAGCAAGAGCGACGGTATTCCCAGTGCTGAGGAGCTCAAGGTTCGTTATTCGCTACTGACTTTTTCATTAAGCCCAGCTAACCATTTTTCCACAGCCCTACTACCTCGAATTGATCGACGAGTACTTCCCCAGCAAGGTCATCAAGTGGTAGAAGATACCCTGAATAAAAAAAATTCTGTTTTCTGTCCAGTCCACCGCCTGAACCATGTTGGATTGTTTGTTTGGTTATCTGTTTTGCATTGTCTATCTACACATCTGTCACGAACACAAGCGATGATTTACGAACACATTATACATTGTCATCTCGACTGGAATGAAGGCCGAATTGAAGAATGAACTTTTGACCAGCAGAGCCCTGATATCTTTTTGCCACAGTTTGAGGATCCTCGTAGAGCTATTATTAGTGGCACTCTAAGTCAAATACTAGGGCGGCTTGAATCCTTGCGGGCGATCAACACAAGGCGTGCTACTAAATTGCAGGGGCTATAATCAGACGATTGACCATGGGGGAAATGGATTTAAGTCAAATCTGCTATGAACTCGATCCGATTCTACCTACATCAAAGCATAGATATTTTCGCCACCGCGCTCAATTAAAGATACATACAAGTTCAAGAACGTAAGACTAGCATCACGAATTCCGACACAGGACCATATCAGCGCTGCACTGTAGCTATACGATTAGGATGCTTATCATAACGATTATTTGTTATAAGGTTCTGGTTCGTGTGAACATTTTTGGCGTATCCCTTCAAAACAGGAAATGGTTTCCATGTTCAAATTACGATATGAAGATTCTTCTTCGTTTAGCTTTCCCCCCTCTTTTATAAAACCCTCCTCGCATGACAAAGCAGTATGAGCTTCAAATAAAATCTCCAAGATATGGGGGTAAATATTTCCTATATGACCAAGTGGTTGTACTCTGTCGTACAGTACAAGAGTTCTCCCTCTCGGGAAGGCGTTTTTGGGGGGTATTCCCCGCTGTCCCACAACTTTACCCCGGAAAGGGTAGTTTTCCCCGCGTGCGAATGGCAGCGACAATGAGTTGTGTACTGTAATGTGGTAATCTGGTACTGTTTGAGCTCAAAGGCCTCATCTTTCTGTTCCCCGGTTCTCTACAACTGTCTTGCCTTGCAGCTGAATAGGATCCATTGTGCACTTCACAGTCACAGTTCCCTTTCTCCTATTGTCAATGACAATAGCTCCTCTGCTGCAGGCTAATAACGCGCTCCCCCAGGAACCTCTTTTCCGAGTTGGCACCGGGTCAGGGATCCCGAAGGCCAGATTGGATTCCGGGGTCGGCAAAGTGATACATGTAAGATTGATGATTGGATCTCCACTGTGTCCCCGGGACTTCCCCTCCGCTGAAACTGTTCCTGTCCGGCAGGCAGACAGTGCACCAAGAGATCGGCATCCAATCCGTCTATTGACAGACTAGCCTCCTTTGTTGGCACAGCAGCTCCAGCGGCCAGCGGCTTTCTCCGCATCTCCCCTCAACGAAAGGAGCTCAGACCGACTCTTGCTCCAGCTGTCTCCAGCTGCACGCGGTGGTTAAATTCCAGCTCCCTCGCTGTCCTTCGTCTCAATCCCATCCTTTCTTCGTCGCAAGTCTCCTCTCTCTATCAATTCCCAATTTTCTGAAGCAAATCACCTTCTCTACACCTCCCTCCACATAATCCCTCCATCACAATGTCTGCCAGAAGATTGAAGGTTGGCTGTGCCGGTCTCGGTCGCATGGGCAAGCGCCATGCTCTCAACTTCTTGCAGCGCACTCCCCGCGCAGAATTGGTTGCAGTCAGCACTCCGGACGACAACGAGTTGGAATGGGGCAAGGTTCACTTAGCCCCGTACGGCGTGAAGCTGTACAAGAACTACGACGACATGCTGAAGCATGAGGGCCTGGAAGCGGTGATCGTTGCATCCGCTACTGCCGTGCACGCGGAGCAGGCCATCAAGGCCATTGAGGCCGATAAGGACGTTCTGTGCGAGAAGCCCTTGTCTACCAGTGTCGAGATTGTAAGTCCCCTCGCACACCACCCTATAGTTTCTTGACAATATTTGGCAAAGGATTAACCCTGCACCTTCTCTCTCTCCAACAGTCTCAATCGGTCCTCGACGCGGCAGCCAAGAAGCCCCATCTCAAAGTCATGTGCGGTTTCTCCCGCCGATTCGACGCCTCCTACCGCGATGCCCACAGCAAGATGTCCGCTGGTGCCATCGGCACAGCGTCAGTGATGCGCAGCCAGACTTGCGATAAGCTTGACCCGACGGGCTTCTTCGTGGCCTACGCCGAGTTCTCCGGCGGGATCTTCGTCGACTGCTCCATCCATGATATTGACCTGGCACTGTGGTTCTTCGGCCAGGACAGCAAGGTCAAGTCCGTCTCGGCCGTGGGCATTACAGCCGTGGAGCCCGATCTCCGCAAGCACAACGACCGCGACAACGCCGTCGGCCTGGTCGAGTTCTACAATGGCCGCATCGCCTACTTCTACGCCTCGCGCATGATGGCCGCCGGCCAGGAGGACTCCACCGAAGTCATCGGCACGAAGGGCAAGCTGGCCGTCAACACCCAGCCCGCCATCAACCTGGTCAACGTCTTCGACGAGACCGGTGTCCGCCGCGAGCTGCCCCAGCACTACTACGATCGCTTCGAGTACGCCTTCGTCACCGAGGCCAACGAGTTCACTGCCTCCTGCCTCGAGAACACCCCCGTGCCCTTGAAGCTGGAAGGCGCCGTCCAGGCGGTGCGCATCGGAGCCGCCCTCCAGGAGAGTCTGATTACCGGCGAAAAGATCAACTTCGACGAGCAGGGCAACCGGATCACCGCGGCGAGATTGTAGACGCAGGGGGGGAAGAGATCTTGCAATAGAGAACCACTGGATCCCTTTTGACTAATTTTAGATGACTTGATTTGACTGCTTTAGCCTGATTGACCATGAAAAAAGAATCGCATTCCTAACCACTATTCTCCTTCTTCTACAAACCTATTCTAAGAGCTTATTATTGTAGCACGAAGCTAGTTGGCTTGGAGTAGACAATTACGCCCAACAACAAATACGAACCCCAACCATAAGAACTCCTACTTGTGATGACATTTGAAGCTCAAAACATACCCTCATCTTCGCACTTCAACGAAGACCAGATGAGAACAACAACCAGACCAATCGCTCGCTAGAGTTTCTGCTGTTCAGTAATGGAAACTGTGTGTATGAAGAGAGGGCTTCTCCAAACCTGGCATGGAAAGTACGTAATCTAAGAGGGAAGAATCCCCGCCTCCCCACCCCGACTCGGGGAATCGTTCCCGAAGTTATCTATACCCTTACAGCTCTATAGAAACCGCAAAGGGAAGGAGCGACTTGCTACCTAGGTAGTACCAGGTACGTTCCAAGGCTAGAGCCCGCAGCGCAGAACTCAAAAAAAATGAAATTATCATTCTTTTCTGGTTAGCATACATAGAGTGTCAACGGGAGACGACAAAAAAACAAAGGAAAATTTTTACTCCGATGCGGGGAATCGAACCCCGAGCTGCCGTGTGAAAGACGGCGATGTTAGCCGTTACACCACATCGGAAAGGCTTGAAATTCACTTGCTTACTATACAAAATACCTAGCCATTTGCTTGCTTGAGCATCACCCCGATATTTGCTTCCAAGTTCTGATGTGGTGTCACGGCTAACATCGCGCCCAACACTGGAGATGGAAATTGTTGTGAGAGTCTTTTGGGACATTCTATCTTGTTATTTGAGCACGTAATAGACCTTGGTCGGTCTTGTGGGTGGCACTGCCGTTTCTATCTCGTTTACTCCGGGGCACACATCGTACGGGATAGAGCATAACAATCCTCGGAATATGGGGGTGGGGCTTAATGGAGTCTCGATGGTTCGTTTGAGCCTAATGACTCAACGTGTACAGTACATCGACGCTCAAGGTAAGCTTATCGTTATAGTGGATTAACTTGGTTTAATACTATGTGGCAGCCACGACGTCAATTTATCCGGGAAGGCAATGTGAATGCTAATAGAAAAAGATTCTGGTATCGTCCTTGCAATCTTCTTCGAATCCTACTATTTTTACCCTGATCACATAGCACCCTAGTTAATTACTTCCACTTAGTAGCCCCTATCGCGCCAAGACAACTACCAAACGCGCGACCACTCACTATATCATCATAGAGACAGTGTGTGAATATCGCCATAGAACGTGTGGCAAAACGCATACGAGGTATAATCCAGAGATCGCTGTCGGAAGCCAGATCCGCAGTCAAGAAGACAAAGAGAACCTGCAGCGCCTAAGTCGAAGCATCAATCTCCGTCTTCTTCTGCTTTTTCGCCCTCCGTTTCTCTGCAACCCTCAATGGATCCGCACAACCGTCACCCCTCATCCATGAGAGCGCCTTTCTTATTACCCTCCCTTGGACCGCAGACGGTCGGGCCTCGAGAATGCATCCCATCAGCGCCCAGCTGGCCACAATGATGCACAGTTCCCCATCTTGCCACCCCGTCCACAACCCACGCTTAACGGCCGTCTTCCAGGCCGTAGCTACAGCGGCACGGAAGAAATATAGGAAAAGGCCGCGGTTCGGGCTTAGGAAAGCGAAGGGAAGGCCTGCAAGGGCGCCGCTCAAGAAGAAACGCTTGGTGGGCATGGTGGACCGCGGGAGGACGGAGTTCCAGAGACAGATGCTAGCCCAAGCGGCGCCGACAGAGGTCGAAAGCACGGCGGTAAGCTTCATGACCTTCTGTGATATGTCGTTAAGAGACGTGATCGGGTGGGATGCGATGTTTTTGAGATTACGCAACGATAGCGCGAGAGTGATAGCCGTCAGAAAACGAGCCAGGGGCGGCACGGAGAGAAGGATATGGTGCAAGAAGGCTGTACTGCAGCTGGGCCCGCTGGGATGAAGCAGTGCGCATGACAAGCTTGAGATAGCCGGGTGGGCAGACCCAGTGACCGGTGAGATCGATGTTAATGTCGAAGGCGGCGTCTTCGAACTGCCCGGATGTAGGATTGGTGACACGAAAGATCTGTTGACGTATCAGTACGACGGAGATATAGCAATGCTAGACGACTGGTGTCACCCACGGCCATCGTAAAGCAGATATGTTCGCAAGCGAATCGATGACATCCTCCTTTTCTGGCCACGCAACATTCAAAGGCAGGCTTTCGGGGCGACCACGGATGTAACTTGGGGATAGTTTGAAAATCACCTTTCCGAGAAACTGCACCCTAGAATTAGCGTTTGTGCTATGGGAAAACTATGTAGTTATGTAGCCCGCGTTCACCTACCGAGGGTGTAGCTTCACGATCGAAGATAAATGAGTGGAACAGCTGCGCACAAGCGACTGGCATCAACAGCCAGCTGCCAAACCAGGAAGGCCGATTCTCAAACCAGCCCTTTTCATCCAGTGCGTTGAACAGGTATTCCAAGCTACGAGTGGCCGAATAGATAGCTGCTATGACACGGAATTGGTTCCGTGGGCAGATCCAAAGCGCGAATCCTGCAAAGCTTGCCCCGACGGCGGGTGCAAAGCGCGAAGTCAGCACCTTCGAGACCCGCGGGTTACGATCTCGAAATGGCCGAGCATCGTCTGTGCGGAGATTGACGCGCAGCTTGACGAAGAAGCGATAAAGGAACCGGTGAAGGAGAAGGACAAGTGCGAAGGAGGCGGATATGCGAAGCTTTGGGGAGCGGACGGATAAGGCACGCGGTTCTTTGCTGCTGAAAGCAATGAAGAACTCATGTAAGCGTCGCCATTGTACAATGCAAACAGATGATGGACTGTACCTCGGTATATCACGGCGGATGCGGTTCCTCAAGATGTCGACCAGCTTTGTGAGGGATAGAGAGAGCAAGAAGGCCCGGAGTGAGACCCGCACGGCAGCAGCATTGTGCTTGTTTCTCGAGCGGATGATGATTTCGTATTGGGACGGCGACGGCAGTCTACTCTGGACTGATATGGGCGTGCGCTGGATGGCATAATCGTGGATGCGCTTGTATTCCTTGGCGCTGAGAGAAATACGGAGGATTGTGCGGACCACAGCATGGGATACGGGGTTGGGCGGGGTCTCTGACGCCATTCTTTCACTGGTGGTAGCCGGGACGGTCCCGGTCACATCTTGAGAGATGGAGATGGAGGAGTGCGCAAAGGTAGGTAGTTGAGGCGGAGGAAGGGGATTCCTTCAATTCAGCGTCGGCCGTCACGAGTCGCTCGTGACCTCGGCTAGTCATCAGACACGTGCTGATCCCGCGGCAATGCGACTAAGACAGTATGTGTTCTGTATAAATACAATTTTACTTGGAGGGCGACACGAGAAAATCTAATTCATCATTGACCGTCTATCCCATGAGCCATCCTGACTTGAGCGCCATGTCGCTATGAAATGAAGACATCGAAATGATATTATCGTGAAAGGCAGCTCCCCATAGATCCTAATTCCGTATAGGGATAGGACAAATAGGACAGGGAAAAAGAAGGAGGACAGAAGAGCAAAGAATAATACTACACACAGAAAAGAGCGAAAAGGCAAAACAAGATGGTCGGGTAGGTGAAGGGTAAGTAAAGGAGAAGGAAAATAGTAGTCGTGCCATGCAAAAAAAAACCGTCATCACAATTTGCGCCTCCACGAGAACCAGAAATCCATAAACAGCAGTACAAGATGATCACCAGAAACTACACCAACCAATCCAATGTTGGCAGATGTTCTCCACGCTGGTGGCCTGAGCAAGAAGTTTGTCAACCTGGTCGCTAACATTGAGCTCCTCGTTGGGCCTGAAGTCTCTACCAGTCAACTTCTCCTTAACTCGCGCAAGAACCTGGAGCGCTCGTGCGTTCTGTGCTTCGCGTGCTTCATTAGGAATCCCTTCCTGTGCATCCAGGATACCACCTTCAAGAATTGATGGCCGGCGGTGACGCGAGAAGTTGCTTGGCTGGACGCCATGTTCAAGATTAATATTGGAGACGACAGATTGCCGGCGCTCCGCGGAAAAGGGCATGCGATCGGGAGACTCGCGCACTCCAAGACGCCAGTTGATCAGAGGATCATGAATGAACTGTAAGTAGGCAATTAGATGACTTGCTTCGTCCATATCGGATTGGTGATGAATAACTTACTGCTTCTAGCACCGCCATAAGGGAGTCTTTGTTCTCTCTTAGCACACGCATGACAGCCTCACATGTAATCCGGTAACTTCCTTCAATGTTGCTAACCTCCATGGCGAATGTTAACATGCGGGTAAGCCGGAAAGGCACCCGCTCTGGATACTTCTCTCGGTGCATAGCCACTTCGAAGCAATCACCAAAGTCAATGTGGACCACTCTGCCAGTGACTCGATCGAGAAGGAGGTTGGACGGGTGGCGATCGCCCAAGCCAAGGATATAGCCGACCATAGACATGACGCCAAGAGATCGAGTGTAGTTTGTCCGTCGCTCAAGCCATGCCTCGGAGCTCTTACTTTTGAGCCAAAGAACACGGTAAAGGTCTTTCCCGGTAGTATTGTCCATGGCATACCCAAAGACTTCCACTTTCTGCATGAGGGTAAGATTATCGTAGTCGGGAGCCATCTGAAGCATAATGCGATGTTCGATGTTAAGCAAGATCCGCCGGCTCTCTCGGTATTCTTTGATCAAGGCGTGCAACGTGTCGCTGTTGGATACCCATCCTAACAAACCAGAGCTCTGGGACAGGGGAATGGCAGGGAACCGTTGCACGGACAAATGACGTTTGAAACTCTCGCCATCGTTGTCCAGAAGAGTGTTGACAAGGCCAAATAGTTGCATGACTCTCTCGTCCTGACGAATATCTTCGTGTCCCTTAAGCGCATACATGTAAGAATTTCCGTCGCTGCCCTTAAGTGTCATTCTGCGTGGCCTTTTCTTGGTTTGCAGGACATGTAAGATAGGATCGAAGCTAACGATTCGGATGATTGGTCTACCACTCTGGTAGGTGCCAGGAACGGCAAGGTCAAGATCCACGCAGTCCTTGAGCTTGGGAGAGACATATTTGAGGTCGAGGATGGATAACTGGGGAAGTTGCCGACTAATCTTGCGGAACACGGTGTAGTAGAGATCCCATGCCTGATTCAGATCACCAATCTCCTCAGTCTCGCGGTAAAGCATACAATAATGCTTTGCCTCGGCAAGATCACGACCGAAAGCCTGGGCAAAAGATACCTCACGCAATGTTTCTGCCCCTTTGTCAAGCATGTCATGCAATGGTGCGAGCGTTGCAAACATTCCCTCAACATTGTGATCACCGAAGTAGAGTCGCGAGGCCTCTTCTAAGCCTTCGTGCCAAAGCTCATGCCATAGAACCGCGACTCGAATGAGCTCGTGACTAACGAGATCGGCTTGCTCAACGAGCTTGGCGCTGTGCTGCCGCATATTGTCCATGATATTGCTTGCAGACTGCGAACGCCTTGTAACGTTCGATTTCATCGCAACAGTCAATGGGTAAACCAATGCTTGAGGATGCGTTTTGCCAACCTCAGAGAGCAGTCGATGAACAGCAGACCGTACCCTGATATTGGGTTGATTGATTCGGGCTATAAGCTGGGGGGTAACCGCGAGCCAGGTGTCGATATTGACCGCCGTGAAGCCTTCGACAACGACACTATTCACTTCGGCATCACCGCCATGGGTAAACCAGAGAGTAAGAAGTCGCAGAGTATCCTGAAGGGACGACGTCGACGATAAAGCGATGGATCTAAGGAAACCCCGAATTGCAGGTATGACATGTTCCGTGACAATATGGCCCGGCACCAGCGCCATTGATGTACCATCTCTGCTGGCCTGGCTAGCAATTGTCGTGACAACTTCGAAGTTTGCAAGCGCCCATGAATGCCATGCTTTGTACGAGTCGCGATTGTAGTTTGTAGCGGCGGCATACGCATTAAGCACCTCACGAACATGCTCGGGCCTCCAATCACCTCGTTGCATGGCAGTCTGCCATTCACCCTGCCGTAGGTAGCTCTTGGCTAGAAGCTTCCTGAACTTGGCCACATCGCCGATACGTTCGCGTAGTCCTTGAACATCGGGATGATTCGCATCAGCAATGCCATTGACCCCATTCACCCCGTTCACCCCATTGACTGCGCCGTGATCTGATTGTGACAGTATGAGGGTATTGTACCGAGTAAAGTCTTCTGTGAGACCCGAAGTAAACTCCTTGAGCATCTGTAAAGCTTCACGTTGGCGGCCAGTAGCCCAGTTGAACTTCAGGCGAGCGTAAGTGACTTCTGGGGGAGCAATGACCCGGGTGCCGTTACTGTCAGACACAGTAGTCTCCAGGGATGCAAGAGATCGCTCAGCAAGACCCATGCGGTTGGACTTTCGGCATAGGTTGGCGAATTTTATCCACATTTCGAGATTCTCACGCGGTGATGTGACGAGTGCTCGAACCTTGAGCATGCGTTGCCAGACCTCCACATTCTGCTGGCACCCAAGAAGCCGCTTGTTCCAGGTCTGGCGCATGGATTCCTGCTTTTCAGGGTCACCGATGTTCTGTTTGTAGGTGATGATTTCCTCCAGCTCAGCAAGCATCTGAACGCGCACAACAACATTATAAGCACGGTTGTAAGACTCGCCTAACAACGCGGAAAGTTCCGTGTCGAGGCCATTGCGCGCTTTCTCAATGTACATTGTCGCTTCGTCAAACTGATTTCGGTGAATGGCGAGGATCGCGCCAAAGAAAGAGCGATCCGGAGATTGCTCCTTCATAACGCCCAAATAAGAATCCATCAGTTCCCACTGTCCACGACCCCAGGCAGCAGCAGCGGCTAGAGGTGCTATTGCTCTTCGGTGTTCGAGAGACGCTTGATTCCACTTCTCCTGAGCAAGATCTGAAAGCACCTTCCACTCACCAAGGGCGTGAAGACAACGCATTTTACCCATGGTAACTCCGAAAGAATCAGGATCTATTCTCTCACGTCGTTTGTACGCAGCGAGAGCTTCCTCCCAGCGCTGGAGCTTCTCAAACCAAGTTTCCTTGAGCTCGACGTCTCGATACGCCTGTGCCTTGCGAAGAATCCCAATAGCGGCGTCTGACTGTTGAAGTTGGTTGTTGATGGTGATCAAGGCCTCGACTGCCCCAGAGTTCTGGTCTTGTTCGAATTCCAGCTCCTTATAGTGAAGAGCTTTGGCGAACGCGTGACACTTGGCGGCATACTTGCCCAAGGTCCGGATGTCAATTGGGAGAGCTTTATCATCGTGCTCCATGAACTCGGCCAAGTTCAGGAGGACCTGAAGGATTTCTGGGGGGATATTCGGCGAAGTAAGCGCTCTCTCGATAGATCGGACCAGTTCCTCTTGATACTGATCATACAGCTCGGTCCAGCATGAAACGAAGGCGGCGTTAAACAGGTCCCTTGCTAAAGGCTGATAGATTCCTGCCAAGCTGGCACACGCTCGCAGAGCTGGAGAAGGAGATTCTTTCAGAAGCTCCACGCTGAATCGTCTTATCCATTCCTGCCAATCCTCTCTAGTTGATTTCTGAGAAGCGTCCCAGGCGCTCTTGAGATGTTGCTGGTTGACAAGCATTTTCTTCTGCCCGATTTCTGCATAATTGGCATCGTCTGCAAGCGTTGCATAGTTTTCATCTGGGTTAAGATCCTGTGGGAGAGGGTCACCCTTCTGTAACTTGGTCACCAAGATATGGTAAGTGTTATGGGTGAACTGTTGCGCCTTCAAGACTTTGTTCAAGAGATGTATGTAATGGTTGAAGTCTTGACCGAGCTGGAAGATAAGGGCACAAATACAATCCATGGCAGCCTGCCGCAAGGCGCGGTCGCTACCAGCAACAACCCGTGACAATGAGTGAACCATCAGAGATGCGAAGTCCGAAACATTTACTTGGCGTGATAGCTTTGTCAAAGTGTCGATAGCAGACTTTCGAATACTTGTCGGATTCTGGGTCCGGTCAAAAAGGCGCACAATAGATGGCACAATCAGATGCATGTACTCCTCGCCGCTAGGGCCAAAGATTAAGAAAGTGTGTAGAATCTTCTCAGAAGGTAATCGGCGCGGCGTAGTATCCTTCTCAAAAGTGTCAAGCATTGGCGGGATAAGCCCTGCCAGGTACTTCTTGAATTCTCCTTCCAGGGATTTGGCTATTGCCTCAACCAGGGATAGAATTGTAGCCTGGACTTGATATGAGGCATCCCAGAAGTCACGAACTACTTCAATGATTTCTGGAAGGAAAGCCCGTATATGCTGCCGTACAATATTCACTAAGACTGCCAATTGGTTGAAGTAAGACTCGAGGCGGCTGGAGGGAGACCCTCTGATGACGGAAATAAAGCCGGGGATGATTTGTCCAAGGAAAGGCACGCATTTCAGGCCCAACGTCTTGAAAATTGTGACAATTGCGTCGATAACTGCAGAATGATACTGAGCAAGAGAGTTCTCGCGCAAAATGTTCTGCATCAGTGTGTTGATAACCACGGTCGGATAGTATTCGTCGTTTGATGGCGTGAGGCCTTGCATAATGAGGGCGACATCGGAGACAGCTTGCACCTCGTTTATGTGGTGGATATCTGGAGCAGTTTCGCTTATTTGCTGATATTTGTAAGGATCCAGAGCGCCCAATATTCCCAAGACTTTGATGGTTTCCTTGCGCAGGGACCCAGTCTGTTCCGTCTTGATGATGTTGATCAGTACCGCGAGAAGATGGGAATACTCAAGGTACGGATCGATGACATAGCCAGAATTGCTAGCCAATTGTCCAAGAGTTCGCAAGGCTGCCTCTCGCTTCGCATGAGATGACAGATCCTGCAATGCGTCAAGAATGATTGGCATCAATTGCGGCAAATAGGTCTTCATTTCGCTACCTCCAACACTTGCGAGCTCCCCAACAGCCTTGAGTGTGGTCGAAGCCACACCGGGGTTCGCATCAGTTGCTTTTGGCAGTAATGTTGTGATCATCGGGTCCACGTAAGACCGAATAAGCTTTGTAGCATTCGAAACAAAGAGGCTGATCAGCTGGGCACTTTCTTCTTTTTGCCGAGCAGTGCTTGCAAAGCCGAGACTTGTCAAGAGATTGACCAGCAATTTCCGGAGAGGTGGAAACACATAAGCCGGGTTGACGCTGGAGAGACGACCAATGATACAAATAGCAGCCTCTCTGACGGGAAACACTTCATCGTTGACCGCTAAAAAGAGGCAACGGATATTCTCCGGTCTAGCCAGATGACGGTCAAATTTGCGATCCAAAGACCACAAGACTGTACGCCGGATTTCAGGATCGGGATCTCCCACGCCAACAGTAAGAAGCTTGTCGATAACTTCACTGACAACCTGTATAGAATGGCTACTTGTTTGATTAATGATAGGATCATGGACAAACAATTGGCAGCATGTAAGTGCGGATGCCTTTCGAATCTCGGGGTTGTCATTCTCGACATAGTTGATTGCTACATCACGAACGAATTCATTGAGAATGTGCCCTGAGAAGTCAAAGCTCCCCAACGTGTGAAGTGCAAGGGCGATTTGGGCATCAGAATGAAGTTCCTGTGGTGGAAAATCCCTGGCAAACGAGGGCATCGGTGGCAGCCTGCTCTCAGGACAACCCAACGGCCGGAATGGGGTGCCATAGAGAATTAGACTCAGCATATCCAATAACTTCTCTTGGATTATCGGCTTGATGGGGGGGATGTAGTGAGCCATGTCTACTAGAGCCTGAGTAAGAGACTCGCTTAACCCGCATGCAAAGATAGGATCGAGCAGTGCTTCCATGTATTTGCTGAGTGCCTGTCCCACGGCTAGCGACAACATGCTGATACATTCGAACATCGGCGCTTCATTGACACCAGCTCGGTTACGGCTTGAAGGGGTTAGCAATTGTGAAATTGAGAGCATTGCGCTGGAGTTGGGGCAACATCTTACGCTTTCACTGCAAGGCCTTCTCGGATGTAAACAATGATACCATCGAGGTATTGTGCGATAGCAACGCCGACAGCATTGGCAATCTTCCCAATCGCGATGAATGCAGAGTCTCGTTCCCTATCTCTCTTCAATTGCGCTTGGAGATAAATCATGAATCTATGAAGATAGGTTTCTGTGAAGTCGAGAGGGGCGTATGAGGCAAGAATGGGTATGGTCAAAACGACCTGAGTGCGTATCTTAGGATCCCGGTGGTCTTTGAGACGAAGAACAATCTCGCATGCATTCCGGTAATGCTCGTTCATGAACATGGCACCCTTCAAAAGTAGCTCTTTTAGTACCAGAAGTGATCCATGGATCCAATCCACATTGCTGGATTTGAGACCTAGCAGCGCTTCTTCGTAGATCCGCGCGAACCATAGTTGTCGGACCTGCATATCTCTGGCAGCGATGATCTCAAAGCACTCGCTAACAGCCTTCGCTGCAGTTTCTCGGATAAGCACCTTAGGATCGCGCAGAGCGACCCATATGAGCTCGAATATCTGCGAGACAAAACCATAGAGCAACGTGGGCGAGCCTTTGGCAAGCTCTCGAATAACAAGTACAGCAGCATAGCGCCGGCTTTCCTGTCGTTCAGACTGAAGGGCCTCCAGGGCAGATTGTATTTCACTCTCAACCAGTTCTGCCGTAAGAGCTCCACCGGGCTTGGCCAAACGGCCCAGTGCCCGAGCTGCGTAAACCAGGACCGAATTATCGTTGCTTCGAAGGGCATTGCGAAGATAGCTGGCGAATCGAGTTGTCTTCTGAGCTGCGTCCACACCATCGAAGTCTATTAGGCGATCGAGAGCTAGAAGTCCTCCAATCTTGTCGTGTGCGTCATTGCCGGTGACCACGAGCTGTGCGATGCGCTGGCTAACAGCGTTAAAAAACTCGAGAAACTTCTCGGGAGGCCAGTCTAATACCAAAGAAGAACCAAATATTAGCCTTATATCTTGTGCGACTGACACCGAAGGTGTTACCTCGTGAGATGGCAACGACGTTGTCGTAAAGCTCATAAGCAGCTCGCACTCGCGTTTCCTCGTTCTTAGACTTTAACTCGATGAAGAGTCGTTGAGTGACGTCCGTGATGGGACCTGCTTGCGCCATATTGCGTACCACACCCCAGGGTGGACATTTGAAGTCAGCCTCTAGGGCATGCACGATGACACGGGTTGGACATGGGGTGGAGAGCCGATAATGGGCGGCGTTGAGCGATGCGGGAGGTGAGGTCGACGGCCTCCGGAGCACCGTGCACGGACCACTATGCAGCCTGAGGCTCAGATTATTGATGCCTGGGTTGCGGACTTGGGCACTGTACGGAGCCGTGTCCCAAAAGTTATGGAACAACACTAGTAATATTGAAGGTAAGAATGAGATCAAACTGTACTGATATAGATCATATTTTTCTGAATAGCAGGGATATCGATACTTACGATATATGATTTGTTGATTAGATACTTGATAGTCTTGATTATGATTATTAGCTTACTTTTATTAGCTTGATATATCTGCCTGCATAAGATTAGTAGATTTATACCTGCATAAAGTAATCTCAATACATCATAGAATTTAGCGTTGTTCCATGACTTTTGGGACACGGCTCCGTACGGCGTAGATGATTCATTGAATTGAAGTATCTCGATTAGGTACTTATCAAATTGCTAGGAAAGTGTTACTACTACCACTTTTCCAATCTCACAGGTCATTTCAGGCCATTTCACTGGTGAAGCTCGTCCATGGCTTGCATCCTTACTGTTTTGACTAACCTCTACCATGTTGCCTGATTTCTACCTCATTTTTCCAGTGATTGGCTCGAATGTCTATCGTCTGTTTGGCGAATTTCAGCCTTTGTGGGCCATATAAGCTGTGTAGGGTGCTTGTTCATGGCCAGGGAACATTTGAATCGATGTGCCAAAGAAAATCCGTCTCGCTTTTGTCGAATGTATTACTCGTGGGTGTAATCAATGCTGTGGTCAAACAGAACAAGATTCTTATATGGGTGTAAACATCATAAGATAAGCTCTTTCAATATGTACTACAGTCTAGTATCATACCCCGTATATCTGAGAAAAGAAAAAAGGGCATTTGGGTGTACAAACAAACTAGCAGTGGTATGTTCGCAAGCATCGGTAGCCTTGTACAGTACTTAGTTCTATCTCTCCCAATGTACATACATACCACAATCCAGTGCAGGACAGAACAAAGAGTTGTGAGAAAGGGAGATCGCTGTGTTTGTAGTGTAATAAGTGTATTATCAGGGCAACACAAGACTAAAGCTTTTAAAGGCGAGCCAAGAAGCTGTCCATGGTGTTATATCCTGAGGCCCTACGGCCCTACTCAGAACGATTGTCGACGGGATCACTTGCCTGGTCAGTTTGCCACACGCTGTTATCGCAAGCCTATCCGATAGCGCAATGTCACCTCTAGAATCGGACTTCCTCAGATCTGCCCAGAGGCGCTCAGAGCAAATTAGGTGGACTTAACCTTCATCTAGCGTCCGAAACATGTCATAGGTGGACTTGAGCGGACACTTTTTACTTTGTATGTCATTTTTCGTGATCTATTATCTCTAGTATTTGCAATCAGTGTAAGCGCCTATTGAATTTGTACTCGCATGATATGGCCAATAGTGGATCGCAGTGGGGGGCTTAGTTATACTCGTAGTCCGTCATTTGAGGGGTAATGGTACATCCTCAAGACATTTAAATGGCAAGGGAGTACTGGCATTCCTTTACCCTCTCAAATGAACCGAGAAAGCGATTCTGAGAACTGATCCTTCCATTTTCCCAACGCTATCACTATAGCAGTCATGCCCAAGGTTCTTCTCACTGGTAAGATTCTCCCAATATACGATGCTTGCTTATGCAGAACATTGACATCCAACCATAGGAGGCAGTGGCTTCATTGCTGCTCACATCATCGATAGCCTGTTAGAGCGGGGGTAAGTGCATTACGGCCGACTCTCGATTTGCCTAGATACTTCCAATCTGACCAGCGACTCCTCCAGCTTTGATACTGTTGTTACGGTCCGGTCTTGTGAGAAAGGCCAGAAAATCCTTGATGCTCATCCCAACACGCCAAAGGGGCAGCTCACCTATGTCACTGTCGAAGATGTTGCCTCAGATGGCGCATTTGACGAGGTATGGTCCATTGCTTTGCGAATATTCTGAGAGCATTGCTAAAGCATTTCTCGACCTAGGCTGTTAAATCCAACCCGCCCTTCGACTACGTTTTGCACACTGCATCCCCGTTCCACTTCAACATCTCGGACCCTGTGAGAGACTTTTTAGACCCAGCTGTGAAGGGTACTACTGGTATATTGAAAGCAATCAAGTCCTATGCCCCGACCATCAAACGTGTCGTCATTACCTCATCTTTTGCTGCGATTTTCAATCACAAGTCGCATGCTAAGGTGTACAGTGAAGAGAATTGGAATCCTGTAACCTGGGAGGAGGCTATGGATCCTGCTCAAACGTATAGAGCAAGCAAGGTAGGATGCGCATGACTAGCATTGGATATCCACGCTGAATAACACTGTTGTGTACAGACGTTTGCTGAAAAAGCCGCCTGGGAATTCGTTGAGAAGGAGAAGCCGAATTTTGACCTTGTGACAATCAATCCGCCTCTTGTGCTCGGCCCTGTTGTTCCCTATCTGAATTCTCTAGACGCCATCAACACCTCTAATCAGCGGCTCGCCAGCCTGGCCCAAGGAAAATTCAGAGCTGGTCTGCCTCCCACAGGCACATTCCTATGGGTCGATGTTCATGATGTCGCATTAGCCCATGTTAGGGCTATCGAGGTCCCTGAAGCTGGTGGTCAAAGATTCTTTACCACTGCTGGTTTGTTCTCCAACAAAAATCTTCTAGATGTGGTGCGAGAGTCGTTTCCCGAGCTCGAGGACAAGCTACCTTCGAAGGATACACCTAGTGATCTGCCGCAGGACGTGTACGGCTATGACAACAAGAAGTCAATCGATGTTTTGGGTATTCATTATCGGCCTTTGAAGGAAACGGTTGTTGATACTGTCAAGTCAATACTAAGTGTTTCCGTGTGAAAGTATGCTATGACGCACTAGATACAACTAGCTCCGAACATCGACAAACAATTACATGACAATATCTTCTACTCTCATATCTGCTTCCAACCAACATGGGAAACAATTCATGGCTTACTTTTAACTACAGTCGCTTTGGCTCATGGTAGGGCGATGATACTATATCTTCCCTCCATGTGCCTCGACTGTGCTTGCAATAGCCATTTGCCATCAACGCAAAGGTACCTCATTAATACCTTCTAGCTTCTAGTTGTAGAGCGAACAGAGATGAGACCTTTCGAGGGTAATAGCATCAGGGCGGTGGCCTGCTCTATGAATGACAAGGCGAACAATTACAGTCGAAGTTCTATGACCATGCAAGTTAATCGGTATCACAAGCAGCTAGGATACTTGGACATATGGCAGTGATGCTCCTACCGATCTTACCCACAGCCTGCCGTGTATTTCCACCTAACCCTTGTGTGAATGAAAAGCGGCCTTCATTTTATTCATGGATCCCGAGAGTGGAATAATCGTGGTGGTCGTGTATAAAATGCTGAAATAGTTCAGAAAAGGCCAACGACCTCAGAGAAGTATCAAACAGCTGGCTCCGCCATAATCTTTTTATGAGTAAGGGCTAACACTTGCTTAATGCATATCGATTCGCCCCCTATAGCAGGTAAGTATTCCAAAATTGCACATCGTGTTGTTGTCGCGTGCCGTTCCATCTGCGGCTTGGCACGGCTGCAGTCGAATGTCCATTGCAATCAACTTTTCTCCAGCTTCCTCCGGACGGAGACCACCCGCCAAACGCCTCTATCCTCAAACGCGCGCCATGGCGACGACCAGGCTTTCCCCGGCGGCGAGCTTGCTGCGAAATTCTCGCTTGTTTGCACTTCCGCAGGCATTGACTATACCTCAAGATGTGCACGCTAGTCATGAGTCCAACACCGCAACCGCTCACCATCCTACCCGAGCGGCCATTATCACTCCAGCGTCTTCTCTGGCGAGGGGTGACTGGGGTCTGAAAAGGCCATTACCCGCAAAGTCAACGTCTGCCAAATCGCAACGGCCTATCGTTCGGATAAAGGCCCTTGATACCTTCGAGCATACCACGGATTTCGAATCCGCGTCGGATCATACGGTAACCTTGGAAAAGTTCCAAGACCTCCATCTTCCCATGTCACTTCCGGCAAAGATCAATTATTCGAACAACAATAAGGTTAAACACGTGAGTCCTTTTGAAACTCGCCTGGACAACACCGAGAGAAGTGCAGGCCTCGACGACCCCGCCGCCAAAAAGTTCCGGCATTCTGGGCCATACCTTGCCGATCAGACGGAGGCCGAGTTCCAGGCTTATCTAAAAACTGTGCGCAAGAGCAAGCCGGAGATTATGCAAAAGCTTCGTGAGCATTTTGTTGCGCAGCGAACTGCCGACCGAAGGAAGGAGGCACAGGACAGCGGCAATCACTTCGAGGACCTCGACAAGCCCATCCGTTACACCGAAGCAGAGTTCAAGGACTACGTCAAGTCACTGCGTGCGAGTCCCAAGTCTTTAGGCCCAGTGGTCTTCGAAATCCTAGACATCCCACCACCTCCGGCGGTACCTAGCGACATGATGAAGTCTCAGTACTACCACTCTCCTGCCCTCAGACTGTCTTCTGAGGAATATGCTACGGCCGGACCACCGAAAACGCATCCTTCCGCGGGATTGACTTACACCAGGACGCAGGCCTTGCTCTACAATCATCCAAAGTTCGGACCTCAGACATACCAACGTCCTGTCCAGGCACGTGTCTTGCGCCCGAAGGGCCATTTCAAGGGCAGGAAAGGGAAAGCATATGCTAGTATTGGTGGTATTGTGGTGGATGACATCAATGCCATGGCTTTCGAGGAGTCGAGTCATGGTATCTCACAATTTGACGCGACCATCCCTGGTGGTGCGAAATATTGGGCCAACCCTATCCGGGCCTCGGTCAATATTGAGGGTCGCATCGACTTGACATCTGAGCGCGCTACTCCTAACTCAAGGGCTCCTTACGGCGTTCAAGAGTACCAGAAGCCGAACCGATTTCGTCTGTCCCCTGTCGTCGGACAAAGCGGCCAGCAGCACGTTGTGCCGAGGTTGGATAGAGCGCGTCCCCAATTTGGCACGAGCTCGAAATCGCGCGACCTGGGCACACCGGAGGGAAACACGGAAACTATCGCCCAGGAACTCATGAAGAAGATCTCGTCGTGAATAAGACTTCTTCCGGATAGTGATATTACATCTTCTGTTTTGATGGGCCAGTTTGTTTTCGCAGTCAGGAAGGCTTCATGGTCTGTATGATTAGATTGTTGGTTGGTGAAGGTCGAGCTACTCCTTTTTTCGTTTTTGTCTTTCCCTGTAATATAACCCGCTCGCAATCTATACAAAGCAGTGGTACGTACTTACAATCCAGGTCTTCATCGGGTTCTATAAGTAGATCGTCCGTCTGAGTAATGACCTATATTTCGATCATGGATGGATAGACCGTCCGGGATACCGTAGTTACCATCTCCTTTGCATAATCAACAATGATGCCGCATAGCCCTGGATAAAGTCTCGGCATCAGCATGCCAGGGGAAAAGAAACTGGGTCACGTGCTGAGTACTAGGGCTGGCTTCGAGGGTGATTACCGACACGTGATCCGCACACGGCTAAGCGAGGACGGGCATCTCGAACATCAAAAGACATAAGGTATCTTGGGTCGGGAGTTTCGAACATCCATCCAGCCAGCAACAAACCGCCAAAATGGGTCGCGTCCGCACCAAGGTAAGCAGAAATCATCGAAACAGCGCAGAGAGGTCATGGTTCTAATTATATCGCCATATAGACAGTCAAGCGTTCCGCTAAGGTCATCATCGAGCGTTACTACCCCAAGTTGACGCTCGACTTCGAGACCAACAAGCGCATTTGCGATGAGATTGCTATCATTGCCTCCAAGCGTCTCCGCAACAAGGTTAGTAGATTCGCGCGCTGAAGAGAATTGGAATAGGGCGGAACACTGATGTGAACTCTTCCTTAGATTGCTGGTTACACCACCCACTTGATGAAGCGTATCCAGCGTGGCCCTGTCCGCGGTATCTCCTTCAAGCTTCAGGAGGAGGAGCGTGAGCGTAAGGACCAGTACGTTCCTGAGGTCTCCGCTCTGGATGTCTCCCAGACCGAGTCCGGCCAGCTCGATGTCGATACCGACACCAAGGATCTCCTTAAGAGCCTGGGCGTAAGTTCTTCCCGCGATGGTTATGAATGAATGGATCGGAAGCTAATCGATCATGCTTCTCTAGTTCGACAACCTCAAGGTCAACGTCGTCACCGTCTCCCAGCAGCAGGTCCAGGAGCGCCCCCGTCGCTTCCGGTAAATCTGTGCGCTCTTAAGCGGAAAATGAAAAAGTTCCACGCTTGTCTTGGGTCGATCCATGGCGTTTTCATGCTTGTTCTGGCAGGCTTCCAGCTACATTGTAGTCTAGAAACAGACTCATGAGGAATGAACATGACTTTCGTCAAACAAGGTGTCGCAGATTCTCCTAGCGGAGATGACGCTTGATTGCCAATTTTCTTCCCGTTCACCATCCGGTCTCAAGACCGGCTGTTGCGTAGGAATTCCATACCAGGTCGCAAATCAGGCAGTCACTTCCTGTCGCTCTACGCTTCCCTTCTCATGCTTATCGAGGTAACGCCGTCTCGAGACTGTAGATTGATATCTTATCTGGGTATCATCCTGGAAGTACAACGCCCCCGTAATGCCAACGCCTCTGCTTAATCAGGGGAGTGCCGTCATCTACTGCATGAAACGAAATGCTCAATGATCGCGAGGTACATAACCTTCGATGGAGCCACCCTTCTCATCGCCCGGTCGCATCTGTGGTGCCGTCACCGGACCAGCAGTGTGACTGTTCTCCTGGACATTGATATCCACGCGGCCCGTGTATAATGCAGGGTGCACATCTCCACGCTCCAGGGCCAACTCCTGCGAGCGTGCGTCATCGCGAACCGAGAGGTTAGCCATGTGATCAAACACGTCGCTGGGGCTTTGCCCCTCGTGCACATGCAAGTCACCTAGCTGGCCGGCAACCTCGTTGACAGTGGTCGTGCTCCTTTTCTTGCCTTTGCCCTTGCCTTGTTGCTGTGATCTCGCCCGTTCCTCTTCGAGCAGAAGAATGTGGGTGCCGCGAGTGTCGCCTGCTCTCCTTTCCCAGACGGGCTGCTCGGCCAGCTGCACTCGGATGAACATTGCCCTTTCGGCACATGCATCGGAACACCACATCTCTAGCTTCTCTCTGGGGACGATATTCATCTCCCGCCCGCGTCCGCCGGGGCCGCTACCCTTCGAGCCCCACGTTATGCGGAAGGCCCCTCGCGAGTCCTCCTTGCGATGTTCATGTGGACACAGAGTATAACCGCATAATCCTTCGATGTTTCTTTCCAGAATAAGATTGTCGTAGTCGGCGGGTTGAAAGGGTATCAAAGCAGACTTAAAGGCGCGAGCATCTTCGGGGGACGGGGAGCTGGGATCGGCGGATGAGGAGGCTGGGAACTGGACAAGGTCGAGGATGCGATCAAGAATGAGCGCCTCTGCATCCTTCTGGGCTTGGATCTGACGTGCATGGTGAAGCGCAATGGCCATATGACGGGGATCAGTGCCTGGCCTGTTTGATAATGATCCTTTCTCCTGTTGTGACATGCCGGCGTTGGGTGGCGCTCCTCCACCACGAGTGGTAACGGGCTTCGAGCGAGTTAGCGATGCGGATGCGGCGTGAGCGGACGGAAGAGAGGTTTTGAGTATGTGCCGATCCAAAGACATGGTATTTCGGAAACAGGATATACACTTTTGAGAAAGCAGAAAAGAAATAAAATGAAGTGAATAGGGAGGCTAAATCTGCAGTAATGAGTTGGGGACGGAGAGAGGGGGGAAATCGGAGCGGAGGAACGGAGGAACAGAGGTTCAAATTTGGTCGGGTCGGCAGGAGGCAAAAAAACCCCGGATTCAAAGGGAAGCTAAGGCAGGTAGAAACACTCCCCATGACGATGAGGTTTGCCTTCCTATCAAAGTATGATTTATTCATCTTTACTCATCTTTGATGATTCCGTTAGGAGATCAGGAAAGGTATGATAGTATGCCCCCATGTATGAGTATGTATGATACCCAACTTTGCCCGTCTGCTAGCTACCAACTACTGGAAAGTGTTGATTGATTGGCATTGAAATTGGTGGATGACTGGTTCAACCTCTGCTCAATCTCATTAGCCGCCGATCGCCCCGTGGTGGAGCTACTTGAGAGAGGATGAGAGAGGAAGAGAGGAGTGAGGAGGGCCTGTCTGTGCTCTGTAACGAGTCTAACGACGTAGCCTCGTAGCCTGTAGTACACACCTTAGTCTATCCGCGGCGTACTTGCTTGCCTGCCTTACACTTCCTTAGATCCTCCTCTCTGTTCTTCCTCCCTCTCCTCCTCCTCTCTCCCTCTCCCTCTCCTCCCCCCAATCCCCGCCCATCATTCCCTAGTTACTTCCGCCTTTGATTTACAATTCTTCCCACTTTCATAGTCTTTCTCTTCTCCCTTTACTTTTTCTGAATACTTTCTCATCTAGTGGACATTGTGCTTCTTGACTGCAGTAAGTCTTCCGTTAGCCTTGATTCTACCAGCTGTCCTTCTGGCGGTGTGAGAGGGAGTGAGTGTGTCTGATTCCACTCACCCCCTCCACCGGCCATGCTCTGACGTACCGCACGTCAGTCCACCAGGCTGACATATTATTGTTATTTTTCAAGCAGGCCACCTCGCAGTTAAGCACATCCTGCATATTTTCCACTGCATAAAGCCGTACATAATTTAGTGCTTCTGCCTGCAAATATTCCGCCTGCCTGTTCGCTTCAAATCACCCCTCCGATCCAAAGTCATTCATCCCACCTCCGTGACCGGAACTTTCGATTTGCCAAATGTCCAACCCGCCCTTCACGGTCAGAGCGGTCTTTGATTATTCTTCGGACCACGATGATGACCTTAATTTCGCCATTGGACAGATCATAACTGTCACAGCCGAGGAAGATGCAGAATGGTACTTCGGTGAGTATGCGGACGACTCCGGGCGCAAAGTAGAGGGTATTTTCCCCAAGAACTTCGTCGAAAGATATGAGCCCCCTGCTCCCCCGCGGCCGACTCGTCCAAGCAGACCCAGAAAGGAGGTAGAGGCGGTCCCCCCGCCCCCCGCGCCCGCTGTCGCAGCTGCAATCTCTCCTACGGAGAGTTCCTACCCTCCCGAGCCTGAGCCTGAGCCCGAGCCCGAGCCCGAGCCCGAGGTAGAGAAGACGACTGCAGCCGTACCTCAGCCTCCGAGCTCCCCACCCCCAGCGCTGGCATCACCAACTCGTGAGGTTCCTTCTCCGCCTAAGCCGGTATCAGTTCCAGTCGCCCAGCCTCCGACGAAAGAGGCCAGCGAACCAGCTCCCAAACCTGCATCTAAACCACCGCCTCCCGCTGTCGCCGAGAAGCCCACCGGGTCATCCTTTAAGGACCGTATTGCGGCATTCAACAAATCTGCCGCGCCGCCAGTTACGCCTTTCAAGCCAGGCGGACTTCCTCAGAGCTCCAACACTTTCATCAGGAAACCGTTTGTTGCACCGCCACCCAGCAAGAACGCATATGTACCTCCGCCCAGAGAGCCTCCCCAGAAGGCATATCGCAGAGAAGAGGAATCCGATGTGCAAGAGCGGGTTACGCGGGAACCTCCAGTGTCTGAGGCCCGTCCCTTGTCCAGTGATGGTCCAGAAGAAGGTGCGGAGGATCAACCCAAGCCAACAACTCTGAAGGAACGCATTGCGCTTCTCCAGAAACAACAGATGGAACAGACTGCTCGCCATGCTGAAGCTGCGCAAAAGAAGGAAAAGACTAAACGGCCTCCTAAGAAGCGTCTCGAATCCCACGAAGATACTCTTCCGGTACAAGACCTCTCAGCCGAAGGAGCCGAGCCGATTGAACAGGCACGGGAACATGCTCATGATGCAGCGGTCCCAGCCGTGCCGCAACCTGCGATGCCACCTCCACTTGCACATGAGCTCACCAGCGATACCAATGATGCCGATGACTCTGCTGCTGCCGACACGGAGGACGCGGAAGAAACATCGACAAGCAAGGAGGACTCCGACGAGCGGAACCGTGCAGAGGCTCGGCGTCAAGCTCAGGCCCAGGATGCTCAGTTGAAGGCAGAACGTAGAGATGAGCCAGAGTCGGATGAGGATAACGAAGAAGCTGAGGAACAACCTCAGGAGGAAGAGGAAGAGGAGATTGACCCCGAGGTCAAGCGAAAGATGGAGCTTCGAGAAAGAATGGCGAAGATGAGTGGCGGTATGGGCATGATGGGTTTCTTCGGACCTCCTGGTGGTATGCCTGTTCCTGGTGCGGCTCGCAAACCCAAGGCGCCCGTGGAAGCAGAGAACGCTGTGGATGATGAAAGCTCCCGTCCCGCCCCAGCCCCTCCAGTCCCTATTATGGCCTTGCCCGGAATGAATGTAGGCAAGCCTCCAGTCTATCCTAACGTCGAGAAAGAAGAGGAGGCGGAGGAGGAAGAGCAGGAAGAGTCCCCTGCAAGCCCAATTACCGAGCAGCATGCTGCATACGAGGTTCCTGATGTGGAGCAAGTTGTCCATGAAGAGCCTCCGACCCGTCGCATGTCTGCCGATAGACCATTTACGCCGCAAGGTATGGAAGATGCTTTCTAATAGCCCCAGGGGCCTAGGCTTACGATTTTTTCACAGAGCGTGCAGTTCCTCCCCCTCCCCCCCTCGACACGCGCCCGGTGCCACCTCCAGTTCCTCATGAGCAGCCTTTGTCTCCTCCGCCGGTGCCAGGATGTAAGTTGCTTTGTAAAAAAATTGCTCCGTCACCGTTCGAAGCTAACTTTGAGGAATAAGCCCAATCTCTGCCACCTCCCAAGGGCGCAGCACCTGCTGACCCAGGAGACGAATCTGATGATGAATTATCGCTGCATCCCAATGCTACTCCGACCACTGCACCATCAGAGCAACCGGCGCCTCCGCTCCCCGACCATCTTGACTCTCGTCGATCATCGACCTACGATACAACGTCTCCCAAGTCGCCTACGCTACCCGCAGACAAGAGAATGAGTCGCCCTCCTCCACCCGTGCCAGCGAACCCCCCAGTCTCATCCCAAAACAGGCCGATTCCGCCCCCTCCTCCAGTCAACATTCGGCGGAGGTCTACGACCGATAGTCGGACAAGCATGGCTTCGCAGCCCCGCCAAGCCGGAGAGGGAGCCGACGGCGAAATCACGGAATATGATGGCGACTACGACACTGACATTGCATCTGGTGCTAAGTTCAAGGATGCTCTGAAGTCTCACGGCCGCGATTCTAGCCTTGACGAAGGTGTCATGACCGATGAACACACGCTTCAATCCCCTAGAAGCCCACCCCAGACTCGTCTCCCGCCCCCACCTCCTTTGTCTGCCCCACGAGCCGTGCCCCCTCCACCCCCAATTCAACCTCCCAAGAGTGCCGGCAGAGACTCTCTACAGTCGCCAAGAGGGCCTCCACCCCCTCCACCCCAACGAGAGCCATCATACGGGGGTGATGACGATGAATATGACCCTTACCGTTATACCGCCCCGCAACATGGGGTGCCTGTCTCAAGAGCACCGCCACCGATTCCCACTGGTCCAGCAGAAGCTGCACCTATGCCTCCTCAGGCTGCTGAAGAAGAGTCTGATGATATGTATGATTCCTCGCCTGTGCAAAATTTCGGTGAGATGTCTATTCAGTCCCCTATCGAAAAACGCACCTCAATGGCTCCTCCGCCTCCTAGCCTGCCTCCGCCTACACCTCGCAGCAACCGAGCATCGCTGGACATTCCGCGAGCCCAACCCAGTGTTCGGAGATCCATGGACGTTTCTCGTCCGTCCATTGATCTGGGCTTCATTGCCACGGACGTTGACTTGGCAGAGAACACTCTTTGGTGGACGCATTCCAATACTCCTCCTCCTGCTTTCCAGAACCGGAAGGACGTTCTGCTTGAGTTCGAGGAGTCAAATTCCTCCAAGCGTGGCGGTAAAACTACTGTGACCAAGGATATCTATATCTTGTTCATCGACTACTCGCAGACCGTGATCACTGTGAACTTTGATGCTCGCAACCCCTCTGATGCGACTTTAGAACAGCGTCACGAGGCGCCTCCTCACCAACCTCGTCAAGACCAGCTGGAGACTGCCCATCATCAGATCGGAACACGCATCGCCAACGCGATCAATGGCATCCAGAACACTACTGTTGCGGATGGCTCTCCACATGGCTTGGTGCAGCATTTGCTAAGCCCCCTGTCTGATGTCCTCCTTCCGGTTGGCACCCGCGCCTATGGGGCCCTGGTCTATTCCAATTTGGCCAATGCTTCCGTGCAGCAAAACGACGAGATCCGCGCAGGAGATATTGTCAGTTTCCGCAACGCACGATTCCAGGGTCATCGTGGCACGATGCATCAGAAGTACAGCTCTGAGGTGGGCAAACCTGATCACGTAGGCATTGTCGTTGACTGGGATGGCACCAAGAAGAAGATCCGCGCCTGGGAGCAGGGCAGAGAAAGCAAGAAGGTTAAGATGGAGAGTTTCAAGCTGAATGACTTACGGAGTGGAGAATGTAAGGTGTGGCGTGTCATGCCTCGGAGTTATGTTGGTTGGGACAAATAAGGAAGGAGAATCAATTACCTAATGTATGAAGGGCCTGGCGCTGGAATCATGAAAAAATCCTCTATGGACGATTGATGCCGTTGTCCGGGCCTCGGAGGCCGGTGCGGAGCTCTGCTGACATGTACTGCCGATGAGCTTGCAAATAGGTCTGTGTGAAGATACGAGTGGAGATGGTGTTTTATGATCTGCTTCCAGATATTACCTACCTTTCTTGTTGTAACTATCTATTGATGGTCGTTCCGTGTGTCTGTAAATGCACTATGGTGGCTATTGCTTCGTTTTACTATCGGCATGTTCGAACATATCAACATCTGTGTTCTTTTCCGAAATCCTTTCCAGCTCTAATGCTTGAGACTTAAAGAGCCTGGTTCCGGTCTTATGAATTAGACACCTAAAGCATTAATTCGGCGGTAAGGACGAGAGCGCGACCCGCAGTGGCGGCGCAAACCTCCGAGGTCCGCTCCTGCCACCGCCTCCCGGGCCCCCCACCCATTCTTCCTCATTAGGAATACCAACCCATCGCCGCCCCTAGCTTCATCTTCCGTCCACCATTCTCCCTCAAAACATCGTTCCACAAACACCCGCAACAAATCCCATCGCATATCTATCCCCTCTAAATCGCAAAGATGGGTGGCGATCTCAACCTGAAGAAGTACGTCTTTCGCTCTCCGCACAGATACACCCTCCTTTACCCATTCCCGGACCCCATCACAAGCTTCCTTACCTCCTCAATACTAACCATTTTTCTTTCTTTTCACAAAACAATAGATCATGGCACCCCTCCCTCCTCCGCAATCAGGAGCGCGTCTGGGCGGAAGAGAAGCGCGCCCTGGAGGAACGGAAACGCATTGACCAGCTGCGGCGCGAGCGCGACGAGGAGCGCCAGATCCAGGAGCTGCAGCGGCTGCAGGAGGACTCGGGGAAAGCCCGGCAGGTCCAACGCGTCGACTGGATGTACCAGGAGCCGTCGAGCGCGACGGGCCACTACTCCGAGGAGATGGAGGGATACCTGTTGGGGAAGCGGCGGTTCGATCAGATCCTGTTGAAGAATGATGAGAGTCAGGCGCTAAAGAAGGGGGCCGGCGCTGCGGTCACCGGGGAGGGGGCTGCGGCTGCGGCTGCGGGCACGAATCCCAGGGATACCATGGTGAAGGTCTTGGCGGATCCGTTGTTGGAGATTCGGAGGAGGGAGCAGGCGGCGCTGGAGAGTGCCGTTAAGGAGGGGGTGAGGAGGGGGTCGTCGGGTGGTGTTGGTGCTGGTGCTGGGGGACATAGGGAGAGGAGAGAGAGGGGCGGCGATCGGGAGAGGAGACATCGGAGGGATAGTAGGGAGCGGGAGCGGGAGCATAGGAGTAGGAGGAAATACAGTGATGAGGAGGATAGGCGGTCGTCGCATCGGCATAGGGAGAGGGAGAGGGAGAGGGAGAGATCCCCTAAGGCTGAGGAGAGTCGGTCGGAGAGGAGACGAAGGGATGAGAAGGGTGAGCGGAGCTATCACCGGCGTGATGATAGGGATCGCAGAGATGACCGCGATCGCAGAGATCGTGATTACGACAGAAGGGACCGCGACCGCGACCGCGATCGTGATCGCGCTGGCAGAGACGGGGACAGAGATCACCCTAGCAGACAACACGAGAAGGAAGACCGTCACGACCGCCCATCTCGTCGAGATGCTCCTCAGGATCGGTCGCCCTCGCCCCGACCTGATCGCTATCACTCTGACAGACGTCGGTTTGACGACAGAGAAGATGGCCCTCGTCGGGAGGCTCATCACGGAGACCGACGAGAAAGATCCGATCGCTTTTCCGAAAGAAAGGATTATAGAGGACCTAGAGACTCATACAACCGTGACACGAAACCTCAGGACAATAACAACTCAGAGCAGAGATCCAAGGATCTGGAACAGGAACGCAAGCGCAAACTGGCAGAGATGCTGTCCAACGCGGACGAGATGGAAGAATCCCGTCGCAAGCGTATTGCGGAGGTTACTGCTTCAGAACAGAAGCAACTCGAGGAGGACGAAAAGCATCGCTCTGAAAAGGGCCGATTCGTCTCGGGCCTTCATCGGCAGCTTCAGGAAGACAGCTTGGATGACCGCCTCAAACGGAGTCGTGGTGGACTTGCTCGGTTGGATGATGAGTGAATGTCTTCTTTTGCAGCGTCCTACTACTATCATTCTTATTCTATGGTTCTAGGCGCCTTTTCTAGGGCCGCGATAAGTGTAACACTCTAATGATAATTTAATCAAGATTGTCCATACACTCGGCTTTGCGAATAAACAGCTCGCCCCCAGCAGACTGGATGTAGCAAGTGCATGACATGCATGAAGAAAGCGAATTTTGCATCCAACTTCGTCCTTCTTTACATTTTGCAGTAGTTAAAATGATACATGTATGAAATAGTAACAATAGTAAGAGGTATCACAAGTCCCTGCCTGCGATTAACTGGCATCGCTCAAAGGATGAAAGCAGATGGGAAAAGCCAAAAAAAGTATCCTAGAGAAGGAGGGTGGCGGCGATATGAGAAGGAAAATGGTATTATAGCAGCAACAACTCGCCCGTAGCAGCCCCGCCGGCCAACTGGGGTTGATAGACCTGCTGTTGGTTCTGGTTGACGACATACTGTGTTTGGGAAGCGCCGCCGCCGCCGGCACCGCCATCCCCACGGCCGCCGAGGTCAAGCGCCGCCATCTGCTGACTACCGACGCTATTGAAGTAATTGTCCGCGGCACTGACGGCTGCGTTCATGTCGACGGGGCCACCGCCCGCCCCGGTCATCGGGAATCCAGTGGGGTTCGTGGCCGCAGTGGGACTCGCTGTGAGCTGGGCTGGGGCAGCAGGGAACTGCCACGCGGCGCTGCTGACTTCTTCTTTCGGTTTCTGCAGGGCCGGACTGTACTGTAGCCGTCTTGTCCGCGCAGAGCGGAAGACCTGTTGGACGGGCTTCAGATACACCGTAGCCAGCGTGCCAACATTCAAGCAGAGCTCTTCGAGGGTTTTCGGGTCCAGCTTCTCGCTCTCTGCGCTGATCGGCGGTTTCTCACCCATGACGACTTGTTTGGCAGCAGCCGGGTCGGTGGAGAGTAGGCGCCAGTACATGTATCCTCTGTCGCGGAGATCAGGATCATCTGTCTCCTCGGTGCACCACTTCAGAACTTGGGGGACCAGCTGCTGACCCTTGGTTGGGCGTTGGATGAAGAATTTGACTGTTGCTGTCAGTAAGGCAAGTTGAACCTCAATGGTTTCGTCGTGGAAGGTGGCGAGGTAGTCTTGAAGGAGTCCGTCGGAGTTCTCGATGCGGTCTGCGTATTGTCCAATGATCCAGATGATGGCAGCCTTGGCCTCGGGCTCATCGAGTTCATCAATGTTCTGGATCACGTTGCTGATGATATTTTCATATTGGTTGGGGTATTTGCGGAAGATGTTGCGGATGACAACGGTCGCTTCCTGGACGATGTAGGGAATCTTTGCGTTGACCAGGTCAAGGAGGGTGTCGATACATTGTCGTGCGGCCGATTCAATCTTGATCGCCAGCTTGCCGATGGCGCGCACTGCCTTGCGTACGAAATGAACGTCGATTTCTGTGGCATACCTGCACTTATTAGCTGTGCGGCCACCGAGAATTGGAGCTGAACTTACTCTCTGAGCTCCGCCAGCACCACGGAAATATTCTCTTTCGTGGTTAGCATGAATATCAATTCGAGCTTCGTCACTTTGACGTAGATCGGATCATTGTAGTTACAGAAGAAGACACGGATATCGTTCCGCAAGACTTCAGGTCTCTTCTGTAGAATAAGGATGGCGTTGCGGAGAGCCAGGTACTGAACTTCTGGAGGCTTGGAGAGAAGGGTGACTAGGGGTGGCGACAGCTTTTTCGCTAGAGATGTGACATGTCTCTCGTCGGCGATGTAGTTCATGAGGTAAAGAATGACCCGGATCGAGGTCAGGACGACGGCGGAGTTGGAATGCGACAAACGGGGAGCGATGCGCTCCGCCAGTAAAAGCGCTTCTGCAGAGTCTTGAGGGACATACGACATCAATGCCTCGAGGATGTACGATTGACCCCACCTTTATTATGTTAGTTAAAAACGATTCTTGGAAGCGGAAATGGGACAAGTACTCAGAGCAGTCTGGCAGGATCGAGACCAGCTTCGAGGCACTGGCGTAGTCAATGGTGAGAGAGATTGATTCGCTGCGACCCCAGATATCCACCAAGGAGGCAAGGACACTGGAAACCACCGTCGGGTTCTCGTCCTTAAGCATACTATTCAATCGATCAATTAGGTCGGAGCTCTCGACCATCTTCTTATCGTGCTCGTAGAGCTTCGCGACGCAAAACGCAGCCGTCTTGCGAACGTAGGGATCCATATCTTGCATCAATCGCTTGACCGGTGCAATAGTGGCTTCGACAAACTCGCGGACGTGAACGTACGAAATTGTCCGTAGAGCCAGAGCACGCACGAGTGGGTTGGAGTCCTCCATGTCCTGTGTACTCGGTTAAGACAATTAAAGAGCCCTAAGGGAGGGGTATCGTCCGTACATCGACCAGAATCGGCAGCGCCTTCAGTGCAATCTCCGGCTTCGCCCTTGAGTAGTTGACGAGAAACAGGAAGCACCTGCATTATCAAAGCGAAGTCAGTGTCGGCCATTCTCTCCGCGTTTGAGATGCCCTCCGACGTACATCTTCTTAATCTCCAAACTGGGCAGGTTCATGCAACCGATCACATCTGGAAATAAGGCCACCATATCGTTGTTGCTCATAGTCATGTTTGCGACAATCTTCTTGAGGGCGATCTTCTTGGCCGAGTGGTTTTTGTCCTTCTTTCCACCGCTGTTGAGCTCCTGGCGCAGTTCGGCAACTTTGCCCTGTTTTGATTGAGAGAACGGTAAGCCATATTGCGGGTTATAGGGAATCGCACTGAGGAACATTGAGATTGCAGGTGATGTTTGTAGTGTAAGATAGTTCCGGGGGTATAAAGAGGAAACGAATTCATGGGCGACACGAAAGTATACGAAAAGAGCCCGGAGATAAGAAACGGGGTATTGCTCGTTCGTATGGAAGAGAGCCACCATCGAGCGTGATTCGACAGGACGAGAGAGGGGAAGATGCGGAGGGATTATAGAAAGTCACCAGGCCATAGCGTCAAAGTGACCGACGAAACAGAGGAGCAGTGCACGCAGGTACGTACCCTTGCGAACAATTTCGCATCTCCCCCGCTAGAACTCATTGTGTCGGAGGATTATAGGTAACGAATCGGGCGATGTTCGGTGGCTTGGTGCTTTTCAGGATGTGGCTGGCGCAAGGACTGAAGCTTGTGGCGTTTCAAGATCGCATGTATATAGCAGCGTTGCTTCTTGGTTCGTGTCGATATCCGGGCTTCGAAAGGAGGAGAACCTTAGCTGGCCGCAGCTTCCATGACCTTTTTCGGAGGGGGGGCTAAAGGAGTCAGCGTCGCACGAGAAAAACGATCGCGGAAGCGGATTGGAATCCAACCTGGGCTCAATGAGAATAGTCACCGACTCCCCAGTAGGATCTGATGGCCGAGACAGAAATCTAAGTCGAAGTTGACAGCTTGAAGGTCAAAAGGGGAGTTTGATTCAGGGTCCCGAGTCTGGGTTGGATTGAGAATCAGGAGAGTGGATCGGGAGCCGCCAACTCCGCCCGCCGCCGCTTGTGGAGAAATTCCCAGTCCGGATGGATGAATGCTTGTCATCGTTCATCCCAGCTTCCTCCTCCGCCCTCCCTCTTATCAACATCCCTTCCATACGCTCCGCACGCTCTGCTCGGCCAGTCTCTGTCTTATACTGCATAGGACGGATATGAATGATGGCCGCGCAAGCTCTTAATCCGCCTCCACCCCCGGCATGGGTTGTCAGGCTAAACACCCCGATGCCGCGCCCAACCAAAGAGGCCGCCAGCATCCCCGATCCTCCAGGTTTCTCGAAGAAAACGGGCGGTAAAAATGTACGCTTTATTATGGCTAACCCCTCTGCTTCTTCCTCTTCTTCTTCTTCTTCTTTCTTTCGTTGTGTCTTGTCTCAAACTAATTGATCTTACTCGCAGCGTGCGCAGCAGTCTTCAACAACCGCCGCCCCAACCAAACCCGAGGACACCGATACCTTGAAACTAAAGAAGGCCTGGGAGATTGCTCTGGCTCCCTCAAAGCAGATTCCCATGAATGCGATCATGATGTACATGTCTGGAAACAGTCTCCAGATCTTCAGTATCATGATGGTCTTCATGCTCTTCAAGGGCCCTATCCAAGGCCTCATCAACACCAACACTGTCTTCACCAAATTCGAAACTGAAGGGACTCGGGGCAAGCTCCTGGGCGTAAAGGCCATCTATGTAGTGATGCAGCTAGTGTTGCTGTGCTTGGGTGTATGGAAGGTCAATGCAATGGGCCTTTTGCCGTGGGTGTCCCCTTCTCACACGTTTGTTTATCTGACGGTTGGCTAATCTCCGCTTGCACAGGACTACGAGATCGGACTGGTTAGCTTGGGAATCAGAACGTCAACCGTTGGAGCCGGCTTATTTCACATTTGGATGATTCCCCGAAGTATAACTCTTTAGGTACATACTATCAGTACACAAAGTATGGAAATGCTGTAATGGTAATATTCAGCGATGTTTTCGTGCAAAGGGATTATTGGTATTGTCTTGAATTGCTTCCTATATTCGTTTTGGGTTCAATATATAAAGCCGTCAGGTGTAGCCCTATCCGATTTCGCCAATATTATAGATCCCCAGATCATGATGGTACGATTATCCTTGTTCCAGAAAAGCCCGGCCCAAAAGCAAGGCCGGATCAGCAACCCCACAGGTTACGGTCAAATGCACGGAGGAAAAAATCGAAGAACCTGTCGTGGGCCGGTATATATTGAGATGACAGATATACAAGTCATATGTTCACTTTCGAGCGTCCAATGCTTTTCGACACGCCTGGAGAAAGACCTGGCAGAATTCCCAGACATCAACGTACGAATTATACATGGGTGCAGGCGCCACTCGGATCACGTCCGGCTTTCGTTCATCGATAACAACTCCATGCTCTTCCAAAGTCTCAAGAACCCCGTCGAGGAGACCGGGTGCCAAACGCAGACTGAGTTGGGCACCCCGTTCTGCTGGGTTCGAGGGTGTGATTATGGAGAACGGTCTTTCTGGAAGCGAATCAAGTGGGCACGTCAGCAAGAGCTGTTCCAAGTATGCCGTAATCTGCAGAGACTTCTGACGAATTTGAGCCATTGAGGTTCGGTTGAATAACTCCAGAGATGCCGCAAGTGCACTGATATCTAGAACTGATGGGTTTGATAGCTGGTATCCTGCGGCACCTGTCTGGGGCACAAAGTCTGCGGATACAAGTTTAGCGTATGAACCTCCAGACGGGGTCAGGAGAAGAACATGGGTGTCATACTGTTTTCCATCAGGAAGCGCGTCTGCTTGTCCCCTCCCCACCAACCTGACAACCGCGGACGAAAGGCTTGCTCCGCCGTTCCAAGCTTGTCCTTGTCTACTTGGCCATGCTTCGCATGAACGAAAAGGGCCGCCATACAACCAGGACCGCTGTTAAGGTATTTGTATGTGCACCAAGCAGCAAAATCCACGTTCCAATCGTGCAGTCGGAGGTCGACATTGCCCGCCGCGTGGGCACAATCCCAACCAACCAAGATGCCCTTCGACTGCGCATACGCGGTGATCTTCTCAATTTCGAAGTACTGGCCGGTATAAAATTGGATAGCAGAGAGAAGTATTATAGCAGTACTCGAGGCATGCTCGTCGATGACGCGGAATATTTGCTCAGTAGGCAAAGTAGGAAACCTGGGGTCTTCAGGCTCAATGAGAACCATCGCATCTTCTGGGCGGAGATTATGATGTTTGATCTGGGACTCGACGGCATACTGTTTTCTCGCATGTCAGTGATTGCTCTTCTAGCACGTATAGCTTCGATGCGTACATGATCACTTGGGAATGCCTTGCCCTCGATGATGATCTTGTATCTCTCCTGGGTAGGCTGGTAGAAACTTGCCATCAGCAGATGCAGATTGGCCGTCAGCGTACCCATCACCGCAACCTCCTCGGGGTGAGCTCCAACAATCGGTGCCATCAGCTTCGATCCCGCCTCGTCCACATTGACAAAAGGCGGAAGCAGCTGATCATCATGCGGTACAAAATGGCCGGTCACGCCTTTGATGGCCCAGACTCGCAAGTAATGGTCAATGTACTTGCGGACATTGCGGGGCTGGACTCCGAGGGAGTTTCCGCATAGATAGATGGATCGGTCCTCGGCTTTCTCATCATCTAGTACATATAATGCCTATGGTCAACAGATGCTCCCATATGACTAGCAAGTCGCTCAATTGACGTACATCCATCTGGTAGAGCCAATGTCTTCCTCTTCAAATCATTTTTCGAAGGAATGAGAAATTCCTGTCGGAAGTGGCGCAGAGGGTCCTGCGCATCAAGCGATTGTGCATGTTCTCTCGTGAAGTCGGAAGGCGGGGATCGGCCATTTGCGCGCTCCACATGCAGGTCGGAAAGCATGGTGTCACCCGGCAAACACTCTTTAGTCCGTGGAGTCTGACAGGGCTGATTGGCACTAGCTTGTATTATGGAGCGATTGAGAGCTTCACGCCAAATTCTACAGTCAATCTTCAACCAAAACTAGCTCCAGAAGCAAATACGAGCCGGAATCGCAAGTCGGTTCAGTTCCCCGCGATCGATAATCGGCCCAAAGGCGGACAAAACCGTACGGCAATTCTGCCGGTGTTTGCCGGCACCCGATGGACCAATAACGTCATGTCGGTTTCCTGACTAACGGCCATATCTTTGGGATGATGATATATAATCAAATCACGCCCCTCGACGAGCGAAAGATAAACCACGAACTCAACGCCACCATCCCATTATCCCGTCATAACCGGGAAACTACTACACTTGGGAGACCTCCCTAGCAGACAATCATGTCTCGTCCGATGTTATCATCCGCTGCCCGCCGGCTAATGCGGCCTCGCTCAACCATTTCTACAATTTCGCCCTCGGCAGTGAACTTTGCCGCATCGTTTTGCGACACAGCCTGCCTCCGACCTAGCTTACGTCCCCTTGCCAAAGTCGCCAGAGGCTTCTCATCCCAGAGAATAACGCCGCGATGCTCCGTGCTCTCCAACAATTCATTTCGTCAACGCTTCCCGTTCTCCTCGTCGGCGACGCGACCGAGCGCTAAGATCTTGCAAAACCTCCGCATCGGCGAAGACGGAAAAGAGCTCACGATAAAGATCTCCCCACGGGCTTCGGAGGTAGGTTTAGCCACTCATTGAGCTTCTTCTTATCACTTGCGCTGGGCTATGGTTGAGCGGGATACCTCTGAGTCGGACGGAAGCCGTTGCCCACACCCGAAGTCAAGGGAATGACACACTCTGGTAGAGGTACCAAGTGGCACCACCGCGATAAGTACCATGACAACCTCTGGTTTAGCACATACGACCACAGGGTGTGGAAAATAGGGCTTCCCGTCCGCTCAGCCGTACTCAAGCCACACGCCGGCCGGTTAGTAGTTGGGTGGGTGACCACCAGCGAATCCCGGCTGTTGTATGTTTTTTTCTCCCGCTTTGATTCCCACCAACATGGGTTCTATCTAGCGGATTGAGATCTCGTGCTGTTGAGTATCGCTCGTACTGCTTCTTTTCTGTCTTGCTTCTTACTATACTATTCACAAAGATAATTTTGAAATTCTAGACTGACGCTTGTTGTTCTAGCGCCTTCGCGAAATCACAGACCCAACCTCTTCCCCGTCCGCCACGAAGGAGGCAAACCCCTACCACCATCTCCGGATCACAGTGACGAGCGGCGGCTGTCACGGTTTCCAATACATAATGTCCCTCGAGCCAGCCTCGAAGATCGACCCGGAAGAAGACACGGTCTTCGAAGCGGAGGAGCAAGAGGGCGTCCCCGCCGGACCCGGCGAGGCTAAAGTCGTCATGGACGAACCCTCCTTGGATCTGCTCCATGGCAGTACCGTGGACTACACTATGGAGCTGATTGGGAGTCAGTTCAAGATCGTTGACAACCCGAGAGCCACGAGTAACTGTGGTTGTGGAACGAGTTTCGATGTCATGGAATAGTTGCCCTACGACGACGATGAGCGGTTGCCGGGAATACAATTGGATCTCAGTCGGTCCATCACCCGGTTCTGGAGCCTCTTGTCCTTTTTTCTTGTATAATATTCCCTGGAGGTGACGCGCATCGAAGTATCATAACATAGCCAGTCGCTTTTGTTACCCGGATCGATTAGAAATACTATACCCCCTTCACTCCGCTTTTGGCTGGCTTCCGCTTGCGTCAAGGTGTGTGTACGTACTCGAGTAATGGATCAGAATGGAAGGTTAGATAAACGTCATCATCTAATTCATCATGCAAATCTCCTACAGCCTTGTCCTCTGCTAGCTGCAATCTTTTGGGTGTTCTGTGCAACAATTTATAAAAAAGAGCATGATGCACAGTCCAACCCGAACAATGTCGTCGAAACAATAAGCAAAAACCAAAGCACAAGCATAGTGGGATACGCCGCGAATTAATCAGATCCTCGAAATATTCTTTTGTGTCGACTCCAACCCCGTAACCTGATCGGTTTCAAGGCTACAACCCTGAGACAAAGAAGCATGGACAATTGAAGAAAGAACAACATAAGAGGGAAAATATGAAGATAGAAATAAAAAGGCATCATAACTTGGTTGGCGGGGTCAGGTGAGAGGGGTTAGTAGGCAAGGGGTAGCGGTGGAATTTTCAAAGCCACCAAGTCGCGCATCTTTTTGTTGACATCGAGCTATTGACCTCCAATTCGCGCATCCATGGGGTCTGGTTGCCTGGTCATTCGGCCCTGGAAGTGCCGTGTTGTCCATGTAAACACCATCGACCCTTGTGGCTCTGGAAGACAGAGAAATCATATCTCCTAGATCTCAAGCCTCAAGCACTTACATCTGAGAAGATGATCGATGTATTCGACTATCAATCTAGTAGACGCGAGCGAGGTTGCGAAGGTACCAGTCAACCAGGCGGCGTCCAGCCTTGGTCTCGCTAACGTGGATGAGGTCCTTCTCGAGAGCATAGTCCAGGTCGTTGGCAATGGCCGGCTCGCCCTCCAACAGGCCACCCTCAACCCAGCGAACCTGGCGGCTACGCTGCTTGTTGATCAGCAACCAAGAGCGGAGCTTCTCGGGTTCAACCTCCAGGAAGCCAGCCAGCTTCTTCAAGTCCATGGTCGTGTAGAGCTTGAGGTACGAGCGGATAGTGGGGTTGTACAGGGTGTTCTTGACCTCATCCATGAAGATGGCGGTGTGGTGGTCGACGGGGTCGACGTTGAGGGCGGGGTTCTCGAAGTCGGGGGGAGTGGGACTGATGAACTTGGGGCATGCAGAGCGGAAGAGTTCCTCGAACAAAGGAAGGGCGTCAGGGCCGCCGTGCTGAAGGCGGTTGAGCTGCTCGCCGTACTTCTCGCGGAGGGCAGAGTGGATGGTGTCATCCAGGCGAGTGGGGTGGAGGGCAACGCAGATAGCGATCAGAGCGTACATCTGGTCGTTCTTCTTGGCGATGGCATCGTAGCTGTTGCCGCCCTTCTGGAAGTTCTTCGTGCGAGAGACGTAGACCAGAATGTGGCTGAACATGCGGATGGCATCGGCATAGCGGCGCATCATCATGTAGGAGAAACCAACATAGTAGTAGGTGGTGAAGTGAGCAGCCATGACACGGGCGAACATGGCCTTCTTGTTCATCTCGATGTCATCAAGAGTCTTCAGGGCAAGGCTGAAGTCACCGAGCAAGCAGTGGACACGCAGAAGTCCGATGATGGAGAAGTATCCCAGCATCTTGTACAGAGGGCGAGAGCCATATTCTCCAGCGAAGGCCAAAGGATCCTCACCACGCTTGATCGCAGCCAGTTGCTCGTTGATTTGCGATCTCTGGATAAGGGAGTAAAGGACGTTGAGGACGGAGTAGCAACCCCACGTGTTCGGGTTTTCACGCAGAAGCTGGGCCTCCTCCTCGTTGGAGCCGCTGCGGGCGACACGGTTGCGGTAGCGGCAGAAAGACTCAAACTGGTAGATGAACTCGTCGATGACATCCCAAGCCCAGTAGTACTGCGAAGATATACGGCCAGGCGGTTAGTCCAATGTGCCAACCTTCACATCGATTGCACAACGGCTTAGGCAAAACACCGGTGCGCGAGCCGAAATGATCGGAGCGGGAGAGAGAACATACAGAAGGAACCTCCAGTTCGACGGGACCGTCTGAGTTCAGAATATAGTGGAAGAGGCTGCAGTAGTTGTCGTAGCTCGCGAACTTAGTCTCAAGCGTGGCCTGGTATTCAAGCGGGGTCGCAGCAGCGGCGAGCTGTGCTTGAAGATCCTGTGCCTGGGAACCGGCACCGAGAGATGTAGTCCGGTCCAACTCGCTCATGCCATCATCGTAGTTGACCTGTTCGCGGTAGTCGTTGACAAGGGCTTCCTCCTCAACATCGGACTCGTCGCCCAGGTTGGGGTGCTGGTTGGCGCGCTCTTCGTAGGACATGTTGGCAACAGAAAGGCGACTGTTGGCGATGGAAAGATTACCGAGTAGACGGTGGGCGGAAATGGGTGGAGAGGAGGAGGGGGAGGGGGCACGTCGTCAGGCGTAGCTACTTGGCGTCGGCGTGTGGGATTTGGATTGTTTCGGCGGAGTTGAATTTTGAGGGTTTTCGCTTGGACGGATTTGTGCTTATCTTATCTGTGCATAACGACGGTGCTGAGTCACTTATGCACCGGACTGATCAATCACCCGCGGATCTGCCGGTGACTGCCGCCATTCTCGCCAGAGGTCGTCCAGTCTGTATTGAACTTATATCCAGCCTCAGCGTACAGAACCATTATTATTATTATTCGACCACATATCCATGGCCACAAGGGCAGTCATTACACAAGCACCATATGATGGTGACATTTGACTAGAGAAAATTCTCCGCATTTGTTGGAACTTAACACGCCCTTGGTGAGCAGGAGACCTGCAACACTTTTTCCAATAAAAACAAAAACCAAGAACGCCTAACAGCTGAGTTTGAAAATCGCTGCCGCTGTGCGAGGTGACGACTCAAGACAATAGTCAAGAATTGGATACGGAAGGGGTTCGCTTCCAAGTCAAATTCTCAAAACACTCGACTATATGATGGAAGATTTGCCAAGCGTGGGTACTTTACTTGCATTGGCCGACAACAAGAGAAATATTCAGTAAATACGAAATGCTGATGGTCTGCCTGTGAGGTACTTTGGGGAGGGCCGTACTCAACCCGCTCGGTGCAAGTACCTAGGCAGCCTGGAGGGCTGACTTCAAAGGCCGGCCATTTCCAGCTTTCTAGGAACACAAAATACCAAACCTCTTACGCATGGCGGTGCGATGGCTAAGCCTCTTCAGATTTCCCAATAATCAACGAAGATGATGTACTATACAAGCGGCATGGACAAACCTGAGCCTGGAGGAGCGCGCCAATGCCCCTGTCTGGTATGTAGGTGGACACCGCGTCTCCGATTGGGTCGGAAGTAAACCGGATACTTCTACCGTCCGCTTCGCTGACTGTGGACGGACCACCCTCACCGTCTTCTTTGCTGCAGATGGTAGGGTAGGGAGGTGGTCCCTTGCCTTCATCCAGGAATATTTGAAGCCTCAGAATGAACCTCGGGCGTCAAGGCGATCTCCTTGTCTTCCCAACCTAGTCTCAATTAAGGTCCTGCAGAGTGTAGGGATTCAGGGATAAGCCCCGGCTAGGAGTACAAAGGGGGTAGGATATATTTTCCGTAGTCGAAGGGTATCCGCAGCCCTGATCATGGTCATAAAAAGATCTATTCTCTGTCTCGTTCCCCCGCACTGGGACCTGGGCAGGAAGGATACTGGGGGGCTGCCTAGAGGCATGACAGGCATGTTGAGTCTAAGTACTAGGAATAGACGACTGGTGTAACCGAGTGTGAATACGAAGGACGGAGCCGCTGCTGCTGCCTCTCATTGCTAGGTAGGGTAGCCGCGCCTCGATTCAAATTCTTTCATTCCTTCTAGGTATCTTGCTTTTTCAGAACTCTACTACCCATAGGTGCCAGCAGCCATGAATCTCCCACGCACATATATATCTCAACACCTCTCCCTACAATGATTGAGGCGGTCCAGTGCAAGGCAAGATGATTCTAGCTAGAGTCTGCCGCAAGTTCAATCAATGTATAAAACTTGGGAGAGTCCGTGGAGGTGGAGGAAAGTGTGCCTTTTCCGCTTTTCCGCCAACCAAGGTTGTCGGGGCCACAGTAGCTCATTATTGGGTGGCCCGTCCGGGAACTTACCAGGCTGCTGCCCGGTGTCTCCAGCCTGTCATTTCTTCATACTACACTAAGTCCAGAGGTGAAGGGAGTGATCTCAAACGTCACTCTGGCAATCTCCTCGCTGCTACACCTTCTCATTCCGCGATCACCTTCCCCATCTTCCAGAAGTCTTTACTCACTCTCTCCACTTTCTTCCTCAACATCCACATCTCAAGTCTATCGATAAAGACTTGCAAAGAGCGACCAAACAAAGTCCCTTGCAGTTCTTTCCCTAGACATCGCAATGATATCGTCGCGGCCTTCATCGATGAACTCGACTTTACCTGGGATGGTATCCCAGGTAGTCGTGGCGCCGCGCTACTCTGATGATTCTGCAGAAAAATGCTCACTACGGACCCCGACCACGAACATTGCGAGTGCACACGAAACAATAACACAGGATACGGCTCTTCATAATCATATCTCTGCGTGAGCAGTCCTCTGACGTTGCTCCCCCTCTGCTTGCCATCATGCGGTATGCCGATGTGCGAACCCACTCAAGCGACCATCCTTACCACTTTCGTTGGTGAGCTTGCATCTGCGCACATTCAGTGATTATTCACCCGCAAGTGGTAGCTCACATCCACTGTGACCCATCGTTATCGCTGCCTTTCAGCACCGCGAGTGCTTCTGGTGGTAACTCGAGATTAGAGCTTTGATCAGCTGTTCGAAATGGAGACACATATGCTCCGCCAAAACCAACCTCTTGCTGCACGCCGCCAGGAATCGACAGAGCTCTATCATTGGCTCCCACGACTCTTCTTGGTTGCTGAAGACTAATAGAGCAAGAAGACTGCGGTGAGCGGGCTCCAACATCTGTCTCGGAATTCGACCGCAGCCCGAACCTAGATTCAAATACGCGGAGATACTCGACAATTTTTTTGATAGGTTCGAGCCGGCATGACCAGAGCTTCTCGGGCGTTGCTTCCAATTGCTGTGGTCCCAGAGGTACTTGAAAAATACCACTATGGTGTGATGGCACCTAATACTTGATAGACTGTTAGAGGGCTAAGGAGTGATGTTTCTACTGGGTCCATACTGCACAAGTAAGATGTGCGAAAGCTCTTGTTGGTCGCTTTCTGAATCAGGTAGGCTTTCCATAATGAGCCGCACTTGACCTAACAAGACATCCGCCGTTGCTTCCACTTCGGACGTCGGCATGCGCCAGGACTCATTGAATAAGAATTCCTGGATCCTCACGGCAATTTTGGCTAGGAGAATCGTGTTGTCCAGGGTCGCACCAAGTTGAGCTGGCGTTTCCTGAAGATCGTCTTGCTTGAAACTTGGGTATGCGCTCCACAAGATTCTGTCGTTGAAGTCATGCACCTTGTCAGGATTCCAACACGGAGGCTCAAGATATGCGGACCTGCTGCGCTCGAATGACATCTCCCTGCACGATTCAGCGAAGTAAGGCAAATGAGGATGGGCACGCATACGAGTTGATTATATAAAGTCCCCAGGCAGCGACTGCATACGCATGTCGGTTCCTGACCGGCATGTCTGGATTCCAAAATCTTCCTGTGGAGTGCAACAGACCAATGTCTTTTGCAAGCTGGACAGCTTGTCGGAGCATGAGCCAGCTGGCTTGGCGTTTGCCCTGAAATTTCAGACTTTGCGTTGTCAGTCTGTGCACATTTAATGGGGACGCTGATCTCCGCATACACGACTCATCAGGGTCACTGCTTGAAATGTCGGCTAATGTGGACCGCCCCTCTTCTGCCTTCCATAGCCTTTCAGCTTCCTCAAAGAAGTCCTGGCCTCGTGTTCTGTCCATGCCCCTAACAGCACGGAGTTCTGGATAATCGGAATACGTCTAGCGACCATTAGTCGACATAGATTGAGAAAAATGAGACGTACTTACCGCTGCCACTGCTAAGATGCTGTTTACAAGAAGGGGTGTGCAGAAGTCCGGGTTCCCATCTAGCCCACACTCTATACCGGTCGTAGTCTGGTAACTCGGCATAGCATCCATCTCATCCTCGGGTTCTTCTATCTCGGAATCTAGTGCGCTGAACTCTGGCGCTCGCTCAGTATCTGGAGAATGCTCCAGCTCTGGTAATCCCTCGATATCTGGAAAACTTTCGACTATTGGAATTCTCTCTTCAAACTCGGGGGTCATCTCAAGCTCTAGACATACCTCCATCTCTTGGTCTATCTCGGATTCTGCGGCCATTTCGAATTCTGCGGCCATCTCGGATTCTGGTGACATGTCGAAGGTCTCTAGAACTTTGGATTGTGGTGTAGCCTGGGGATCATAACTCATATCCATCAGGAACAATTCCTGTTCAAGGATATGGGAGAACGGGTGATCCCAAGTGAAGTACAGGGATACAAGATGTGAAACAATGAAGTTATTAGTGTCGCAATCAGTCCAAGATGACGGTACCTGGTACAACGGAGTATCGCAGCGCCTCTCTATTGTGATACGCATAGATCTCTCAGCGGCCGAGAGCTTCTCTTGACGTATAACATCATCTTCCGTCTCACACTACTTGATTCCTCCGGACTTGAGGCTCGACTCCGTGCTTGGCAACTCAAGTTCCTCTAAGGCCTTAGCAACACCTTCGACGTCATTGTCGCGAATGACTTGCTCTATTTTATCGGTGTCATCATCGTCCGCCTCGCGAATGCGGTTAGATAGCGATGTCAACAAGCCTTTGTAATGCTGAAGCTCTACCTGAGTGCGTCTTGCGGCGACTTTGCCTCTCAGGCTTGAGGGCAGATGAGGTTTAATTTGATAATCACCTTTCTCTTCGCTGCCTTGCACGGCAAGCACGCGGTAGAGCTTTTCCTCGACTTTGCTATGACTGTCATTGGGGTTGCAACCGGATCATGATTTGCTGGAGCGAGAGAGGGCAGTGTTCTGCCCATAGGTTTGTGGTTCATTTCGAGCCAGCACGTCCCTTTCCGGAGACATAGGAGTGGTGGTGAGGTTCGGTCGTTATCTCATCCCGAGAGCTGACACTTGGGTGTTTCAAGTTCAGCTTGTTTTGCGCCAAAGCAGCTGGGCACATGGACACGCTGTCAAGACGGACTTTCTTGGAGTATACCTAGAGGAAGGTCACAAATCCAATCGGTCGCCGGTCACCCAATTCAGCAGACGAGATAGTTCGGGATACCTGACACCTGCCTGCTAGTGAGGTGTGGCCTCAGATCAAGATCGCTTAACTGTTCGGAACCAGACGCCCCGCTTCCGGCATGTCAACAAAGGCCATAGTTTTGTCAATACCGCGGATAAAAGGCTCTCACGATCGATGATTGTTGAGTCTGAGGGAAGCCATCGAAGTGTGAAGGCGCCGACGCGATCGAAGGGAAGAAAACGGAGAATATGTACCCAACAGTAGTTGGAATTGCTCGACAGACTAAGAGCAAGGCCTACACGTGATCGAGTCGTCTAAGAACCTTCCAGTAACAATGTCGACCAAGGAGCTGAAGAGCAAGGGCGGGTTAGAGGAATGAAGAAGGCATCAATCTGGCCTTAGCAGGATGAAGCAATCTGGGACGATATGGGGGTTTCCGAAGACTGAACTGCCGATCGCGAAAGCGCAAGACTGCGAGACCAACACAGAGGCGAATGACAGGTGCAAGAGGAGAAGAAAGAAGCAATGGCAGAGCCAGAAACTAGCGGTTGAAAGACGGCCCAAGAGGAAGAAAACAGGCATATCAGCGAGTTTCTCTGTGAGGGCCAGGAAAGACCTGTGGTCCAATCCCACGGGTGGGAACAACTAGAAGTTGAGCTTTGGAGCTGAGCTGAGCATTGGCTTCCCAATCACGGTACCTGTTTTGATCCCGAAAAGGTTCCCACATCGGCTACGTATCGAGACAAGTCTTTTTACGACGCAGGGAGGCGCGGCAGCTTCTGCGACCCCCGACCTTTACTCTGAGCCTTCACGAGCTCACTTGTGACCCTTTTCTTACCACTCACCATACCTACTGCTTTTTGGAGCAGCACGGGTCGGCTCTAATGTCATAATGGGCCATCGATCAGCGTTCTCCGTCGATATGATGGTTGATATCCAGTTTTACATAGTCCCCGTAAACCAACCTGATCGATCGACCGCGGGCCGTTATCCAACGAGAGCGACATATATTGCTCGGCCAACGTTCTCACCTCTTGCTGCATGTATGCTGGCTGCACCTCTACCTAAGAGGGACAAAGACATGCACAAGTGGCACTACCTAAGTAGTGCAAGGATCGAAGCTCTACTCGAGGATAACATCATGCATCTGCATCCTTATAGGTTGGGCGGGAGGGCCGTCCTCGAGCCGAATAAAGGAGCAGGTAAGGAGGCATGGAGGAGGGATCCGCGGGAAAGCAGAGCAGAAAACCCCAGGGATGGAGCAAATTCACGCGAACTGCGCCTCACCACTCCTCACCCTCGATATCACAGGTGGAAGACTTATCCGAGAGGGCTAGCGGCAGTCTGGGCTGAATTGGTTCCAAACTGCCCAGTTTGAGGTCCATCAAATATACTGATTTTCATACCGGATGATCTACACTGGAAATAAGCGCCGTCTCAAGCCCACGATTACTTCATATGACAGGAAAAGGGGTCCAATAGTTGCTGTCTAGCTCTCTTGCCTGACGTGGCGGCCTCCAGAATCACAAGCAATTACTCGAAAAAAATTCGCAGGTTAGCTTGTTCGCGCCCCTTGGTACTCTGATACTCCGGCTTTGTGCGGCGACAAATTGAAGCTACGTGAACGTCATATGCCTCGTGGCGAATAGACCGAGTGGTTCGCACTTCTACAGATCATAACAAACTGGTGACAGGTTTGAAGATCGCTTGCATCACTCAGCACGAGATGGGGCGAAATCTGGTTCACCTGGCTCTAGCGGCTAATGTTCGGGCGACTGGCCCAAGGTTCTTACTTATTCACCCCTGTACTGCCCTAGTTCGGTATCAACCGCCGAGGGGTTACTACTGGCTCCTCCTGTCTAGCCATGGCAGGCATCATTGGATTCATGTCCCAGATCTACATCTGATAATCCATGGGCCTTGGGATCCTGGGCTGGCAGCTCGTCCTCAATCACCTGACTCGAGGGGCGTGACTGCCTTGGCATCATGGCGATTAAACGCTGGCTTGCAAGTAGGGGTGCCCCGGGGTCGGGTGATTTAACCTTGCTAAGGTAAGCCTGCACGACTGGTTAACGTGCCAGATTGCTATATGAATATACCAACGTCCACCAATCAGGCGAACCAAACCAGACGGCGCTCAGGCCTACTGGATAAGGTAATTGGCAGGTAGTAAGTGGGTACGTGCCTTACTACCTATCTTGTTATATCTGCGTCGACAATTGAGTGCCGAAGGGGCACAAGGATCGATGCTGCCATGATTCCCTCCTCCAAGTCCCCTTTAAAGAGTGGTCTGAGCGGCCGTGCAGGTTGTGAGTTATGCCGCCTGCCCATATAGGTAAATAGTCCCAATTCTGCAATGCTGGGCATTTGATAGTGGTGGTAGGCGGTCCGCCACTGCATGCATCCAGCCCGATCACAACGCAAGGGCTTACCTAACTAAGGGATTTCTTTTGGGTCGAATTTGCCAACGGAACCAACTTCCAGCCTACGACATTCATCGCTGCTTACATGGTTACGGAGCTCTATATACTCATGCTGTGCTAATTCCTGCTGGTGTGTTCAAAGGAAGCACATTATGACTGGGCCGGAAAGACACAGCACAAGCTCTGTGTGCCGTGTTGTGTAAAAGAACATTTCCGGGCTTACACTCTTCCGCGAGATGTAGTGTGCATCAACTTTGCATTCTCTAAGCTAGCCGGAGTTGTATCTCCGGGGAGAAAAAAAGTAGAAGGCACCGGTCCCCGATCGGTTTCCTCTTCCCAGGTCGGTTCCGAGTATCCACCATCTTTTGCGGTGTGTTACCCATTATACTTGTACATGAAGCCATCTAGCGAAGATGAAGGGATTGCCCCATGCTCCTACATACACGCTTTGATGCGCAAGTCCGGACTTACCCCCGGGACTTTGGGATCATGATCAGCAGCTTATTATACAGCTAAGACAAAGCCATCGCACGAAAAGTGCTCAATAGTATAGGTACCTAGTACGTAACTAGTACAAAAGGCTCAGGTAGCCGACGGGATTTTAGATGGACTAGTCTATGCATTGATTGCATCACATCGTTTCTTCCCCGCATGCACGGGACTCTCAATGATTCATCAACCTCCCCTGACTGGATGACCTCGATGTGGACATTTTCGCTCGGTTAGGGTGCAGTTCCCAATTGATTGAGCGGAGGTGCCCATTGTGCTTTTCATTGAATTAACATCTACTGGGTAGGGCCACTACTATACTGTACTGTAAGCCAGCACAGCACAGCACAGCACAATGGCCCAAATTATGGTAACAGCGGTTCGAAGCTTGGCTATCCATTCTGACTCGCCAAGAGCCCCACGCTAGATTAACCATGAATCAGGTGTGCTCTAATTTCTAAAGGCTATTCCGATCGTCGCTTCAAGGTAAATGGATGCCTTGACCTTCTTGCTTGCTTGCTTGCTTGTTTGCTTTCCTGGCTTCTTTTTCTCCTTCCTATTCTCCAATGCTGATGCTCAGATGTGATCGATCGAAGGTTACAGGCATGTATGATGTCGGTCAGATTCATTCCAACGAGCCACTCGAGCAAGTGTCAGCCATGATCGGTTACATTTATGTGCTTACCTCGCTTTGCAGAACAAGTCTACCTGACTTATGGAGTGACTTGACAGTAAGTGCAAACTCTCCAAGGAAAAGGGTGCAACACTCTGGACTCACCCCGTCTATACCGCCTTTTCGGCTCAAATATTCCATTCTGCCAAAGATATTCTGTCAAATGGTCATCTTCTCAATCGGCCTCTGGCTCGGCGGTGTACCTCCATCTCTTAGCTAAGCCAGCTCCTCAATCCGCTCTGACCGCCTTCGGTTAGGCTCGGTATAGGTGGTGGTCGAAGGGCCCCGATGGCGGAGCGGGTATAACTGAAGCGGGACAATTGATATTCGAGGCCCATCTTCAGAAACAGTTGGAATGATGAAAAGCCGTGCTATAGAAGCAATGGCACCAGATGCGGAGACGGTAGCCGATGATAGCCTATCGAAGGTTTAAAATCGTTTTGCTCCAGGTGCCAATCGAACAGCCTCTGGAACCACGGGAGGGGTCTTTGTCTGTTGCGAGTTCGGATATCGATGGCAAACGTCCCCGACCAAGAAAGAATCGGCCCGCCGAAAAGTTTTCCTTGCCTCCTGGTTTGGCCGGGCGTGGGGTTCATAAAGTAGACGCATTGGACACCCGTAGGAGAGTCTCTGGTCCTTTCAATCTCTAGAGACTCAACATCTATATCGTACGCCCACCGTCTCCAATTCCAGTGACCGATCTTGGCTCGATCTTGGCTGCACGCATCGAGTCGCGTCCCCGAACTCCGTATCCGCCGGTTCGCCCAGTACTCTTCTTGTGACTCACCAACATTGGCAAATATCAATTGCGCCAAATCCCCCGCCGCAAACGTCGTCTTCAAATCTTCGGTGAATAACCTCTCAATCATACCATAGTCATCATGGGTTCTGCCGCCCCTACTCTCGCCGAGCTGGATGCCTCGTTCATCAAGGTCACTCGATCGACCAATCTCCGCGATGTCCCTCTCCCCGGATCGCCTGAGGAATTGAGCCATTCCCACTGCACCGATCATATGGTCACTGTGCGGTGGACCGCGAGCAATGGCTGGGACACGCCTGAAGTGAAGCCATTCGCCAACCTGAGCATCCCGCCCACGGCTTCGTGCCTGCACTACGCCACCGAATGCTTTGAGGGCATGAAAGTATACCGGGGCCTCGATGGCAAGTTGCGTTTGTTCAGGCCGGACCTCAACGGGGAGCGTCTGGACATGAGCTCCAAGAGAGCCTCCTTGCCTGGTTTCAGATACGGAGAACTGAAGCACCTCATTGCCAAGTTGATGCAGATTGACGGACCACGTATGGACTTTTCCCTTTTGCACTTCCTCCCTCAAATATTCGTTCCGCGACACGAGCTGACACGACAATTTTTCACCCCTTAGGTTGGCTCCCCAAGGATCAGCCCGGTCGCTTCCTTTACCTCCGTCCCACCGTGATTGGCAACGGCACGCAGCTCGGCGTGCAGACCCCCAAGGAGGCACTCCTCTTCATCATCGCGGTTCCCTGGCCCGACCCCTCGAAGAAGAAACAGGAAGAGGGTGTGCCGCACGGTCTGAAGCTCCTCGCCTCGCAGCCCGACACTATCCGCGCCTGGCCCGGCGGTTTCGGCTACGCCAAGCTGGGCGCCAACTATGGACCGTCCCTGGCTGCGCACGGTCGGGCGCAGGCGATCGGATTCGATCAGGTTCTCTGGCTGTTCGGTGAGGAGCGTCAGGTCACTGAGGCGGGCGCGAGTAACTTCTTCGTCGTTTGGGAGAACAAGGAGACCGGAAAGCTGGAATTGATCACTGCGCCGCTGGACAACCAGTTGATCCTTCCCGGTGTCACCCGTCGCAGTGTCCTCGAGCTGGCTCGGACACACTTCGCTCAGCCCTGCGGCAAACTTGCGCCTGTCGAGGTTGTGGAGAGGGAATTCACGATCAGCGACATCGAGGAGGCCTGGAAAGAGGGACGCATTGTCGAGTCTTTCGTCTCCGGTACCGCGGTAAGTTTCCGAGTGTGATTGATGTTAGTTTAAGAGAATCCTGTGCTGATATCATGGCTTAGTTTTTCATCACACCTGTCAAGTTGATCCGTAACGGCAACGTCGACATGGGTTTGCTGACTGCTGGCGCTGAGCGCGCAGGTTATGCAGCCCAGATCAAGGATTGGCTGGAGGCTGTTATGTATGGCAAGGATGGCAGCGAGAACCACAAGTGGGGATTCGTCATCGAGGATGAAGCTGTGAACTAGACATTTACCTTGTCTGCTTTCGCATGGTTTGGGGAATGTTGGAACTTGGATATGCAAATAAGATTGCCACGTGGGGTTTGTATGTGTGGAGGCGGGGTTGGGCTGCGTGCCTTGTAAATAAAGCTATGTTCTGCTTCTATGATAGAGCTAGACCCTATTGACGAATTAGCCATGTTTTATGATACTTCACTGTCATGTGATACACTGTAGTGCTGCTTGGCCAATCTATCTCTGCCGTAAATATCGAACGTTCCATGGGACTGTTCTGATTGTCATGTTGTCTATCATATATATTCCCGGACCATAGATATCATATCTTCGTATATCCACACAACTTCTCAAGGTGCACAGTTCATTCCATGAGTACAACTGCTATTACAAGTTCTGACTGGAATCGCTATCATCCTTTCCAGTACCCTCTCCAAGATCCACTATCATAGGAGCGTATTCTCCGTGCTCCTCCTCCTCATTGTCCCCTTCTACCTCTAGCTCAACCTCTTCACCATCCTCGAGTTGAACCATACCTCGCCGAAGAATAACATCACGATTGAGTTCCCAATCATACTCTTCCCTCACAAATGCTTCGAGTTTCTCGAACTCGGTCTTAACCGCAGAATTTGTACCCTCAACAACCTCATAAAGTGACGCGCGGAATTTGGTCAGCAATTTCCGCAGGAACACTCCCCCCTCCTCTCCATCCAGATCAAACAGGCCACCCTCCACGTCGTCACAGCGCCGCAGCTGAAGCAAGAGCAACCGTAGCAGCTCACTCATGAACGACTCTCGATCGCGAATCGCGCTGCGACACGTGAGAATCAGCCCCAGCAACCGCTTCCACTGCTGCAGACACGAGTAATTCATCAGCGTCAAGATCATCAAGAAGGAAAACTGCAGCTCCCCCAGCAATTGGGCTTCGCCAACCCTCTCCCGCTCCTGCTCACTGACAGTCCCGTTAGACCTCGACACCCTGCTGATCAGGTCGCCCAGCGCCCACGAGCGATCCTGAGCCGCCTCCGTCCTCTCCCTCCCAACCGCCCCCTCCCTCCACGTCCTCTTCAAATCCACCGGCACAAACGAGAACTCCCTCTCCTTCTCCCCCGTAACCCTCTCAATGGCCCCCTCATCCATCCCCCGCTCCTCATTCTGCACCGTCACCCCAGGAATGGCATCACTATCCCTCAACGCCGTACTCGCGGACGTGACCATCCAGCGCGCCCTCCCATCAACATCCACAACAGGGACCCCCACAATCCGATCCAAGAGCTCCCCGGTAATCCGATTCGTCAACCCCAACCAATCCCTCCTCCCTTCCTTCTCATCCTCCTCCTCCTCCTCCTCCTCCTCATCCGCTTCGTTCAACCGTACACCAGCAGACCCCACTCCGCCCTGCCGCAGCTGCCTCTGCCGCAGCTTCTGCATAGCCAACATCGCCGCCGTCACCCGACTCCGATACCGAAACAGCCCGCCCCGAGAATAGATCGCCCCGAGATTTGCCTTCCGGCGCATCGCCTCCTGCCTATCCGCGTCGCTGTCGGCGCTCAGCGGCGCGAGCGTCTCGCTTTCCGTGTCCCATTTCCAAACTATAATGTCTTGACCAGCCTGTTGGCTGCGCGCGACGAGAGCGCGCGTAGTTTCATGGTTTGTACTACCACTACCACCAGTAATGTTGCCCTCGTCACCGACGTAGAACCAGCTCCCGCAGCGCAGGGAGAGGCTTTCCGTGGTGCCGGTGTAGAGGAAGTGCCAGCCCGGCGGGAGGTCGCGGATGCCGTGGAAGTTAGAGGTGGAAGTAAAGGTGAGAAGGTCGATGCCCACGAGGGTCTTTGGTGGGAGGTCGGGGAGGAGGATAGTCGGGGAGGGAGTGGTCATTCTTGTGGATTTTCTTTATCGGTTTTTTTCTTCTTTTTCTTGTCGTATTGGAGTGAGGTCAATTGTTAGTTATCTGGTGGTGTTCATTTGGGTGTTAGTCCCAGGGCCAACGTCGGTGTCTGTTGTAATTGTATAGGTAGGCTGGCTTGCTGGCTTTCTTTGTTAGGGGATTGGCGGGGGTTTGAGGGGTTCGCACGGCACTGAAGTGGTGGATTGACGTCAATTCTTCAGGTAGAGCGGGGAACGACGGGAGAAGATCAGGAGATGTTGTTATGGATGGTTTGGATTTTTGTTGTAGGTTCTTGTGGGTTTGGTCTGATCAGATAGTATGATTGTATCGTACATCAGCTGCAGAAGTCGAGGGGAAAGCAAGGATTATCGAGGGGAAAGTTCGCGATATGCTGGTGATAAGTAGCGCTTATCTTAGCGGCTGGATAAGCCTTCTGATTTTAAATGTGACTCCGATATGAGCGGGGTTTTCTATCTACACAGCCAAAGTCGGCCCAACTTGCGCGCCCAGTTTTGAAGACCATATAGAGCATTATATTACTTTTGATGAAGAGTCGTGCTTACGATAGAAGAACAAAGTGCAGTTCAAGTTCCACTTATATTGACCAGAGTGAGCCGTCGGGCCGACACCAGACTAACTACTGCGAATTCCAGGAACCGCTAAACACACTTTTGGGTATGTAATAAATTGAAGACCAGGCGGGAAAAAAAAGCCGTTCTTCGCGTTTATTCCATCCACAGCCGGCAAGCAAGGAGTAAGTTCCCCCAAGCAGCGAGCGTAGAAGCAAAGCAGCTTCCGCGCAGCTTGGTAGAGACAGACTCGCACATGCTCACAGACGACGACCACGGCGACCACCCTTGCGACGAGTAGAGTCGGAGGGAGTGGGGGTGACGTCCTCGATACGGCCGATGCGCATGCCGGAACGGGCGAGAGCGCGGAGGGCGGACTGGGCACCGGGACCGGGGGTCTTGGTGCCGTTACCACCGGTGGCACGGATCTTGATGTGGAGGGCGTTGATACCGAGCTCCTTGCAGCGGGCGGCGACGTCCTGGGCAGCCAACATGGCGGCGTAGGGGGAGGACTCGTCACGGTCGGCCTTGACCTTCATACCACCGGTAACACGGCAGATGGTTTCACGGCCGCTGTAGAGAGGAGAATGCAAATGTTAGCCCTTCTTGTTCGAATTGTTCCCTTCGGTTTTTCTTTCTGCATGTTTCTCTTTCCATCCTGCCTCTCGGAACGTCTTCTCGACTCCTCCGAACCAGCCCTTCCGCAGGACCGCAAGAAGTCGAGAAGCGCGACGATTGCGAGATGGTTGTTCCCCAGATTGCTTGAAAAAGGCGAGACTTACGAAAGATCGGTGACGTGAACGAAGGTATCGTTGAAGGAGGCGAAGATGCGGGCAACGCCGAAGACGAGCTTGCCTGTAAACCCCAACGCATTAGTACTCTTTTTTGCGCGATAATAGCAATTGCTGGATTCAATCCGTACCATCACCGGCCAGAGGGCCGAGAGTGACGTTCTCCTTGGCGGCAGGGGCGGTCTTCTTGGGAGCCATTTTTGTCGGTTGTGGAATGGAATATGGAAAGAAGGGAAAAAGGATCGAAGTCGAATGCGCCCGCTCGAGTGAAGTTGGATACAGAAAAATCCGGACGGTGTGTGCCCTACCCACATCTGCACTCTTATTGGCTGCAGTATAATCCTAGGCCGTGCTCAAGCGAGGGGCTGCCTGAGGCCATCAATCAAATAAACCCGTTTTGACAGCCGTTGATTGGCGACGCCTCGGATGACAGTCGGGCCGAAAGCTGGAATGTTGGCACTATTTAAATTCCTCCCGCGATTCTCGCAAATTGATACTTTTCTTCTTCCCTACGAAGAATCAACTCGGACAATTGGCGCGACTCCGTGGCTTTCTTTGCATCGGACGTCTAGTGGACTGGCTAAGCGACAGTTACACAGTTTAGAATTCTGTCATCACCTCAGGGCTGACGGTCTCAAGTCATCATGGGCTTCACCAAGGAGACTGCCAGTATTGGCATCATCGGAATGGGTGATATGGGCAAGATGTATGCTCAGTTGCTCAGTGCCGCAGGATGGAGGTAATATATACGCGAAGATTTTCTTTCCGTTCTGCGTCGACAAGATACCCCATCAGCGTCTCTCGTATTAGGTGAGCACCCCTCTTTTTTCCCCTTGCTTATCCCGCCTCCTTCCACCTTTTTTGAATGATGACTTGAGTGCATTTGGCTCGAGCATGGCCCTGTGAACGGCTTTTATATCATTCTGATATACTCGCTACCCACCGGGTCGTCAATGATGTAAAATCTCAGCTACCTAAATTTCTTTGTCTGAAATTCATATCGCAAACATGTTTCTTGTTTATTCAGCCATTCGCTGCCGAATACCTTGCTGACTGTCTTGCTTTCAGGTTATTAACTATTCGTATACATTTTCATTCGATAGCAAACCAGAACTAGTTAAACTAACTAGACTTCGTTCAATAAAGGATTAATGCATGTGACAAACCCGATTTATATGAGGACTTGACCAAAGAATTTGAATCTCAAGTACGTTCTTTTACTCGCAGCTAGTGCTGTTCCTAAACTCATCTTGAGAAGCAAGGTGTTACAGTATACCCGAATGGACACCTGGTTTCTAGGATTAGCGATTACATCATTTACAGTGTAGAGGCCGGTGTCATTGACAAGGTAGTCGCTGAGTATGGCCCATGTATGTCTTGCAAACCACGGCGGCGCCCAGCATCTTTCCCTCCACAACCTTACAAACGTTGTCTGACTCCTGGAAAGCTACCAAGGTCGGCGCAATTGTTGGAGGTCAAACGTCCTGCAAGGCTCCGGAGCTCTCTGCATTCGATAAGCATCTTCCCTCGGATGTAGAAATTGTATCCTGCCATTCACTTCATGGCCCCAAGGTCAATCCCAAGGGCCAACCTCTGGTATGATACCTTTGATGATGATGATAAGGACCATCAGCGTGTGGACACAACCCCAGTAACTCTCCATGGTTTCATAGGTTCTGATCCAACACCGTGCCTCCGACGAGAGCCTCAGATTCATCGAGGAGGTTTTATCATGCTTCGGCTCCGAATTCGTCTACCTCACGGGAGAGATGCATGATCGGATCACCGCCGATACACAGGCGGTTACACACGCCGCCTTTTTGAGCATGGGTACGGCTTGGCAAGCAAACAAGCAGTTCCCCTGGGAGATTTCCCGTTGGGTCGGCGGCATCGAGAACGTCAAGATCAACATCACACTGCGCATTTACTCCAACAAATGGCATGTGTATGCCGGTCTCGCCATCCTCAACCCGGCCGCCAAGAAGCAAATCCGCCAGTATGCCGAGTCGGTGACCGAACTCTACAAGCTCATGATTGAAGGCCGTCGGGAAGAGCTCAAACGCCGCGTGAAAGCTGCAGGTGCGGCCGTTTTCAAAGCGGGGACCGAGAGTCAAGAGCTGCTGCTAAAGGACGAGGTTCTCGACCGCTTCTCTTTGTCGAATGGACCGCGCCAGAAGACGCCCCCCAACAACCACCTCAGTCTGCTTGCAATCGTCGACTGCTGGTCCAAACTTGGAATCGTCCCGTACGACCATATGATCTGCTCAACACCTGTAAGGCAAATTCCCTCTCTTGAAGTTCAACCACGGAAGGTTCTGGTCGCGTTCCCCTATTTCGATCGCTTACAGTGCTTCTCTCCGATTCATGTAGCTTTTCCGTCTCTGGCTGGGTGTCACCGAATACCTGTTCCGTAGCCCCGAACTCCTCGAGGAGGCCATCGACACCGCCATCGACGACAAGACGTTCCGATCCGACGACCTAGAATTCACCTTCGCAGCTCGGGTAAGTACTTCTTTGCCTCAGCTCCCTTGTCCATTCCAACCCCCATGACCCCCACGGGGAAGCGCAGCCGGGGGTAGCCCCCGGGGGCATCTGCAAGCCTTGCATCGGCCAATTCTTGTCTTCCCTTGCCGGCCGTACATGCGCTTTGTCGTGCTTTCTGCCTGTCCTCCACCGAAGCGTTTGTTTCCAGAAAGTTTCTTTCCACCTCCAAAAATTGACGTCATGTGATGCATCTGCAAACAGGCGTGGTCCGACTGTGTTTCCTTCGGAGATTTCGAGTCCTACCGCGATCGATTCGAGCGCATCCAGCAGTACTTCGCCCCGCGGTTCCCCGAAGCCGTCAAGCTGGGCAACGAAATGATGAAGACCATCCTGGAAAAGACCGCTGCCCCCGGAAATCCCTAAATTTAGAAACCAATCCCTCCATCCCGGGACATTATATTAAAATGAAAAACTTTATTCCACTCCCCGATAATTCAAAATAAGAAAAAAAGGAAGAGCAAACCACTGGAACTTAGCGGATGTCGGGTAGCGCGTTTGAAAACATCCGCGGCGGCGTCCGGGGACCCAACCATGGAGAGAGAAGAAGGGAGAGAGGCGGGGACGGCCTCAGGTAGTAATTTGCTGCTAGCTCAGGCGGGAAAATGAAGGTATTTGTAAGAAGAGGGAGAAAAGCCGAATGGGGTGGATGCTTATCATTCAGTTATCTCCAAGAGAATGACCGGGTGTATGGCTTGTATTAGCAGGAAGGTGTGAAGTGTGCGTGCGCCTTTGTGGGCATGCTCATGCTCTTGTTAGTTTTCGATGATAATATTCGAGGCCCTTTTGATGAGGAGGCTCTGATATTCGAACCTCCATCACTCTTTACTTCCAGTCCCCAAAGTCAGGTCCAGGGGTTCGCTTGCGCACGGGGTTTCTTGGTGCAATCTATTTGATCGTCTGAGCTTTATCTCTTTCAGGCAACTCGCGTACGTTTCATGCCCGGGGGGCACGGAGAAGGGGGTGTGGGAAAGGTTCCACCGGCGATTTAGGCTAAGCTGGGTTGCTGCGTTTCTTACCTAGCGGAGCTAGTCTAGCAGCTCAAATCTACTCGCCGTGCTCAACTTTCTGCTAGGCACTGCTAGGCAGTAGGCGGTCGGGACGTACCGTACCTCGACTGATTGATTAACCTAGGACTGTGGTTTTCACATGGTTGTCGCATATCCTATTGACATGGGCATTTGAGGGTGAATTCTCCGACGTGCTTCTATTATGGTTGATCGTTGAGTGCTTTGTAGCAGTAGTAGTCGAACGGCCAAGTCAACAAGTAATTGTCTTCGTTTTGCTTAACGACTGCCACGCCTTTGTCAACAATGACAAGTTGGCAACAAAGGTGTCCCGTCTGCAGATCCAAGTCACAGTTTGAGAGGTTTGTTCCGGACAATTGCCCTCTTCGAGATACCGTGGTTTGTAGGCACTAAGACAGTTAAGCAACTGTATACCGAGGATTCGGTCTCAGGCCACATCTGGCAGGAGCCTGGAGATCTTTGTTGCCTGCCGCAATGATTGCGAACATGTTCATTTCAGCCAATGCTACTGTGGTATTTCTCTAGAATTGAGTTCTTTGTCTACACTCAAGCAACTCAACTAGTATTAATCCCTGCATAATCAATATAACAATATATTGCGCTTGCAAATCCGCTTTAATCCGGCGAATAGGCCGCCAGACAATCCGATTGACAGATACCCTGAGATCTATCGGTACTCGACCCTGGCTGAAGACTGGCTGGGTGTTGTTTGTATAGATTGCGTTGCGGCACTTTCCACCCCCACGCGATGGGCATCTCACCGCATGACTTAACTGTACAGTACAAGACTAACTAACCATGATTATTGACAATCTGACATTCCACAAAAGATCCGAGCGCAGGATAAAGTATCTGTCTGTTTTCCGCACCACTCCGTCTCTACGCCACTAAGTGGAGTATGCTTATGATTGGGACTGCTAAGAATGTGTTTACGAGGTACTCCGTAGGTAGCATGATACGGACAGCGATGGGGGGGGGGGGGGGGGGGGGGGGGGGGGAGCGGGAAACGAACGGAAGGATCATGGATGATGGACTTTAAAGCCCGGCCGTGTTTCTTTGACGACAAATGTGACTGGTAGTCTAGCCCGGGTTGATTGAAGTCGCCGTGCAAGTCGGAATCGCTGGAAGAAGGCGACAGGCAGTGCCCAGCCCTGTGACCAAGAAAGACCAAGAAAAACCAAGACCAAGACCAGTCAATGTGACGGCATACAGAGCAAGAAGAATAAGAAGATAGTAGAAGATTCACAGCTTTTGCAAACCCTCCTCCACCCCCCCTTCGTCCAGCCTCAAGGAATGCAATGACAGTATTTTTAGTCACCCGCCGATGATGTCGTAGGTCGGCGGTGGGTTATCACATGGGCTGGCCGCTAGTGCTCCGTAAACTAGTAGTGCCAATTCGCATGGCAGAATCTTTTACGGAGCATCCCGTCTTTGATTTTGTTTTGTATTGGAATTTTTCTGATTCTTTTTTAAACTAAGAATAACTACTGACTCGGGCTGGGATTGATGATGCCATTATGGAAAAGGCACCCTCTGCTATTGGATTGATGCTTCCAAGCGAGACCAATCAATTAACGTGATGACAGGCCCCAGGAGTCTAAACAAAGGGGCTGCACTCCGGATTCCGCCGCTAAGGACGGCCTAAGTGGTCTTGCTTTTTTCTGAAACAAGAGCTACACATAATCTGATTCCCACCCTGTGTACATCATTCTGCAGGCTGAGTCAAGCGAGAATACTTTACTCCGTAGTGAGCGATCATCTTCTGTGATGACTGCGAGTGATTGTGTGCATATATTGTCTGTCTCAAATCTCAAGCTGTCAAGCTGTCAAACTGTCAATTTGGAGGGATTGATAGGAAAATAGAGTGCAGTAGAACGTAAGGGTACCATAGCATTAGCGGTGCATAAATAAAGTTTCCTTCCCTCCCCTTTTGCGAGGCGAGAAGAGAGAAATTCTTCCAAGAGGAAGGAAACCCATACTCCCACCCACGGTTACGTGGTTGCCCTGAACGGCAAAACCACCGTCTTGGAAGTTTGCAATCGAGCCCTGTCGACCGTGACCGTGGAAAGACCAGTATGGATCTGGGTAAACGAAAGGTTTCCTCTCCTTTCCCATCATTGGTTCCGAGCTTCCGGTGGCCCACACACAGGCTGGCTTCTGCCGCAAGAGTCAGAAGGGGAAAAAAAGGTCACTGAGCAGTGAGGAAGAACCGCCCTGGATCGGTGCAATTACGACTTGTTCCCGAGATCCGATAACTTGGTCTTAGCTACGGGAGACCGATGCTGATTGGCAGTGACGGTACTTCAAAGGACTGACCCATTCCGAGTGCCGTAAGACGAGCAGGAAACCTAACTTAGGTAGCCACCCAGCTCTCAGCGGCGAAAAGGGTCCATGATTGGCGCCAGGAACAATAAGCGGGGCAGGCCGGACGTCTTTCGGGTTCTCAGCTTTCGAACTAGTGCGTAGATGAGAACTCAGTTCTGCAGCGTGGCGGAAGGATGACATGATAGTTTAGGGGAATGAGGTGTTGATCCCGGGGAGGAGGGATTGGGTCTGGAGGAGGGGTGGTGGGAGGGAAGGTCCAGAGGGACAAGGGAGGAAAGAAAGGGTAAGAAGATAACATGAAGTCCACTGAAATTGAATTCAATCCATTCTCCACATCGATACGGGACATAACCGTTTGCTGGTCGCTTCCATCAGAAAGCAACAGGCAACATGATGATCAGGCCATGGGGAAGCTGGCAGGGTTCTAGAAGTCTAGAACGAGCCAGTCGCCATTGCAGATAATGCGAACGAACGTGTTGATGCATCGACAGGGAGGTAGTAGCCTAGGACCCAGCTGGTACTTTTACCTACCGGTATAGTCTAGTAGGAGAAAGGAGGTGTGGGAAAGACGGTCCCGGGAGAAGAAAGGAAAATGCACGGAAATGGGTGAGAGCAGGGGGGTAAAAAGGTCCATTCGAGAGGCCCGCCGACAGTCTGCGGCCTGTCTGATTGATCACCTGCCGTTCTCCGACCCAATGGTATGCCCCATCCCGACGGTTGAAAATCATGGATGCTGAGCCATTATTATTCATTCAAATGATTGAATAATAATGCCCAGCCTCAAGTCCAGTTCTTCAGGCTTATGACCTAAGTCCGCCTACTTCCCAAGAAGGGTGAGTCTCATTTGAACTCTGCTAAGGCAATAAGCTACCTTGGATTCGCCAACACCTGCTAGTATGATTCCAGGCATTGCAGTGACCTCTCTCATCCTTTCTGTCCAGACAAACCATGAAGCACAGACCATGTGGCCATTCCACGCCCAAAAAAATGCCCACTACGTAGTACGTACCAGACTGGAAAGCCAGAGAGGCGTGGCAGCCCGGGGAACTTAAATCTGAAAAGGTCCGAGGATTTTCGCCATGATTGTCAATCTGGAAAAAAATAAAGGTACCCGCTTGCCGGGCATATCTATCTGACAATCTCCCATTCTGATTGAAGATCTTCTCTCCTTTCGTGGGCCCGATTTTGCTTCCTATCGTTGCTGGATCTAAGTAGTGAGTAGACCGGTTGTCACACTCTCAATTGCAAGCCTCTCCTTTCCCTGTCGGTTCTTAGTCTGCCCATCTGAAGTGGTGTTTATCCGCATGGTAGCGTGATCGTCATCCCTCAACTCGTTGAGATTGTCATGCAGACAGATCTGTCGCATGGCATCTGTGGCAACACTATGTGGCTTATGACAACTACATGCGATTGAATTATTCGAACCCCTCAAGTATGACTATCCCTCTTGCCTTGTTGTCCGTGATTTGGTTGATTTTGAATCTTTCTCTGCCCCCGACATCACAACCCTCTATCACACCGCGATGGCCGACGCGAGGCTATCGCGAGGGGTATACCCTTTACGCCTATCATGCTACGATAATTTTGCTGTAGATTAATGTCTCATTTCGTTGTTGGTTGTTGCTGACAGAAGCTTTTTGTGCAGTGATGCTTCTTGCCTCATATACTTCTGAACACCAAGACTCCAACTGCGACAGATCACAGCCCTAACATACTCAAGAAGCTTCCGCCACTAAGACAAACCCACGCCCACCCTTCGTGATCTTCATCAGCAACACTCCTTGACCTCACTACCATTCTGAACCTTCATTTGCTTTACATTATACCCGCTGAACGACTTGACTTCGCGCCGCCTGCATTCATTTTCGGCCGCATCCTCACTTTGCTCCAATTCATCTACAGACGGCCTGGATCCGTCCTGAACTATCATTATGAGACCGTCTTCTTTCTTTCTTACTGCCGTGAGTGCACTAGGACTCGGTAAGATTTTCTTTCTTGATTGACATGCTCCTATCGGCTAACTCCCAGCTCTTCAGCACGTTCATGTTTCAGCAGTGTTATCAACCAGAGGTCCTATGTCGATTATGAAGATGTATCTTACAGCATTGACGTACCTCAGAACACATCGTCTACGGGGTCAGGCCCTATCTATCTCCGGCTCAGAGCCCCGCCTGGTGTCAAATGGTTCGCACTAGGCCAGGGATCGCAAATGACAGACGGAAACCTCTTCATCATTTACTCTGCACCAGACAACAACATCACACTCTCCACGAGAAGAGCAACTGGCCATGTCCAACCGCAGTACGATTCCAGCATGCATGCATACCTCGAGGAAGGCTCTGGCATTTATGACGGGATCATGACGGCAAATATTCGCTGTGACAATTGCACGACTTTGGCCAATGGCAAGAGTGCAGTGGGAAATCCCAGCTCCTGGTCCTGGGCTTTGACTTATGGACCCCCACTCGTCTCTAGCAATGTTTCTGAGATGCTGTACCAACACGACTGGCATGGCTCCTTCACACTTGACCTGGCTAAAAATGCTGGTAGCAATTTTTCGAACCCATACTATGTTCCGTTACGCTTTGCACCCAATCTTTCGCCCTACTCTAACCCCCACCAAGTCAGTGATACCATTCTCCACAAAAAGCGAATTGCGCATGGCGTAATGACCTCGGTGGCCTTCGTTCTTTTATTCCCCAACTTCGCCCTCCTCTTGTACATTGTTCCTTCTCGCCGCACTGTGGCATGGATCCACGCCCCTCTGCAAGCCTTCGCTGTGCTTCTAGCTCTGGCAGGATTTGGTGTTGGCGTTTCCGTATCGAAGGACCTACAAGAGCTCGGTGGCTACCACCCTGTCATTGGATATGTAGCCGTTGGCGGGGTCGTCATTATACAACCGATACTGGGCATCATGCAGCACCTGCACTTCCGCAAGACCGGGACGTCGTCACTTTATGGGGTTTCGCACCGCTACCTCGGTCGCTTTCTTGCGGCACTTGGAATTATCAATGGAGGACTTGGCTTCCACTATGCGACGTCTAAGAATCCCGATATTCCGCCCGCCTCGCCCATCGCCTACGGTATCATTTGTGGAGCTATGTTCATGATCTATGTTGCTGTTATCTTATGGCGCAGGCGCAAGAACAAGCTTCAAGCTGCTCACTCCATGGCATTGAAATGTGTTGAAAACAAAGGAAATTTGGCCAAGATGGACAACAGCAGTAATAGCACACTTGTCCCAGTACCTGATGGTGCCATTGATGCGTCGCGGAACAAGCCGTGGGAACGATAATCATGGTTACACCAGCTACTATCACGATCGTTATCAGCTATTTTGTACTACAAGCGTACATTCCCGTTAGGTCTTGCATATCCGGAGTTCGTCCTACAGCATCCTGAAATCTACTAAACCGGCAAATTTTTTCGTTTTTCGTTCATGTACTATGATGTTTGCATCGATGCAACCACTATCCCCCTCTTTTGTTCTATTTATTTACTTCTTTGTTGGTGTTTGTAGTCCTACGGGATTCATTTCTATGTATATATATACATATATATATATATATATATTTATGGAACGAACTAATCATACTCTGCACATAGTAATGTCTCATGAATTTGCTTTCGTTGTCGCCTTGATTGGAATATCTGAATCTTGGGCGTTCTCGAGAATGGTACAAGTTACTACTGGTAGCAATCGTATGAAACAGAGATCAAAGACAATATCCCGAGTCTTTGCATGCTGTTCCACCGCTCGACGGGGAAGGCCCAGTAGTATGGCTCGGGCTAGTAATGTTAACTAGGTACTAGTTAGCCTGAGGCGATAAGGCTGGGGTTAGTAAGCCAGCGCGCGTTGGCCAAGCCATGGGTGAATCCAGGCTGAAACCACCACCGGTCGGATTTGAGAGAACATCCCGGTCAATGAAGCAGACAGCTTGTTTACTGGGACCAGTATCTTGAAGTTGTCATCCGTTGTTTGTACTATTTAAGAAGGGTCCCCATAAACCGCCTTCGACACTCCGATCGTCGCCTCCCTAGCCTCACCTGCGTGACCGACCGCCGCGAACCCGTTTCCCCTCCCCTCCCTTCTGAGGTGCCCGCCGTCAGCCCCAGCAGACCATTACCAGAGCGTACAACCTTCACTTCAGTTTCTGTCTCCCCGTTAGCCGGTCGACTTGATAACACTTGCAAATCCTTCTGCAAACTCAATGCAGCGCTTCATCCCTCACTTCACTCGCGACAGGTGATAGTCACTCCTCTCTCGCGGCTAGATGGAGCTCTATGGCGTCCGGATATAACTCAGGATTCTCCGCGACTTCAGTCCAGCACCGTGCTCTGGGTGATGGACCCTCATACTCGAGTCTGGAGGATGGCTCCGCGGACGGGAGCTGGGCTGAGGCCGCCTCCGCGAGACCTGGGAGAAATGCTCGCTCTGAATCCGGAGGGAGTGCGACCATTGGCGTCCGGGGAGGTTCGTTAACCACCTCGGTCGGAGCCCCTGGAAGCTTCAGCTCCGAATTGAAGAGTATGAAATCATCGCGGAGCACTACTCCTCGTCAGGAGGGAGCACTGAATCGTCGGCCGAGCAGCTTCCTTGACCATGACGAGATGCCAACAACGGAGGAGCGCCAGGCCGTTATCCGAGACAAGATCGCCAAGGAGATGAAGATCAAAACGGGGACAGAGAATATGCTGGAGGCGCTACTCGCGAAAAACCCGAAGCACACCAAAGATCAGAGGTTAAGAGTCGAGTCGGAGCTGAGTTCGTCCAATCGCAAACTCGCAGAGCTTCACCATGAGCTTGAGGAGGAGATGCTACGTGCGCAGGCGCCGTCTACCCCGCCTCGAAGTCGCCTGTCGACCCTTTTTCAAAGCAGCTCCATGCGTTCGCCAACTCGCAACAATCCAACGATTGAGGAAGCTCAGCTCCAAGAGGGAGAAGCAGAAATGGAGTCGCCAACATATGTTCTTGCAGAAACTTTACAGGCCTTGGAAATAGAAGGGATGCCCCCGGACTATTACGTCGAACGCGCGAATAGTCTTGTGGAGCTGTTCAAGAGACACCCTACCCTGAAGTACGACCTGGAGTGGTCCGTGTTTGGTTTGCGCGTGCAAATAATGCTTCTGAGCGATAACAAAGAGGCGGTGGCGGCTGGTTATCGATTAACACGCTACGCTATAGCAGACCGGAAGTCCCTGCAGATTATCCGATCGTTCCATACGGACGAACTGGTGATCCTGTCCCTAGTCAAGGAAAGCAAAGCAAGCATTGAACGGGAGCAAGCCTTGAAGTTTGTCAGGGCTTTCTTGGATGTTAAGGACGGTGTGCGCGAGATTTCGCGTGCCGTAGTCAGGACTATCGTTTCCGTCGCAGAGCATTATGAGGATCGTCTTCGGAATATCTCTATTATGACCCTGGCAGAGATTTTGGTAAAAGATCCCGAGCTGATTGCGTATGCCGGCGGATTTGCTACTCTTCACGACGCTCTAGCAGAAGGAACGTTTGGCGCTTCAGAAAGCCTGGTAGCAAGCTTCCTTCATGTTCTTGATACCCCCCACAGCAGGAAGCACCTTCGAGGAGGATGTGAGCTAGAGGCTGTTCTTGCGCCATTTACCGACTCCTTATCAGACTCGGTCCGCAATGGGCGCCTGAAGTCCTCAGCTAGAGCCATTTCGGCAATGTTGAAGACATGGCCAGGTTTGATAGTGCTTGCAAGGAACGGAGCCAAGCCTCTGCAATCGCTACTCGACTCCTTACACTATCCGGACCCGCAAGCAAGAGACCTGATTATGGAGCTTCTGTTTGACGCATTAAGAATCAAGCCACCATCATGGTCGTCATCATTCCTAGCTGGTCGAAGGCTTACGACCTATGGAAGAGTGGCCAATCTCAGAACAGAATCGGACACGAAACAAATCCAAGCATTCTACAACGACGATGGCAGTAGATTCGATTTAACAGCGCACTTCTCAACATTGATTTTGGCCACGCTTGTCGAGGCAGGACTGTCGAAGGTTATACATATGATTCTCTTCCATATGCAAGTGATGCTAACACAAGTGTAGGCACTCTCAGACCTCATTGAGGATGAAACAGACTTGCATCTTAGGCGTAAGGCAACACTACTTCTGACCGAGGTATTGAAGCTAGCGCATCATTCATTGCCCCAACACATCAGTGCGAAGCTCCAAGTTCTTCCTCACCTGCTTCCAGCCGCTATTAAATATGATGTCGAAAACCATGATGTCTCGACTTCCACGATCTATCAGATCGACAGCATAAACCGAACATTAGCCCGCTCCGTGGGCAGCGTCCCGAATGGTGCGGGGCGTTACAACGTCGATGTGGATATTTCTGCCTCGCTTCTCTCCGCTGATCAAGGCAAGGAAAAAATGAGTCCTTCCATGGATGAAACGCAATTTCGAAATGCTATTTTGGAGACAAACGTCTTGAACACTGTCAATTACCTCAAATGGAAGTGGGACTTGATCCATCGTATTGTCGAAGGGCCTCTGACCAACCCCAAGCGGCTGGAGGAGGCTATCAAAGGCTCCAAATTCATGAAACGACTCATCGGCTTTTACCGACCCTTCAAGTATAGGTTCTCCATGCTACCGAACACAAAGCCAAACCAGCGTTATGTCCGCACGGGGTGTGCCCTAATGCGGACACTGGTACAACTCCCGGAAGGGACGAAGTACCTAGCCGAGAACAAATTTTTGAGGCAAGTTGCTGAGTGTCTTGCTCAAGTGGATCGCATGAGTGGACTCACTTCGTCGTCTCCCCTTTTCTCCAAGGAGCAAATGGCTAGTACATTGAGCGGAGGGTATTTCGCTATCCTTGGAACGTTGAGTGGCGATGCCAACGGGCTCGCCATGATGGAACGATGGCATATGCTAAACATGTTCTACCATATTGTTGAACTACGGGATCGAGATGATCTGATCCAAACCCTTCTCGGCAATATGGACTATATCCGAGAAAGTCACCTCAGGGTTATTTTGTCCAAAGCACTTACCACAAGCTCAAAGGAAATTCGCATTTTTGCCACACGACTTCTACGAAAATATGCTGTGGGGAGTGTATCTCTCTCCACTCAGGCGCCCACGGGCAAGGATGCGGACTGGGTGGTAAAGCTACTGGTGACCCAGCTTTATGACCCCGATGTGTCTGTGTGTCAAGTGGCAGTGAAGATCCTTGAGGAGGCATGTAATCAACGTCACTATCTAGAGTATGTGGTCAAATGCCGACCATCCTTGGATCATTTGGGGGAGATTGGGGCGCCGTTGCTCCTACGGTTCTTGTCGACATCAGTTGGCTACCATTACCTTGATGGACTGGACTACATTACTCAGGAGATGGATGATTGGTTTCTGGGTCGAAATGATGCCTATGTGGGACTTGTTGAGGCAGCCCTTTCACGCGCCTATGTTGATCAGCCACGAAGGAGTAGTTTCGTCCCTGAAGATCTGGTTGATCTCCAAGACATTGGACTGGTGCCGCCACATTTCTACAGAGAACTTGCCCGAACCTCGGAAGGATGCAAGCTGCTAGAGCATTCTGGTCATTTCAATGAGTTTGCTTGGACAATTCGAGATTTTCAGCTGGACGAAGAAGACACCGAGGCTCTTCTCAAAGTCAAAGGCTGCCTCTGGGCTGTGGGTAACGTCGGCTCGATGGAGTTGGGTGCGCCATTTCTTGAGTCAGACATCGTCGAGCATATTGTGAAGATCGCCGAAAGTGCGGAGGTCTTGACTATGAGAGGGACGGCTTTCTTTGTTCTAGGGCTGATCTCACGCAGCCGCCATGGTCTCAAGGTGCTCAGAGACTTCGGATGGGATTCTGCTCTTGATCACAAGGGGAACTCGTTGGGCCTCAGCCTCCCAACTGACTTCAATAAGCTCTTCTTGGTAAGATACCCCCACCAAAGGAGTTGCAGAGATGCAGGGACTGATCGAGGACATTCTGCAGGTCGATTTTCCGTCGCATTCTAGGAGCCGTGAGGCCAAGCGCACGTCTCAAGAGAAGTTCAAGGAAGCCACTCTCGACCCGGACCCCGCCAATCAGAAGATCTTGAAGCTCATAGTAGATATGGGAAACACGGTCTTGTCGAAGAGAGCAGCGAGCGACCTTCATAAGTAAGTAACACCATCCAGGTCATGCGTTCGAGTGACGGAGACTTACTCATATACCCTATACAGTATTAAGTCGAAGCAGCCAGACCGATTTCACCAGCCTCACCTCTTCCGCAAGACCCTCAATATTCTCGAAAGCCATCACTTCCGCTTGCCTGCTCGCCGCTTTGCGCTCGACTTGTTCGATAAAAGCGTCATGCGGCGCATCGTTACTGACGATGACTCGGATACTGACTCCGATACTACCTCATCCCAAGTATCCGGATGATTGCTCAGGATGATTGCTCAAACTCTCAAGGCGGCTTGGTATGATTTCTCGCTTGTATATGCATGCTGGCCCCTACAAGCAGGTCGGAGCAGCATAATTCTCGGGTTTGCCCATAACTTCATGTACTCGACCCTTTTTCTATCTGTCTCATTTCCCTGTTATCACTTTGGCCTTAGCGTTGGATGGTCCAGTCACGAGCAATGAAAGGATGTTAGCATATCATATTTTTGCTCTTTTCTACCTGATTACCCCGGCAGTTTTTTTCCAAGTTGGTGCATTCCATCCTCTGCGACGCCGATGACACCAAATGTCCACGATGAGCTCAGAAGCTTGGTCACAAAGCAATGCTTATCTCTCATGATGAAAGTCCTGTCTTATGGCAAATGTATGTACTGTATATACATCGAGCACGAGGTTTGACATCCGTAGAGAATCTGAAGATGTTCTCTTTGGGTGAATAGCCTCAAAATTTAGTGAAAGAAACAAGATGTTTTCTCACAATGCTTCACTTTCTTCAACGTACACTGGGGATTTCAAACTAAAAAGCAAGAACCGTCGGCTAATGTCAATTGGACCATCAGTTAATACTTAATACATTGGTTCAGAAAGCCTCCTTCGATAAGCTGCGGGGAGCTAAGCCAAGTTCCGCGGCTCCCCGCCCAACAAAACAATCGCTCCCCAAACTCCAGTCCTCAACTTCTACCGTCACCCTACGGGAATCAAGCAGGACGTTGCATCATCACAAGGAACCTTGAAACTACTGTCACTTACTAAATCATCATTTAACTACTGCAAACATCGATGGAAGGTACCGACGCTGGGTCAAGCACGTCTCCGCAATTCCCAGCCGGAGATGACGATCTCTCCCGCAGCATGAGCAGTGTAGCGTCACATGCTCTGGAACCCCAAATCCCACCGCCAAACGCGAGCGATATCGCCGAAACTCCCCTTCCAGTCCACGCTATAATCCGAAGTATTCAGTGTGCACGTTGTTCTCGACCCCTCCGTACGCCGCTGCGGCTTCCCTGCGGAAACTCGATCTGTCGCTCCTGCCTTCCGCCGATCCACCAACGGACAGGCATCACATACCCTGCGAACGAGGAGCGAAAGCAAGGTTTCCTATGCTACTGGGGAAAAGAGGACAAATGCACTGGAGAACATTGCTTGGGTGACTGTGGCGCTGATGTCTTATTGAATCGCCTAGTCGATGTCTTCGAGGAGACTCTGGCAGACCGCGGAGCTAGTTCGGAGACTGAAAGTGGACAACAGGCCGGTGCGCCTACAATGTTGTGGAAAACCTCTCGGGATGCACTACACGGAGCGACTACCAAGTGCGAAATTATCGGGTTCGATCTGCTAAAGGGCGTTTACGGTTTAGTTCAAGAGGGCCGCTTCGATTATGATGCGTCGAATGTGCACTATTCGGTGGGGAACCGCGCCGAGACCGCGACCCAGCGTTCGTTCATGAAGCTCAAGGATGCGATAAGGAGTGAGTTGGACTGTCAGGTGTGCTACTCGCTTATACTGGATCCGTTGACCACGCCGTGCGGCCATACGTTCTGTCGCGACTGTGTTACTATGGTGATGGATCACAGCGATCTCTGCCCTGTTTGTCGCCGGAAGCTGAACATGTCCGCAACTCCGCGAAGGGAGCCCAGTAACCTGAGGATTTCGAGTATTCTGAAGACTTTCTTTCCGGAGCAGTTGGCGATGCGGAAAGAGGGTACTAATGATGACGCAGCTGCGGCTGATGACGAACAGACGCTTCCTTTGTTTGTGAATTCGCTGTCCTTCCCTACCATGCCAACCTTCCTACATGTCTTTGAGCCTCGATATCGCATTATGATGCGGAGAGTTATGCAAACGAGAGGTAAGAAGTTTGGCATGGTCATGTACAACCGCGGGAACCGGGCTCAGCCAGGGCTAGGAAGGTCAGAGTTCATGCAATACGGCACAGTCTTGATGGTTGATCGCTATGAGCTTCTTCCGGACGGGAGGAGTCTAATCATCGCTACTGGCGTCTCACGCTTCAAAGTGATCAGCGCGGAGTTGGTGGACGGCTACCATGTTGGCAGAGTACAGCGCGTCGAGGATGTCCCAGTCACCGAAGAAGAGCGGCTTGAGTCGTTGGCAACGTCGGCTACACTGGAATTGCCATCGACACCAGGGGAAAGTCCTGCGGAAAGACCTTTGGAAACCATGCCGACCCAGCAGCTATTTGAATTGGTCTTGGATTTCATCGCAGAACAACGTCAGAAGGGGGTCGCGTGGCTCCATCCACGTGTTCTGCTAGCATACGGCGATGCACCTACAGATCCTGCTGTGTTTCCATGGTGGCTTGCCAGCGTCTATCCTTTGTGGGAAGATGAAAAGTATTCGTTATTATCTACAACAAGTGTCCGCGCACGCCTAGAGATTGTTGCACGATGGGTGAAGAAGGCAGGGTCTCGAGAATGGTAGGTAGACGTGCTGGCCATCCAAAACCCGAATTTAATTCTGTGTCACTCACACTGATCTATCAACCAGGCTGGCCCGTTCTCGTCCGTCTTTCTCTTCTGCCTTATGACTAGCCGTCCCTCTGCTCGTCTTCTCCCTTGTGCCAATGATCTTGGGTCCTGGCCTATCCAGTTTATCGCCATCGACGGCGGTCTTCACGTCATTCACGCCATTTACCATGTCGGTTTCTATCTCCTTTGGGTCCGCTCGTCCATCCGAAATCCCTAGTGAGGAGCTGGGACCAACTCGGGATTCGGAAATGTATATTCCGCAGACCGTGGTAATGGGGATCTTCCTGGCGATATTCGCGGCCCAGATGGCGATCAACGTCATCCAGATCAGGCGCGCGAGACAACGGGGTGTAGCAGAGGGCAGACGCAACGCGAATCCGGAAACGGTAGGGACTAGGCTACCAACCGAACAAGAAGATGAGGCACGGGCGGTAGATACGGAAACCGTTCCCGAAGAGGCTGGATGAAGAGATAGCGAAGGCCAATCACTCGTATGGTCTGAGCTAAGATAGCCGTTTCTTTGAGCGGTGGTCGCGTGCACGACACGACCCTGGTCATGTTTCTGCCCAGTTCATGCTACCAGCAAGGCACTGAAAACCCAGGCGCAGTGGTTTGACTGGTTTCGAGAAGCGATAAGCATAATTTCTAGCCATTAGGCAATGGCGATTCTCACTGCGCATCACAGTGGGTGGTCAAGTATACCTTCAGAAAGCCTTCTCCACACCACACATTGATGCCAGAGGAGATGAAGATGATACCCATTTCACGTACATAGTTAGCGGCGGTCTAGGAAAGATATGGATGTTCTCTTTACGCATGCATGTATCGGTTGTATCCAATCACAGTCGCAGTCATGGAAACATGGGGTACTGCTGGGCGGTAAACTATAGTAGAGCAAACTACACCTTGCGTCCACGCGGTGCCCACCTCGTTGCTTGCAATGCGAAGATGCGGAAAAGAACAATGTTGCCTAAGAGGGGCTGCAGCAGGGATGCACATGGCAGGGTAGGGGATCCCTGACCAGAAGGCGCACTGATTTCTGACCTGTCCAGCATGGCGCAGCCCACGATTTGCCGCTCGAAAGGGCAATCTGGAGCCGTTGGTCACACAAGCGCTGGCTGTTGGGAGAAATTCGATAGTGGCATCTATTTGACGACAAATGGCTTTTTCTCCCCCTCTCTCCGTTTGGCAAAGATACTGTTTTCCAATTCATCAGCTGTTGTCATGTGCAGACTGATCGCCCCCCCGCCCCTTTCATCTGCAGGCAAGCTGCATCTCCTCGGGAAGGAGGATGTATTAAAGGTTGCTTTGATCTATCACCACTTCCGATGGTGCGGCAAGCACTGTGTAGGAAGTACGAATCAATCAAGGACAACAAGAGCAAGAAAGTGAATTTTTGCCATAAAAGTATCGTAGAGTCAACAGAGGGATTGTGACCAGAACCGAAAGAAGGATAGGGCAGCAGCATGGACGCCAACCAGCCGATTGCACCTGCGCAAACGAAAAAAAACAAACCCATGTGAAGTGGCGCTGCGATATCAACTTCTCCTCTGCCTTCTTCCCCCCTCTTCACTTCCTCTTCTTTCCCCCTCCCCTCTTTCCATATATTCACCAACTGACGGGAGCTATCACTTGATTGTCCTAGGATTTCTGTCTGATTTTTTTTTGAGTAAAGTTGCTCTCATCCCTTCTACTTCCTGTCCCATACATACTGCCATGATGATCACTTAGATGACATTGATCCCCTGAGCTCCACTAACACAGCATTCAACACGCGACACAGGCGTTCACTATAGCCACAATGTCGTCATTTGTTTCTTCTAGCAATACTGACTTGAAGTCTTCCCCTAGAAGGTGAGCCTCGTCATCGTCAGTCAAGAATCGAATGCATCTGACATGGATATGTTCTGCTAGTTCCGATACCGTGAGTACTGTACAAGAAACCCCACTTCATTGGCGGGTCGACTGAGCGTTCGCGGGTTCTATAGACCTCAGTCCTCCAAAGCCTTCCTTCCAATCCGAGCTCTGTGACCATCGCCTATCTCGAATACAAACGCCTGGTAAGCCAATTAGACGTCAGAAAGATGAGACTAACTCCTGCTGACACACTATTGTTGTGGAAATCAGCTTCAAGAGTCGCAGCAATTCTGTACATTCCTGCTGGTGCCCTACAGTTCGCCATTCTGTTCTAACCTCCGGCGTCGCAGCAAAGTTGAAAAACTCGCTTCTAGAAGGGGGCCTCTCGCAGGAGACTCTCGATGTCAGATTAATCTCCATGTAGCTCTACTCGCGTCCACTGACTGCGTACAGGTCTTGGTTTGCGGTCCTCCGACAAGCCGCCAGACCAGTGGAGGCCGCGTTGCAAATGCCGTACCCAAGTATCGGGGCCGTCCAAGGCGTGCCGCCGTTCCCCGTCGCAGGCGCTCGGATGAGTGTTCTGATTCAGATACTGTATCAGAAGTTCATGATGATACCACTTCGCTCGGCTCACCCACTAGTGATGGAAAGGCGGATCACGATGATTCTTCCCGGAGCGAGGAATCTTCAGCCACCCCTACCGATCAACGCACCGTGATGATTCGCAACCTGCCAGATCGCGTCACGTACAAAGACATTGTTGACGCTGTAAAGAGTGGCGCTCTCGTTCATATCTACTTGAGGGCTCGTGAGCGGATCGCAAGTGTCTCATTTGTGGAAGAGGCAGCGGCCCGCTCTTTCCTGCAGCACACAACCAGCCAGGGTCTTTTTGTTGCAGGGAAGCGCGTAAGTGGGAGTCTCTCAGCCGGGGATTCGGCTCTGCTGATGTGTTTATCTTGCTAGGTCGAGACCCAGTGGAATGACCGACAGTTCTACATTCCTCCCTATGTCAGAAGCAAGATCTACAATGGAGCTTCGAGGAACTTAGTTCTCTACAGCGTGCATCCGAACGTCACGGAGTGGGTCATCCGAAAAGATCTGGAGCATATCCACAACTTAATCGTAATCTCGGTTAAGTTCAGCAATGGCAATGCCTACATATCCACCAACTCCGTACACAATGCACTCTTTGCAAGATCCTGCATGATGTCCCGGCTCACATACAAAGGCACGAAGATTGGGTTCTCCCTTGACGAGTGCGCCGAACCACAGGGCAAGGTATCCGCCGGGCCGAGACAAGAACTACGAGATGCTTCAGCCAAGAAATCTGGCTCAGTCCTCAACCGATTCCATCTTCTCTCCCTTGATGGAACTGATGACGACGAGAGCGAAGATCACAACGGCGACTTCAGTGGTCGTCTTAATGGTAGTATCCGCTGGGCAAACAATCGCATTTCTGCCTGATCACTTTTAGGCACCTGGACTTTGTCCGGGTTTTTCTACCTCAGCTCCTTGGTGTCTAAGGTATCCATCAACTTGTTGCATTTCATTTAACAGAATTGAGGTGAGGCGGACAAAAAGGACGTGCGGGGTCTGCGGGGCCATCGTATACAGTGCTATGTTTGAGCGAATGAGAACTGGGTCAGAGGGGATTCACACACGGGGTATGGCATGGGGCTGGACCGGAGAAGATCTACATAGAATGGGACTGGAACCCGCATTCAAAGAAAACCGCTGACCGCTCAAGGCTATGCTTCATATCACGAAGAGCTTTTCAGTATTCCGGCATTTCCTCTATAGGTAGCATACAAACAGCCGAGATATCCACAATCTCGAGCCCTCAGCGGGGTGAGTAGTCATTAGGTATAATCATGAGCTAAGTGTCTATGCTGCTTCGGACAGGGAGACAGTTGGACAAAAAAAGAAATCGGGTGATATTTCAGATAATCCTGGCCTATACTAATTCCAGTAGCCAGCATTGCACCGTATAAATCCATACAACCACTGGCAACAACCCAGACCTTCCTCGATGAATGAATTGACCAGTGGCGGAAATGGGACCACACCGCACCAGATCTCTCTCCACCCCAGGAGTACAACCGTTAAAACGACACCATTCTGCGGATCCTTTTTACCTGTCTTTTTCCCAACACTCCATTTCCTAAGTCATAGAATGGAGGTTGAACGAAACAACTTTTTAGGAGACCACCACCGCCCAGCGCCAAACTTCTTCCTTGATTCGTGAAAAGGAAAAGAAGTAGAGGCAAGAGAGCAAAAGTGAGTGAATGTAAAGAAAACACAGGCAGGAAAATGAAAAAAAGGATACCGGCAGAATGTTTTTGTGTTGATGTGCCGTTTAACGGTAAGACTTCTGGTAGCGGGAACGAGCACCGCGACCACCGAACTTCTTGGGCTCCGTGCGACGGTTGTCGGCGACGAGGAGTGTGCGGTCGTACTGGACAAGAGCCTGCTTGAGCTGGTTCTTGGAGTGCTCGTCGACGTACTTCTGGTAGTAGGCGACGATGGACTTGGCGATAGCCTGGCGGATAGCGTAGACCTGGGAAGTGTGACCACCACCGGTGACGCGGACGCGGATGTCGACGCCGGCGAACTTGTCGGCTCCGACGATCAGGAGGGGCTCGTAGACCTATTTGTTTTTGAGGGTGCTTTGTCAACCGGGTTGTTCTTTTTTCCTTTTTTTTTTGCGACAATCATGTAGATAGTGTGGTGCGGGGTGTATGGAAAATCGGAATATGTGTGGACGGCGTTTGTGGGTGGGTGAGTGGGTGTGGAAGAGGTGTTAATGTACCTTGAAGCGGAGGATCTCAGGCTGGACCAGAGAGAGGGGCTGGCCGTTGACCTTGATGAGACCCTTGCCTTGCTGTAATTTGGAGAAAAATAAGTCGTCAGTTTTCGGAGGTTCTCTTCTTCAATATGTTGCGGTTTGGCGGTTTTGTCCAGGTGTCGTTCGTTCGTTCGTGTCGGATCATCTTCCTTCGCAGGGTTCGTTCCTCGATGACATCCTTTCCAGCGTAGTCGCATATCTCCCTTCACTTATCGATTTCGGCCTGAGCTCCTGTTCCTCAATTCCCGATACCATATTCCCCTTCCGTTTTCCGTTTTCTTTCCGCCGAAGACCCGCGAACGAACGACACCGGATGTTGTAGACATGTGAGATGTTGTGGTGTGATGGAGCGATTTGATGCATACCTTGCAGTGGGCGACAGCGGTGGCTATAAAGAAATCAGAAGTCAGCTCATATATCCCCAAAGTTTATTGTATCCTCTTCCTTCTTTCCCCGGACATGTATATTTTTCGCATCCCGCTCCATCCTTCCTCCGTCCCCGTTATATCTCCCATTCTTTTCCCCCCAATCACACCAACAATAAAAAAAAAGAGAAACAACTCACCCGTCTTCTTCTTGCCGAAGCATTGCACACTCGGGACGGAAGCCATGATGCTGAATGGCCCTAGTCGGGTGTCGAAAAGGGAGTGTGCTGGGGGGGTGGGAAGTACGTCGGGGGGGTGGGAGAGGGTGTCGTCGATTGTCGTCGTCCTTTCGCGTATTAATTTCTGGCAGGCGGGCGAGGAGAGTAGGTCGCGCACACCATCAATCCGTGCGGGCGATTTCGCTTAGTGCGGTGCGCTAGACCCGCTTTGGGATAGAGCGGATAGGGCTTGGTGGGTGGTCACGTGGGCTGCTGGGTCGGGGCCAGTTTCGGAAGGAGGGAACTTGGGAAGGGGAAGCTCATGAATGAGTGAGTCCAGAGATATCTACTGGTGATAGTTCGAGGTCGTCTGTCTCTCTTTGGAGGTTTGTTCAACATGTCGCAGACTATTGGAAAGGTTTGTTTGTTTGTTTCTTTCTTTCTTATCCCACTTGGCATAACTATGTCTTCTTTTTCTTATTGTTTGTTAATCCCAACTGACTTTTTTTTTTCCTAACCTTCTTGATATCAAGACCCGTCTTGCCTATTCGCGAGCATGGCATTACGTCGACGTCGGTAGCGACTCTCGCACCCTCGGCCGACTGGCCTCCTCCATCGCCCTCGTCCTGATGGGCAAGAACAAGCCTATCTTCGACCCGTCCACCGACTGCGGCGACTACGTCGTCGCCGTCGGCTGCCACGACCTCCGTACCACCGGCAAGAAGCGCCAGCAGAAGAAGTACTACACCCACACCACCCGCCCCGGTAGCCTGAAGAGCATGACCATGGACATGATGTTCGAGAAATGGGGCGGCGGCGAGGTCCTCCGCCGCGCCGTGCGCGGCATGTTGCCCAAGAACCGTCTGCGGGATAAGCGGTTGGCTCGATTGAAGAGTGAGTCCTGCCTTTTTCCTCTCTCCCCTCGGGATTATCCGGCGTCGGAGCGAAGTACACACTATGCGGTGCGGATGTGTGTGGATGTATGGGCGACATGACTGACTTCTTTTGTCCGTACAGCTTTCGAAGGTCTCCATCACCCGTACAAGCAGAATATCATCAAGGTCGGCGGCGCGCAGGAGTCGGTCATCGGAAACCTTCCTGAGGTGCAGCACGCGTTCAAGGAGGCGGTCAAGGTGGGGACGGTGGCATAGTACAAGGTCTTTTCTTCCGGACTCGATTACATGCTTGCCAACAGGGTACTTCAGTGCTCTGACTTTGTTTCCTGCCCTTGTTAACCGTTCTCCCCCTTCGCGGATACCAAGCCGACGGTGTATTCTTTTCCTGTACTTTTATATCCCGTACCATATTCTTGTACTCTTTTTGTGTCACGATTACTTGCTAGCGCATGGGTGGGCGTTCATTTTCGTTGTCTATTATCAGCTTATACATTCATCTGATCTTGATGTATTGAGCGCCGGGGCCCTGGCCTCTATACATGCCTGTCGATCTACCATCTACCCCTTACGCCTTTGGACCTACGTGCGCGGCTTATTTGCATTGTCTTACTGGCCTACTGGAAAGCTAGAGAGCCGTGCTGTATATCATGACCAATTCAACCCAGTGAATGCTATACCCTATCCCGCCGACGACGAACTATATACAAAACAAAGTGGGTGTCTCTGAGCCGAACACAAAAGTAAATCGCTGGAAAAAAAAACGACATCTGGGACAAACCCCACAAGGAGAAACTACAGCTTAGCCTTGGTCTTGCGACCAACCGTGCACTTGATGAGACCGTTGGGGCCGCTCTGAGGCGCATACACCTCGGCGTCCTTGCCAGTGTTCTTCAAACCCTTGTGCCAGCTCAGATCTAGTACAAGTCCTGTCAGCTTTCACCCTCCAACCTCTTTCTTCGGAACCTTGAGGTGACAACATACCAATTTCGAAGTAATGCTTATTGGGCAGCGCATACTCGACGGTCTCCAGCAAAGGCTGCTTCTCCAGGATCTGCTCCGCCATCTTGTACATGGTATTCTGGACGCTGGCGGAGTTGTCCTCAGCGAAGGTCTTGAGGGTGATCTCGCGGGCAGCGGCCCAGGTAGTATCGAAGCGAGGCACGGCGGCGCGCACGGCGTCCAGCCCCGCGAACCGCTGCCACTGCCAGGCGGCCTCGACGTCAGTGCTGAGGATGCGGTCCCAGGTCTCCGGTAGGGTGGTGTACTCGTCGCGCACGAAGCCCCAGAACTGCGAGTTGGTGCTCTTCAGCACGGTCAGCTTGGCCAGCGACGACTTGATATCGATATCGATCGTCCCCGTCTTCCCCGCCGAGGAGGGGGAGGAGGAGGGGGCGTTCTCGACCACGTCGACCTGCACGTTGCGCGTCTCCTCGCCGTCGCGCAGGAACGAGTGCGGATGCGGCCGCCCGTCGATCGTCATGCGCGTCCACCGGTGCGTGATGATGTGCGCGTGCGCCGCGTGAATGTGCTTGTACTTGGTTACGAAGTGGTGGCCCAGGATCGAGCCGAAGAGCTCCGGCGGTGTCACTGGGTTCTGTTTGGCCAGGATGTAGATCGTGTTTTTGATCGAGTCCGTGGCTACCACCACGCTGTTGTCGGCTTGCGTGTACCTGGATTTTGATTCGAGAGGTTAATAGTCTGTTTTTAGTTTTGGTGGTTCGGCGGGATAGGGGAATGATAAGTGGATGGATGTATGCAAAGCGGAAATCAATCAAAAAACGTACGAGGTGTCGATTTCTCCCTCCAATAGAACGCACACCGTCATCTCAACCACGGTCTGTACGCCTGTCTTCTCGTCCCGGTGGACTTTGTATACTCGGACATTGTCCTTGCCGTAGCGGGCCGCAGTGACGGGGGAAGACATGGTTGCAAGGATGGAGTGGATGATGTAGTTGGAGAAGGAAAGATGGAAGTGTAGGACGTGAAGATAAAAATATAAATGTCCGAGATGTTTCCGATTGTAAACCAGGAATGCAGGTACGCAAGCAGCGAATTAACCCTCTTCCACCTGGGATAAAGCGTCTTTAAGTTGTGCAGCTTTCGTCTCACCGTCCAAGTAAGAATATCGGCCACCTCCGAAGCCCGCGGCAGTCGACGGCCTCCGCACTTTTCCTTATCTTATCGGGATTTGATTCCTCGCCTTACTAGAGTTTATAGGCCCCTTCCCCTGTCAGGCCATACCCCAGCATGCCAACGCTACGGTATGCTGCGGCTGCGACTGCGGCTGCGGCTGCTGCTGTAGCTGTCGTAGAGACGGAGTACGGAGATCCCCAGAGAGAAAGTGCTCCGGTATCAGGTCCCGGTTTTTGATGATCGTAAAAAGAGAATCCGACAGCTTCCCATCGATCGGAGACGGAGCCTCGTTGTTTCGGCATGGAGATCCGGTCTGTTGTGGTTGGGGCACGTCAGATCGGTCACTCAGCGATCATGGAAGGAATGCAATCTCCCAAGCGAGTCCATCTTATTGTAGTACCAAAATCTGGAGAGTGATGTAGTTCGGCTCGTTTATCTTTTGGGCGGAGAGTTCGCTCAATTCATCGTCATATGCTTTTACCAGAGAATGAGAGAGCGAGAGTAGAAATCCGCGCCCGCCAACTCCAGACTTTTTTTAAGCCGGTCAAATGCGAAAACCAGCGCCGCCCACTCCTCAACAATGGCCAATTCGCCCTCTTCACCAGCCCACCAAATCCACTCACGGATAGTGATTGATACCGGATTGAGTGAAATAGAATGTGGAATTCTCATGAGGAAGCCATGAACCGTCCTCCCCGGTTATTACGATGGCGGTCGTCGACGGAGTTCATTATTGCGACGGTCTGGACTTCGTTCTTCACGGTAGGTACCTGACCACTTTGTTGTCTTTGAGGCCAAACGGGGGCCTATGGCTGACAGGAGGTATCTAGGACTACTTCCTCTATGCGATGGTAAGAGCTATCCAGATACGGCCCTCATCATCACGGAGTTTCTAACGAACCGCCACTGCCAAAGATCGTGCCCGTCATGCCCACGGCTCTTGTCGACCGCGCCAGCATCCCATATGAAGACCGTGCGTTCAATCCCAATGCTTTCTCCCGGACCGCGGACTGAGACTAACTACACATGAACTTGCGGCATTACAGGAGAGTTCTGGGTGAGCATACTACTGATGTGCGAAGCGGCCGTGGCCTTCCTCTGCTGCCCGGTCTTCGGCTACATGCTCGATGCCGCGCCCACGCGGCAGATGCCGTACCTCCTGGGCCTCATCTTCCTGGGAGGGTCAATGGTACTTCTCGCGCTGGCGCACACCATCACGCTATTCATCGTAGCCCGCCTGCTGCAGGGCGCCGCCACCGCGATGGTCGCCGTGGCGGGACTCGCGCTGCTCACGGACTCGGTCACCACGAACAACCTCGGCCACGCCATCGGATACCTGGGCTCGGCGATCGCGCTGGGCTTCCTGCTGGGTCCGCTGCTGGGCGGCCTCGTCTACCGAGTCGCCGGGTACCAGGCCGTCTTCGCCATCGCCTTCGCTATGGTGGGGATTGACCTGCTGATGCGGATCGCGGTGATCGAGAAGACCGTGGCCAAGCGGTGGATGCAGAAGCCGGGGGCCGTGGCTGATGGGCCGACCCCGAGCGACAGCCTGGTTGTGCAGTCGGCCGAGTCGACTATCACAGCGTCGCCTGCCCACGCCTACCGACCTCGCAAGAAGCCAGCACCGCTGCTGCTGATCATCCGGCAGCCGCGGGTACTCATCTCGTCCGGGGCGCTGCTCGTGCACGGCCTGCTATACTCTGCCTTTGACGCTGTACGTTCCCCTTCAACTCATTTGTATCCCCCATCACACCTCAGCCCTCTAACAAAGTGACAGACAATCCCCATCTTCGTAGAATCACACTTCGGCTGGACAAGCTTCGGCGCAGGCATGGCCTTCCTCCCATCAGCTCTGACGGCATTCTTCGAGCCCTACTTCGGTACAAACCCTCAGCCCCTTCAATTCAATCAAAACCAACCCCCAAACCCCCAACCTATCCCATCCTTAACCCCCCCCCCCAAATCCCCTTTTCCCAAAGAGAGCAAAAGGAACTAACACCCGCCAAAGGCAAGTTAACAGACACCCACGGCCCCCGCCGCATAGCCCTAACCTCCTTCACGCTCCTCCCCATCCCACTCCTCTGCCTGAGTCTAATAACCACCGCCTCAACCACGCACATCATCCTCCTCCTAACCCTCCTGACAATCATCGGCCTGCTCATCAACCTCTGTACTCCCGCCCTATACCTCGAAACCCAGCAGGTACTGGATGAGATGGAAGACAAGGAGCCGGGGATCTTCGGCCCCCGCGGCGCCGTCGCGCAGGCGTTTGCCCTGCAGACTATGGCGCAGTTTTTGGGGTTGTTTTTGGGACCCCTCTGGGGTGGGTTTGTGGAGTGGAGGTTTGGCTGGGGGGTTATGACTTTTGGACTTGCTGGGCTGGTTGGTTTGACGGCTGTTTTTGTGGGGGGCATGGGGGCAAAGGGGGTGGGATCGGGATCGGGATCGGGATCGGGGTGGATGTCTGGTTTGGGGAGGTGTTGCGGGTGTGGATTTGGGAGGAAGGATTATGGGAGAGGGGATGAGACTGGGGTTGAGGATCGGGAGGCGTTGTTGCCGGAGGAGGGTGCGAGGGTATCTGGGTAGTTTTATCGTTGGTTTTGCTTGGTAGGTTGAGGAAGGGAACGGTCTCGTTCTTCTTCGAGTGATTCATCTATGGAGATCTTGGTGGTGGTGGTGGTGGTGGTACTGGACTACTTCCAAGATAATACAGTACAAAACCTTGCACGCCTTGAAAAGGTGATAAACAGCATATATTTTCTGTATGACTACTCGTTCTAGCACTCGCCTCCGCGTCTCTATTTAGTCTCCCTCCCATGTAATCCTGCCAGCCGGGCCTCAGCCAAACAGACAGCACAGTCCAATCGCAGCTAGGACCAGGCCATGTCACCGAATTGACGCTGCAGAGAGTGTACCTAGCGTGAACAGGACCCGTCAAGAACGTACGACGAATAGGCCGGACAAATCTGACCCGGCGTTCCGCTCAGATACCTGGCTTGACTTCTTATGCTGATAACAGGGAGAGTAGAGGAAGCTGTCCTCGTAACCGTTCTGACTGCAGACAAGCCAGAGGAGGCATTTATCCATGTACATTTAGTCCCATTTCCACTAGCACAATCATAGTCATCCCGAGATAACTATAAGTGGAGAGAAGCCCATATAATATAAGACCCATGCAGAGTGTACCAAACCTGATGGTCAGTCTGTGCAAAACGAGTCAACGTCGTCGGAAAAGACACCCGGCCAAACATAAAGCAAGTTTTTTGTCTTGTGCCCGAAGGACCAAACACCAACGCCAAACCCAAATGCCCCCTCCTTTCCTGGATAGTACTCAGACGCCGGAGGTATAGAAGAAGAGGACGAAAACGGAAGTATAGTTTGCATCAAGCAAACCGGTTGTTAGGTTTGGGGCCAACCCCACATTGAAGCGGAGGGAAGGAGTCCCCTAAGGGGCAAGGAAAGTTTCCCTCCTGAACGCCCACCCTCATCTATTGATTAAAGGCTCAACTGGTCGATACTTCCCACCCGGCCGCTTCCACCGAGGCGACCTCCTCCCTTGGTGACCATGCCTAATCGGTAGAATCTCTCTTCGCCGCCGGGCGTCCGACCACCAATGTACCATTTCTCGGGACCGAGGGCGTCGCGGAACCCGCCGGAGCCACTCGAGCTATCGCTGCCGCGCCGTTGTCGGCCGTGGCTGTTGGTGATGGGGATAGGGTTTGAGGCGGCTGGGGTCGGTGGGGGAGACGACGAGGCGACGGCGGCTTGGGGTGGAGTCGCGGCGGATGATGGGGGCGGGGATGCGGGGCTGGGCTGCTCCTGGCTTTGGCCCGGGGACAGGGGGCCGCGCTGGTGGGAGTGTGGGCGCGAATGCGACGGTGAGTGATGGTGGTAATGATGTGCTGTCGACGAGGATGCGGCCGACGCTTCAGGGTTGTTGCTGGCCTTCGTGGCGATTGCTCGAGCCGCACTCTGCGAGATCTGGGCGGAAGATATCGAGGCCGATGTGGACTGGGTGCCGGCGGTGGAGGCTTTATACGTTGACTGGGCTCGGAAGGCCGCGAGGAAATTGGCCAGGAATGGCCGGTTCGTAGACATTGTGGTGGCTGGGGTCGAAGGGATAGGGAGTTTCTGTGGAGAGGTTGAGGTTGGGTTTGACGACTCGGTAGACCGTAGGCTAGTCGGTGGACTGCGACCACCGGTCTCGTTTTGAGCGTCCCAAAGTGAAGCAGAAGAACACCAGGACTCTTGTAAGGATTGCGATGCGGGGCTGGCGACGTTTGTGTAGATCTATAAATGCCTTGTGAGGGGAAAGGTGACAGTTGTTGCGGAGGACTCGGTGGAGTCCGGAGTTGTGGCAGCCGCGGACCTGCGGAGGAGACGAGATCTAGAAGGAGTCTAACGGGACAGAGGGGCAAGAGGCGTAAGCGGGCGGTTGGAGGTCAGACACAGACACGGGAGGAAGAGGAGAGAGCATGCATCGATCCTTGCAAAGGAGTTAGTTGGAGGGACTGATGATGGATGATGATGATGATGATGGATGATGAACGGATGATGGGAGGAGGTTTGGGGGAGCGACGAGTTCAACCTCCGGGGCGTCCCGTGGGCGGCGGCCAATCAAGGCGGGGAAATACCAATCCATGCACTGCAGCAACACGAAAGGTATCGGTGACGTCGACAGCAAACCTTACTTCGTATCCCTCAGTATCACTGCGTGTCGGGGTATGTATGGTTCGAACAACAATAAAGCCACAAGAATCAATAGACAGGATGGTGGACGGGCGATAACAATGTTCTACATGCAGTCAGTATCTTGAAGATCCTTCTCCACTCTCCATCCCCACTTTCACTCCCCAGATCTTGAGTTTGGAGTATGTACTCATGGCCATCTAGTGTCCAGTGACTGGGAACGCGGGGTGAAACGGTAGGAAGATCCCGGAACGATTCCCCTCTCCCGGACCAAAGGGAAGGAAAACGGCTCTGCCGGCTTCGGTCGGGCTACAGCATTGATCAGCTGTCACTTCCTCCCCTCGCCAGTTCACACCTAGCGCTGACTGCTTCGGAGGTTTTCCGTCGCAGTGCTTGTTTACTATGAGTACCTACTGCCTCCACCATACCAAGTTCTACTGAGCAGCAAAGAATGAGTGTGGTCCCCGTTATTCTTCTGATGCATTCCCTAAGCACTAGCTATCTATGATTCTAGCTTTCTTTCTGGACAGCGATAGATTCCCTCCGAAACCAGGAACTGCAAAAGGAACACCTGAAGACAGACTAATCGTCGCAACACCAACGTAGAGAACATCGGGCGAGGGAGGGGGGAAATAGGCCAGGGATATGCATCCAGGCAGATCGACCAAGCCCTGCCTCGAGAAGCGCCAACACAGCTGGTGTCTCTCCGGCAGCAGTCGGGATCTGCAGGCAACCCCGGCCAGACAGGCAAAGCCCGAATCACAATGTAAGACACAGAGAATGATGAAATACAAGAAAACACAACCTAAGTAACAGACCTGGTAAGCACACGAGGAGAGAATGGCAAAAGCATCTGGAAATAACTTTGTATGGGCGAGGACGTGTATGAAAACACCTCTGGCCGCCCCAGTCCGAACGTGCATGCCCCAAGGGACACCCAGGCTCTACATACAGGGTTGACTGGGGAGATGACATGAACAATTGGAAAACGGCCGTGACGGTTATGCAAACAGAGCCCAGACAACATCCACCCCCTTCTTCGTGGTGCTGCTGGGGAGAATCTGGGAAAATGGAACAGGGAACATGCAAACCCGGCATGATGCATCGACAGAAAGCCTTCCACGCGAACTCTTTTGATGATCTCGTTCCAACAGGAACGGGGAACAGCTGGAAAATAGGAGGAAAATAAACAGTACACTCGCAGAGAACCACATGCCCAAGTCTATGATTGGACGCCGGAGAACAACCACACCATCCCATCGAAAACCACTCATAATGGATGGAAGAAAAAAATGAAAAACAATGTAAAGGAAACACAACAAAACAAATCCTGAACCACCGCAAAGTTGCACTCGCCGTAGAAAATGCTGACAAATGAGTTTTCATCGCAAGAAATTTTGACCAGGAAACCTGCAGAAAGAAAATGTTTTCATGACAATAAGAGATTTGGGCGCTGGACAACCGGACCACGCCAATGCGCACTGCGCGAATATCCTGGGCCTGGACGTTACCCACTTTTTTCTATCTTCGTTGCTTTTTGTCTAATTTTGGTTTTCACCATCCTTTTCTTTTTCTATCCTTCCTCTAATCTCGTTCGGAAATCACAACGGCTTTCCGGTTGGTGCATATGAGACATAATCCGAATATTTGCAAGACGGATCGTACTGAGATCGAGCATCAGGGGCGCAAGTTGAGTCTGAATCTGTAAAAGAGTCGTGGATCCACGAACGTCCCCAATGAAAAGATCCAGTATCACAGCACATGTCCTTAGATCTTGAATGCGTAACGTCGTATGACACATGATCCCGCCAGTAGGAGGTAGTGTAAAATTTTGAGACGAGCCTGTAGGACTCCTTGTCGCGTCAAAAGGCATATCGTTCTATTCAGCGTGGTCAAGATGCAGACATCCACTCTCCGTTATTCGCAACTATTGGCGGGCGGGTTGAACGGTGCCTACAAGGATGATGGATTAGCATTGGATTGAACCATGTGGGGTGTTCGTTGGACTCACCGTCGCCGCTCATTGTCGAAGCCAGGTAAAGACCATTCATGCCACCCTCTTGAGGACCGGCAGCGGTGGTGGTAGGGTAGTACTTGCGTTCGGCGTCGACATGAGCGTGGATGGGCTCCTGACCGGCAGCCATGGTCTGCTGAGGAAAGACCTGGTTGATGTAACCGTCGGATCCTCCGGGCTGAAACATCGAAGTCCAGTCAATTTCGCCAGCGTGATGGGGAGTAGGGCCGGGCATGACAGGGCGCTTAGGGTCTTGAACAACCGGGGGCTTTACCTGCTCAAGGGGAGGACGGTCAACATTGAGCTGCTGGCCAGATGCATCAGCGCCGGGCTGAACAAGATACGGGCTGTGCTTAGGAGCAGCAAGCCAAGGGCCTCTCTGCTGAGGCTGACCGTGGGGGTAAGCGTCCTCGGGAGGACCGCGGTTCATCCCATTCACAGACGACATGGAGAAACCCAGGGGCTGCTGTTCCGTGTAACCTGGACGGGCGGGAGCCATTCCATTCCCGTTCACAGGCCCCTCGGCATACGTCGCACCCGGCAGACCGTTGGGAGGCGGAATGGTGTTGTTGACCTCCTCCTGAACAGGTTTAACAGCGTTTGCCGCAGCTTGGGATCTCTTCAAGTGTGCCTGGGGATGCGACAAGTGGGTCGCTCCCGTGGGGTTACCACGTCTCAGCGAGCACTTCTGGAAGTGGCGCTTCAAGATATCACTGCGGGAGAAAGTGTCCTTGCAAAGAACACACATGTAAGGGCGATCACCCGTGTCTGTAGCACACGAGACCATGTTAGCGCGATCAAATTCTCATTGTCCGTATGTAGGCAAACTCACGTCTGAGCAGATGACGCTTCAAGTGCTTGGCATGAAGATACGTCTTGTTGCAGTGCGGGCACGGGAATTTTCCATCCGCATCCTTGGCGGGAATCGTGGTGTTCTTGGCGGTTCCGTTGACACCGTTAGTGACCGGAGTCGCGCGTCCTGGAACGCTCGGGAGGATGCCACGACGGCCTTGAGAGCCAACAACCTGGGTGCGAGGGGGCTCCTTCGCGGCATAAGGCGCCGCACCATTGGGACCTGCGACGGGGTCCTGGTTCATCCAAGGCGAGCCCTTAGCATCCGAATAGCTGAAAGCACCCGACGGAAGTGCGGAGTAGTCGGAGCGACGATCACGCGGAGGCGCCGGCGCAATCGGCTGAGGATAGGACTGCGCACTGGTCGCGGGTGGAAGGACGCTGTGCGGAGGAGGATAGGGTTGCGACGGCTGGGGCTGAGCCTGCGGGTTCGGGTGGGAGAGGAAAGAGGACGGAGGCAGACTACCCACGGTGGTATGAGGCATGATGGGAGCCGCCGAGGTCGCGTAGACATCGTGAGTGGACGCAGGATATCTCGAGAGATCCGGCCTGTAAGGCTGACCCATGTAGGAGTGAGGGGCAGGAGACTGGGAGTGATGAGGCTGGAGCGGGGGAAGAGTATGCGGCTGGGACACGGGGTACTGATGCTGCATGGCGTACTGAGGCATTGGCATGCTCGAGATAGGTGTCGAGGAAAGAGGCGTGGAGCCCTGGGGTAGGCTGGTGGATGGGGGCCGTGACGGATGAGATCTGGGATCCATCGTGACGCGGAGAGAATGTCAAACAGGAGGGGGAGGGGTGAAGGTGAAGGGATAGGGTTGGGACTCGCGAACAAAGATTTCACGGTATCTTGATCATTGATTGCAGAGCGGAAAATAAAACCTTTCTGCAATTGCGTTGCGATCAAAGGCGGAGCTTCAGAAAATTGCGAAGAGCCTTTGCCAATGTCACCAGATTCAAATCCTGATCGCGTCCTTCTCGAAATGAATTTTTGCCCGCGTGAAGTTTTTTTGGACCCTGCTTGACTTTCCTCTCACGATATTTTCTTCTCTTGTCTCTTGTGTTTTCTTTCCGAAGACGGAATTGGAGGATTCTTCCGGACAGCCGCGGAAAGGTATCGACGGAAATTCGGTCGGGATAGTTGAGTTCGATAGGCAATCGACTCGAAGAAGACTTGGTCCAAGGTCGATGATAGAGATGTGCAGGAACAAGTCCGACTCCACTGCAGAAAAGAGGTCAGGATGAGGTCGAGATGCTTAATCTGAATTCCCCACGGTCACCCACCAGAATATCGAGTTGTGTGGGAACTTCTTTTTATCCGCACGTTGTCAAAACAGTCAATGGTTCTGATCCACCAGGGAGGCGGCGTGTAAGTGGGTCTAACAGAACCAGCAGTGTTAGAGGGAAATTTTGCTAGCCAAATTTTGCTTCGCGTCAACAATGCGCAAGATTGGCCGGTACTTTTTCTTTTCTTTTCGGGATGGAAGATGAGGAGAATAAAGAAACTGCCAGGGACAACGCGTATAGATGCGGAGAACCAGGGCGTAGGAAGAAAGAGGAAAAGTAAGGGGGGGTAAAGAGGAGAGGAAGGCACAGGTGAAAAAAAAAGAACAAGAATGATGGATGTGTTTGTAAGGAAACAGAGAAGAGAAAAAAAAAAATGTAAAAAAAGAGAAAAATAAAATAAAAATAAAAGATGGGAAAAATAAGTCGTCCTAAAAGACCGCACCCAAGGTAGTAGCCGTCTCCAGCAGTAGTAATAGTAGTCTAGTCACGGGAATGGAGGGGGAAAAAGGCCTGGTGGGAAGGGGGGCGATGAATGGCGGCAGCGGCAGTACGGAAGGTTAAGAGGAAAAGGATTCGAAAATGCGCAAAATCACGGAATATTATCAGCTTCCGAAGGGAACAACAAGCACACTCGCTCTAGAAGGGAAAGGGGGACAGCAGCAGAAAGAGCAGCAAAAGAAGAGAGCGAAACTAATTGAAGGTTAACTGTGGATTGGCGGTGACGATCCTAACTCTGGGAGGCAAAACACATACGGAAATAGCTGTGTAATCACTGTAATGCCTGAGGAAATTTAATAATTTGGTGGCATTAACTTACCGTACAACTAACTCAGGTGCCATTGACCTGATTCGTGCCTCACCCGGTTTCCGAGATTCAAACAAGAGCCGAACGGGGTCAACTACGTACTGACTGACTACCACTTATTGACTACTGACTATCTAATTCTACGCTGCGGCGAACTAGTGCGCCCTTAGGCCTTAGGTAAGTTTCTTTTAATGGGCTGCCTGTTGGTCGGAAAATTTAAGAAAAAATCCTATGTCAACCCGGTGACTTCCAATTCATGGTTAGCTTTGCTGATATCTCTGGCTCCGTGCCAAAAAGAACGGCAATTTCGGCTCCCAACCCTTTCCGAAAGGTCGCTCCGGAAGAGCAGGGAAACGAAGAGAGCCTTCAAGTTTGGGAAATCGACATCGAAATTTGGTTGGCACCAGCGGCAAGCAGGGGAAAGAGAGGGCTGAAGACGCCGTCCCGACCGCCGATGCCCGTTGGTTGGTTCATCAGATTTGATTAGGGAATCAAAATTCGAGAGTTTGGTGCGTTACCAGAAAAAAATGAAGAAAAGGAAGGGAAAAAGAAAAAAAAAAAGGCACGTCGGGCGTGTACCGAAACGAGGTACTTCGATGGTATCCTTGCCGCAGACAGCTACGTAAAAGATACTTGGCAGTAACTTCGTCGTTACCGGCCTTGCAGCCTGCCAATCGTAGCCCATCAGAGACCAGGCAAAAGACGCAAGCAGGAGAGATAGATACCGTCATGAACTTGTTCTAGCCTTCCAGAGCCCGTCAAGCATACGTAGTGAGTCCAGTGACTTGTTCTCAATCTTGATGAGAGCGCATACTGCAGGTAACTTCGGGTTGAGGGCTTCTATTTTAGGCGTCGATGAACTCAGCTTCGATCGAGGAATATGATGAAACCCGAGCCGTCTCTCATGTTCTTAGTATTGTACAAAGTACTGTGCAGTCAATCGACACATTGGACGAGATGAACAAGACTTCCCAAACAATGCCAGGCTTCAGTGTGTTGGAATTGAGATGCTGTACTCAACGTGGTAGGGCACAATGAGGGGTGATAAGTTGAGTTGATGGAGGGGCGGAAAGGTGGGAAAGACTACCTATGCAGCTGTAGATCGGGCTTCCGGGGGGCGACGGATCCTACTAACCTCGACTGGGACTGGTAGGCCCAGTGGGTGGTAAACTCTTACTCGACAGCAGCAGCAGAAGCAGCAGCAGCCTATTGAAGCATACCATACGAGCGGGAAAAAGAATCCTTCATACTCTCTCCAAACAGGAAGCGGACTAGGTTCTCAGGGCTGTGAGTACGCCGGTTTCAGGCGCAAGATTCCTTCCCAATTGCCTTTTCCGATCATCCTTCGGTTTCTCTCCCTCTCATCGTCTCGGTGTGCAGGCAAACTGAAACCACGGCTAATGCGATGCGTTTCCTTGTTTACGCTTCTACTTACACTGCGAGATATACAAATTCAACCTAACGATGCTTGATGTCATGAGGCAGACGGACATCTGCATCCTTTCTCCGCAATTGACAGGCCCGCCCGCTTCATACTGGTTCCTCAGGCGCTCAGTCCCCTCATGGCACATCCACAATCCCACATGAGCTAGAGTAAGGTAGGGGGGCACGAAACCTTATCAAAGTTATCATATTTGCGAGAAAGTGGAGTGGCATTCTGCTTGAACCTGAGCTCCCTGGCTTCATGGAGCGGGAGGAACAATGGTAGAGGCTGCCCACTCGACTCCACGGCTGTCAATTGTCAAATCTCGATCCACGAAGTATAGACTCCATAACTGAACGTCGATGGAGACTTCTTCCCGTATGGGGCCTTCCGGACCCTGCACCTGCATATTCGATGTCAAGTTCAAGCTGTAGATATTTATATCAAGCGATTCGTCCACTGCGACCATGTCTGCTTTTTTTTTCCGGATCATAGAATTCATACACACCACACACAACGCCAAATGGGACGGGGATGGACCGCCGTCTGCCGCTCACATGCAGGCCTCAGCGCGCTTTTCTGCCACCCAGTCCTTGTCGTCATCATACCACTTCCAGGCCGTGAGGTGCCGAGGATGAAAGGGGGCATTAAGTTCTGCGGTATCATAGGGAAGCTCAACGGCGAGCATGCATCCCACAAAAACTGTACTTCGGTACTGTTTGTGTATTGATCTGCATGCGGAAAAGCAATTTCTGCTCCCCTCGGTCCGTGCTACAAGTCAAGTATTGTTGCTAATTAGGCAAATTGCGTAAGCTGCGGCAGGAGGGGATCGAATGAGAACCTCCGAGTGCCTGTTCCGAATGTGTATCTTAATCATTGTCGCAAGAGGGTCAGGAGTTCTGATCATAGAGTAAAAGTCCCTCTTCTGTCTGTCTAGGAAGCACTGAGGAAAGGATCTGAGCCAGAAGCTGATTCCACTTGTGACTGAGACTCAGCCACCTATCGAAGCAACCTCTGATATACATCACCTGCATAGCGCATGGACCTTCGAGACTCCTCCGTTACAAAAGAATCTGAGACTCGTGTCTTCCGCGGTTCTTCGCTGCGTTCCTCGAGGTCACTTTGAATCTCATCCGATTGCCAACTCGATGATGCCACGAACCTTGTTTCACCTCCCCTCATGCCAGCTGGATTATATCATATGTCTGTTCGCAAAGTTCGAGTCCAGACTAATATACCACTCACGCTTGGGGCATATCCGCGATTCGGACAAGAGCCGGAATCCCTGCCATTTTTGGGTGTAGTGAGTATGATGAATCAGAAAGGAAAAGAAAAGAAAAAACTTGTCTCAGTCCATCATTTTGCTGCTATACCGAAATGAAGCGAAGGATTCACCAGAATTCCAGCCATCCGTCCTTCAACATTGTTGATTGACCCTTCTTTCTTTCTGGCCGTTGTTGTTGTTGTTGTTTTTCCCCCTTGCCCATCCGCATAGTGCATAGCCCCAGTCAGTCAGTGATTTACTTTGCCTATTTTCGAATCACGACTTACTATCCAGATGGGTCTCCCGTTTAGGCTTCGTTCGTATCGGCGGCTATGCTCCACCAGGAGATTTTCGCTGGGAAGCTTCTCCCGCTTCGATTGTGGACCTTTTTGGACCAACCCTGGCCTTTAGGCAGAGTCCCAAGTGGGATTTATTGGATCCATTGGGGACACAGTTTGATGATGCTCCGTATCACAGCAGTAGCATATCCGAACCTCCGACTATCTGATCTGACCATTGCATCCCATCGATCCCAGCCGGTCGGCATCCGGCATTGGAACTTCCAATTGTTGAGGTAGCATTCATTACACGGTTACGGGGAGTACGTGAAACAAGCAACAAGAACATAATCAAACACCTGGGAATCAGTCAGAAACACTCAGCGAATTATCTTCCATTTCGGAAGGATGCGGATGAAGAATCCCCCGGTGCTTTGGCATGGTTGATTTGATGGTTGAGTAAATACCTTTTTCGATCATTACGTTTTTTTTAAGTTTTCTGAATCTCTTGCTTCAATCTCGTGGCGGCTGCGGAGCGCGTCGGGTGGTTGGAGGCGAGGGAGATTGGATTGGAATTGGGATTTCGCCGTCATACCAGAAGCAGAGTGAAAACGGGCAGTACGTACCATCATCAGTTTTTTGCAGGAACCGGCACTGAAATTAGCTGGTCGTCGTTCTTTTTTTTTCTCTGGTGGCGGCGCTATACCATATGGAGATGAGAGGATATCAGACTACTGTTTCCTGTTGACTCTAGAGAGAAACCCAAAATTCCCTCACAAGATCCCAAATACGATCGCTATCGCACGAGAGAGTCGAATCGATTGAGTAATAGCATATGGGTAGTAGGGCAGGATAGGAAAAGTCCAACGTGAGATTCCATACCGAGCTTAGTAGCATTTTGAGAGGCTGTGTATGTGCTGTTGTAGTACTAAGTAAAAGTACTTATGCGTGTGTCTGTTGGGTTGGAATAAGAGAGCCTGGAGGTGTCAGACAAGCGTGTACCTATGGTAGTTTAGTCCATTCTGCAACAATCCATCCTCGCTCAACTTGCCACTTCTGCTTGTCCTCAGCTTCTTTCCCCGCCCGCCGGCGCTGCGCTCTCATTTTTTTGTTTTTCCTTCTTTTCTTCTTCCAAGGATTATTTAGATAGAACAATAAGCAAAAGATAACACCAGACGTTCTTCTATCCAATCGGCCTTTTGGTTTTCTTTAAAAAAAAAAAAAAAACGTCCTAACAAACACGACCGAATCAACCCCCGATTGAGTAAGCCTGGCATGATGCATCATCCCAGTGGAAGTGTACCCGGCACCGGCACCGCACTCAAGAAAGCCGCTGCACCTCGCCCAAAGTGGCGATCCGATCACGGCCAACCTTTGTTCCAGCGAGTTAAGTTAGTGCGCCACAAAAACTCAAGCGGAAGGCCGATGGGATGGGCTCCGCTCATGGAAACTTCCACGAACGAATCCCAAACCCAGGCGGTGTGCGAAGATCCCTCCCCCCCCCCCCCCCCTCCTCTCCCCTCGGTCTTCTCCCCAGCCCTAAAGCTGGATACAGGTACTAGTAGCATAATCCTGGGCAGGCAGAATAATGACCTGGAAGGATCATGCAAGCGTTTAAGTTTTGATGCGTGTTCTACAGGCCTGTGGTACGAGCATGACATGGTACTAAATTCTCAGGGAGGGGGAGCGGAATTCCGGCACGCTCACTGTTTGTCCTTAGGGTGGAGGGGGGGCTTCTCAATGGTTGGTGAAGAAAATTGTCCGATGGATCGTCGTTCTGCTTGTTGCTTTTTCCATCATCAACAAAGCTTGGCTTTCGCTTGTGAGACTGATGAATGATGATGTCTGTCTGTTTCGGTTTCGTCGGCTAGTCAGTCAGTCAGCCCTTGATGTCAGGTACGATGGACTGGTCGATTCGACGATTACAATCTAGGTGCACATCGGCTCTGAGTGTAGTTATGCCACAATTAACCGACATAACAACCATAATGTTCGATACTTCGAAACGCATACATACGTACTGACATACGAGCTTGAAGTCTGCCCTGAAACGGTGAATCCCTTCATGGTCCTCATTCGTGCCAAAGTCCTGGGCTAGCTCTGCTTACCATATCAAACCAGAGACCCTTCACCGGGATGGTTTACCTACGTGGCAGGAATAGCGCAGACACCAGCGAAGCAGTGTGGCTGGTCCAGGGTAGGGTAGATTTGAGACATAGCAGCAACAAAGACTACACCATCCTTCCCAACTAGGTATCAAAAATGGCTCAAAGAGGTAATCATGGTGATATGCTACTAGTACATTCAGGTCCTAGTCACGACTCTTGGCCGAACATCAACCCAGCCCGAGAGAGACTCTAAGTGATACCGATAGCGACGGTCACCAGCAGGTACTCTGATACTCCCATACCGCATGCAGATCTGTTGAATGTGCGCTCATTCGCCCGAGTGCCGGTCACAAAGATCGTAGACCACAGGAAGATAGAAAGTTCTTTGGAGTCAGTCCTCCGGGGTCTGCGAGTGAGGGAGTGAGTGATTGACCGGGACCTTCGCTCGGCACTTTTACCCTGGGCAGGGTGTTTTTTCCGACGCTGACCGGAGTAATGCCGAAGAACAACGCTTGGCTCTCGATTAGGTCGACTTCTTCGCAACTCTTTTGGGGAGGATCGGCCCAGATTCGGAAGCGCGCTGGGGAGAGAAACTCGATCGAGGAACCAATTATAGTCCCCATATTTGGCGAGGCGAGAACGCCACTCACCTCATCTAACCTTCTTGGTCCGACCGAAGGGCTTCTTTTTGGTGGTCTTAGCCTTGAACTGTTGCTGCTGCGGCTGCTGCTGCTGTCAATGACGAGGTTGTCGATGTATTGTTTTTGTTGAGGAGAAGGAGTAATTTGATCATTGACCTCGGGTCATATTCGGGAAAAGCAGAGTCTTCTACCTCATTCTACTCGACTCATATATTTGTGTTCCTACATTCGATGCAGGGTCACTTCTCAAAGAGTTGATAGAGCAACACTCTTGAACCATTAACCGACTGTGCCAAATAGGTTAGACTCACTAACCTTCCGCTGGACTGGAGTTAGATTTAGCCAGGGTCTGGTTGTTGTGCTTCTTCGGGGAGGGAGAGGGGGGAGAATTGAGCCCTGAGCCCAAGCCCAAAAGGCTGAGCAAATCGGACTCGACCAGAAATTTTAGTGAACCCGGGCCAATTCCGACTCTTCCCCTACTGAGCCTAGTCAAGCCACTAACACCCACGTAGAAAAAGTCCGTTGTTACCGTCCACCTGGTCACGCTTGGAAAGTAAAAATCCTACTGCCTAAGGTCGATGAGGGGAAGAAGGCCAAACTTGGCAACTTGCGATTCCCAAAAGGTAGATTTGACCCCTCCTGTAGAGTCTACGAGTACGGAGTGCAATCATTTCCCATGCCATGACTGGCCGGAACACATTGGCGGAGCAATGTTGTGAACATCAGGTCACTCACTACCTTAGTTTCATTCAATGTTCTTCGGAGCTATGACTATCTACCTAGTCCAAGTATCTAGTTCATGCATCCGACGAAGAGAAAGGAGACCTGTGCATGAGAAGTTTTTTTCGATTGAACGATGCCCTTGTCCCTAGTCTATAGTGTACCTCCAGAAGAGATTATACCGAAACCGAGGGACTCGGCTCCGTCAACCCATGGTCGCGTCGATCCGCCGTATGCATCTACTATTCTTCGGAATACATCTCGAAGACCACACATACAACTACGTGAAGTCGGACGGCACGCCCAGTGAGGGAAGGACGCGTCATAACTCTTCGGGCTGTCAACGGCTCGCAGCAGGAGAACAGACGCTTGCGTCCATGGTTCCTATTATCAGATACAGCCATAACCACAATAACAAGGTTTGATGAAGCGGCACAAGATCCTCCAACGCGGGAGAGCGCGCAGACAAGAAACTTCTTGCCTGAGGCATACAATCAGATAATGAAACATCCTGCTTAGTTGCAGGGATAGTTATCGCACCAGATTGAACCTTGATAAGTCACTGCCATGGACTCCGTAACTCCGAGGTACGATGTGCGTATGGGAAGAGAACGCCAGGATCTTGCTTCGTCTGACTCTAGTCTACTGGAGTCTAGTCAAGCTGTCTCTTCAACTTTCTCAATTTGTAAGTGGTTGAATGAGTTAACCCAGAGGAAAATCACCCGAAAAAAACATTGCCACCGACCAACCATTAAACAGGAGAGTACCAGGGACCAAAAGCCGAAGACACACAGAGGCCGATCGTACAAGCCACACACACACACCGCGCGGGCTTACGGTGTGCAGGCAGGCTGACTGGCTGTCCGCTGTCCAATCAGCCCAAAACAAGAACATGCCTCGGAACCTTGATGGCAACTTTGATTCGGCTGGCACTGCATGGACTGTACCCTTCCAGAATAGGTATTCTACACGGGACTCAGGACTGACGGACTGGTGTTTTGATATGAAACTATTTTTTTGTACCAATTTCGAAATCATAATCCAAAAGTATGGAGGTTGGGGGGAAGTGAGTTTGTAAGTGAGTGAGTGAAATAACACGCTGAATTATTATTCCCTACTTCGGGAAAACCATCACAATAGGGAAAAATCACTCAATAGCCTACCTTACTATCCTCATCAGTACGAGACTACAGAAGGGCGGGGCGGGCGGACGAACGGCAGCAGTAAATCCAAACTGGCCAAAGTGTTGTCAATCCTGGACGGTGGAATCCAATCCACACCTACTTGCCCCCCTCCCCCTCCATTCTCATCCATGGCCCTGGGTAGTTTTTGTTCGCCTTTCTTTTCTTTTTCTCCCCGAAACCCATTATCCCCTGTCAATCATATCCATCATGATTATCGCTATGGGATGGGGGGAGGGGCAGAGGAGGGGGAGGGGGGAGGGGGAGAATAGAGAAGAGGGGAATTTGTCTCGTGCCTGTTTTCTTACTTAGTAGAACAAACACCACTGTATACGGTAGTCGAACCATAGATACATACATCACGACCATGTTAGAAAACATTCTATGTCTCAGTCATCGGGCGACTCAGGCTCTCATCCGATCGTTCAATGATGATTGTTGCTGCAACCTTTCAAGGCTTTTTCTCGACCACCGATGCAAGTTAGATTGTCGCTAATCGGCCAATGAGGGGGAATGAATATATATGACGTCGAGGACTGGGAAACTCTCTGACAAGCCCTTTCTCAACAAATCTGGGATTGTCGACCTGGATTGATCGATGGTTTAGGAGCAAGGCGTAGAGCAACGCAGCAATTCTATCCTACTTAGGAGATTTCTCGGATTTTTGGGGAGGAGGATCATGGATGTCATTTTGCATAGCTGGTAGTACACTCAGTGGTGATGATAATAACGATATACAGTACAATCAATCTTACACATCCACACACTCCCAACAATAGCTCCTACGTACAGTACAGTACCTTGGCCATCCTCTCTTCTCCTAAGATAAAACCCAACAACAACAGACTTCTTAGCCCCCAGAACCCGGATAAAAACCAACCAACAACCCATCCATCAATACTATCTAAGTGGCCCGTACCTGCAGGAATTAGAACCAGGAAGATAGCCCAGGTGTCCCACCCGGGCCTCCTAAACGTCCTAGGCTGCTTGCCCTTAAGATGCAAGTCAGGGATCAATTAGGTTAATGGCCCCATCCAACCATCCATCCACCTACCGTATCTACTGTGTATGAACAAGGGCAGGGCAGGGCTGGCAAGTAAGCAAGCAAGCCCAAAGCAGCTGAGCTCCTCAGCTTTACGCCCGCCCGCGCCCGCGCCCGCCCGCCCGCCCGCCTTTACCTGCCGGGCTTCCCCCGTGGTCTACCTAAGGCACCAAGTAAAGTGCCCACGGCCATGCCCGCCGCCCCGTATCCCCTTCCCTCCGAACAATCCAGTCATTCGATCGGGTTCCCCTCTCGTCTTCTCGGCCTGGGATTGCGGTGGGGACTGATGTAGGGTAGGAATTTAGGGAGAAGAGAGCCCGATCCATGTCGGGTTAAATTGGGGCTCGTTATGGAGCCTGGGTGTAGCCGAGATATATATGTGTCTATGGAGATTGTGCACACTGGTACCTGTACCAATGGGTGAGTGCAGTTGGCTGGCTGGCTGGCTGCATTGTTGTTTGTTAGTTTGCTTGGTCGTTTGCGTGCATACATATACATGCATGATATCGTCTTGAATCAGAAAAGACTGGAGGGTTAGGGATGATTATTCGCGCTGGGATGCTTGGCTGCGGTCGAGTTCATACTTCACTCCGTAGGGGGTAGATCTATATCTGGACGGAGGCCCTATCGGCATCGACAGCTTCTTTGGGTCTAAATAGATACGAATCGACTCGGAGTGATTGAGGAGGTATGTACATACGTTGGGGAGAATGTCCCCTATAAACAGTGGAGGCTTAGGATAAAAGCCGTAGTACGAACAACAGCGATCTTCCAAGTAGTAGTACTCACAGAAGAGCTATAGGTATATACTTCCAACCCTCTATATTACAAAACACTTAACCCCACCTCGCTGCATCACCTCAGACATACAAAAAAAAAATACTAGACTGAGACAAAACAAGATGCCAAAATTCAATTCCCCCCTTCCCCTTTCCTTCCGTTACACAAACTCCGCGTTTTGTCTCATCCCGCGATCCTATCACCTCTCTTACATGGTCTCAAAGGTCACACCCGAGATGCATCCATGATGTATGTGTCTATGTCTGGAAAACCACCCTTTGAACGACCAATCCGCTTCATTGGAAGCACTACCTCGAAGTTCTAGATTGCGGTCTTTATTCCGTTGGTGTTTCTAATTGTACTTTGGTCGGACGGTGCTGGTTGCCATCTTGCACTGCTGAGCTAGCTCGGATTATAGATTTGGGCGGTTAGGTGGCATGCGCTTCTATCCGTCGATGCGCATATATGAAAACCCCTCGTTGTAAGAAGGAGTAGATGGGTTCTTTGTACGATTCAAATATTGGAATCGGCTCGACAAGTAAGCATAGAATGTTGTGCTTTTATAATCAGACCTTCGAGGCGTAGAGTGTTTTCTACAAGTCTATCGTCTAGTGCTTCTCGCCGGCGGCGGCGCACAAGCTGAAGCACATCGACGGCGAAACAGGGGAACAAGGTCCGAAGAATAGGCTATCGCGTGGGTGGAGTATGAACCTTCATACAAACTCATGCGCATCGGGTATATAGCCTGAGTCCAGAAGTATTCAGCTGAAGTTCCCCAACAAGACTTATGAACTAAAGGCCAATCAGGTGCCTCCCACCCCCCAGTCGATGATAGACACAAAAGACATCAAACCAAACTGTACACTCGCGGATTCTACAATGACTACTTCGCAGAAGACTTACCCGACAGGTCCGCCGGCTCCTCTTCGCCAACAACGACTTCTTCATCCTCCCCCAGTCCGTCGATAATCGCTTCGTCCTGGACGGCGTGAATCGCATGCTCCACATTGACGACGGGACCCTTGAACCACGTGCGCGCGTCGATGAACCACCAGATGATTACGGCCAGCATCGGGGCGCCCCAGACGAGGCAGGTCCAGTTCATCAGATCGGGCGTCAGGTTGCTGCCGGTGGAGCTGGGGAGACAGAGGATCGGGATCATAAGGAGGACGAAGGCCACGCCGGCGCCGCCGATCCAGGGGCCGAACGGACCCAGATGCCACGGTCCCTTGCGGAAGCGGTTGCCTACGAAGAACACCCGGATGGCGATGGGGACGACGAAGGCGAAGAACTGCGCGATGGCGCCGATCGAGAACAGGGCGCCGATGGCCGTCGACCCCGCTAGCATCAGGAGACACATCAGAATGCCTAGGACCCCGTTGAGGATCACTGCGTTGACGGGGGTCTGCGTGTGCTTGTTGACTTGCTTCCAGATGCGAGAAAGCGGGAAGCAGTCGTCGCGAGCGTACGCGTAGGTCACTCGCGAGGCTGCCACCATGCAGCCTTGGCCCATCGAGAAACTGCTGACAATGGTCAGAGCTAGAATGGCCAGCGCGATCCGTTGCGGCATAACCTGCAGCAGATATGATGCCCATGGCTGGCCCAGGTCCGAGTCGAGAACCGCGCTGATGTCCGTCACTGTGTAGGCAACCACGAGCTGCAAGAACCAGCCGAACACTCCTCCAACCCCGGAGGTCAGGACGATCGCACGCGGCGAGGCTATGTTGGCATTTGAGCACTCTTCGCTGAGATGGAAAGGTGAATCATAGCCGGACATCGTCCAGATAACACCGACAAAGGTCATCAGCACTGCAACTCCATCTGGGAAGTCAGTCAGATTGGTGATGGTGCCCCAAACCTCCTTGGAGGGAGTGAATCTAGGCTCGTTCTTCGTCCCAGCTGGAATGGCGATGATTGTCACGATCAGAGCGAGTATGTTGAACGTTGAACCCCACGAGTTGACCCGCGCAACCCATCGGGTCGGCATACTGCTGATTCCTGTGTGAATAATCATGATGAATGTGGTTAGCAAGAAGGTTTGCCAATTTGTCGGCACGTAGCCAGGGTTTTCTATCGAGGCAGCCGCCAGAATCATGGCAGCCATAGCATAATCGACTGATGGTGCTGCAGTGATCTGCCCAATCCAATTAGACCATCCCGTGATCCATGCAGCGAAGGGACCGTAGCCAGGTGGCGCAAGGACAGCTGCTGCATAGTATAGACCACCGCTGGTACCCAAAAGTCAGCTCATAAATCTGGCTCGACGGAAAGCACTGCAAGAGGCACACCCACCTGGTAGGCATTGCGGAGCATAGCTCGGCCATAGACATCGCTATACACTGGATGAAAACCATGGCGATGATCCACCCCCAGACCATACCGGCGGTTCCTGCATAGCCCATTCCTTCTCCATGTTAGCCATTGTCGTCACAACAGCAATGGGGCGCAGGAGGAGCTACCATAATATATGGTGCTTGCAAACGAGGGCAGCAACCCCAGCACCGAGAAGCTGACACAGAAGGTTGTCCAAAGTGAAAACTCGCGTTTAAATTCTTGCTTATATCCGAGAGCGACGATGACTCTCTCATCCGCGTCCATCGCATGGTCGGTATAGGGAATGTCGCCCTCCGGCAGAATACTCGTGACGGGCGCATGGCTGATATCCGTATATATTGGCCCTTTGAGAGCAGTCTTGCTGCTCGGCTCAGAGATCGGCATGGTGAAGGCTGGCTCCCCAAGAGGGAGACACTCTGGTGAACGTCCTGACCAAAAAGGCTAGTTGGGGAGAGAGGGGTAAGAATCAGCAGTTGCTTGATGAGGAAGCAGTCACGGACCCAATCCGAGACAAAGAGCAAGCCTTGCTAGACGAAAGGGTCACACAACAGGTGTGTCCAGTGAGACTCTCTCTCGAGCGAGGTCGAGCGGGCTGAAGACCGGACACATATTGTTGAGGGCGCACTGCAATATAAAATAGCCATCTTATCTATTGAATGTACAACTGTACCGCGTCAGGCGGAGAGTCCGACAGAGACGGCACCAATCAATGTCTCTGGTGGAAGATACACATCTATCGACCCCATAGCATGCATGGATCTTGAAGCTGCGACCAGCCGAGGCGGGGAACCAGACGCTGATACGCTTGGCACCAGGTCATTCGCTCTTTCTTTGGACAATCGATTGGTGGGAATCGAGGGAAAGCTCACACGAGTCGATGTTAAAATGCCCAAAGCTCGAAACTCATCGGGTCAGGATCGGACTCAAACCTGTATATTCTAAACTCAGTAAGCTGACTTTACCGAGTAGGGAAACTTCGCGCGTTAGAAGAAAGGAATATCATACGAAGACTTAGACTAGTGCTCGGACGATCGACCACACGTTCGAGAGCTGCACTTATCGGAGGAGATGGTTGGCTGCAGGGCTGCAGATGATAAGGCTGGATGAAAGGATGATATCGACTATCAGATGTAAGCCATCGAGCGGCTAGAGATAAGGAGGAGAGAAAGATTTGGCCAGGTTGGACTTACCTTTACGAGCATAGCCAGTTAATCGAGAATTCTCTCGTTAAGATACAATCCAAATAGATCTGACCAGTGGCAGAGGAAGTGTGGAGTATGCAAAGCATTGTCTGCCTGTCAACCACCGTCCGCCAAGCGAGCTTCCATTATCTCAAGTCCCATAGCCTAAATGCGCCTTAGTGTTGTGTCTGCATAGGCTGTTCGTTGGCTGGCCTTCAATACCAAGTCACAATAGTATGTTATGGTGCTGTCCAGGTTCGAGCAAAAGCAAAGAGTTGAAGTGGGTGGCGCTTAAGTCGGTTGGTGTTCAGGTTAGTAGCCTCCTCTAGCCTAATTTTTACTCTCTGTCCATATCCCAAATTCTGCTTGACACAACCCCGGAGAATTTATAAGTAAGGGCCCCCTGGTCTCTTTCTGCCGTCTCTGCCGAATGTTCATCGGCACATAAGGTTAGTTCATTATCCGTTAAGAAGTACAGATGGCTAGTCCATAGATTATCTCACCGTGCCCCGCTGCAGCAGACGGCAGAATGACGATCTGCAGCTATCGAGACAAGCGTACCGAATGCCAAAGTGTTACATTGTGCATAGTATCTGGATCGTCGGCTTATCCTGGCACCGTTGTTGTGGCATGCGACTGGATCAGTCTTAGGAAAGCCCCGTTACTGGGTTGCAACAGTGACGTTGCCTAAGCACTGACCAGTGTCATGGGTGTTCCTTGTGCATAACCGTGAAATTGCAGAGGCAGAGCCTATAGTACTAGGCGCAGGGGACCAATCAATTAAGAGGCAAGATCTCTGCTGCCACACATCAGAACTGGAACAATCCTGGAGCTACTATTGGTGACGAAGTCCACCGACAGGAATAGCCACCCATCGTACTCGAGCAGAATCTTTTAAGCAGGCATTCTCTACTATGTGCTATCGAAAACTCATCGCTATTCTACACGTACAGCACCCCCAGTCTCTTTTGCTGTCCAGCTATGAAGCGGTATATCCGTACAGGGTGACCGGGCCTCGTGTATAATTGAAAAAACAACATTTGCCTCAGAGACAACATTTAAAAGGGCTGTAATAGACGTTAGCAATTGAGCGCACGCACTGAGATAGGATTCACATACGTTGTCCTCAGGGGCGATGGTGCGGTCAAAGTACTCATTGAGGAAGGGAACCTTCTGGAGAATATCACGGCGGACACGGGGGACCTCGCCAAAGAAGAACAGAAGGAAGACACCGGCGCTGACGCCGAAGCCGCCGGCAATGGTACCGCTGTAGGATCAATTATATTAGTCAATGCTGTCGCTGGATCCAATATTTGGCGCGAATACGTCACGTTCGCGTGCTGGGTGGGGATTACTCACGCAGTGACAGCGGACCGGGTGGTATGGCCGTGCCAGTGAAGGGGAGTCGAGTACCTGATTCATCGAGTATCAGCGTTAGCGGTGGTTCTGTCACTGACACCGTCCGGTGTTCCAATTTGTGCATGCAGCAGTCCGTCATGTGAAGACCCGTCAAGATGCGTGTGAGCCTTCGTATGGATGTAGATCACCATCATATCAAGGGCCACCGAACAGAAAAGAGCCAAGCCCCGTGGGACCAGTGTAGTGCCAGCCTTCACAATTGTGTCGGGACGAAAATAATGACGATTCCGAGAGGGGATCTCACTTGGGACCGAAAGGAGAACGGTAACCACCGGCATTCTGGGCCGCAGCGCGGCGAAGAGTCTGAGAGAAAACCTACTCGTACACATATTCAGATTAGCGACTGATCAATGTATCCCTTTCCCTCTGCCACCGTGACATAGCCAGGTCCGGAGGTGGACGACTAACGAGCGTGACACAACAACCTGGGTCAAGCTACTCCCGAGCTTTCAGTGGGAGAAGGCCTAGCAGAAAGCACATACCATTTTGTTTAAAGTCAAGGCAGGCACACTCTGCTCTAACAAACTATGTAGCGGCTGCAATTGCAAGTCGAAGCTGTCGACGAAAACCGGGAGACTCCGCGACGTTCTTGTCCGACCGCCTACGGCCAATCAGCCACCCGCAAGATACAGCCACGTGACACTCACATTGTCGAATCATATACCACGCATTTCCACACCTCATGATATGCCATGACCAGCATTGAAGTATAGGTTAGATAAAGGTATCGTCGTTGCGAACTGCTCTGAAAGCAACAGTGTTGGAATAATATCTTGTAACACGTCTCTACCTGCCGAACAGCTACTACAGAGTAGGAAAAAGAGAATCGATGGAACTAGTGTCCAATATCATCAAGATTTGTTGCAGAAACGACACCAAGATAGAACTGAAGAAGAAAAAAGGGTAATAAAAAGAAAAAAAAAAAGTTAACTGTACAGTCCCTCTCCTTTTCGCATCTAATCTACTTTGCCCGTGGAACCACCATTCAAAATACCCTCTTTGCCGTCCAGGTTGAAGAATCCTCCGCTAGGATTCCCAGTGACACCGAGAATACCGCCCCGACCTCCGCGCCTGGCCGCTCTGCCCCGAGCCACGAATGTAGCGCCGACAATGGAAAGAATCAAGATGATGACGAACAAGATCGGATGCCCGCTGATGAATGAACGGGTGAAGAAAAAGATAGACTCAAAAGTGCCGATGGTAGACTTAGGTGTCAGCTTAGGAGGGTTTGCGACCACAAGAGGAATAGTTTCAAGAATCGAAGTGCGAGAAGCCATGATCGATGCCCCGCTGGAGGAAGTATCCCAGTAACGTCGGTTCTGGAAAAAAAGTTAGTTGATGATACAGCAAGTAGACTATTTGCGAGCGTGCAAGACACTTACATCTTGGTCATTGATGATGACACGCTCTCCATTTTCCACATCAATACCGTACTGGGTCCGTAGCCACCGCTCCCAGAAATCACCGTCAACCCAGGCGAAACCGACCTGTTTCTTGTCGTCCTCGCGGATGGTGATACGCATGTTTTTAGCAGCCCGAAGAGCACGCTGGTCATTGCGGTCCTCCGCCTCCTCAATCCGCAGTTGCTTGGCATCCCGGAGCTCAGCGCGCTCCAACTGGAACAGCTGAACTTGCTTATCCATCCATTCATGAGCGGCATTTTTCAGCTCTCTCTTTGACTGCAGGAACTCATCCGAGTGCTTACGGCTCAAAACACCAAGCACCACATATTTGCCATCCATGATTTCACGAGCGTTAGATGCTGTGAGCTCAGGAACGATAGGTAGCCAAACAGATCGCATCCAATTCAGGATTTGTCGGAAGTCGCGCATATCCTTGGGAGCAAGCGCATTGTAGTAACTTGGACGACCATCCCGAGACACCAGAAGACGGGGCCAGGTGGAAATCTTGAATCTTTCAGCAAGGGCGGCACTGCTCGTCTTCACAAGTCTGGCATGACCGACCAAGCTAAGAGTCAGGCGCTCCAGAGCCTTGAAGTCCTCAGAAGTCGTTGCGTGGTCGTAGAAATATAGGAAGATGACATCTTCCTTCTCTTCCAGTTCCTTAAACGTGGTGGCATCAACATCCTGCACACCGGAGCCGATTTCCACAGCCTTCTTGGCATAGTTGACCAGATCACCTAGGCCCCGGAGGCCGGTGTACTCCACTCTTTCACCGCCACGGAAGAAGTATATGGTCGGGAACTGGTTGACTCTGGCATCCTTGCAAAGCCGAGATTCGACATCGCAATTTACTTCTCCGACATTGAGGACACCCTGCATTTCCCTCGCCATCTCTTGCCAGTTAGGAGCCAATGCCTGACAGTGACCACACCAGGGAGCGTAAAACTTGATGAACCAAGGGTCCTGAGTAGTAGTCACAAGTTTCTGGAAGCTTTCCGCCGTGAGAGGAACGGATATGCCTCGCGGGTTCACCGGGCTGGAAGACTTGACTTGAGCCTGCGCAGTATCCTTAGCAACAGGAGCATTGTCAGAGGCGAGCTGCGCGGCCTGCTCGTTGTGTTTCTCGCCAGCCTTGGCTCCAGCTTCAGGGTTCTTGTCTTTGGCCACAGGGGTTTCAGGTTGAGCTTTCGTATCGACACTGGTGTCGCCTGCCCTAGGCAACTTTAGGCCTTGCGCAGGCCGGGATCCAGGCTTAATCTGTTCCAGCTTCTCTTCGACGAACTCACTCAATCCTTGCATACTCTTCTTCCCGGTAAACTGCTCGACCAGCTCGCCATTGTGATAGAGAGCGAAGGTAGGGAAGTATTTCACCTCGAGTTTACGACATAGATCGCCGTAGACGAGACAATTTACCTCTGCGAAATGGAAATTGTAAAATTTATCGAAGGAGTTCAGGGACTTGGTATCGGACGACTTTCCAGATGAGGAAGACAGAGGATCGGAGGTCTGAGAAGAGTTAGAGGATACAGTCGGCGATGAGGACTACAAAGTAGAACTTACATAGTAGAACTCATAGAGTGTCTGCCATGTTGGCGCAATCTTCTGACAGTGCGGGCACGACGGAGAGTACTCTTTGATGAACCTGAGAGCTCTGTCAGCCTGGAGCGACCGATTTGTAGCGCGTTAAAAAGGGTGCTGACCAGTAACCGTCCTTGACCGTTTCGTCAAAGTCATCGGGGGTCAGGGATCTGATGGGCGGGACCTCAATGCCATTGAAGAGAGTTGATTTGGGCTCGGCCGAGCCGTCTCTTTTCACGAGATGGTGCTTAGGCGAGGCATCACTGGCGGAAGTAGCCCACGTCGGGATGGAAAGGAGAGAAAGAAATGACCATGCCAGCAAAGACGACCGCATGCTGGCTGTAGGCCAAGACCAGGGGCCTTTCGGTTCCTACTAAAGAAAGGTAGAGTTGGTAGGGGGAGGAGAGAAAGAGGTTGTCGAGAAGATCAAGGATCGGCCGTTCACAGGTGGCACATCGGACTGAAGTGACGGGTGGTCTAGAAACGGGTGGATCGCCAGGAGTCGGAGAGCCACTCAAGACAAGGGACAATCAGCAGTAAGTCGCGGCTTCAAAGATGTACAGCAAAGGCTTTCTTTGAGTGTGTCGGCAGGTTGGCACGTTACCCGACGGGGAAAAAAAAAGAATGCGGGCGAGAAAGACGCCACCCCTACCGTAAGATAATCACTTAACTAGATATCATGGGGATAATGGTGGAGGAGGAGGAGGAGGAGGAGGAAGAGGCGCAGGAGGGAGGCCCGGGACCGAGTTTCTCCGCAATCCGTGTCGGAACCTCAACCCTTCTTGCATCCATCCCGATCCAGTGTGCTCATCGTGAATGAACGATCCGTAAGTCACCCCGCTGTCGTCTGCCATTGGGCCTGATATCACTCGCGCCCCTAGGTCTTTTTTCACTCCTTTTACTTCCTTCCTCACATATCCCCAGATCACAATGCGGTCGACACTCCGGTTGCTGGCCAACGTCAAGCCGGCTCGCTACTTGGAGCCCTTCGCTCCTACCGGCTTGGCCGGTCTCAATACTCACCCCAGCCCCCGTCCCACCTTGATCTTCCTTTACACAACGACCTTGAACAAGCTCAAGTCTTTCCCCGAGTCTTCTGTCTACCGTCAATCCACCGAAGCATTGACCCGCCACCGTCTGCAAATCATCGAGTCCACGAAGCCGCCTGGATTTGAAGCTTGGTTGGAGCGCGTGAAGAAGACTCTGGCCGCCGAGCCTGAGCGCTTTGCCAATCTCCGTCAAGCCGACGGCACGTACGCAGCTACTGAGCGTCCCGATGGCAGCGATAACGTCCGTGGAGAGGAGTGGGACGGTGAAGCCATGGAGGCGACCACTGAAGGTCCCGCTCGTACCCCGGAAGAAGAAGCCCGCTTCGCACAGCTGATTGAGGAGGGTTCTTCCGCCAAGAACAACGAATCGGACTTCTTCCCTCAGCACCAGAAGTGGGAGGCTGAGCCCGCTCTGACGGTAGAACAGTATGGAAATTGTCCCTCTTAGAAGCGCATAATAGGCGGAATGTGCTGATGGTTTGTGAATCTAGGGTTTCTGAAATTGAGAAGCAAATCGGTGCTGGTCTCATCGAAGAGGTCATCCAGGTCGCTGAGGGTGAGTTAAAGGTCGTTGACGAGTTGTACAAGTCGCAAGCGTAAGTCTACCCGTATGATCCACTGGTATGACGGGATGCGTACTGATACGTTCACAGCTGGTCGGAACTCGAGGAGAAGCCTAGACCTGGTCAGTGGTCTTACTTTGAGCGTCATGAGTAGAGGCTCGGTATAGGAGGATGTTCTCATGAACGACAGACTTGACTCAAGATTTCCTATTGCTTGTAACTATAAGTTTACGTGTGTCCAATCAATTCCAATCCCAACGGCATGTCAATGTACTGTACTAGTTTCCTGGCAATTATGTCTTGTTCGCCAAGGTAACGCCGCTTCATCCAGCCTATCATGAGGCAGATTGGAATTCGTCAAAAGAGTTCCTCTTCTAAAGCAGGGCCTGTTATGAAATACATGTTCAGGAAACCTGGTTCAAGAAGTGAGATCTATGAATCTGGTATAAGTATAGCCCGTAGACATGGATGAAGCCGACGCACGAGCGATCCAGAACCGTAGGCGGTGAGTTCCCCCTGTCACTAGCCGATTCCAGATAGCTGGCGGGATTCCATCTCCTTGTGGACACATCGCTGTCAGTCCTTATAACATCTGCTTTGACCTCGGAGGCCATTCGGGCTGGGGAATTCTTTCTTCGCTTTGCGCTAATCACTTATTCTTCCTTCGGGAGTTCTTGACGTCCCCGGGCTGGGCTGGTAAAGCGGCTCGTGGCCTGGTTCCCCCCTCCTTCTCACAGCCCGTCCTCCGACGCCGCACATAATCGCGACCTTACGTCCCCACACAAGATGAAATTGGATGTTAAGGTACGGAATTCGACTCTCGAGATGACGCGGGCTGTTACTTAGGGGCGCGTCTATATATGTGGTATTGAGATCTGTGAAAAATGATCAAACCGCTGACAGTCATCTAATAGAGACAGCTGTTCGCCCGCTCCGAGCGGGTGAAGGGCATTGATTTCCATCCAACTGAGCCATGGGTGAGTATCCTAGTCATTAGCTACTATGGATAGGCGCTGACCTCTTGCAGATTCTTACCACACTATACAGCGGTGCGTTGAAGATTCGCGGCTCGATCACCGTCTCGAATGCGCTAATAGGATTACACAGGTCACGTTTACATCTGGTCCTATGAGACTCAGGTATGTTGTTTTGCGGCCAATCTTTGTACACGACATTGCTAACGATGACCAACGTCAGTCTATCATTAAAACCTTCGAGCTCACCGATGTACCTGTACGAGCCGGTCGGTTCATTGCCCGCAAGAACTGGATTGTCTGCGGTTCAGATGACTTCCAACTTCGCGTCTACAACTACAACACCTCTGAGAAGATCGCATCGTTCGAGGCCCACCCAGACTACATTCGCTCAATCGTCGTGCACCCCACACAACCATTCGTTCTGACCGCGTCGGATGATATGACAATCAAGCTTTGGGACTGGGAGAAAGGCTGGAAGTGTGTTCAGGTCTATGAGGGTCACAGCCACTATGTGATGGGGCTCTCGATCAACCCCAAGGACACCAACACATTTGCGTCCGCATGCTTGGACCGAACCGTTAAGATCTGGAGCCTTGGCTCACCACATGCCAACTTCACCCTGGAGGCCCACGAGACTAAGGGTGTGAACCATGTCGATTATTACCCGCAAGCAGACAAGCCATACCTTCTCACAACCTCCGATGACCGGACCGTCAAGGTCTGGGATTACACTACGAAAGCGCTCATTGCCACTTTGGAAGGACACACAAGCAATGTTTCCTTTGCCTGCTACCACCCGGAATTGCCGGTGATCATCTCTGGTTCTGAAGATGGAACCATTAAGATCTGGCATGCGAACACATACAGACTCGAACAGTCATTAAGCTACGGCCTGGAGAGAGCGTGGTGTGTCTCTTACCAGCGGGGCCGACAGGGCGTCGCGATTGGTTTCGATGATGGTGCGGTGGTCGTGAAGATGGGTCGGGAGGAGCCAGCTGTCTCTATGGACGGTTCAGGAAAGATTATCTGGGCCAGGCACAATGAGGTTGTCTCCACAGTAATCAAGGGCGGCGATGCCACCATTAAGGACGGTGCACCGATCTCTCTGCCTACGAAAGAGTTGGGATCATGCGAAGTCTACCCCCAGACTCTGTCACACTCACCCAACGGACGGTTCGTATCGGTATGCGGTGATGGCGAATACATCATCTACACTGCTCTTGCCTGGCGTAACAAGGCATTCGGTCAAGCCTTAGACTTCGCCTGGGGCTCGAAAGACAACAGCAACGACTATGCCATTCGCGAGTCCACCACCAGTGTCAAGATCTTCAAGAACTTCAAGGAAGTCAGCGGTGGACTTGATGTGGGCTTCCAAGCCGAAGGCCTCACAGATGGTGTGCTACTGGGTGTCAAGGGTCAAGGTGGAATCGGCATGTTTGACTGGGAGACTGGGAACTTGGTCCGCCGCATTGAAGTCGATCCTAAGGCTGTAAGCAGAACATTCAAAAAATACGCCACTAACCTATCGCTAACACCCCGATCAGGTATACTGGTCTGAGTCGGGAGAGCTGGTGACTCTCGCCTGCGAAGATTCCTTCTACGTCCTTCGATACTCCCGGGAGAACTACATCAACGGCTTGAACGCCGGTGAGGCCGACGAAGATGGTGTGGAGTCCGCATTTGAGGTTGTCACTGATGTCAACGAGTCTGTTCGCACGGGTCAATGGGTTGGAGACTGCTTCATCTACACGAATTCGACGAATCGTCTCAACTACCTGGTCGGCGACCAGACCTACACCATCTCCCACTTCGACCAGGGTATGTACGTCCTGGGCTACCTGCCCCGTGATGGCCGCGTCTACCTTGCCGACAAGGATGTCAACGTCGTATCATTCGGCCTTTCTCTCAGCATGGTCGAGTACCAGACGGTGGTATTGCGCGGCGACCTAGACACGGCAGCGGAGCTGCTCCAGGACGTTCCCCAAGACCAGATGAACAAGGTAGCCCGCTTCCTGGAGGGACAAGGGTACAAAGAGATGGCACTCGAGGTTGCAACCGACCAAGAGCACCGCTTCGAGCTGGCCCTTGCCCTCAACAACCTCGAGATCGCCCTGGAGATCGCCCGCGAAGCCAACGTCGAGCACAAGTGGAAGACCGTCGGAGACGCCGCTCTCGCTGGCTGGAACCTGGCTTTGGCCCAGGAATGCTTCACCAATGCCAAGGACGTGGGCTCGCTTCTCCTCCTGCACACCGCCAGCGGCAGCAAGGACGGGCTCCGGCAGCTGGCCGCTCAAGCCTCGGAAGCCGGTCTGCACAACGTGGCCTTCTCCACGTTCTGGTCCCTCGGCGACGTCGACGGCTGCATCGACCTCCTGGTGCGGACGAACCGGGTCGCCGAATCCGTCCTTTTCGCCCAGACCTACAAACCTTCGCGGGCCCCCGGACTCGTCGCCCAATGGAAGGCCTCCCTCGAGTCGAACGGCAAGACCAAGATCGCCCGCCTCATCGGTATCCCTCCCGGTACCCCTGACGCGGCCGCCGACGACGACCTCTTCCCCGAATGGGACGAGTACATCCGCCTCGAAAGCGAAGGCGGCGCAGCGATCACCGCCGTCCCCGAACCTCCTTCCTCCGAGTCCCTGATCGACGTCCACGCCGATGACGAGACCGCAGACAACGGTGCCCCCGAGGTACAAGCCGAGGACGAAGCCGAGGAGGAGGCTGCTGAAGAGGAGGAGGAGGAAGAGGAGGAAAAGTCCGAGTAGACGCGCTCTCTACCGTCCACCCACCCTAAGCTAGATTCTTCTTCCTTTTCTTCTCCGTGACATGGGATGTGTTCTGCGTGGTCATATGGTTGTATTCAAGCGCCGTCATGGAGTGGGGAACAGTGAACGCAAATGTAGGATGGAGGAGTGAGAACGAACGCGGTTGATGAATTCGAAGGGAACCCCCGCAAAGAAGTTACATAAATGCATATTCTCCTTGTTTTTCCTTGTTTGAAAGCTTTTTTTTTACCTATTATCCATCCATCCATCTACCCCTCTGATTCTCCGTTCTTCCTCTGTTTGATGTATTGACAACCAGCTTATAAATTCTGGCTTGCGTGGATTATTCCCCCTTTCCCCCTTGTGTTCTTGATTCAATTTCTCCTCCCTTCCCCTTTTACATAGCTTCTTTTTTTTTTGTTTTATCTCTCTCCGTTGGTGGTTACCTTTCTCCTACTTGTTCGTTATGAAGTCAATAAATTTTATGTATGGCCCTTTTGTTCTATTCTCAATATACTACTTACGCTATTACATGTATACGGTGTATGGCGTTCTCTGTTCGTCAATGCGGGGGAATCTTCTGCTTGATTCATCAACCAAGCCCGCTCCGGAACCCAGGCTCTCTGTACTGTCTACAACAAAAAAATCCCCACTACAATCATAGAACACCAATCTAATAAAGAAACCACTACGGTATACTGTCTCAATGCCAGAGAGAGAAGAAAAAAAATCCATTGATGTCTATGAACCAGCCACATCATGAGAGAAAAGAAAAGGGGGTGGAAAGCTCATTCTCTGTAATTTCTTTCTTTCGTTCTTCCAGTCCCTCCATTCCCTGCACTAAACCCGAAATCAACAGCAGGAAAGGTATCGAGCTAGAGAAAATATGAACAAAACACAAGAGGTCTAGATCGAGACCGCTGACACGGAAAAACATATGCACAGTTTGATGTTTTGGTGTGTAAAGCGAGTTTGAAATATCCCAGGCGGACTCCAGTTCCTCGGGATGAAGACAGAGTGGAAGCCTCAGCAAGGTTCATTGGATCAAACCAGCAGACCATAGTCACAAGCAAGCGTTTGCACAGAGACTGACTAGGTCATCAAGGATCCGTTGTAAGCCGTATTGAAAGCTGGCGGGGGAGAAGAGCGACAGTGTGTTGCTGCTTATGTCGCCTGAGTGTCCCTCTAGGAAGAGAGACTCGGAGGTTTAACGCTTCACTCCAATGAACACATCAGAGACAAGAGTGATAGACACGACGGCGGTCAATGAAGAAAAGACAGGAATTGAGAAATGGACCAAAGGGACCTGCCTCGATTGTATTGGATGCAAACCATGCAGGTTAAAAGGAAAACACACAAAGCGCTCAGCTAAGATCACTGCCATGGAAGGGAAAAAGCAAAACTCGCCACAAAAATAGTCCCATGTACTCCCTGTGCTGGTAGAGGAGACAGAAAGGAAGACAGCGAAAATGATGAGAGAAACCCGAGCTACATCGCAGGCAGGATATGCAGATGAAAAGGGAACAAAATGAGGGAATTGTTTCAAACAATTCCTTCTTCGTGTCTTGATGTCACATTGTGTTCTTTTTTTATGTCCACCCCAAGAACTACCAGTCCATTGGATGGTGACACGTAGAAGGGTTTACTCGGCAATACTTCCGAAAGAGGGGTCCTTGACACTGCCACCAGCATCGCCAAGGCCAGCGACCGGACGGTTGTAAGACCAGCCTTCAAACTGTTGTTGCATCGTCTGGGACAGAACAGGGCCATCGACGTAGGAATCCTGTGGGGCTTCTGAGGTGAATTCGCGGTCGAAGTTGGTGGTATCGCGAGCGCCCAGCTGCGTCAATCAGCAAGTGAAGACAAAAAGAATGATAGGTATTACATACCACATTGGGTCGGAAGCTTGGCTCGTACTTCCGCTGGAGCAGCTTGCGCCAGTCAATGTTTGCAAAGAAATGGTGCGACTTGATCTCAGCGGCACCATTGGCACCCAATCGACGCTGGGGGTCACGGTCAAGCAGTCGCGTGAGGAGATCGCGAGCAGCGGGAGGGACAATGTCGGTGCTAGGGAACGTAAGGGGTTCTTGCAAAATCTTGCGATACATGTCGTTCGTGTTCTCGTCGTAGAACGGCGGGAGACCCGTCAGCATCTCATAGAGAAGGACACCCAGAGTCCACCAATCGACAGTCTTAGTATATCCATTGCCAAGCAAGAGCTCCGGGGCGAGGTATTCGGGAGTGCCGCAGAACGCTATTGTTCAAAACAGGTTAGTTGAGTTGGAGTTAATGCGTCTGCGGGTGAGCCTTACTGTTCGTCCGATCCTCATCCTTCATGTCCAACTTACACAAACCGAAGTCGCACAGCGCGATATGGCCGGTGTAGTCAAGAAGAATGTTCTCGGGTTTGAGATCACGGTAAATGACCTTGAATCCGTGCAAACACTCCAGGGCACAAAGAAGCTCAGCCGTGTAGAACCGAGCGCGGTTGATATCAAAGCGCTGTTCCCTTTGCAAATGGTGGAACAGCTCTCCTCCATTGACAAAAGCGAGAACAAAATACAGTTTCTCCGGTGACTGGAAGGAAAACTTCAAGGGAACGATGAAAGGGTTGTTGATCTGGGCCAGCACCGATCTTTCCGCCAGAGTGTGCGTCACCTCTGAGCGGGAGATGATGTGAGCTTTGCGGATGGTTTTGAGGGCGTAAATCCGACCCGTATCCTTCTTCATGACCTGCATGACCTTGCCAAAGCTACCCTTACCAACGACCTTCAGGAGTTCGAAGTCCTCCAGCTTCATGCTGCGGTGTTTGTTCTCGACGAAGGAGACACCAACTTTGATCGAGCCGGTACCGAATTGCAGATCCAGCCACTCCGCGCCGAGTTGGCCAGCCTGACGTTCTTGCGGTTGCTTGTTATCCTTCTTGCTCTTGGGGTCCTCCGCGTGCGGCAGAGCCTCCTCGAAACGAGGGTGAACCTTGACCGCACCGAGGAAGATATCCTCACTGCGACCGGCACCGGGGCGAGCGGCAGGGTTACGGAGATAAAGCTGAACGTTCAGCTCTGTTTTGCGCGAGACGTCGAACTTGTAGGCAGTGTTGTCACCCGCCCAGAGTGGGTTTTCTGGCGACCCAGACACGGCATCGACAAAGACCTGGTTCTTTTCGAAGTCCAAGAGGGCGTAAGGAAGGTACTTGGTGGAGTAGCGACCGTGAATGGTGGGGGCAGCATTGATGCCTCCGCTCGTCGACTGGGGACGGGCGCTTTGTACGAAGGAGCCGGCTTGGCCATGGGCGGAGTGGGAGGACGAGGAACTGGGACGCATGCCATAGGCATTGTTGTTCTGGAAGTGGGAATTGAAGATTTGTTGATAATGGGGCGAAAGAGCGAAACCTCGACCTTCGTGGAGGGTGACAATCAAGATACCGGGTTTGACAGGGGCCACGGGCGGAGAGACCAGCGATTCCGAGGCATCTGCAGCGGGAAGTTCAGTTAGGACGGTCGGCGGTGGGGGAAAGGGGGAGGCAAAAAAGCAGGCAAAAGCAAACAACATACTGATTCCGTTGGCGTTAGAGGTTGAGATCGTGGGCGTTTGCGAGACCACAGGAGTCTCTTCACCGGAATCGCCCTTGATGGTGGATGTGGAGGAGGACCGCGTGAAGGTTTGGGTCAAAGGAGCGAGGTGGGTTTCCTTTAGTTCTGGCGGACAAAAGATAGAAGACGATCGGTTAGTTCCTTGACCTGTAGGATCGAGAAAAGGAGCGTCGAAGCACCTTAAAGTGGGGGGAACACATACTTCTAGTGATTTTCCACGACATTGTCATGGTTGAGTCTGAAGAGAAGTGGTGAGGAGGAAATCGGGAGGAGAGACGTGGAGGAAAAGGAAAACCGATCTGTCCGGGGACAGATGTTTATAAACGGGGGGAGGGGAGGGATAGGCAAAAGAGATGTGGAGGAGAGAATAGGGAGGGAGAGGCCGGAAGAAGTCTGGGGAGGTCTAGGAATAGCAAAAGACGAGCGAGAAGCAGACCAGTCAAGTGCAGTTGATAGAATGCAGAACCGCCACAGCCACAAGCGGTCAGCAACAGGAGGGGAGGAGAGGAGGGGGAGAAGAGTGTTTAGAAAGAGAGGGGGAGAGAGGGAGGGAGGGAGGATTGAGCGATAACAGCAGCGATACAAACTATCCACTGTACAAGCAACCAACCTCCAGGGTGAAGAGATGGAGGAATAGGTATGAGCTAAACACGAAAGAAAAAGTTGAACACAACGAGTACAAAATAGTTTTAGGGAGAGACTTGGTTGATAAGACCGAGCGAGTGAGAAGGAGCGAAAATGGAGAGATGAGGGAGGGAGAGGGAGGGAGAGAGAGAGAGAGAGAGAGAGAGAGAGAGAGAGAGAGTCCGACTGAACCTTGAAAGAGGGGGGAAAGAAACCAACCAAATTAACCAACAGACTCTCAGCCTCAGTCTCCAGGGCGGAGTGTTGATTGGGTCAGGAACACCACTACTGCCTTGACACCTGAATACCTTGATACCTTGACACCTGAGGCAGACACACCCTCTCCTGAAACGCGCGGCGGTGCAACCCCTGGCCATCCCCATTAGTCCTAATCAGGTAACGGCAGCGCACTCGCCCCAGTGGCTCAGCCACCGCCCGATCTGGTTCATGTCCACCAATTGGAGGCCGACTCCAGGCTCAGTCACTCCCTCACCAAGACTAGGATCCCGGCTTGGAACGGGGAACGACTAGCCCGCAAGTGCTAGAGTGCCGACCTCAGCTCAACCTGTCACTGAAGCATTTCCCGCCTTCTTCCTCTCCAGGCTACGAACATAACCATCCTTGTTGACTGTGCTACTTGATCGCCTGTTCAGGAACCCCGCTAACCACTAAGACGATCTTGCGTGACTTACCATTCCGTCGATTTCCCGGCATTTCCTTACTTCATTCAACCTACCCGGTAACTCGGCGGAGACCCTCTAGACACCATCCCTTGAGCGGTCTCGACCACTCTGCGGTCTCTTATCGGCAATCAAAAACCCCCAGACCTTCCCCGCGCGCAATCTTCTCTGTCATAAAAGCATAGCCCTCGGCCTTGACTGGAGGGCGCGTCGGTGTGGTCGCAACAGACACGGGAACAGTGGAGGATGAGAGGGAACCGCGACCGATGGGTGTAATACGGAAGAAGACCGCCTCGCGCGGCACCGAAGCAGGCACCAAATACCATTGCGACATCTGCTCGGTTGATGTGACTTCGACGGTAAACCTCTCCCTGGAATATCTCAGATATATATGCTGTGATGCATTGTGTGGTTGGGCGTATGTGGTCTAACCTCGTCCCTCCCCGCCTCTAGGTTCGCGTATCCTGTGCCCACCCCTCATGCCATGAGTACGACCTCTGCGTTCCCTGTTTCGCGGCCGGCGAAAAATCCAAAAACCACGACCCGTCCACCCACCCGTTCCAAGTGATCGAGCAGAATTCCGTGCCCATTTTCCAGGAGGACTGGGGCGCTGACGAGGAGCTCTTGTTGTTGGAAGGCGCGGACATCTACGGGCTGGGGTCATGGGCCGACATCGCGGATCATATCGGAGGTTATCGCACAAAAGAGGAGGTCCGGGATCACTACATCGACACATACATCAATAGTCCCAACTTTCCACTCCCGGCCCGCGCCGATCCGGAGGACACGCGCCTCTCCGACTCCATCTCCAAGGAAGAGTTTCAATCGCGGAAGAAGCGGCGCATTGAGGAGCGCAAAGAGGCCGCCAAGGCGGCTCCTCCGACCACGCCTAAGCAGAAGCCTACGGCCAGTGTTCCGGCGTGTCACGAAGTGCAGGGCTACATGCCGGGACGGTTGGAGTTCGAGACCGAATTCATGAACGATGCGGAGGAGGCGGTGCAGCATATGACCTTTGAGCCCGGTGCGGGCGAGACGGCGAATGGCGAGCTGGATGCTGAGATGGAGCTGAAGATGACGGTGGTGGACATCTACAATTCGCGGCTGACGGCGCGTACCGAGCGCAAGAAGGTTCTCTTCGAGCACAATCTCCTCGAGTACCGCAAGAACACGGCCCTGGAAAAGAAGCGTACGAAAGAGGAACGAGATCTACTCAACAAGGCCAAGCCGTTCGCCCGGATGATGAACCACGACGACTTCGAAGAGTTCAACAAGGGGCTGGAGTACGAGCACAACCTGCGGCTGGCGATCGCGCAACTGCAGGAATGGCGACAGATGGGCATCGGAGATCTGAAGGGCGGGGAGAAGTACGAGCAGGAGAAGCAGCAGCGCGCCCAGAGAATGATGCCCCAGGGCTCCTTTGAGCGGTTCGCGAGCACACGGCCGAAACAGCAGCAGCAGCCCGAGCAGCCGTCCGCGGCGAGTCAACTGACCACGCCCGAGCTTCCGCTGCGGCTCCAGAAGGCGTCCGGCGCCCCCAAGGCCCCCGAGCCGCCCAATCAGCCCCTGAACGACTTCGACCGAATATTCGCCATCAACGGCGACGGGCTCAGCACCCCCACGCCGGCGGCGAAGACCAAATTTGTCGTGCAGCCCCTGACCGGGGTGATCCCGTGGAAGCTCGAGAACGAGGGGGCGCCCGACCTGCACCTGCTGACGAAGGAGGAGGTGGAAGTGTGTAATGTGCTTCACATCCAGCCCAAGCCGTACCTGGTGATCAAGGAGACGTTGCTGAAGGAGGCGATGAAGCAGGGGGGCAGCTTGAAGAAGAAGGATGCTCGGACCATCTGCAAGGTGAGTCGTTCGGTGGTAGCGGCATGGGCGATAGACTGACAGTGCGGCAGATCGACAGCAACAAGTCCAGTCGTATCTACGACTTTATGGTGCACAGTGGCTGGATCAACAAGGGCTGAATTGAATGTCTGGATACCTTCCTCGATGTGTGTTTTGTACTGGAGTTGGGAGGCGTTGGGACGGGAGGACTGACTTGTTGCTGTGATGTTTGACCGGAATTGACCGACATGAATGATGCATAGCTTGATCTACGATTAGTGTTTGCAGTAGATCTATTGATTGAGTCCTAGTAAGCTACCTATACCCGATTGAAGTGATACGCAACATGCAGCTATGCAACTGTAGTCCTAGCGCGTAGCGTGCCTAAAGCGAAAGCACTCTCCGGACCTCGGCAACTCCACTGGGAGCGTCGCGACTCCACTCGTCCCCTCCGGGGAATCTTCCCCATAAATACCGACTCCAGTCTAGACTCTAGACACCCAAACAACCTTCATCGCAAACCCCCAATATTATTCCAACGGCAGTCTCTCGTCGAAAATCCCAGAACCAAACCCAAGAAACCAAGATGACCTCCGCACCATCACCACCAACAGCAAAATACGCCCTCCTCTCCTTCCCCCTCCCGCACATCCTGCTGGTGACGCTCAACCGGCCCCGCGACCTCAACTGCATCAACTCGCAAGGCCACGCCGAGCTCGCCGCGATCTGGGAGTGGATGGACGCTAACCCAGCGATACGAGTGGGTGTGTTAACGGGGTCGGGGAAGGCGTTCTGCGCTGGCGCGGACTTGAAAGGTGAGCGGATTTTCCCCAGTTCAGTCAAGCCCAAGCACAGTCAAGCACAGCTCTCCCCAAAGCCCAGCTAGCCCCACCCCCCAAGGCCTTCCCCAGACGAGCCTATGACCCCAAACCACACCAAGCAAACCAAAGCCAAAGAACTAAACCCCCAACAGAATGGCTCACCACAACCACAACCACCACGCAACCCCAACCCCAAGCTCAAAACACAATCACCTCAAACTCAAACCCAACAACCCCCTCAACCGGCTTCGGAGGCCTCTCCCGGCGCACAGGAAAGAAACCTATCGTGCTCGCAGTGAACGGACTTTGCCTTGGAGGCGGAAGCGAGATGGCAGTGAACGCGGACGTGGTGATCGCGTCGGAGCGGGCGTACTTCGGGTTCCCGGAGGTGGCGCGCGGGGTGGTGGCGTGGGCGGGGGCGCTGCCGCGGCTGGTGCGGACGGTGGGACGGCAGCGGGCGCTGGAGATGGTGCTGACGGGGCGGAAGGTGAGCGCGTGGGAGGCGCAGCGGTGGGGGTTTGTCAATGAGGTTGTGTCCGTCGACGCGGAGGGGGAACCCGAGCGGGACGTCGTGCACCGCGCGCTGGAGGTCGCGGGCCGGATCGCGGCCAATAGTCCCGATGCGGTGGTCGTGAGTCGTGCGGGTGTGAACCTGGGGTGGGACGGGGCCGGGGCAGACGAGGCTACCGTTCGGCTCATGGAGGAGTGGATGGAGAAGTTGAACGCGGGGGAGAATATCAAAGAGGGCTTGAGGGCGTTCGTCGAGAAGAGAAGCCCCAAGTGGGTGGATAGTAAGCTGTAAACTATTAAGTACAATTCACTAGATTACTAGATTTACTAGCTACAGTTAACCAGAAATAGTTCATAGCTCAATCATGCATTGTATATGAAATGCTCAGTGCTTCGCAAGTACTTAGAAGAATCCGAAGAGAAATTAAAAAAAAACCTATGCTGGTATCCCATGCTCCGTTCGCGCCGACCATTTGTTCGCCGTATCCCGTATGGTTTTGGACCGTCCTGCGGCCGAACCAGTTGTACATGCTTCCGGATTCCAGATCCGTGATCAACTCGGAATTGCTGAACTGGCAATGATCTTCGTGAACATCGTAAAACATAACAAAGTACCTCAGATGCGGCGAGGCAGCCGTTGAAGAAGCAAGTCCTTAGACCTTGACTCCCTGCACCTTGCGCACCCGCTCGAGGACCGCAGGGTACAGAGGGTGGCTCTCCTCCAGGCTGGTCAGGTGGCTAGTGGCGGATTCAGGGGACTGCTCCTTGAGGATCTGCGCAAGTTCGGCGCTCTCCTGGTCACCAGGCACGTTCTGGAAACGCAGGGCCATCTCGACTGCGTCCATCAAGGCATCGTACTTCTGGCCGCGCTCAGCAAGCTGGGCAGCAGGTCCGATGAACCGCTCCTTGCGGGAGAGCTTGCGCAGGGGAGCACGTCCCACGCGGTCAACGTTGTCCTCCAGGTAGGGGTTGGAGATACGGTTGATGATCTTGTCCACGTACTCCTTCTGCTCCTCATCGGAGATCTCATGCTTGTTTGTGATGAGGGAGGCGGTTTCCCCGAGAACCTTGTGCACCATCGCCTTAATCTCGGGATCAGCCAATGCTTCGGCGATCATGCGCTTGCCGCGGATGTGACCAAAGTAGGCCGTGGTAGCATGGCCAGTGTTGACGGTGAATAGCTTGCGTTCAATGTAGGGCTCGAGGTGGTCGACCCAGTGGATGGCCGGAATATCGGGGTGGCCCACATCACCAAAGGGAGTCTTCTCAACCACCCATTCGTAGAACTTCTCGATGCGGACGTTGAGGCCGGCGTTGGGAGGCTGGTTGGGGACGATGCGGTCGATGGCCGAGTTAGCAAACTGGGCACGGTTGTACAGAGTCTCGATACGGTCTTCGGCGGTGTGTTGTTTGATGAAACCGTGGAGAGTGTCAGTAGCACCGATGGCGTTCTCGCAAGCAATGACAGCCACCGGCTTCTCCATGGTGCGTGCATCAATACCCTTGGCAATCACCGGGGCAATGAACTTCAGGATGTTGGGGCCGACGGCACAGGTGACAACATCGGCAGTGGCGATCTCTTGGATGACATCGCTCTCGTGGGTCTTGGAGTTGATGGCACGGAAGTTGCGAATGGTCTTGGTCTTCTCGCCTTCCTCGCTGACCTCAGTGACTTCGTAGGAATCTGTGTTCTGAAGGGCGTTGACGGTGGCGTCGACAACATCGACGAAGACAACCTCGTAGCCGGCCTCATGGAGGAACTCGGCGACGAAGCCACGCCCGATGTTACCACCGCCGAACTGGATAGCCTTCTTACCCATGATGGATTATTGTGATGAACGAGATAAGAGCGTGACAGTAGTCAAGAGAGGAAGAGTGGGGATGTGATAGTCTTGGGTGGTAGTAGTGTCTTGTCTGATCTAGATAGAGAGAATGAGACAAGAGATGGAAGGACCAAGGGAGGCGAGGGAGAGAGAGATGATGATTGATGATTGGAGATGGAAGATGATGTTGATGTTGATGTTGATGTTGATGTTGATGGTGAATGAAAAAGGAATAGAACAAAAGGATTGAGGAGGGGGGAATGGGAGGGGTATTATATGAAGCCGCGGAGGCAGCACAGAGAGGGACAGAGAGGGGAAGGAAAGAGGGGAGAGGGGCGCAGCATCACTTACTTCATGGAGCAGGCACGATGGAAACATAGAGAAGGAATGACAGCCGATGAATGGACAGACAAGACAGACATTGGTTGGTTGGTGGAGCAGACAGAAGAACATGGACCACTGGGCAATGACCTCAACTCATCATGCACTGCACCACTTCTTCCAATTCTCAGTCAAAATGCATCCAATCCGAGGATGACGTGAGGCCCCCCTCCCTTGCCCAAGACAAACGAAACAACCGTGCGGTGATCCAAACAGGATAATTCTCAACTATGAACACACCAATTGTACTGTACCTCTCCCCTTCTGACACAGTCTGGTGGTATGCTCCATATCCCGCCATCCATTCATTCATTCCCCAATCAGCCACGGCCGGTCTCCCGATCCCTCCCGACCAGTCAATATTGGATTACCCCTCGGTCAGGGGATGTTCAAGTTGTTTTAGTAGTTTGCAAACCGACCTGCTCTCCGTCTACTACTACTGGTCTATACTACCCTGGTCATTCTGCACTTCCCCGGGTTTGCGGAGTACATCGGCCCGGATAGGAATACCTTCCCTTGGCGCAGCCACTCGGCTTGAGGAAGGGATAGACACGAGGAGGAGAGTCAAGCCTTATCGCGCGTATTGTTCTTTGTTGGGAATCAAGAGAATGAATCATTGAGTATAGCGGGAACCAACCGAGTGGAATGTCATCATGATGTTGGGGCGGTATCTAGGTCGTTTGATCGAGCGAGAACATCGTCATGCTGCTGGGGAAAACGAGGGAAGAAAAGACCCACCGTTGCCGGTGTCAGTTCTGGCTGCGAACTAGACTTGCACTCTTACGTCGTGGTACTCGTACTTAGCAGTTCGCTCCACCGGTGACGTTACCACCCCATCGTCCTGTCTCCCCACTGGCCTCATCTGCTGGATGCTGGATTGTTCCATTTCATGATTCGGCCCTTATCGGCCCTCGTTCGTCTTCGCTCCCTGTGTCTTTGATCGGTTCATGTGGGTCTTTATATCCCCCCAATACTCTCCCCAGCTTTCTCGATTCTTCTCGATATTCTCATCTGATAGAAAAACATAGAATGCTGTGCAAAGGTCAAGTTAATGTTCAATAACCAGTACAAGTAAAAATACAATGTGGTAGCAGTACTATTTGCAGTTACGCCAATCGCTTCATCGCCGTTTCCCGCCCGGCCCAATTGATTTTTTCCCTCACTTTCCACACATTTCCATCCGTCCGATCGGCCCCTGTCTCGCCTTGCCTTGCCATCTTCCGATTCGTGTTTCTTTTGCCTCCGCAGATTATTCCCGCACATTAACCCGCCCCTGGTTGTCCTCTTCGTGTGATCGCAACGTTGCCGAATCGTCACTGTGCTGACTGTGCACTTCCGATTTGCCATGATCCTCCAGCAGATCGTCAGGGCCGTCGTCAAATCCATACCCATCGTCAGGAACCTCGTCCATAGGGGGTCGACTACGGTCGATTAGCACCATCACTAACCCCGTGGTGCCCCCAATCAGATACAACCCTGTTGCTGCCCAAGTGAGATTGAGGAACTGCGGCCCGTATTCCGCCGTGACTCCAGCATCCTGTCCATGGTAGCTGACCAGCTTGACGAACTGGAATGCAATCACCGTCGCAATGATGGACGAGATCCCAAGCATGGTGAAACTCAACTGGGCACCGGTCAGCATCATCGTTCTAAAACCCACTTCTCTCGCAAGACCCAGCGCGGGATCATACCATCATGGACGACACTTCCGTGATCGTCTGTCGCGGACCGCGTCTGAGCGTCCACCACGCCCTTTCAAACAGCGCCAGGGCGGCGACGCCGGCTCCTAAGCAATAGAAGATACCTATACTGCGCGATGTCATCTGGAAGGCGTAAAAGTCGTCGGTGATCGCGCTGGGCCACCCCAGGTCCGACGGTGAGGAGGTATTTCCCGTGTCGGCCCGAACTGCAGCATCGGGGTCGAACGAGAAGAACAGCGTCCGGTCGGAGCAGTTATTGAAGTCCTTGTGATTTAATCTCAGCTCCCCCTCGCAGTATGACATGACATGGATGGAGTAAAAATCGGCCATTGCCGTGCTGTGGCTGATATTTGATGTATAGATCTGTCATGGATGCCGGGTAATGTCTCAGCTTTCGATGCGTACTGGCGCCAAAGGTTAGGTGTAGGTTAACTCACAGTCAGGATAGAGGTGTCAGGGAGAATGCTCGTCTGGGACCCCGCAAAGAGACATATCAAGGTCAATATGAAGGCGATAAATGCTGCCACTGTCGGCAACCAGTTCACTAGACGGCTCATGATCAGGATAGCCGCTCAACTTGTGCAGTCAGCAGCAAATGGGTTGTGGAGAACCGGCTTTCATGGCAGCTGCGGCAGCCTGGCAATCAATCTCATGTATACTGTTTGCTGCCAGGCGCATGAGGTTGTTCGGACATTCCTTGGGATGGCCAGTCGACGTCGAGAATTAGATAACAGTTGTTATCAACTTGAACTTCACCTCTTCCGGGGCATATGGCTACTCATCGAAGGGTGCATTGTCACCGCGTTCACTCGAAGTGGATCCCAATTGGACGCTCGAGCTCTATCGGAATGCGCTGGCCTGAGAGGTCAGGCAGCGAATGCCGCAGCGTGGAAATACTCATCGACCGCCAACGTGAGGAATGTGAGCGCCCACAGATGGCATTCTTGGCATACTCCCCATCGTGATTTAGACACCTTACATGTCAAGAGAGTTCGGTTGTCAGGATCAAGATCCGGGGGTATGGTAACATTCTAGACATTCTACCTCGGGTCCATGAGCAAAGTGGACAAAGGGCCATCATGCTTCATCACATTGAGAGAGCGAGTAGCCAAGCATTCAGAATTTCCACCTCGTCACTCCAACGGTACAGTACACTATGCACTGCACCATGGAGCCCCATGGTACAAGAACCCTTGAAGTGTAGTGATAGTCGCCTGAACAGAACCACCGGGGCTGCACTAGTGTATAACGGCTATTTATCTGCTGACTGCTTGCTTGTCTCCAGCTACTTCAACATTAAGGCCGTTTGATGCCCCACTGATGGCTTCTACCCCGGATTTGTCACGTGGTGCTCGCTGCTGACACGAGATTTGAGAGCTGCTACTACCCCGCACTTCGCACTCAAGGTAGTATCGTACGGCGCTTTTGGTCTCGGGCATGTCGAGCGCACCGTGGACCCAATCCATCGACTCAGTATCTTGACACAATCAACTGCAACAGACTTAGTCATACACTACTTGTGTTTGGAACCGGCCCAGCAAGAGAATCTCTCTCGACTCAGTCTTCACCCAATTCTTCTTGACCCTCGCCCTCACTCACTCGGTGGCAGGAATTGCGATGTCTTTATCGACCTGTTTCTCGTGCGAGTAATACCCCAATCGCCTCAGAAGCGGACTATCAATGGCCCCGAGATTCATCACATCTGACGGTCTTATGAAATACAGCAACCCAAGCCGGTCCAACCCGACTTGATCCGCCGGCAAAGACACGACACGATGGATGCCACTCTTGAGATACCCATTTGACAGGAATTCCACAATATCGGCAATGTTGACCGCCGTACAGCCTTCTGGGATCCTCGGCCACTGCCACTCTGCATCCGGCGATCGCTTCATCTGCAACGCCGCCACCGGCTGCTGAAAGACAAACGTCAGAGTTCCAAAGTCCGTTTGATCCCGCGTGTAGATATGTTTGCACTTCTCGTTTTCCTCCGGTGACTTCGCCCTCGACATCATATACCGCAGCGCACTGTCGCAGTTCGCCTCGTAACGATGGCCGTTGATCAATACCTCTCCATCCGACAATTCCAGCACAATCGCCAGAAGTCAGAGGATCTTGTGCGCTACACTTTCGTGAATATGGCGGCGGACTTGCTCGATCTCTTTCCAGTGTCGTCGGATGACATCCGGCTGGGTGCGCTGCGTCTGCGGGATGAACTCGAACAAGTTGTACATCTCCACCTTGTCGGGCTGGCCGGGGACGAGCTCGACGCTCCCGAGCGGACGATAACCATTATAGTTGCCTTCTTCCAGCGGGGCGCGGTATTTTAGTCGTTCTTCGAAGGGCAATGCGTAGATTTCTCGCCCAATGGCGTACTGTCGGTCAATCTGGTCTTGGGTGAGGCCGAAATTGGTGATGTAGAAGAAGCCTATGCCCCTGTTCAGCCCGATTCGCAGGACTGGAACCATCCTCTGCAGAACAGGACAGGGAAGGACTAACTAACTTCATGGGCCGCTTGCTTCAGTTGCTCTGCTAGTCTAGCTTTGCCGCCTGGGGCGTTGAAAAGGGAGATATCGAGCGTGATCAGGTCTGCATAGTCGACTGGCATCGTTGCCAGTAAGCACCGTCACCATCCGATCAATGATTGCAGTACGTACGTTGTTGCGTTGTCTCTGGGGGATGGGCGTAGCCCTCCAGCGGACTGGCTGACACGTCGTCATGCGGTGAGTTTTTCACATCGAGTGTTTGGATTGCCATGTTGTGTTCGTTTGCTCCCAACGCTCTCAAAAGTATACTCTCAAGGGAATGTCCCAAAGCATGAAATTCAGGACACTGCTAGTCTGGTAGGAAAACAGTCCGACGCGGTTTTACCCCGCTTGGATATCGGTTGACGTGATCATTGCGCCCACTGACGATATTGCTGGGGTTCAGAGCAAATCACCGATGAGGATCCTGCGTCGGTGCACCGCGATGCTATGTTTACTAGGCGGTATGACGGCGGCGTTCGTCGTGCAGAACTCGACTCTTGTGGACTAGGTTGTGATGGATGGGATGCAGGTCTGTGATTGGTCGGCTTTCTTCTATAGAAGCCACTGCACTCTACCTAGTACTGCATTTACTGTAGTGGGTACCTAAAAGGTTTACAGTCGATTCTTCGTTACAGATGCTTACGGCCGTTGGCAATAAGCATGAGCTATCTAGCTCTCTAAATACAGCTTCGACCCGAGTAACAGAGACAGGATGCAACTGAAGACAGACCACAGCCGGTAAACGAAAACAGCTTGAGCTCCATGAACAGACCTCATGGACTGAGAATAGCCATGGATTGTACTAGTTAAGGGTAGCCAGAATGATATCGGAAATATTGGAAAGAAGTATTGTCCTTGGAAGCTCCAAGTCTCTGTTTTAGAAATGAAGTCTAATTCGTATTTAACCCTGTCCCATAGAGTGACGGAGCCAGAGGCGCGTCTTTCCTCACGGTTGGTGGTGGTGATTGTATGCATCTGGGTACTGTCCTGCGCTACCTTGATGTAGAGTTTGAATAGAAAAAGTCAAAAGCCGGCCCTTTACTATGTTCGCGGTCAATGCAAAGACTTTGCATTGGAATCAAGTGCTGCTGACATAAAGATAGGGCAGTCCAAAACAATCAAGACAAAGAGTGGCGTTATACTCAGGATGCTGCGCTCACTTTCCTTTCCATGACTCACTCAGAGGAGAATGGGGGACAATCTATGGAGAGCTATCGTGCGTAGAGAAGGATCACATTTCAGGATACAAGATAGCAGAGCCAAGTCGAAAGAGTATCGACACGGAGAAGACAAGTAGATAGATAGATAGATAGATTCAATGGTTACATTTCTTCTTCGTAGGTAACATTCCCCTTCACTGTGTATATCAATGAGACAAAACATGAATCTTCAGACTGTCCTCTAAACCATCCAGCAGAGTCTGAACACTGAAAGATTCTCAACATAGCCGGCGCAAAATCAGAGGCTCCGGAAGTCTCTCACAGCCCAAACTGACAGACTGAACCCCCAGTTCATTGGGGGAAACATATCAGCTCCTCATTCCCTTCATGGCCCACTTAATCCTGCCAATCCTGCCGATCTCACGCCCAGCCCACTAACGAGTTCCGACACAATCCATACACGTCGGGTCATTGCCGTCATAGGTATCGACAAACCCATCATAGGTACCGATCTCGACGCACCCATGGAAGGTGGGGGGAACGGCAATGCTCCAGGCGTTGTGGCAGGGGCCCGGGTCTCCGTTGCAGCCGACAAACGCCGGGCTCTCGTTTGCGTCGCAGCCCTCGAAGTAGATCGAGCCCACCCAGGTGTTCCAGGTGCAGCGGCCGTTGGCGGTGTTGTCCGGGACGCACGAGGTGGTCGAGGTGCCCGCGCAGTTCGCGGCGGAGTAGAAGTGCACGTTGCAGCGCGCGTGTGCTGCTAGCGGGAGCGCAATGAGGCTTAGGATGTAGGAGAGGTGCATTGTTGCGACGTTGAGGGTTTGTTTGTGTGCTGGCTTTGGTTTTGGTGGGTGGGTGGCTTCTTTGCTGGAGGAGGAGGATGGATGCTTGGGTTTGAATGTGCTGGGGATTCATGGTGATGGTAGCTGCTACTTATATGCTATGCCATGGGAATAGGTAGTCTCACACGTGGTTGATGGGTGTCGTGTGAATGGCCTGGTCGCCTAAACTGTCTCCCTGCATGGACATCAAGAGCGGGGTTGGAGATACAATGGATTGTAGTTGACACTAGACTGGAATGTCATAATTTAGCGGCGGAGATAGACAATCCTTGAGCGCCTGTGGGGGTATGAATTTGTCTGTCGTGGATACTGCTTATACGGAGGGAGTGGGGGCCATACAGAGGGACATGCAACGGCTTGCTGGATAATCAGCATGATGTCTCATGATACGCTCCTGTCTTTATTGATTGAGACGACTAGAATCAGGGGGCTGTACTGCTGCAGTTTCCTGAACAGATTCCATCGTCCGCATTTCTTCGAAGTTGACAGACATGGTCCGAGATGAGAGCTTATCAAAAGCCTATCTGCAGAGTAAGCAGAGGAATGAAGCCAGGGTGTTGCTATACTATACTAGTTGACTTAGCCAATCGACTAGGCGATGCGATGCTACTTCTTCAGCGCACTCCGACGCTCCCGGGCGGGTCGCCTGTAGCAAGGGTATGGCTGTAAGCATCTGGCTCCTTCGAAGTCGCTCAGGTGTCAATCTCCACAGACGACTTTCTGTGCGAGGACGGCATTACCAACTATCATATTCTCGAGATCGATTCTCCCACGGGAATGGCAGTGCAGCAGATCCGAATGAAGAAATAGTCAATAGGGTCGGACAATCGAAGTACGGTATATCCAATAAGTGTCAATCAGGGCATTCCCGTTGCTTGGCAAGGACAAGCTTCATAGAAATCATTTCTGAGGTAGCTTGACTATCTCGCCATACCTACATTTGCCCCTTCTAGCCTAGCATCAATTCGACTAGCACTTCCTTCAGACCACCGTACCCATCACATGACCAGAAGTGAACCTCTAGAGTGCAATTGTCGACGCACGTGTTTGACGTGATGCATTAGACTAGTTTTATATCGGACTCCAACAGGGTCAGAAATTAGTGCGAGCTCTAAAATAGTTCGACTCGGGACCGTTTCGGCGCTTGCAGAAGCCTAGTGCGAAAACACCCCTCAACTTATCCTCGAACCCTCAAGGCCCTGCCAAGATTTCTCTCCTGAGATGCATTCTGCAGTGAGACTGTAGGTAAACACAGGCCTCTCTATTCTCACAAGTCAGCTTATTTCTGACCGTTTCTAAAGCATTTCTTCAGGACCAAAGTGCTCCGACAATCTAGGAGGTTTTTGTTCTGTCGGAGTTTCGTTGACTCCGTCGATAACTGACTTGTGGTTGACACCTGCTTAGGACTTGGTGGGAGTAGCTTGGAATCTAAGCCCATATTGTAAGGTATCGATCAGATCTTCCTGCAGGCGATCACACAAACGCTGGATCTTATCTAGAAAAGGCCCCGTGCCTCGCTAGCTCCCTCGTATCATGGGCTGTCCTTCTGAGAACCCCTGTGAAGCGGAGTCGAAGTTCATTCCTATTCGTTCGTTCGTTCGTTCGTTCTTTCTGACCTCTCTAGCCGAATGTCCTCGAAACGATACCATCGCTGGACAACTTCCTAAAGTCAATCGGCATTCTGCAAAGCTTACCGAGTGTCGCTCGTTGACTCCGCTGATGACAGTGGGAAGATTCCGTCTTCGTTTCAGCGCTGCGATGAGGATTGCTGATGCGGTGATTGATACTAGTTGAGCATGCGGGTGCAGTTGGTTGCGGTTGTGCCATAAGTGGCTGTCAAGGTACTTCAAGGTTTAACATGGTGCTTCTGGGAAAGTAGCAGTGCGGTGGCTTCCCAGCCCTTGTCAAGACGTCCGCATCTGCATCGGAGAGAACCACTGCCGGCTCTTCGTCTTCTGCTACAAGTCAGCGAGTCATTACTTCTGAGACGTAAATCATCCACTTAACCTACGCGCTTCACCCGTTCCCTATTCCACATCTCCTAGGCGATGAGAGAGATAAATCCCCTTCGCTCCTATCGTCTGGAAACAGCTTCCCTTGGATGGGGTAGTCGTTGACCACTCCACATCATCCCGCCTGGCTTGACGGTGAGGATGAGATTGTTATTGTAATGGAGGCTATTACTTACTACAACACGAAGATGGAAGTGTTGGGCCGATGGTCCCGGATCAGCTGACTCGCTCGCCCGCCTGCGTTGCCAGTGTAGATAGTTCCTCCATATCCGAACCTCGTCGTTTCCACGCCTCCAAGGCGCCATCAGGAAGCACATCCGAGATTTCACGCGTCATGATTCAACATGGCGGCCGAGCAGCGTCGGTGTGGAGGTTTGTGAGTATTCTGTACGGTGAGGAAAGATTATAAACTGTGATTGAGAGTTTCTTGGAGTAGTTGCCGCGGGTGATTTCGCATATCCTGTCGGTTGCTGTGAAATTGCCGTGATGTGAATTGTGTATACTAAATAATAGCTAACGGCTACCACCAATTTCAAACAGTGTTTTTCTAGTTGGTGGTAGTTCTGAACCACTATCCTCAGGGCCTGCATAGTCACGACGAACATCTCATAGCTTGGAGCAATTCTGTAACTGTCATGTGATATGACTCGAAGCCTTCAATGACTACATCGAACGAGCTAATAAACAATAATAGTGACCTTTTTCTCGGCAACTATTGGTAACCTTTGTGCTACGCGCTGGTAAACTGCTGAAACACCTCTCAGCGAAAGCCATCAAACTGCTATAGATATTGTTCAATGGTGGAAATGGACCGGGTTGGGCAGTATACTATAGGTATGCGCCTAGTGCGGATGCCTGTTCTGATAGGAAATCTAGAAGACAGATATGATAGTTCTGACTGTGGTAATGAGACTCTGTCACTATACGGAATCATCCGGAGTTTCTTGCCTCCTCCAGCAGTCGTGGGTTCTCGGAGATGATAGCTTATATAGAGATTGACCAGGAATAGATGATACTATTAGGCGGAATAGTTATTCGCAACTGCCGATTTACATCTGGTGAAGAATCTAGTCGATTGATAGTACGGATACTCCAGAGATTTGACGGCCCGGCCCAGGTTGAGGGGATGAGGATATTATATATATCACGCCGACGGACAGATGGATCTGTGGTTGAGCGAATAGTAACCTTCTAAGTCTAGTTGAAAATAATGGTTCCTCAACTACTAGGTACCACTTCTCAACTTCTTTCATAAATAGCTTTTACTCAAGCCATGAAAAGCTAATACCATGGACAGGGCTGATGAGAACACTGGCAGGACATATCATATCACGTGACCTTTTCATGATATGTGCTTGTACCGACTCGGAGTCTTGGGATATAGGCTATCTAAGTGAATGCTCAATTTATCAAATCAATCCGTATGTGCCGTTTACACTTTCTTGACAGTGTAAAGAGGATCTGCTGCCAGGGAAACGCGACGGACTATAGAATCTACAGCATAGATCAGACTGGGTGGGTGTTGAAGCAGTGCCGCAAATCACTAAAAAGGACGACCTGGCTCTTTCAGTGCTAGCGTTCGGGCTGATAGAGAGGACTCAGGGGTCTGTCGTAGAATGCCGTGATTACAATAATGACTTGGTCTTATTGGGTTGTGGATGAAGATAAGAGCCAAGGCGATCTTGCGTAGACATTCAACATGGCATTGGCTTATCTGACGCTCCTTGCTACAAAAACTCATCAGTACTCGGTAGAATTAGAGTAATCGTGTAAGCTGCGTCTTCATGCAAGGGTTTTGCACCACGAAAGGCGATACCGGGTTATGTACTACACAAGGCAACCGACCTGCTGACCCGTGCTACGGGACGGGCTACACCCGAGTAACGTGGGAGCGAGCCACTTCATGGTGCATGATTAAGTAAGGAGGCGTTCACTTGGGGGCGACAAGCGGACAAGACACTTGCACGAACGGGCAGCGAGCGGGTATATCGGCTGCCGCGTTGGCATTCCTTCGACGCGCAGTGGCTTTTCCAAGCATGCAGGGCCGAGATTTGGCAATATGTAAGCACCGCCCTTATGATCTCGGCAAGCCAAGCCCAAGAACAAGGCTGGCGAGTCATTGCGCCCCGATACTACCTCACTCGTCCGGTGGCGGAAACCAAGCCGTGTGTTCCCTGGTCGATATGAGGCCAAGGAGGCTTGTGAAAGGCCTTCAAGTCAAGCTTTGCTTGGATGACGGAGACAGATATCAGCCCGCGGACAACGTGCTTCGCGGGCGTTCCATGGATGGGAAGCTGAGCTCCATGCCATTGTAGCTGCCATACATTATCGAACCACCCATTGACAGGATACGATCACGAGTAGACGGCGTCTGACCACCATCAGCTCCGCGGAGTCTCGCCTAGCTGCAACCTCAGGAGATGGCCGGCCGGCTTGGCTAAACGCTGCGCGCTGCCGACTGATGCGACCACTCCATTTGATGAAGGGATAATCAGGGGCTTTGAGTTTGCATGCTGCCTTGCTTCCAGCTAAGGCCAACCATCAGAGCGCGTGGCCAACAGCTGCATTAGGGCCGGCCGGGTAACTGTTTCTAGATGCGTCCGCAGGATGGCGGTGGCCCATGAACCATGAAGCTCGGGATGGAGCTAGAAGGAGCAGCTCGATAGGCGATCCCTAATTTCGATCAGCACCATTTGATATGAGACTCCCTGTCAGGATTGCTGACGGTCCTGGTAGGTAGGGCCGGGTAAAAAGGCCTTATAGGCACGAGGCAACATCGGCGGCTGTCATTGGACCGATTGATACCCGGCTTCGTAGTTTGAACCGATACTAGGTAGTGTTCAACGCCCTTTGATGTCGGAAATGTCCGTCCAGAGCAGCCCCGAATGCGCCGTCATCGACCAACAGACCCTAGATTCATGACTAGGATCGGACAACGACGGAGGGTCCCGATATGCACCTCGTTCCGGTGTCCTGCACGAGCATGATCCATGATGTATAAGCTGAGATACACCGTGGAGCGATGCACGCAAGGGATAGGTCCAAGAAGCACCGACGTAGTGCCATGTGGCCGGCCAATGTCTCCATCCGTGGAACCAAACTGAACCATGAAACGAGACGGATCTCTTGATCAGACAATGGCAGCGTCAGTGAGAGGGGGGAAAGATCCCAGATAGGCTCGAGAGCACGAGGGCAAGGGAAAGGTTTGGAGGGGAGGACTAGGTAGGAGGGGGACGTTGACGATTAAGGAAGTGTTGGCGGGAACGTGCTGGCAGGACGGGATGCGACTGGCTGGCCGGCGACAGCGTGAAGTGCAGTGCCAAGAAATGCCAGACAACCTCCTCCCATGTCCAAAATGCCCAGTGTTCATCTTCTCATCCTATCCTAAACCAACCTGGGAAGGAACTAAGTATAGGCGGAAAGTAAACATCCATGAAGGGAGAAGGCGAAGTTAGACTTCGACCACGAGTTTCGGCCCGTGTCATATTCTGAAATCGGAGTGTGCGCGTGTTTCCTCCATGGGCCAGGATTCATCCATGGCTGTCCATGTCAGCTGAACGACGGAAGAAGGAAGGATTTGGGAGATGATTGCATTTTCCAGTGTTCTTCCAGCTGTACGAGTGAGATCTTAGGCATCACATCATGAACATGAACATCATGGTGTAACCCACTGGAGATCAGTGCGGATCCCTTTTGCCGGTCATTGACTGCATTGCTGTGTTTGCCAATGCCAATGCCGATGCCAATGCCAATGCCCACAGTTGAACCTCCTCCAGGCTCACGCTCTCTCTTTCCCGTCTGGGGACAGGGACAACGACCACAAAGACTCCACAAGCCAGCGGGATTGGATGGCAGTTCTAATCTGATGCATGTCGTGTGATGGCAATATTCTTAGATCCAATGGATTTCCCCCAAAATTCAATGTTATTTCCCGGGGGAAGAGCATCTGAGGGATCGTGGAGGATTGGATGCCACTCGGCCATGGTGACTTTCGGGCCCGGCCACTTTTTACGAAATAGCGGATGCGGTTGACAATCCTCTCTTCCCATTGGACTGAGGTAAATCCGGGAGAGTTTTTCTAGAAGGCGGTCAGTGTCGATCGAAGGTGATTCTGCCGCCACGTGCGCTCTTCATTGGCCGGCGGCGGAAGGTTTTTTTGGAGGTCGGAAGCGCCCCTCACGCCCGCCTTTCCGCACCAGGGTTGGTCGCAAAGTTGTTTGAGTTGAACTTCCGCCACATTCACTATTGCCGTGCATTATTCTGGTCCATTATTCATGATCCCGGTCATTATTTCGATCCGGAAATGAAATCGGTAATTGGAAAGAGAGCGTTCAAAGGAGGATTATTCTACACAAAGCTTTAGGAGTATACAGGATGATTTTGAATCTTGGGTTTTATGTGTGTCTGTCAGTGTGCGTGCGCGAGTGGGTGCAATGGGGAAAGAACTCACTCATCCGGGAACGGCAACCTCCTCTTCCTCCGGTCTTCTCCTCTCCCACCTCATGGAAGCGTTCACCCGCTCCGGTCTGTCCGGTCGAAAAAACCCGCGACGAAAGGCCGAGAGGGTCAGAGGAAGGAAAGACAAGGCGAATCCTCCCACAGTGGCTCACTGGCTCCAGTATTACCCAGTCAATATACTCAACTGGGTCTAGGCACTGGGGCTGGCGAAAGTCCGCCTGCCTGCATCCCATACGACGTGCAGTGGAACTAACTAATTCTTCCCTTCTCCACCCGCCGCCACTACGTTGGATCTTGCGCTAGTTTACCCAGAACCCAGCCCAGTACGTACCAGACTATCTTTCCCAGTACCCAGAATCCCCGTCGACCCAAAAACCACACCCAAGTCTGCGTTTGGCTTATCACGTCCCATCATTTGCGCATGTGCCTGGGGCGTGACGGTGGGCTGTTGCTGGTCCGCCCTGCCCAGAGATTTTCGGAATATAAGATTGACGGCTGGCCGCTGTCCGACTTGGCCTGCATCGTGTGTGACGCCTTCACGACGGTCAACTCGCCCGTTCCTCCCTTCTTCTCCTCTCTAGGAGACCTTCCAAGAGCGCCTCTTTCATCTTGTCAAGTCTTGTTGCGACAGCCAAGTCGACCATCATATCCCCACCATTCGACAAGATGGCCACTCTCGGTGCTCAGGCCCCTCATGGCCCCGATATGACCGGCACCCACAATCCTCTGGAGGACATGGACCTCCACGAAAAGGGTGCTTTTGATCAGCTCATCCGCCCCGATGACAGCTACACGGCTGACGGTACCTACTGGGCCGATCTGCCGCTGCTCAGGAGAGTCAAGTTTGTTGGCTCCTACGATGCCCAGGAAGCCAAGCGGGAGCTCAGAGGAATCTGGGGCATGATCAAGGAGGATCCTCTGTCTCCTGTCTCTTATTACTTCCGGAATATGGTCCTGCCTGGTGCTGGTCTTGGTCTCGAAGGGTAAGTCTTTCTTTCCCGCCAATGGTCCCGGGAAGGCCACCAGTTTTGCTCACATCGCCTTCTGCGCTCATTTAGTTACGTGCTCTTCTCTATCGGAAACATCAAGCCTCTGTTCCAGGCCTCCTTCTCGTCCTGCTGGAAGGAGTATAAGACCTGCGACAAGTCATGGATTGCTGCCATCGACTATCTCGAGATTCTTGGTATCATTGTCGGTCAGATTCTAGTCGGTATCTTGGGTGACTGGTACGGTGTTCACTTGGCTTCGGCGATTGGACAATCACATTTTGCTAACTCGATAAATCAGGGTTGGTCGTCGCTGGGGTTTGATCCAGGATGCCGGAATCATGTTGCTTGGTTTGATCATGCTCATCGCAGCCTGGGGTGTCAACGAGAATGGCTGGATTATCTGCTACGCCTGGTCTCTATTCGTCTACGGTGTCGGTGTGGGAGGTGAATACCCCATGACCGCCACCAGCGGTATGGAGAACGCTGTCGGCTCCGGAAAGGTCTCGACCAAGGAGGATCGTCTCCACCGTGGTCGTAAGGTCACCAGCGCTTTCTTGATGCAGGGTTGGGGTCAATTTTTCAACCAGGCTATCCTGATCATCTTGTTGCTGATCTTCCACCATGGAAGCGGTAACCCGCCCTACTCTGCCGTTGCCGCCCAGTGGACCTACCGTATCTCCTTCGCCATTCCCGCTGCCGGAACCCTGTGGCTGGTCTACTACCGTGCCTACCACATGAAGGCTGCTAGTAAGCAGCTGGACGCCGCTAAGAAGAAGGCTTCCGTCACCGGCTATGATATCAACTCTCTCAAGCTTACCCTCAAGTACTTCGGTCCTCGTCTGTTGGCCACCACCGGTGGTTGGTTCGCCAACGATGTTTTCTTCTACGGCAACAAGCTTTTCAGCTCCGAGTTCATCTCGATTCTGAGTCATGATAGCAAATCTCTCATGCCTACCTGGTTGTGGAGTTTGGTCAACGTTGGTGTCTCGTTGGCTGGATACTACTGTGCCTCCTTCTTGGTGGACAACAAGCTCTATGGTCGTAAGTGGATGCAGATCATCGGTTTCTTGATGTGCTTCATCATGTTTATCGTTCCTGCTTTCCACTTCGAGTACTACAAGCGGCCCGAGAACATCCACGCGTTCCAGGCGATGTACTTCCTGAGCTCCTTCTTCAACCAGTTCGGTCCCAACTCCATCACTTTCTTGGTGGCCGCCGAGGTCTTCCCCACTCCTATCCGAGCTTCGGCTCACGGTATTTCCGCTGCTTGCGGTAAGCTGGGTGCCCTGTTGGCCTCCGTGCTCTACAACTACATCAGCACTCAGACTAAGTTCTACTTTGTGCCTTGGTGGGGTCTGGCTGGCATGGTCGTCACCTGGCTCTTCCTTCCCGATACCACTGGTCTGGATTTGAAGGAGCAGGAACGTCGCTGGCAGTACATCCGTGAAGGTCGTGAGCACGATTACCATGGTCCTGCTATCCACTCGAAGCATCTGTCTGTTTGGGAGCGTTTCCGCGGTGTTGGAAAGAACTATGACGCCGAGCTTGACTACAAGCAGAAGGTTGAGGAGTTCCGCGCCGAGTGGGAAGCTGCCATGGCCCGCAAGATGGATGAGACTACCAAGGGCGATGACTACCTGCAGGACACTGACGAGTCCCTTCTGGAAGGCCACGTCCACTCCTACTTCCACCGCACCAGTCCCATGTTCCGCGGTATGGAGGAGAAGCCTTCTACGAGGACGGATAACTTCACTCTCCCCCCGGCTGCGCAGGACGACTCCGAAGATTCCTTCAACGAGAAGAACGGCCACTAGGCTATGGTATTTTGAATGATCCCCTATCTATTATCTGGAAAGAACATTATGCGTGACTCATTGGATGTGGCATACCTCATTTCGGGTTGATGATGCTCTTCACTCTTATTTTCTTAGTGCTATTGCACAGTCTTTGTTTTCGAGCGAGTGGTTCTGCTTGGTTTTTGCTTGGTTGTGGCTGTACACCCCCTTCTCAATACCCAGGTACATACATACCTACTTTTTAGTATATAGAAGCTGATTAATACTGCATCATCCCCATGCTGGGAAATACATACTTTTCATCATGACTTTGACTTCCTCTTTCTAAGGGTCTTTTTAATGGCTTCGTAGCATCCCTCGTCCCCACATTTCTACCCCAGACTTAACATTTTACAGTTTCATCCGACGTCAAGTTACATCGGCAGCTGGCCCCACGACGTTCTTACTTCGTCATCTCTTCCAACCAGCCGTTTTCGGCCGAGCAGCATATTGCCGGACAAATGACTGTAGCTGGGTCCCCACTAGCTCGGATACGGTAAGCGATAAGACAAGGCGGTACGCTACCTTGGAAGTTGTTTTATCTTTTTGTTATCAATCGATCGATCAGGCCTGCAGCCCTCCATCTCTCTCCATTTGCTTCTGCATGAGTACGCAATTCTTTATGTGCTTAGCCTTCGATTCCGCTTGACTGCTCTTAGCCCAAACTGCATCCTGTGTTTGCGAATCAATCGCACTACTTCCATTACTTTACAACAAAGCTTCCGCCCTTTCGGTCTGTCTTCCCACCCATCAAGCATGATGAACCCTCAATTGCGCTATACGATCAGAATCTGACCTATCATCTTCCATCTCGCAGCACATACAGATCTCCCAGAATTCGCCTCACCTCGCTACCCAAGGCACCAACCTCGCCAAACTCGGACAGGGGTGATGCCTCTCTTCGCCTTCGGATCCAACGGATCCGGCCAGCTGGGTCTCGGCCATGAGGAGGATGTTTCTTTCCGCGAGCGGTGTCTTTTCGAAGAGGACGGTGGTGACGATAATGCTCGAGTGGTGAAGATCGTGGCCGGTGGGAATCATACTTTGATCTTGTGTGAGGGTGGGGAGGTTTATGCGGCCGGTTATAATGGGGATGGGAGGTGCGGGGGCTGTGCCGGGGTTGCATCAGGAGATAAGGACGGGACCGATCAGGTCGTGACTAGGTTTAGGAGGGTTGTGCTCGCGGGTCATCGTACTTTTACTGGCGTGGCTGCTACGTGGGAGGGGTCAGTTTTGGTGGCTTCTTCTGATGGTCGTAGTCATGGGCATGGGGTTTCTGGTACCGAGGGAGAGGGGGAGGAGGAACAAGAGGGAGGGGGTAGAGACTGTGTGTTTGTGTTGGGGTCTGGGTTGAAAGGGGAGCTGGGTTTGGGGGTGGGCTGTCTACGAGCTGAGGCTGGCGTCGTGATTCCTAACTTCCCACCGTCGGGGACGAGGGTCGTCGCTGTTGCGAGTGGGATGGGGCATACGGTTGTTGTGCTTTCGGATGGCGGCGTGTGGGGGTGGGGCGCCGCCCGGAAAGGGCAGTTGGGGGAGGCTTTGATTAAGGAGAAGATGGTGTGGACTCCGGTCAAGATTGAGGGGTTGGGCTTCAAGGCTACCGGGGCGGCGTGTGGGAGGGAGTTTACGGTGGTCATGGGGGATCGCGCTAAGGGGGAGTTCGCTGTGCTTGGGTCCGTGGATGATAAGTGGCGGATTCGGTCTGGTATGCCTGCCTCCGAGACGGTGGCAGGGTATCGCGCGATAGGTGCTAGTTGGCATGGAGTCTATGTACATTTGAATAATGGGGAGGTGTTGGCTTGGGGCAGGAATGATCGTGGACAGCTCCCGTCTGATGGGCTGGGGAAGGTGAAGGATCTGGCTGTCGGCAGCGAGCATGTCCTTGCTCGGTTGGATGATCGCACCGTTGTCGCCTGCGGTTGGGGCGAGCATGGAAACTGTGGCCCTGGCACTGATGCCCAGGGTAACGTCAAGGACCACTGCCAGCCTATCCCTCTGCCTGACGGCGAGTCCAATATTGTGGGAGTGGGCGCCGGTTGCGCGACAAGCTGGATTATCACTTCCTGAGCATCGATTATTGACTTGAGGTTATGAGCTTCGAGGTGATGACCGGTGTGTCTGCTGTCTTGATTATATCATGGATACCTATCTGGTCCCTTAGTCGAATAGACCAAGACCATGGAGCTGATGGCGTTAGTACTCATCATCGTCCAGGGGTGCGGGTCACGCGTTACCTGTGATATGCGCTGAGTGGGTGGAATGCCGGTCTCCTCCTCTTGGCCCATCTCCGCGGCTTCGGATTCCTCGTTTGGAACCCGTGCCCTCAAGCTTGCCGTGAAAGTGTCCTTCAATTGTGGTCAGTAAGAAGTCGCAAAAGGAAGACGGTAATCCCGGGGCTCGTACATGTTCACCCGTTGCATCCCAGCCAAGCTCGTCTTCCGCTTGAGGCTCCTCTTCATTCGGCACGTCCCATTGCCTGTCATCATCCGCAGGTACAAAGAGGCTATCAAATTCGACCGATGGCGCCGGCCTCTGGGATTCCGCGGGCGTCTGAGAAGTTCGAGTGGACGTTCCCGTCAGAGGGCGGATGGACCGACTCCGCGGCGGCGGCATCCGGCTTGCTTCGGTAGTGGTTGTCCTCTGTTGATTCACTTGCACAGGAGCAGGTGTTTGTCTTGCGGATAGTTGTGGTACGGTGGCTCGAGACGAGCTTGGACCATCATCTTCAACTGGTTCGCCTCGGGTCATCAAGGTAAATTCAGATTTCATCCCCTCGAGTTCATATGCAAACTGCAGCGGGCGACAAGGGTGGGTAAACCTGGCGGTGACTTTGGCGTGCACAACATCAGCATGCGCGATAACAGCCTTGAAGTCTCTCAAATTAATGGCGATGTGAAGATTATCCTCGGCCTGATAGAACTCAAAATCCCGTTTGTCGATGGCCACGGAGGTATGCACCGGTTGTCGCAGGATCTCTATACAGACAGTTAGAATAGACATAATTAAACCGACTACAAAGACCTGCGAACCTTTGCCCTCAGCGATTTTGGTAGTGAAGCTTGTGAAGACGGTCTTGCCGTGCTCAGAGTAGATGTCCAGCTGCTCTGCCGACGGCCCGAAGTGGTCAATCACTTCTTTCAGGAACTTGGGTTCGATGCTCCATTCATTCGTCGCTCGAGATCTGTCAAACGTTGCATGTTGGATCATGACAGGCTCGTATGTGAGTTTGTAGAGTTTGATGACACCTGGATCGTCAGCACCTTAATTAGGACATAACGCTCGCGATGGTGGGTACCACTCACCCAGCCCGCATATCAGTCTGATTACGAGGCGGGACTCCGTTTCATCGGGGTCATCCTGCAGCTCGAACTCACATCGTTCGATGGACGTGTCCTTGTTGCGGCCGCTGGCTCTTCCTTTGAAGACAGACACGAGGGCCTTTCTGATGTTAGCTTGAGATTCCATCGGTGGTCGTTGATTCAGTCCAATGGCCACCCACTTTGATCAACACCTGGCAACAAAATTTATGCGATTGCACGCCTGCCGACGAGCTGTTTCTATTCACGCCAAAAGAATACGATTCGAAAAACTTGTCTGCTTCAAAGACGAAGGCAGCGTATGCTGTCTTGGTGATGTTCAGCACGCTTAAACGAAGCTATTCATATTTATTAGTTTTCCCAATCTACTAGGCGCAAAGTGCAGAGCATCACGCACCAGATCAAACTCGGCTTCGAACGAGACACTGTCGCCAAACTTGCCCAGACACATCAGAGCATCGTGTAGTTGATATATGGCCTCTGGAGAGAGGGAGAACGATAAAGAAGCCATAATTCTTGCAGAAACCGAGGACAAATTTTCAGGATCATCAAACAGTAGTCTGGCCTTTTCCGTTATGCTCTCGTCTTTCCCATCAAGCTATTATTCAAGTTTATGCTGGTTGCCTTTGTTCCAATGCTCCATGATTGTTGCAAACGAGCGGCACCCGCAAACACGACACGAGATTACATAAGCACGTACAGTCCAAAGGGTCGCCTCTTTCACAGGTCAGCCTTGGACGAACCCTTGCCGCGCAAGAGTCCGAATCAAACACTTTATACCATCGAAGTATATTCTGATTGTGATAAGCTGGCCATATTGCGGGGAGCTCTGAAAGCGTTGAGAGCTTCGTGCTGCAAAAATGGGGTTCGTGTTAGCCGATGACGTTATCTGTATGATCTTGGATATTTTGGGAGACGAGATAGACCACAACAGCTTGTTTCAATGCGCTCTCTCTTCGAGATACCTCACTGCCCACTCACTATCTGTGCTGTATAAGTACTTTTCACCTCTTCCACTTTACCTTCTATCCCCCAAACTCAATGCTTCCACTGATACTTGTACAGAGTGTGCCATGCTTCAGCCGTACGGGGCGGGGGAACAGAGGATGAACACTTCCTCAAACCTCGCAGATTTCCTGCAACTGCAACATCCTTCAAGGGCGAAATAGACCCAGCAATTCGGAAATGGGCTCTTCTATGGCGTTCCATTGCCTTGTCCTCTTTGGATCAGACTTACCTGCCTTATTACGGCTACCTTCGTTATCTGGATCTGGATGATCTCGGAGATCTACTCAAAGATCCGAAGTTCACCGGGCAAGTACGCGAGTAAGTATACTCCGACACTTCTACGTATATCAGTTCTGAAGGGTCGATTGCAGTGATTTCTATACTCCTGAACTCTTGGAGATTGTGTCCCCCGACTACCAGCAGAAAGGGAACAAACGATTACGGTATTCATCTAGGGCTTCGGATCTCAGTGCCGATTCGGTCAAGCTCAAGATAGGCTCTGGTGTGTCTGATCTTCTTTGATTATGCGTGATGAAACAGCTGCGACCTTTCCTTTTTTATCTCTGTGCTAGCAGCATCCCGATAATTGAGTCGATGAGCTAACGTACATAAGCCATCGTGAAGAAGGCAACCTCCATACGAGGAATGTCTCTCAATGGTAAGCCCCCAATCAAGTAGATGTCCTAATCATAGATTGCGACAAGTGTTTGTCATAGGCATGGCTGAACTCTTTGCTAGTGCCCACTGAAACCTTGTTAGAATGGATCGAAGGGTTGCCTTTGTTGCAGTCGCTGTCGATCTGGTCCGGTGATACTCTAAGCCAACATGCTGGTCTCAAGCTGCGACAAAATTGCCCAAAGTTTAAACAGCTCACAATTTATTCATGGTATGAACCCCGACTGCCTGTCAAGTGTTGTGCATGTGCCTCCTCTATCGCGGTACTAATACCTGCACAGGAGAGATCGCTCCCCAGGAACCGCCGAAGCAGAATCGGAAGAACTTCTCAACGAGTTGTCCCCAAACACATTGGAGTGCTTCGAGGTCATTAGCATGTGTCAGCTCGGACCTCGCACTATCACGGCCTTGGGTTCACACCTTCAGTCGCTATCACAACTAAAGTTGACGAGTCTAACAATCGAAACTATCGCCAGACTACCCTCATTATCAACTCTCCCATCTTTGGAAGTCCTCGCCTTGACCGACTCGGTTCCAGCCGCGCGAGATGAGAGATTCTATGCAATCGTTTCGCAAGTTGCCGAGTGGATAAGCAGTTGTAAATCTCTACGGCAGCTGGATTTTAGAAGATTCGTCGATGATCCCTTCCTACTATCACAGATTTTGTCCAACGAAGGAGTCAGGTTGACCAGTCTCTCATTATCTGGGTATACGATGACCGGTAGCCGCGCATTTCATGAGGCCCTCGCCTGCCAACGGACTCTGCGAAGTCTCTATCTCAGTGGCGAAGGAGCCTTTCCTTCCCAAGACAATGATATACTAGTACATGCACTGAACCAGATGGGTGACCTACGTGAGCTGTACCTTAAAGACATCTCCGATGGCTTCAGCCAAGACCATGTCATGACCATGACCGCGTCCCTTCCCCATCTCGAAAGGCTTTGGATAAGCGGTGACTTCTTTGACGATACCGTGTTCCAAGCATTCACACATCTCTCAAAGCTTCAAAGCCTCATGATCCCCGCCTTTAGCAAGTTCACTGCAGATGGGATACTTGATTTCATCTCACAACTAGGCCCGGGTAATCGAGGCTTCAGTCTTTCGGTTCTGAACGCAGTCGATAGCGCTCTCGCTGAGGAGGCGCAAATTCTGATCAGCGAAACTATTAAGGCGAGTCTGGACGGGTCATTTGATTATGGAGTCATACAAGGTGATTATGTGATTGTCGTGGAATCAACATTGTATATGACAATGCTAACTAATGGCAGCGGATTACAGCGACACGGGTTCAGAGGACGGGATTTATGGGTGATATTGTCCTGAATTTCCAGCAAGTTACTCGATCCTCGAATTGATAATGTCATGATTATTCAGTGGCACGACGCCACATATTGAGTACCGAGTTCATCTTAAGTTTAGTATGCTTGTAGCTACTTATAGTTATTAGGTTGTATTGATATTGTGGTTAGTTTGTGGGCTGAGCCATGGAGTTTGGCAGTGCTTACTACAATAGGCAACGGAAACCACTTTAATGGGATTGGTTGCGCGTCACAACCGCGTCCCGCACGCGTTTGTTCTCCTCCGCCTCCGCGCAATTCCCGCCTTCCCTTTCGGAGCAACAGCAGCAACCCTCAACCCCTTCCTCAAACCCACTTTCTTACCCATTGCTACAACGGGGCTCGTTCGATCTGAAGTCGGTGATTTTTGATGGACTCTGGCTCTCTATAAGAGGAGAAGACAGTCGGGCCGCCATGTCTGCCCGTGCAAAATTGGCAGAGTTGCGCGCTCTCCGTGCCGCGGGAAAGAAACGCCTCTCGACTTACGAGGTAGAGGAACAGGGCGACGTCTACGAAGAGGTCGACGACGAGGGCTATAAGAAGATCATTCGCAATCGACTCGATCAGGACGACTTCGTGGTTGACGACAACGGTGAAGGATACGCGGACGACGGTCGCGAAGTGTGGAACGAGCGCGGCGCCGACTACGACAGTGAAAGCGAGGACGATGAATTGCCTGCCCGGAGCAAGGCTGCCAAGCGGAAACGTGAGGAGGAGAAGCAGAGGAAGGACAAAATCAACAACGGGATCTCCAAGTACTTCAACAGCGGCGCTGCGCCGTCTGCCCCCAAACCCAAGGTGAGTTGTTCCGCTCCGCTCGCATTCGAAAAGTTCGCCTGAGAATTAGTTCTAAAACCATTGAATATATAGCCCGCTGCCACTGCAGAGGATGATGCCTTCATGGCTGACCTCCTTGGAGAGGTCGATACCAACGTCGTTCCGCAACGCCTGCCCACTCGAAACATAGTCAAGTCCGAAACTCGGCGCAAAGTCCGGATCTTGTCCCCTCCGCTCTCGGACAGGACGCGGAGAGATAATCAGATCAAGAAAGACGAGAACAACGATCCGGTTTCCCCGGTCAAAGACCAGTCGGATATGAACATGGATGATGATGATGATGATGGCCCGCTTCCCAACATGGATGACGAGGACTTTCCGATGAGTGACCCGATGCCATCATCGCCTATCAGCAAGGCAATCGAGAGGAAGACAACGGCTGTGTCGGTCAAGGTGGAAGAATTGGATGAGGATGATACCGACCTCATGGAGGTTGCACAAGCCACCGGACAGAACGAAGCGAAGGCAGCAAGCATCAATATGGCTGGAAGCCGACCTGCCCCTAAGCTTAAGCGGGAGTCTTATCCTTCCATCGCCAGCTCTTCTCCTGCCAAGGCTTTACCAGATGTTGCTGCGTCTTGGAATGACGTCCGAAGCAAGCTGAACGTTCTCAGCAGCCCTGCCCACACCGAGATGCGAACTTTCGGAAAGCTACGGCCGCAAGACGTTGTTGAAGAGGACGGGAGCTTACGCATGTTCTGGCTGGACTTTACGGAAGTCAATGGGAGTCTCTGCTTGTTTGGGAAGGTGAAGAATAAGCAAACGGGCTCCTACGCCAGTGCGTTCGTTAAGGTTGACAATATCCTGCGGAAACTCTACTTTCTCCCTCGGGAAACTCGTCACAAGCACGGTCGCGAGACTGATGAAGAGGTGGACATGGAAGATGTTTATCGCGAAGTTGATGATATGATGTCGAGGTTGAGAGTTGGGATGCATAAAATCAAACCGTGTACGCGTAAGTATGCGTTTGAAGTGCCCGGTATCCCCAAGGAAACAGATTATCTGAAGCTTCTCTACCCTTACGATAAGCCCGGCTTGCCAATGGACGTTAAGGGGGAGACCTTTTCTCACGTTTTCGGTACTAACACGGCATTGTTCGAGCAATTTGTGCTCTGGAAGAATATCATGGGTCCATGTTGGCTCAAGATTGAAGAAGCAGATTTCTCGGCTGTCAACAACGCCTCTTGGTGCAAATTTGAATGCCAGGTATCGAAGCCTGCTCTCATCTCTCCGGTGCCTGATTCTGAAAACCTGGACGCACCCCCTCTCACTCTGATGAGTCTTTCGTTCCGGACTCAACTCAACATCAAAGAAAATAAGCAAGAGATCCTAGTGGCGAGTGCCCGGGTATACGAGAATGTCTCCCTCACGGATACTACACCCCCGGAGAGACTGCCTTGCAAGACTTTCACAGTTATGCGACCTGTGGGCGCCTCCTATCCCATGCACTTCGAAGCCGAGACTCGGAAGCAACGAGGTACATTCATGCTCGAGAGAAGCGAGCAGTTTCTGCTCAGCAAATTCTTGGCACTCTTCGAGAAGATGGATCCTGATGTCCTTATGGGACACCAGCTCCAAGAGGTCGATCTCAGCATTCTTCTCAGTCGACTCAAAGAGAAGAAGACGCCGGGATGGCATCGCCTGGGACGGCTGAAGCGTGGAGATTGGCCTAAGAACTTCAACAGGGGTGGGGGTTTCTTTGCTGAGAGGCATCTGATCGCAGGACGATTGATGTGTGACGTGGCTAACGATATGGGCAAGGTAAGTTTCCACCGTCCCAGTCGTAACTGAGACTTTACTGACAGATATAAGTCTCTGATGATGAAATGTCAATCTTGGAGCCTCACAGAAATGTGTGAGCTCTACTTGGGACAGGGCAACACGAGACAGGAACTAGACACCGAAGCAGCCTTGAAATCCTGGGCTACCACCAAAGATGGGCTCATGAACTTCGTGAACCATTGCGATGCGGACACCTACTTCATCGCCGCTCTCGTTCTGAAACTACAGATGTTGCCCCTAACCAAGGTGCTCACAAATATTGCCGGTAACTCATGGGCACGAACGCTCAGTGGCACACGCGCCGAGCGGAACGAGTACATTCTTCTTCACGAATTCCATCGGAACAAATACATCTGTCCCGATAAGTACTCCTCCAAGCTACAAAAAGCGGAAGAGAAAGCTCAGGAGGGTGACGAGGACGACTCGGCGGACAAGAAGAAGAAGGACAAGTATAAGGGTGGTCTCGTTTTTGAACCCGAGAAGGGCCTTTACGACCGTTTTGTCCTTGTTATGGACTTCAACAGTCTGTACCCGAGTATCATCCAAGAGTATAATATTTGCTTCACAACCGTGGAACGGACGGCAACTGTGAGTATATGAGGCTCGCCCAGACCAGGAATGCACTGACGATAATCTTAGGCTGAGAACGACAAAGAGGAGAAAGTGCCCGAAATTCCCTCTTCGGAGCAAGAGCAGGGTATCCTGCCTCGCCTCATCGCAACCTTGGTCGGTCGTCGACGTGAGGTAAAGAAACTGATGAAGGATAAACGTGCGACGCCTGAGCAGCTAGCTTTGTGGGACACGAAGCAATTGGCCTTCAAGCTGACGGCCAACTCCATGTACGGATGCTTGGGTTATACGCAGAGTCGCTTTTATGCTCGTCCTCTAGCCATGCTTACTACATTTAAGGGTCGTGAGATTCTCAGAAGTACCAAGGAGCTGGCGGAGTCGAAACAACTCAGAGTCATTTATGGTGATACTGATTCCGTCATGATCAACACGAATATGGACACGATCAGTGATGCGATCAAGGTCGGTGAGGAGTTCAAGAAGTCTGTGAACGAGCGTTACCGGCTACTGGAGATCGATATTGATAATATTTTCCGTCGTCTCCTACTGCATGCCAAGAAGAAGTACGCGGCCGTCAACATCACAGAGGTTGATGGCAAGTACGTTGATAAGCTGGAAGTCAAAGGTCTTGATATGAAGAGACGTGAGTACTGCTCGCTTTCAAAGGAGGTTTCTCAGAAACTGCTGAATGAGGTTCTCTCCGGCGAGGATCAGGAACTTGTCCTGAACCGCATCCACGACTACCTGCGCGATCTCGCAGCCAAGATGCGAGAGTTCACAGTCCCTGTGCAGAAATATGTGATCTACACGGTATGCTTGGTCGGCTTCAAAGCAATTAAGTCTGGACCGGGGCTAACATTTCTCTTAGAAACTCTCTAAGCGGCCAGAAGAATATCCTAACAAGGAGACGATGCCTCCAGTACAGGTCGCCCTGCGTGAGCTTGCTCGAGGAAAGACGGTTCGGCCCAACGACGTTATTTCGTATGTTGTGACCAGCGGAGACTCAGAAACTGCATCTCTCCCGCCGGCCAAACGGTCGTATACGCTGCAGGATGTGATGAAGCCCGACTCGGAGCTCAAGCCCGACATCGAGTTCTACCTACTCAAGCAAATCTTCCCGCCAATCGAGCGTCTTTGTGCTCCTATCCCTGGTACTGATGCCGTTCGACTAGCGGAGTGTTTGGGTCTCGATGTTCGCAAATACCAAATCAATACTTCTAGTGCAAGCAATCAGCAGAACGCCGACATCTTCCCGTTGGAGTCTCAAATTCCCGATTCTGTCCGGTTCGAAGGTGCAGCCCGGCTCACCCTCACTTGTCGGTTCTGCAAGGAGAAAGCAGTGTTCGAAGGGCTGGTCGGGTCAACCCATATGTGCACCGCCAACGGAATTATTTGCCCCAACCAAGCTTGTCAAAAACCTTTCTCAGTTTTGACTATAATTGCGCAGTTGGAAACACAAATTCGGGCGCAGACATCCAAATACTATGAAGGTTGGCTTGTCTGCGACGACTCAGCCTGTGGTAACCGGACGCGTCAGATCAGTGTGTACGGGCACCGCTGTCTGGGTCCACGAGGTCATGCTGAGGGTTGTCTTGGTCGTATGTCTTACGAGTACACGGAGAAGCAGATGTACAACCAGTTGCTCTACTTTGCTGGACTCTGGGACGTCGACAAGGCTCGAACTGCGGCTGAGAAAGATGGCAGCGGAGAGAAGAAGGACAGTGTAGCAGCGTTGGTCGAATTCAATCGCACCCGGTTCGGCACTGTTAAAGGTGTAGTGGACGCATACCTGAAGAAATGTGGGCGACAATGGGTTGAAATGGACAGTTTGTTCCGCTTCATGCTGCCTTGAATGGATTCAAATAGATTCATTTGCTATGTACATATCAGTAACATCTTTCATTTTGTGGATAGCGGGTATTTTCAGGCTTGGAATGATGGCATGAGCTGAATAGGCATGGATTCAATTTTGCATCGAGTATTCAGACGGAGTACGGAGTAAGAATTTGTTCTTTTCTAGTACTCGCGTTATTGCGTAAGGCTGCATTGTTTCTTTTATCTTATCGACCCTCAAGAGCCGGGCCCCGCACCCCGCCGGTCCCGGTCAGTGATTCCCGCCATCCATTGTTGCCTTTTGACTCACTGAGTGGATAAACACCTGCACCTCTATTTCATCCTCTTTATCCTCAGGTCAATCCCATTCCGATCTGGGATAGTCGACTGTCATCATGTCAGTCAAAAAGGTTCTGGTGATTGCAGGATCGGACAGCTCGGGTGGCGCGTACGTCGAATCATTAACGGGCCTTGTGAAAAGCCTGGTGAACTAATGCAATTCCTTCGGCATCAGGGGTCTAGAAGCAGATCAAAGAGTGCTGGCTGCCCATGGCGTCTATGCACTGACCGCAACCACTGGTCTCACGGCCCAGAACACTCTGGGAGTGCAAGATATCTTCATTATTCCGTCTTCGTTTGTCAAGAAGCAGATCAATGCTGGCCTGGAAGATGTCGGTGCCGATGTGGTCAAATTGGGTTCGTTCTTCTGTCTCTCGCCAGGGTCAACTACAATTGGCTCGACTTTCTTGGAAATCATGCTTGATGGTATTGTCAGTATGAACTGACCGGTGAAAGGAATGCTCTCTTCTGCGGAGACAATTGACGTTATTGCCGAAGCTCTGGTCACTCACAAGATCCCTGCGGTGGTGCTGGATCCGGTACCTCCCCCAGCTCCCCAAAGTATGTAGTAGATGTGCACAGATCTAATACGGCTATCGCAGGTCATGGTATCAACGAGTGGATCGCAATTGCTCCCCGAAGCCGCTGTACAAAATCTGCGATCGAAACTGCTACCTCTCACCACTGTTCTCACTCCGAATATCCCGGAGGCTCTGCTGCTCTTGAAGGACTCTGGCGTTGAGGTTTCCGAACCTAACGATCTTGCTGGAATGATCCAGCTGGCCAAGCAGATTTGTTCCATGGGCCCCAAAGGAGTCCTGCTTAAGGGCGGCCATCTGCCTCTCAGAAAGGATCACAAGATCGCGCAAAGTCCAGACAATGCGTCCAAGGTCATTGACATACTCTACGATGGTGAGGAAGTCACCCTGTTCGAAACCGACTTCCTCGTCTCGAAGAACACGCATGGAACGGGCTGTTCCCTTGCCTCGGCCATTGCGGCCAACCTGGCCCTGGGCAAGGAGCTGAAGCGGGCCGTGCAAAGCGCTGTCCGGTTCGTTGAGGCTGGGATCAAGACCAGCTTTGACATCGGCAAGGGAAGCGGGCCGATCAACCACTTCCACTCGACGTATACCCTGCCGTTTGCGCCGTAAGTCACCTGGTCTTACGAAAGATGGCATGAACATGTGTTGTTAACGAGCAGTATAGCGGTCGCTTCATAGAATATGCTCTGGATCGCCCTGATGTCCAGGAAGCGTGGGAGAAGTTCACGAAGCATGAATTCGTTCGGCAGATCGGCGATAGCACACTTCCTGTGGAGAGATTCAAGGCGTATCTCGTCCAAGACTATCTGTACTTGGTATAAGATATCCGGTTGTCCCCTCTGACAGTATCCAGTGCTGATGAGTCAACCCAGATACAATTCGCCCGCAGTAATGCTCTGGCTGCATACAAGGCCGGGAGCATGGAATCGATTGCCGCGGTATGTCTTAACCAGAGTAGTTATCTGCTGGCTGAGAAGCAATCACACTAACCCCCCTTCACGCGACAGTCTGCACAAATTGTCCTACATATCCAGCGCGAAACCGCGTTACACCTAGATTACTGTGCCTCCTTCGGGCTGACCAAGGAGGAAATGGAGAAGACTCCGGAAACCATCGGTGCGTGATCTACCCTCTCATTTCCGTCGCGAACGATCAGGAAAGCTGATGTGGAACACTGTCACAATACGAGCAGCATGCACTGCGTACAGTCGGTATATTCTCGATGTCGGCCAGTCGGGAGACTGGCTAGCGCTACAGATGGCCCTTGCGCCTTGCTTGATCGGATACGGAGCCATCGCACAACGACTTTACACGGACAAGGATTCGGTGCGGGATGGCAACCGCTACTGGAAGTGGGTTGAGAACTACGTTGCCGACGACTACACCGAAGCAGTGCGTCTGGGGTCCGGTAAGCAAGACCCGTGGGAATTTTCCTGCAGGAGGCGAAAGAGGGGGGGGAGACCCGCTAACATGACGCATCTAGAACTTCTTGAAAAGCATATGCGAGAGGTCTCGCCCAGTCGGATGGAGGAATTGATTAAGATTTTCGTGCGGGCGACGGAGTTGGAGATCAGATTCTGGGACATGGGTCTGGGTGGCAAATGTTCTTAGAGGTAGGAGGATTGCTTTACTTGGCTTGGATGTTCAGAAGAATTTGACGGGTGAAAGAAAGTCAAGGCCGAATTATCATAGTATAGTGTATAGGTAGATGGAGCATTGAGATCAAGTCAATGAAATGACTCGATACTATTTATGTGCATTGGGTACTGAAAGGTACAGAGGCGACCAACAAAGAGAGTGTTTCACCCATTGAAGCTGAATGAATGCAAAAGTCATTGAATGTACCCCAACTCAACCAATCAGTCCGCCTCAAGGAAGGCGGTGAGGCAAATGGAACGCGGATTTTTCGCCATTTCCCCCCGACGCTATGCCCGATCGGGTCGTGTTTGCCTCCCCGTCCAGTCTTTCTCTTTTTTTTTTTCTTCTCTTCAAAGTTCCCGCCCCCCGTCGTCTTCCCTTTTCTTCTTCTCTTCTTCTCATCTTTTTCCTCTTCCTCCCTCTCGTCTCTCTATCTCCTTCCCCCCATTCTACCCACATCCTTTTCATCTTTCTTTACTCCCATCTTCTGATTTTTTGTTCTTCCTTCTTGTCATATCCTCTCATCTCGCTAGAGGGTGTGCTGCTTCGTCTGATATATTCAGTCGTTTCTCTCTTCCGTCGTTCTCTTGTTCGGCTTACTTTTGCCTTGACTACAACTTTGCCAAAACCTCACAACCAAAACTTATCATGTCTTCCTACAACGGCAGCGGTGGCGGTGGCTACCAGCGTGATTCTTACCGGTACGTCATGGATATTATCCCTTTGTTACTCCCTTGTAAACGATGGTCGCTAACACATACCAGCTCCAGAGGTAATGGTGGTTACGGCGGCGGCGGCGGCGGCGGCTACCAGGGTGGTGGTGGTGGTGGTGGTGGTGGTGGTGGCTACGGCGGTGGTGGTTACAGTGGAGGTGGTTATGGCGGCGGTGGCTATGGTGGTGGTCGCGGAGGCGCTGCTGGTGGTGACAGAATGTCCAACCTCGGCGCCGGCTTGAAGAAGCAGGAATGGGGTAAGTTTGCGAGTCGCACTCTGGCTCAAATGCAGTCACTAATACGAAACAACAGACATGGAAGCGCTCCCCAAGTTTGAGAAGTCCTTCTACAAGGAGCACCCCGATGTTGCTGCTCGCTCCCAGCGCGATGTCGATGAGTTCCGCAAGAGCAAGGAGATGGCCGTCCAGGGCAAGAACGTCCCTCGTCCCGTCGAGACCTTCGACGAGGCTGGTTTCCCTCAGTACGTCCTGAGCGAGGTCAAGGCTCAGGGCTTCGACCGCCCCACCGCTATTCAGTCCCAGGGTTGGCCCATGGCTCTCTCGGGTCGTGATGTTGTCGGTATTGCTGAGACTGGTTCCGGAAAGACCCTCACCTACTGTCTTCCTGCTATCGTTCACATCAACGCCCAGCCTCTGCTCGCCCCCGGTGATGGTCCCATCGTTCTCATCCTCGCCCCTACCCGTGAGTTGGCGGTTCAGATCCAGGCCGAAATCTCCAAGTTCGGCAAGTCGTCCCGTATCCGCAACACCTGCGTCTACGGTGGTGTGCCCAAGGGCCCCCAGATTCGTGACCTCAGCCGCGGTGTCGAGGTCTGCATTGCCACTCCCGGTCGTCTGATCGACATGCTCGAGGCCGGTCGCACCAACCTTCGTCGTGTCACTTATCTCGTTCTGGACGAGGCGGATCGCATGCTGGACATGGGTTTCGAGCCTCAGATCCGCAAGATCATCTCTCAGATCCGTCCCGACCGTCAGACTTGCATGTGGTCCGCCACGTGGCCCAAGGAGGTTCGCCAGCTTGCTTCCGACTTCCTCAACGACTATATCCAGGTCAACATCGGTTCCATGGATCTGTCTGCCAACCACCGTATCACTCAGATCGTCGAGGTTGTTTCTGAGTTCGAGAAGCGCGATCGCATGATCAAGCACCTCGAGAAGATCATGGAGACCCGTGGCAACAAGTGTCTGATCTTCACTGGTACCAAGCGTATCGCTGACGAGATCACTCGCTTCCTTCGCCAGGACGGATGGCCCGCCCTTTGTAAGGTTCCCTCACTCCCCCATAAGCAACTGCACATCAGCTAACAGTTTCGTTTTCTTTTAGCGATTCACGGCGACAAGCAACAGCAAGAAAGAGATTGGGTTTTGAACGAATTCAAGACGGGCAAGAGCCCAATCATGGTGGCTACCGACGTGGCTTCCCGTGGTATTGGTATGATGATATTGCAAACTCCCTCCTTCCCCCTCCCCTCCCTTTCCTTATTCGCCTACCAGGCACCACCCGATTGAGGTTGTGTGACAATGGCACGGTGCTCGACTCTCTTCCACCCTGAGTTGGTGTGTATATGACTCGTCCAGGCTATGTCGGGTCTCCTGAAATGGTTCTCAAGCCAGGAGAACCTTGGACTCACAGTGCAGTGTAGCAGACGTTACTAGTATCTCTGTTCTGATTCACCCGTCTACAACTTGTGAACTCGGTTGGTAGAGAGATGGGGTTCTTTCTCTACCGACTTTTTGAACGCTGCATTCCAAGGTTGCTCTAGGACCGCGATTTTTGCCACCCCTTGGACTCGTCCACAACGGATCTTCGATGAAAGTCCCGAGAGAAAAAGAGAGTGATGCATCAAGTCTCACACGACTGAGAATGGGCACCTCCTCGGCCACGTTGCTCGCTTAACTAATGCTCTGTTTGCTAACGTTCCATGTTTTCTTTTAAAGATGTTCGCGACATTACCCATGTGCTGAACTATGACTACCCCAACAACTCGGAGGACTATGTTCACCGTATTGGTCGTACTGGTCGTGCCGGTAACAAGGGAACCGCTGTCACCTTCTTTACCACTGAAAGTAAGTTGAACTATCGTCTCTTTTCTGGGTTGTACATGCGCTGACTCGATTGCGACAGACTCTAAGCAGGCTCGTGACTTGGTCACCATCCTTACTGAGGCTAAGCAGCAGATCGATCCCCGTCTCGCCGAGATGGTTCGCTACAGCGGCGGCGGCGGTCACCACGGTGGCCACGGACGCTGGGGTGGTGGCCGTGGCCGTGGCCGTGGTGGTAACTACACCGCGTCCAACGCTGCCCCCATTGGCGGCAACCGTCGCTGGTAAACTGTTCCTGATGCCCAGTCCAGTCGCTGAGCTTGTATCCCCTTTTCACACTGGTAGACCTGCTTTCCCTTTCGTCCTTGCCTGCGCATGATCGTTCGGCTTTTTTCCTTCGTAACTCGGTACGGGCGGCGTTCGTCGATATCACGATAGACTTTTTACGTTACGTGTTTTACTCAACCATATATGAGGCACCTTGAATCCTTGGGATCGTGGGCCATTTGATTACACCCCGGTCGCTTGTGGGTATGCGTTAATCTCTGTTTTTATGCGTGCGTTTTGTCGCAAAAAAAGTTATGTACCTTCCGGCCTGTCATGAAAACAGCTGGTTTTTAGATAGTGTGTAGCTTTTTCCTTTGCATTTTGATAATCGGAAAAATGTACCTATCTGAAGTTAATCACGAAATGACATTCCTCGTGCGAGGATAAATCCTTGTCCGACATGCCCTTGATCGAAATCTAAGGAAATACGGTCTTAGGCTCTAACATCAGCCATCGTTCGGGCCACGTGCAATACATGCGCCCTTCGGCAGCACCACTGGGTTGCCGGCATTAGTGTCTGCAGCACAATACGAGAAGTCATAAATTGGTTCGATTCAATGTTCGGTGCTCTGCAGCGGGCGGGAACTGCAGTAGCCCGCTCAGGGCTGCAAACGCCCCCAACCAGGCACGCAGGCGCATCCGTGATACTCGGATTGGGACCGACTCGAACTCAAACTCGGACTTGAAGGCCCTGCCTGGATGCTAACATAATCGATGTATTGATTGTCGTGCTACTCCCCCTTGGGATAATAATATCATCCCAATGCTATCTAAGCCGCGTCGTTCTTCTTATTCCCGTTCTTGATGGCTTGCGATATCCATCTTGTACCGTTTTGGATCTGGGGAATGGATTGGTAGGCTGTTTGTGATGTCCTGATGTAGATTGGTGGGTTATTTACATTGGGTTAAGTGCCAGGCTTTTGAGGGTAATCGTGAGGAGTTTTGTTTTTTTTTTGCCTTGGATGGTATATTGTGGAATCATTCATGGATGTGTATATATATCCATCAACTTCTATGTGTGTGTATCTCAAATCAAACGAATGTTCCCAACCTCTTCTCTTTGTGGATGATGTTCAGCGATTTTGTTACCTGTGTTTGGGCTGCAGTGCAATCAATATATTAGTACTATGTTGGTAGAATGCCGTGTCTAGGAGGATAGAGATTGGTTTCTTTTTTTTTTCTTCGTTTCGTTTCGTTTTGCCCGCTTGTCATACGGGTATTATTCTGCTGGATCATATGGATTCTATGGATTTTCCTTCGTGTTGAGGGCTATGGTTGTGCGTTCTATAGATTGTGTGCGTGTTTTGCATCAGCTAGGTAATATACTAACAGCCGTGCAGGCACTACTGCACTTGTATATCGGGTTTGCTACGTTACGTATCTGCGCGAAGCAACTGGGTTTTATTGTGGATGGGGACCATTAGCAACATGTTGAATCGTAGCTCATGGGCTTATTCTGCACCACAGATGCGATTCGTCCGCCCTCGCTCATGGAAATTCATCTCGACCACTCCCTCAACCGTTCCTCCAGCGCGCCCGCCAGGATCTTATGCACGTGGCTCGTCAGATGGCCCGAGTTGAACCAGAAGTACTCCTCCAGCGGGGTCGGGCAGCCGTACGCCTGGTAGTTGTACGCGATATCAGGCTGGTCGTAGCCGGCGCAGAAGCTGGTCGTGTTGACGATGCCGTACGCGGCCGGGTCGTCGAGGATGGCGGTCAGGACACCGTGGGCGTCGAAGACGTGCACGGCCGTGTCGCGGTGGGTGCGCTCGAAGGCCGCGGCGTGCTGCGCCAGCGCCTCGTTGTACCACGCCACCTGCGTCGCGTTAGGCAAGGGCTGGCTCCGCGCCTGGTTGCCCGGCGTGCGGTCCAGCGGCGGCAGGTTGACGAACAGGTATGACCTGTAACCCTGGTCGTAGATCTTCTGGACCGACGAGAAGAGCGTGCTTTGCAAATTGTTGTAGAACGTCGGGAAGTCCACTGCGTATTTGGCGCTGTCGCCTATGTCGTTGATACCGATCCAGATCGCTACTAGGGTCTCGGGCTTGGAGATGTGTGGCGCCAGTATTGGTTGGCCGTAGGTTGTGAATTGGGCGATTTGGTTCACGAGCGAGACGGTGTAGTTGTGGTGTAGGGGCGTGCTGTTTGGGGCAGGGGGGAGGGTTGATGTGTTAGTTGGGCGGTACGAGGGGTCGTGACGTCTATCTCTTTATCTTCTTTTCTTTTATGAGGGTACGTACTAGGCGACGCTGATATCAGCCCCCGCGAACGCAAAGTCCCATAGCTGTCTTTTGCAATCGAACGGCGAGATGGTCCCTTCTTCCACTCCGCAGCCTGTGAGGTATTCAACCCAGTTGGGCCCTCCTTCTGCCGTCGCCGTCTACATTGTGTGTAATATTCGTAGATCAGTAGCTGAGGTGGAGCCCGAGGAGCTCGTTCAAAGGAAACTTTGTTTCAAACCTGGTTCTGAACGATCTTGTCTGTCAATAAGGTCTGAGCATCGTATTCGAAGTTTTGTAGATCTCCAATGAAGCTATAGTTTTGATGTCCGTGTGTCCCCTGTACATACGTGTAGGAGTCACCGAAAGTTATTCTGATGCTCAAGTATCAGCTAGAATTCAAGGAGTGTCTTCGCCCTGGAAAACACCAACAGGTATTTAGTCGAGTCCCAGTCGAACGCCTTCTTCTGAGAAGCTCCGAATGGGAATGCTGATACTGTAGGAATGGCAGCGAGGGCCAGGTACTGCCAGAGCGCGAGCATGATATTGGCTCGGATGGTAGTCTTCTGCACAGACTGGGATGATAAGGCTGTATGTATATAGAAGGACCAATAAAGCCCAACTCAACATCGTCTCTACGGGTTCTTATACACACTGCGGATGTGAGGGAACTTGCGCTTGGGGTCATCACCACCGCACTTGACCCCGCAAATAGAGCTGGATTGCGGAGAAATGGCAGCCATGCGCCTGCAGCTAGACGGAGAATAATTTTCCACTTGTCAATACTGGTGGCAGCGCATCCAGCGGGCTCTGGGCTAAGCGGACTTGAATCTCATCCGCAAAGCTTAGCTACCTCCAGCTTCGAGAAGGCCGTCCGGCATCGAGTCGATGTTCGGGGTCCTGATCAGGTCAGACGAACTCGCGAGTCTGCTTGCAAATGCCAACGGAGGCCTTTTCCCCGGGCAAACTGGCCCAACTCCGTGAGCCAGCAGAGAAGACCTCGGATGCACCATGAGGTCAGCAGAGAGTTCTTCAGCTTTGGCGAGCTGATGATTGCTAACCGACGTCGGCAAAAAAATGGCGACATCCAGATCTCGTCAGTTACCGTGGTTTTTAGAGGAAGCACTTGTCCCCCAGATGTCCACCGGACCAAGATTTGCCGATCCGCGAGCGAGCGAGGCCAAGCCCGTCCGGGGTCGGAGAGAGGCTCAACTGCGGGGGTGTCTGTCTAATGTCTATCGGTCATGATTTGAGATTGCGAGGATTTTAGTTCGGTTTGCGCCCTAGGTCTGCTGTGCTCGTCTTAGAAGGTTTCGGGGAGGATGTGGAGCATCATTTCCGAGACCCAGTGGAGTGCTGGCTCGAGATTATGGTCAGTTATTGAAGCAGCAGGACCGATGTTTGTTCCTCAAGCAGAGCACGACAACAATTGTCCCGGCTGGCACATTTTCATTAGGAGAAGGAAAACGTGATCGAATGGGGAGAGGGTCATGTCATCGCGGTGGGCGAGAACAGAGGGAGGCATATCTTACCGTAAGATAGTTGTTATCGTGTAATTAATCCATTATGACAAATACTCCGGATTTTCCCAGGTGTGGGTCAAGTCAAGCCCACTTCACCTTGCGCTTGACTGGGTCAGGAGGTCCGCAGCAGTTCAATTGTGTCGTTGTTGTTGTTGTTGTTGCGGTGGTGGTGGTGATTGCGGTGTTATGGTCATTGGAGCATCAACACATTCCATGCAGCACTCTGCAGAAGGGAAGACCCCTTCACGCCATTGACCAGAACGAGACTGAAGAGTATATCAAGTAGCCGAGCAATGCAGGTTTCTGCAGGCCAAGGTCTCCCTAGACATGGGTGGTGGGATGAATGGATGGAAGAAGATTGAAATTGTACCTCGGTGTGCCTTCAGAGGGGGATTATGTTACGGTACGATCATGTAAGCGGGACCTAAGCTCTCTTGGGGGCCCTGTATGATACCGGTAAGTATCCCGTACCGGAAACTGGGTCTCCTTTAGTTCCTGAGGGGGGGTGAATTTCGGCCAAAAACCGCTAGGGTTACCACTAGTAGGATCATTTTCTCAATTCACTGCGAATCAGCGGACTGGAAGCAAATGCAGCTTTAGGCAAACACCCGCTTATCCCGACCAGGTTAGAGGTACGGTGAAAGCCAAAAACCACAAAACCCCCCCCCCCAAAAAACCGTCAGGGGAACCGGGGAGGAAAAGAGAAAGTGTGGTTCGGGTACTGTTAGGCGGTCGGTCCTGTTGGTTTAATATGCGGAAGTCGGGACATCCGCCGATAGTTAGTGCTGTAACACTCATTCTCGTTGATATCGAGTTGTTGACTAGACTACAGTATGGGGTGTTGGAGCTTTGGGAAAGCCTAGACGCTGCGGGACTATTAGTCCGGGCTCTGATATAGACTAACGTAATAAGAAATGGATGGCATGAACCGGCGTCGACGCTGGATCATAGCCAGCCCCCAGTGCCTCACGCCGACCGACCGACATATTCTCAGCCTGACATGCGTTTAGAGCAGGCGTAGAATATGCATGGAACATGTAACCTCTCGCCGCCGTGGCGAAGTACAGATGAGAGGAAAGAGAGGCGAAATAAGGAAATAGCCGGCAGCATAAATTAAAGAAGGCGTCTACGAAATTACAGCATGCTGACGACGGGGGCCTGTCTGGTCTGCATTGAGCCCAATCTGGCAAAGGGATAGCAACTCCCCATACAGCAGGAGAATAAACCCTCACGAGTGGTTCAGATTCAATAGCCAATTCTTGGCGGGGTCGTCCGGCCGAAGACAATAAGTATGTCGATGTTTGGGGAGGTTTAACATTCAGTATATCAATGTTAATGAGTCAAGCGACATCTGTGGTCTACCGGTATGTCTGTTGTAGGTGGTGGTAGGTAAATGAGATTTATCCTATTGGTGCTTTTATTCTGGACGACTTACCCTCTCTACTCATCTGCACAGAATGACTTGCGCTCGTGAAATGTCTCTCACCCACTTATCTTACTCCAAGACCGTCTGCCACCTGTTCTGTTGGGCAGACAGTTGGTTCAGGTTCCATGATTTCTGGTTGATCATCCCAGTGGCCCACTCAATACTGTTGTTGTTAATTATTGTCGGCCTGGTCCGTCGCAAACACAGCAGCAATATTGCTTGGCAATCCGAGAACCGGCCCGGACCCGGAGAAAGTATACTGCTTCGGTGTCTAACATGAGTCCAGATGCTCACAGCAGGTTGGAACAAAGTGGGATCGTTTGATTGTGCTGCTGACCGCGCGATATTCCGTGATTTAATCTCCAACTCAAGCTCAAGCTCAAGCTCCAGTTTATGCCTCCATTTGCTCGAGCATCAGTGAGACAGACGGACATCATGAGAACAGCGAGAGTGGAACCGAGCTCCTCGACTGTAAGTTATCTTAAGCTGTCCTTAGCGTACCGACTGGATCAATTGCCTGAAAAGCATCGTAGGGAAATCTACAACGCTCTCATTGGATGACTGAGCTGTCCTTTCTGCCACCGGCCTGTGTTGCCAGTTGGACGTCTGAGTTTAAGGAATGGGGCGACGGTTTCCGAGTCGCTTCCTGAACATCCGTCAAGACTTATCGTGACTTGCGCCAAACAACCCTATCCATGGCTCCATTTTGGCTCCACATCGTCCAGGCTCGGAGACTGAACCGCAGAGCCGTAAGGGAGGGATATCCATTTTCATCTTCGGGTGACATCGATGGTTTCTCTGACAGTTTTACGAGTGGTATTGTCTAGCATAAGCAATTGACCTGCCACCAAGGTAGACGAGCGCTCGGCAGATGGTGGATGTCCTGTCTGCCATGCTGTCAGTGTCGACAAGCACGGGCTGATGGCAGACGGACAGCGCTTCATTCCAGTCCAGCCAGTATGGCTATCATGACGATGCATGGTCTTATGCAGAAATCTATGACTGTACCAGATCATTCTCCTGTCTTTGGGTTTCGGGTCGTCAGCACTTCGTGATGATTGAAGCATCTGACCTGACATTAAGTCGTTTGAATTAAGAGTAGAAGAGAAGGGACAGGGAGCGAAAGCATCAAGGCTTATTGTTCTTCTATCTTTCTATCTCATATCAAGTTGATGTTTGCGCTCTGATCCCGCGGAGAAAGACCACATATATCACGTGGGATCACGTGTGATGAGATATTGGCTTAGAGAGAGAGATCCTCAGATGTAACCTTTGCTCATATGGGTCAGGATAAATGGATGGATGTGCTATCCACCTTCCCTTTCCAGTCACTATCGCGCCTCGGAGGTGTCAGGGCGACGGCCGCTTAAGCCTGGTGAGACATCGCTGTCAGCTAGCCAACTACAACACTTAGCGCACGTGGAGCACTTGAGATCACGCTTAAGGCTTAGAGCAACGAGGTAGGTAGCTCCAAGCTCTGCCCATGGTTATGCTTCCTAATCGCGGAGGCACTTCTTTGAAGCTAGAGCCACCAAATCCATGAGTCAGGAACACACCAAAAGCAGAAGAAGACAAAAGCTCGCCTATCATTGGCATACCGACCGATATGCTCACATCCGCCACGGAATAGGGGCAATGAATTATGCAGCACTCAAGTAACAGCCATCACAAGACAGAGGTGAATACTCCATGGACCAAGGAGAGAAAAAAGAAATGAGAAGGATGCACCTCGACATCATCGATGGCCAAGAACTGAGATTGCCCCTTTCATGTGCATATGGATTTCCGTCGGGGTACAATAGCAATTGATGATTTGAGGGCCGCTCTCGACCACTGGCAGCTCTCTCCAATGTATTGTCAACAAGGTGGGCCCGGATCACACTTTAATACGTATTCATTACGAGAGCGATGGTTACACTCATCTACTTTACGCATCAGGGTTGCTTGGTTGGAACAATTGATCCTGTAGGCTGTCAGTGGCCGATGTCTCTATCTGCGTTCAAGATTTCTTGTGTTAGCAGTTAAAGCTGAGGGGTGAGCTGGGAGGCGTTGTTCTTGTTCACAGCCTCAAACGCTTTCATTGCCGTGCCGGGGACACTACTGCTAGCCCATGGTCACAGCTTCACCACCGATGGAGGAAGGGTTGATTGTTGGTCTGGCTATCAGCTTCCCCGAAGGCGACAGTGGAATAGGTATCCATACTAAGGATGGTGGCTAGTAGCTCTTGGGAAAGGTCCCGATCGACAGGCAGTCATCGCTTGACTTTAAGGTAATCGGCCAGCATCCGAAACAAAACTCATTGATTAACGTAACAGTAAGGTACTTACTAAGGGCTTACATAGCAACTGTATCCGCGTACAGAAGTTACCAGTGTTACTAGCTGAGTGGTATCGTTACTAAGTAATCCAGTTACCCCAGTACCTTTAGTTACGGAGTTTCCGGGGATGGAAGGCTTGATTCCGCCCTCAGCTTTGTTTTGATCATGAATGAGCAGCTCTTCAAGCCAGAGCATGAATGACGACTTGACATTCACATTCGATAATGCTCTTGTCAGTAGTAGGGCAGGGCCAATACCTATTAAGCCTAGTTCTATCGCATTGAGAGGACTCATTTAGGATATTTTTCCCTCCCGATATAGTTTGACATTGACAGTCTGTACGACTGACTTCTCCTCAATGGGGTACTGTGCTTACTTGAAACTGATACAAGTGATATTATCGACATTTATGCTCCACTTTGAGAGAAGAAAAGTAATATCGCATGATAGTGGTCTTGTAGTCTAGACAGTAAATAGACTTACGGTCTCTCTTAGCAATCCTGAGGGTCTTCTGGCTCTTGGATTGTTCGCACATAGTCCTTCATCGCCATGAGACTCGACGGAACCACAAGAGAGGAGAGAAGAGGACAGAAGGGCTGCTGTAGTGAGCAACAAGACGAGCGACGTCTCCTATTCCTGATGGACCGCGATTATCACTTTCACCGGCAGTGGGCTTGTTACCAGGTTCCGCTTGCGCGGGGTATGACCCAGACCAGATGCCAATCATCACTCGTCCATCTGCCCACCCCCATCTTGCTTGGAGAGGAGAGCCTTTCCGAGATTGGAGCCTTGCATTTCTCTGCGTCCCCTTTTGCTTCTCACTTTGCGCCCTAGCCTTCCTATCAGATAATCAGTTTTCAGCCCACCCTCCCTGATCCGATGCTGAGGTGAACGAGTCACTGGAAAACACTGTCTAATTGAACAACCCTGACGAAAGATCCAAATGTCGAAGACCGTCCGCTGAGGAGTTGATTTGCTCCAGAGCACTGCCGGAAAACCCGCTGATGGGTTGAAGTTCTGGACAGTCTGGTTCCTAGGTAGACTTCGCGACCTTATCGCACACGCACCTTCTGCTCGATGCCCCGACCTGGAAATCTTTCGAGCCTAGTCCAATAATATTACCGATAAAGTTCATACTGATGGGTACAGCCAAGCCCAGGATACACCCTCCAGAGCCCACTGTGGATTGCCTAGGGTACCCTCCTCCCTCCCCAACCTCTCCCGTACCGTATGGGCAGGTCTCTGCCACTGACACGGTGTGTCCTGAGGAGCATACTCTGAGAGCAGCAGTACTCTTGCTGATATGCGGACTGAAGATGCAATTTCATGGTAGCATTGAAATCCTCCTAGAGCTGCGCAGTCAGGAAGGTGAATAGATCACGAGCAGCATCATAATTCTTATTCTCGCATCGACATGTTCCGATGACTTGCTCGCACAGCACAAGCCTCCTGAGCGGAATACCAAGGAGTGGGTGCGTCGCTGGTACAGCACATACGACCTTTCCTCCTGATGGGGCCTGTTCCAATATGCGATAGAGACAAAAGTACGAACCGCCAGCAAGAAACCCGAAAGATGAATTGCTGGTTTGCCTTCTCACGCGGCTGCCTTCCGGTCGCTTGGGTCATACCTTTCCCTTCTCCCCCCATCCTATGGAGATGCGATGCTCGACCCGGATCTCTTGGATTGATCCATGCCCGACTCTATCTTGCTTATTTGGTGCAATTTGAATACATGATATTCCACTAGTGCGCTCCGTGCAATCGTAGGCTGCTGGTAAGGAGCCTAATTTGTCCGATGGGCAGGCTATTTCTAACATCGGTTGGGCTGGTAGCCTCGTGTTCCCCACTGACGCGTTCCTGACTTGCGCGGGCAGCAGATAATCACTTGTCCCGGTTACACTGCACCCGAGGCAGAGGCAGACGCAGAGGCAATGCATAATGAATTAAAGTGCGAGTATTCGACTTCTTCATTTCGCTTTCTACTGCTCCCATTATTGCTACAAGCAATGGACGAGTGCAGCGACGGCGGAGGGGCGCGTTGGGTCACGGACCGCAAAATAACAACAAATGTTCCTTGCGAGAGTGACAGAGAGACCTCCAGATCACAAGCGATAGGAGGTGGTTATCAGGAAGTCGGGATCCACCAAAGACGTGCTTCCAATTGGCACTGCTACGGCCATACTTCGGTTGGAGGAGGTCGTTCTGGTTTCCCCCCCTCCCCCCTGAAGTCGGCCGTCCGCTACAGCTGACCCGGCACAACCTCTGGATTCATCATTTGGGAACGAATTGATGGTTGGTAGACCGGTAAAGTATCTTTCCCACTTTTTCTCCCCATTTCTCTGATTCCCCATCTGGTCCTTAACCAAAGCCTACTTACATCCGAGGAGCTATCGCCGGCATCACCCGCCGCCGTCTTTGCACCGTTTATGGGATTGTCAATTGAGTGCTATTGTTAGCATGAGAGCAATCCTACCTGTTGATTATTGCTTTATTTTATTTTATATCCCCCCCACCCCTCTCTTGCTTGCTGATAATTCAATTTCATTTCATGTTATTATTATTTACCTCGTGCCACTCATTAATGTCCCCTTCTCCTATTCCATCGTTTGAACTTTAGGCCTGTCTTGTCTCCTGCTGAAGTATGCTAGATCCACACAGTATACGGACCCTGCACGCGGTCCTCGCTTCTTCCCCCCAGCCTGCGCTACACCCACTCTTTCCTTAGTCTCGAGGCTTTTACCCAAGACCGTTCAAGCCGTTCCTCGGGCACGCCATTCCTAGCTCCATCTTCGTTTGGCCACTAAAATGATTGCCTACCCACGCAGCCCGGACGTTGACCAACGATCTTGGCTGAGTATCCACGGGCGCAGAGCACGCTAGGTTCACGACAGTCTCCCTGCGGCCAGGACTCGACACGCGCACCGTCCGTCCCGAATCGCGGGTAGACTATCCAAGCTCTAAAACCCCTATCAATATTAATGCTCGACTAGACTACCCTAAGTTTATTTTCAACCTCATATCAACAAATCTGGGAGCTAGGATATCGCTTCACGCCACAACAGATTCATCGGTGGAGTTGATAGATTGAAGAAAGGTTGCAATGTGACCACGGACCAGAGAAGGGAATGCCACAAGAATTAGATAAATAAAGAAAAGAAAAGAAAAGAAAATCAAATTGTCATCGATTTCTCCTGTTCCTTGATTTCGCCACAACTCCGGCGGAGTATGCCGCTGCCGCTCCAAACCAAAAGAATGAGAAATTGACAGACAGAAGAAAGGCGAGGGACAAATGACCAGAGAAGAGAAGAGAAGCAGAAAGCACATTCAGACGGACAAGGAAAGCTTAGCCGGGTTACGAGAAATGACCATCAACAAGCACCACCCTCCTCCGGAATATCATCGAGCAATTGAGGGGAAGGGGGCCAAAGAGAGGAATTGCATAGACCATACAGAGGGGAGGAAAAAAAAAAAAAAAACCAAAAAGGATGGATGAACAACATCAATCCAATCCATCCGTTCATCCAACAGAGTAACTATTTGAAAGAGAAATTATTACAAGCAACTTAACCACCACCAGCACCACTCACTCTTTTGGGGGTCCTGATAAACCGATGCAAAGGAAAAAAAGGAGTGGGTCGGACTACTTTACTGGCAACGGACCCGTCACCACAAAGCGGCAGCACTCCGCTCCTGGAGCAAGACAAAGGACAAATAAGAGTTAATCCTCCGGGCGGCCCTCCAGTGAGAAGGCCAGTACCGTACCGATACCGGTTCTCCTCCTATTGGTTTTTATGCTTACTTATCCGGTACCGCTAGTAATTACCATGGGCCTTTCTCTCCCGTCGACTACGCTTCCTCTTTTTCTCACTATTCCCTTTTCCCACGCTTATTCTTTTCAATTCTTTCACTCCCCCCTTTCCCCTTTTGATATTCTTTGCCTCCAACTCCGTTTCATTACTAAAGAGTGTAAAAAAGATTACGGGCCCACGCGCTCCACCGTACCCTCGGATCCCACGAGGTGTTGCTCTCTATCCTGCGATTTTTCCTCCTGCCGAATAGCCTCTTGCTCGTCCTGTCCGAAGCCTTTTAGGCCGCCTCTTCTGCCCAGGTTTCTCTTTTCCGAGTCGAGTCGAACCATTTTCCCCCCTCCTCTTCCTCCCACTTTCCCACCCCTCACCCCCCCTCCTCCCCTCCCTCCTCTAGCCGTCTTGATTTTAGGGTGACTGTGCGACTGCCCTGGCGTTGCCACCAACCTAGATCGAGACATCGGTTCTTGCGCTATCACGCATTCGCGCTGGTGGAAATTTATTTGATCGAGTTTCCATTCTCGTTCGTCCTGGCCGAACAGACTATTTTGGCCCTGACCTGGCTGTTTTCTAAACCCTCTATATTCCCCTCTCCCCAAAGCTTGCCCGAGCGCAGACAGGACGGTCCCTTTCATCCTCCCGCCGGTTCCTCGTGCTGTTGTGCTTACCGCCACCTGCAAGGCCATTCTCCGTCACCCTAACACGGCGACTAAGGCAATTAAGCATCGCGATCCAGCATTACCGTCACTTCCTAGAGACAACAATACTTTTTTTCTCTCTTGCCTACCTTTCTGCCTTTATCCGACTTGGAAACAGCCTTCCTCCCCTCCCCTGCCCGTATCATTATTTCCCCGTTTCCTTTTTATCTCAGCCTCTCGGGAGAGTGTGCAATCATACGCGACCATTATTACGCGTCGATCCTTTTCCAACCGGTTCCCCTACACTGTCTCGATCCGTTTGCTCACAACACAACCGATAACCGACATCTTTCACAACCGGTGGAATTGTTGCAATTCAGTCAACTCCTCCTAGAGTCATCAAATAGTACGTTCCAACAAATTACCCACCTCCAGTGGAGGGGAAAAGAAAGAAAAGAAAAGAAAAGAAAAGAAAATACACACGGACGAAAAAGAGCAGGAACAGAAAGAGAAAGAGAAGCCGTCATTGCGCAAGATCTGGTCTGGTCGTTTTGGTCGTTAAGATCTCCTCGGGACCAGTCTGGCACACACCCTCTCACTCACTCTCTCGCTTTCTCTCCTCCCCTGTCCCTAAATTTATTACCTCTCGGCCTATCTTTCTCTTTCTACCATCTCTTTCTCTCTATTTGTCTTTTCTTTCTCGATTTCTGTCCAATCTTGTTTTGCAAGCCACAAAGCTCATTGTGTCCCTCTCGACGCGTCTTCATAGGCACGCGAGGCTTTCTTTTTTTTTTATCTTGGAGGAAATAATCAGCGATATCTTGGTCCGATAGCTGCGACCAATTCGTATTATATGGACAACAGACCTGCTTCCGAGTACGCGCAGTCAGGTTCGCACTTTCCATATCCACTGTCTGCCGCGACTCCTCATTCTGAACTGCCCGCTGCAGACCAGGCTTCTGCTGCTGCCACTGCTCAATACACTCCTCAACCGGAGGTTCGCCCGACTCCTCAGTACACACCTCAGCCCGAGGTCCGCCCCGCCGCCAACATCTCTTCCTCCAACACACCGCAGTCGGACTACGGCCTGAACCAGCCCCCCGCCGCGCGCTCACCTGCCTATCCTGAATACCTCGCCCGCCCACCCCAATATCATCACGCTCCCAACACTCAACCCGGTGGTGCGGCAGGTATGGCTCAAGCAACAAGTCCGTCTATGACCACCCTCAATAATGGGCAACACCATGACCCACGCAATCATCACACGAACGTGAAGTCTGACGCGGACGTTCCTATAGATCCTTCAATCGCGGCCTCCAGCCCCACCTATCCTCCTCCTTACTCGCCTTACCAGCCCCAGGGTCATGAGATGGCTCAATACCAGGGTCACCCCCCTCCTCCCCCGCCTCAGATGTATACGCGTCCGGAATGGTCGCATGGCTATGGACAACATCAACACGGTCTTCCTGGACCTTATACCACTCCTGCCACAACGGTTGGTCCCGCCTCCCCTGCTGCGACCGCAGGGCCGCGCCCTGGCCAGGTATGTCTTTGATGATTCTGGCGTCTGTTTCCTAAGGCTTGGCGCACTTGCGTGGAACTGTTGTCTTGGATGCCTCCCGTGCTGTCAGGGTTGCGGTGAAAAGAGAATTATTCGGCCTTTGGGGATGTGGGAAGCGGGCGCGCTTTTTCATCTTCATTTTTGGTTCTGAACAGAAGCTCATCCGATTTTTTTTCTTTCTGCTAGGTATACTCGTTCGTGCCCATTCCTGGCGCGCAGCAACACAAGCGCCCCCGCCGTCGGTATGAGGAGATCGAGCGCATGTACAAGTGCGGTTGGAACGGATGTGAGAAGGCCTACGGTACGCTCAATCACTTGAACGCCCACGTGACGATGCAGTCGCATGGTGCGAAGCGTACACCCGAGGGTAAGCTGCTGTCATTTTGTTTCTCTGCGTTTTCCGATTCTCGTCGGGGAGAATCGCAAGTTGTTGTTTTGGTTGGTCGCAGTAGCTCGATTGGGTTAGTGCGGGTGGCACGCGCTAGTCGTGTTACACTACGTTAGCGCCGCGGATCGCAGTAGCGTGACAAGCCGGCGCGGAGGTTAAGCGTGTTTAGCCTCTCTGCCCGGCGGCCTCTTTCTATGGTTTACCTCTGCGGCGGTTCCCGTCCAAACATGTCTTCCCACCATTCTTCTCCATTATTCGCAACCTTTTCTTACCCGATCACAACATGCTGACATACTTTCGAAACAGAATTCAAGGAGATTCGCAAGGAGTGGAAAGCTCGGAAGAAGGAGGAAGAGGCTCAGCGCAAGGCCGCGGAAGAGCGCGAGCGTGCCGCCGCCGCCCAAGCTGCGCAAGCCAACCAAGTGGATGCGCCTAATCCTGCGGATCCTGCTCAAGGTGGTCAACCACCCGCGTATCCTGGTGGTGTTCGGCCTCAACTCCCCCCGATTGGATATCAACCTGCCGATGGCCAGGTACCCGGGCAGTACGGAGCGGGTGCCGGTGGCATGGTTTACCAGGGTAACGGGCAGATGGCCTACCCTCCCAATTACCCTCATTCCCCTTATGGGCAAGCGGGCCAAGTGTACCAGCCACGTAAGTAGTCATGTCCTTTGTTATGTTTTGCATTATCAGGACCGGGGTCATGAGGAGTCATGAAGAACCGCAATAGAAAGAGGAAAAGAGAAAGAAAAATCCCCCCAAAGATCATGACATGAAAAAGAGATTTACGACCATCATACCCGAGTGACTCGGTGACTCTTGACTCCGAGAAAAAGCCGCAGGAGGAGGTCTGTGGGTCTATTGCTCTACAAGGTCTGTAGCTGATCGATGATGGCTTCGCAGAAACCCAATCGACCAGCTACCCGCAATAGATGTCCAACTTCCCTTCCTTGACTCAGGTTGCATATTCTAATACAATATCTCCTAATCCCGTATCGCCATCTCGGATCTAATCCTTCCCTTTAAGTCCTTACGCACATGATACCATTTCCAGGCCTTGATTGCTCCAGCCAAACAAGAGTGGCCCTGCGACTTACGTTTCTGTTCCAGTTATGTTATTTTTTTGAGTTAGATTGCATGAGAAACCGAAAAAGGAGACTGTCTAATCGAGGGGTTCGCTGTTTATGTTCCCTATGCGAATACTGGTTATGGAATGCTGCTTGAGATATCTGGCGGGGCTTTCTGCATTAGCTGAGCTTCATTTTGCTTCTAATTTCTTTCCCCCCTCTGTGAATTATGCACCTCTTTTGTCTCTATATGGCTTACCCCCTTTCATGTTGTATGTGGTTTATTGCTGTGATAGCTGAATCTCCAGCTTTTTTCTTCCTGCACGTTTCTGTCCGTTTTCGCTTTGACCAACCTTTATGTTACCCTGGGTGTTGGCCCCCGACCCTGTGCAATACTCATCCCGATAACCTTTTTTCCTCCTTGGTGATGGTCTGCTTGTCGGAGTCTTGCAGCTACTTTTTTTGCGTCCGATACGGCCTTCCCTGCTTCCCAGTGATTGAACAATGCTGGTGAACGAGTGAGATAGGCCATCGTCCAATAGGACACGGTATATCTTTTAGGTCTTTTTATCTCATATGCCGAATGATAGTGGCGACGTCATGTTCGGACCGAAGTCCATCTAATCGCAACCGTGGAGATATGGTTGCAGACGGCTCTCAGGAGATTTATACTTCAGGAAAGAGAAGCCGACGGATTTAAAAGCTAACAGGTTGCGCAAGTACTCTATAGTTTCTGCATTGGTGGACTCTGACCTGGTGTTAGATGAGCCGTACAGTAGATGGCTATTGTGGTGTGACTATGGATCGTGTGGACGAGTCACTAGCCCTGTCGCACAGGATCCGGTAAGATGGGAGCTACTGTAAGTATTGTTTGAACTAGTTCGACGTGAAAAGTATGGGATCTGCTGCCCGCATGGCTTGGGATTTAAGTTATGCATCGACCGGGAAGTAGGCGGGGGAGCGAGAGGGGTGTTTTGGGTGGAGAGGAAGATTTGGCACGGCCCTGCCTTACGGCCCGGGGAGGGGAGGGGGGTTTCGGGTCCAGAAGGGGCACTGAAACAAAGTTAGTAGTAGTCTAGTACAGTATGAGAAGTGGAAGTGGAAGTGGAAGTGAAAGCCCGGATCCTAACCAAGTGTGGGTTTCCTGGATGAGATCCGAATCGATTCACAGGGTTTGGTTTCTGGTCGACTAGTAACGGCAGCCTCCGATCGTGGGAAAGAAAGCCTTACTAGTGCACCTCCTTGGTACTAGCTAGTACCTAAGCCCTCCGTTCCAGTTACTAGAGGCTTACAAGGCGTTGCCGCCGGGACCCCCCCCGATCTTCCCCTTCCCGGGGCGCGGAAAGGAAGGGGACGGAGGGGGGGTGGAATTGTCTAAGCGTCAGATTGAGCCTATCGGGCGGAAACTGCTGCCTGAGGTTGGGTTATTTCTTGTGCTAACGGCGTCCCGGCGGGCGGTTGGTTGATTAAACCGGTATAACTCGGCTTCTCACATCTCTTACTGATAAATTCTAGTAGGCTAAACCAGATTCAGTAGTACTATATTGGTTCAGTCTTCAACCATCATGGCTGGGGACTAAACTGCTCTGGTGCTGCATGGATTACCTATATGTATGAAATACTTTATTACCTAAGTGAGGTGTATGTACTGCCTCAGGCATGAGACATTAAGAGAGTCGGAAGCGGAGTAACTTGCCGCTTCTGCGGCGTCTGGCAATCTAACCTCTTCTTTACTAGCCGGACTCAAATGCGATATTTCGCAAATACCGCGGAGTTTGCGGTCGAGACACCGGAGCTTGTTGCTGCACTCAACTCAACGCTCTTCTTTCTTTTCTTTCCTTGTCTTGTTGTAGGTGGTGTCTCGTTGAAGTCGGAAAAAGCTCGTTTCTATCTTATCAAGTTGACTTGACTGGGAAGAGCGATTGCCATCTTGTTCTCGTGTTGTTGCGCGGCGTCGAAGGAAAAAAAAGTGATTTCAGAATCCCCAACTTTTGCCTCATCTCCGCAACTTTTTTTTTTCGCGCTGCTTCTCCGGCCTTCACTTCACGACCAAGATCCCCGTCACGCACGGATAATATCTCGAACGTCGCCACCATTCTAACTGGGCTATTTTAGAGGCTTGAATCATAACGTTGGATCTCTCAACGCCCTCCGAAGAAATACGACCGGAATCCGAATTTTTTCCTGATCCTACCTAAATGCTATTTCGCTGAAACCACTATACACAAATCTATCGATGCGCTTTCTCCAAGCCAATACTGCTACTAGACAAACCATGGCAATGAGACTTCCGCTCGGCGGGCAATGCACTCGAGTCGCTGCTCGTAACGGCAAAGCCATCAACGGCAGCAAACACGCCTACACCACTCTCTCCTCAGCCAACTGCAACAACAGCACCACCCGAAGCCTCCGACGCGCCGTGCTTCCCGCCTCCCAACAACAACAGAACACCACATCCACCGCCGTGAGCTGGACCCGTGCTTCTTCCGATGCCGTGATCCGGAAATACTGGCAGGGGTTCCTGGAGCTGCAACGGCAGCCGGAGGAATCTTCTAAGGCCCCGAAGGTGAACCGCGAGCTGCAGGAGTTGCTGCTCAAGGTCGCGGAGGTCGGCACGTCGCCGCGGCTGCGCATGCAGGAGGCCTCATTGATGGGCGACCAGTCAACGCGCAAACAGGTGGAGATGGAGCTGAGGTGGCTGGTCGATCCGCGGCGGTTGGCAGACCGCGTCGGCCGGTTGCTGCAGGGGAGGGAGATCATCATGGCCGCGGCGTTGCTGCGCGAGGCCCAGAAGCAGGGCAGGGAGTGTATCGTTGCGTGGAATCATCTTCTCGAGTATTGCATGAAGCAGGGCGCCACGATGGCGGCCTATAAGTTTTATACGGATGTAAGTTTGCTATGCTCTTTCTCTTGCATTTTTCCCCCTTGTATATGGGGCCTTGTGCGATTGTGACAGTTACTGACTTTTGAAAACTTTTCCGGTTTCGCGCAGATGAAAAAACGTGGTCGCAAGCCTAGTTCCTATACCTATACCATCATGTTGAATGGTTTCAGTAATAAACACCTTAGCGATAAGGAGAAGAATGTGGACGCCGCGATGCGTGTTTATCGGTCTATTGAGGAGAATCCGGAAATCGAGCGGGATATCATCCACAGCAACGCTATGCTGAAGGTCTGCTGGCTTCTAAGAGACATGGATACCTTGTGGCGGGTTGCGGGAGATCTTCCTGAGGATGGACCCGGTTCACCCGATTCGTACACCTACACCATTATCCTGCGGGCTATCATGAGCAATCTGGAGCTTGTCACGCGGAGTCTTCCCTCCAGAGCGATTCGCGAACACACAGAGAAGAGGAAAGCGGCCCTCACTGAAGGCAAAAGGGTCTGGGCCGATGTTGCCTATCGTTGGAAGAAAGGTCAACTCGAGATCGACAACCATCTAGTTCAAGCGATGGCTGAATTGCTCTTGAACGCGTACAGTGACTACAACTGCTACGAAGTGCTTGCTTTGTATAATCAGACGGCGGGTCTCCCAATTTTCATGAATCGGCCTTCGCCCGATAAAGTCTACAGAGACAAGTGGGCTGACAGGTGGGACGAGAAGGTGGAGGTCACCAAGAAGGGTCGCCGGGACTTGCATGCAGAGCCTGTCCCCTTTGTGAACAGCAATAACGAAATTATTGAACCCGAGACTACCGGAGAAGCAGAATCGTTGGAGGAGGAGCCGCAAGAAGAAGAGGAGAATTTCGACCACTTGTTCGACCCTGTCACGGATGCCCCTGGCTCTTCAAAGCCTAAGCTGATCACAATCACTAACCGGGAGATCGACACCGTGCTGGAGGCCTGCTTGACCATGATCCAAGGGATGCGCCCTGGCAAACAGTACTGGAATTATCTTACGCGCGAGGGCCACCCGACTCCCGTCCAGCCTGATGCGGCCGCTATTCACCAATACCTGCGTCTTCTTCGCTATAGCCGATCCACCCGGGAAGCCGTCACGGTGATCCGCGATCAGATGCTTCCCTTCGGACTTTGCGATAACAAGACCTTCCACATTGCGATGAGTATCTGCCGGCGCGACACCCGCAATGCAAATGTCCTGAGGCTTGCCGACGAAATGCTCGATATCATGGGGAGTGCGTTGGTTCTCGCGGAGCCGCGCGCCCTGGTGGGCTATCTCGAACTCGTCAACGCACTGAAAGAAACCCCTCAGCTTCTTCTGTCTCTGCTCGGCTTTGAAGGTGCGTGGAAGGCCAAGGCCAGCAATTTCCAGGACAAGGGAAGGAGCCTGAACGCTGGTATCAGCTTGCACGCCATCGATCGGGTCTTCCCTCATCTCAAGAAGCTGAATGAAGCAACTCTGCCCTACTTACCGAAGCCGAAGGATGAGGATGCTTCAACGATCCTGCGACCTGACAACCGCGACTTGACTTCCGGGCTGTACGGCTACAAGATCGCGCAGGCGATGAACGAAACGGGGCGATTGGTCGACGAGGTGCTGACCAGGGACAGGAACAAGAAGTTCCTGAGCAAAGAGGACCGTGGATCTTTGCAGGCGAAGCGTGAAATGCTGAAGAAATACTCTAATGCGCGTATTAACCTTCATCTTAGAGATGTCCGCGTGAGTGCGACTGCTAGCCAGGCAGAAGCTTTCGAGAAGCAGCAGGAAGAGCAGCGACAGCAGCAGGAACTCAAGCAGGAAGAGCAACAGCAGGAGCCCAAGCAGGAAGAGCAAGAGCAACGGGAGCAGAAGCAGGAAGGGAATGAGGTCGCCGTTGCAAAGGAGGAATACCTCGACACTGTATAGAATTCTCACCTCTCCTGGACATGTACTTTTGTTGTCTATAGCATCTACGGGCGTTGGTATATAGGTTTTGTTTTGATTGTACGATAATGGCACTACTTTCTTCTCTTGTGTATAGGGTCCAACATACATACACAGGTATATATGAGGCAATGTCGGTATATGTTATTTTGAGATACACCCATGCAAAAATGACCAGTCTTGTCCATCGGAGAATTATGTGTAAATCTGATAACGAGTAAGAGAGACAATCGGGAGCTTTTCCGCCTGCCGCTTTCAGCCCGTGCTGCGTACGTAATGAATGCCACTCTAGCCTCTCCGGCACAACAATCAATCCCCAGTTCATCTCATTCGATCACTACAAGCTATATCCTCTGACCTGCTCACCATTTCCTTTCCTTGTTTCTCTCTGGATACAGCCGGACTGTCCAGGTAATACCTCAGAATCCGTGATAACCAGCGATCTGCGTGGTGACTGCTGTATTGTTTCCGAACCGGCTCCTCACTGGACTGCCCGTCACGCAAACCAAACAGCTCAGCTCAACAAAGCTAGAGAGAATCCCTACCATAAACCCCAAATCATATCAGCCTGTCATGGCCAGCGCGCAACCTCTCTACAGCCACGGCGACATCCGTGACGATGAATCCATCCTGGACGACGACCTGATCGAGTCCGACGAGGGTGAGCTCTATTGTGAACCGGCTATGCACTAGACACTCTCCAAGCTAACCCCAGTGGGCACGCGCACGCGCACACACACGCGCGCGCGCACTCGCTCCTCTTGATATCTAGCAATCGAAGCCGATGACCCCCTTCACGATACCACAGACCGGACCCCGCTCCGCGGCAACATTCAAGGCGAAGCGTCCTCATCCAACGGCTCCCGCGGCGGCGGTGGTGTCAGTGCCAACCTCGCGGGGAACTACCTCACCTCGTCGATTCCCGGTGAGGACCGGCGCGCCACGCAAAGCACCATCGACGAGACCGTCTGGGAGACCGTGTCGCGGGACCTGCGCGCCGTCTGGGAGAAGATGCGCCAGGTGCTGTGGCCTAAGTACCTGATCGGGGGCATGCTGCAACGTGGGGGTGGTGGGCTGGCGGCTGCTGAGCGCGGCGAGGCCTCTGGGTTTGGTGGTGGGATGCGCAATCTGGTCGGGAGGTGGCCTGATGCCGATGTTGTCTTGCAGGGCGGCATGAGTGAAGGGTTGAGGGATTGGGATCTTTGGTATGTTTTCTTCCTACCCTCCCCGCCTTCCCATGAAATATTGTGGAGGGGGGTGTGGGTGGTGGTAGGCTACGGAATTGGACTGGGTTGACTGACTACGCTACGCTACGCTGTCTTAGGGGTCCGTTGATCTTCTGCCTTTTGCTGAGTATGTTTCTGTCGATGCGCGCCCAGGGCGAACAGTCCTCGTTGGTGTTTTCGGGGGTGTTTTCGATTGTGTGGATTGGGGAGGCGGTCGTTACGTTGCAGATTAAATTGCTGGGTGGGAATATGTGAGTCTCCCCCTTTGGTTTCAAGTGGGATTTGGTGGTTGAGGAACGAATGATGTGCTGATGTGTTTGGTGATTGCGACAGTTCCTTCTTCCAGTCGGTCTGTATCATCGGATATACGCTGTTCCCGTTGGTCATTGCTGCTCTCCTCAGTGCCTTGGGTCTGCCGACCATTGCGCGCATACCGGTCTACTTGGTGCTGGTGGCTTGGTCCCTGGCGGCCGGCGTGAGTATTCTGGGTGGATCCGGGGTGGTGCGCAATCGGGTCGGCATCGCAGTGTACCCGTTGTTTGTGTTCTATGTGGCTATCGGATGTCTCTGTTTCATCAGCTGAAAGGGTCGAATTGAGTATGTGGTGGTATGGGGAGTTGTGATGCTGGCTGAGACCGGAGGAACTAGAGCCAGGAATAGAGAAAGAGGGCGGTGGATGTCTGTCTGATCAATTCTAGTTGAGACCAGTGGTCGAACTGTCCTGTGGTTCATAGTAGCGTTTCGTATTTGATTGTTGTTTCACAGCCAAGCCATTACTTTTTGATTTTCGTCTTGGTAGTAAGAGTATTAGCAGTAGTGGTGGTGGTGTTAGAAAGTGGGGGAATTGATTTACTTCAGCCGCGGCGGAGCGAGCGGTGACGAGCGAAGGGTAAGAAGAGAAGAAGAGAGGCGCCAACACAACAACAGCCCGGGCCATCTCATCTCCTCGTCTTCTCCAACAACTCACTCCCGCTCGCACTTTGCTTGCTTGTCCGACACCGTTGGCTGTGTCTTCCCTTGTCTTTTTATACCTTGTTCCCCTTTCTCAAGTATTCAGTACTCTTCTCAGTTCAGACTGCACTTGGCTACCTACGGTAGCAGCTTTCTCAACCCCGTTTCTGGATCTTTAAACCTCTATCTACGGAACCAGCAGCTTTCGGCTGATTGTGAGCCAGCTCTGACGTACAACCCCCAGACACCCTCGGCGCAAAATATAGACACACCCCCCTTACCCTTTGCTCTACAAGGAAGATCTTTTGGTAAGTCATTCTGCCCCCCACATATGGAAAGCGACGATCACATTCGAGAGCCCCCCTTCCCCTCCATTCCCTTACCTGCCCGCAACCCCGAATACTGCGGGCAGAACCAATCTCTTGCCCGAAAGCAGACCGATGATAAGCTCTGGCCTTCTTTGGGTCGATTGAGCTTGGTCTCACTAACCAGGCATCTCTGAGCTGGTTGTCTTTTTCGTTAATTGAAGCTAATATCTGTTTTTGCTTGTGTCAGACATACAGAATCTGCGTTTGTTTACGGGCCCGTCTCTGTTCAACCACGTCACCACCCGGCGATCGCCTGATTCGAGTACCCGAGCAAACACAGAGACGATCGTCTACCCTTGGCCTACAACCATTCCAAATCTCATAATTTCACTTGAATGAAAGATGGCGCCGGAGCAGCAGCATGCTGGTGGGGTAGAAGGTACAACCCGACCAAATCATATATCCGTCTCACGTGGTGCGATCATCCTGACAAGATTTTCAACACAGTTGATGAGGTACCCCAGGGCTCCATAAGCGCTCAGGGTAGGTTCTACAAAATCATCAATCTCTCCCGGACCTACAACTAATCTACCCTTCAGCCACGGACGATTCGCAAGCATCGGACAACGATGGCGGAGAGCGCCCGGTTCGCAACAAGCTCAAGGAAACGTCCATCACCTCGGTCTCCAAGACTGACGATGCTCGCCAGGAGGAGGGCAACACCAGCCGAGACAGCAGCCGGGGCCGCAAACGGTCTTTCGACGAGGATCAGACCGAGAAGATGGAAGATGACTTGGGCCATCGACGGAAGAGGTCGCGCGACTCGAATACGGAAGAGGAGAACATCGCTGCTGCCGTCGACGCACCGTCGCAGTCAGTGGAGGACCTTTCACGCAAGATCCTGAGCCCGAAGAAGAAGCGGAGTCGCGACCAGTTGGACAAAGATGAGGCGAAGCCTGCGGAGACAACGGAACACGTCGATCAATCGGTCCCTGAGAAGGATATTGCGACGGAGGAACCTGTTGCCGAGGGAGAACCCGAGAAGAAGAGACATCGGGATGATTCACAGGAGCGGGAGAAGGTATGTGCTATGCGAGAGTTTGCGCTTACGTCGACTAATATGGTTGCAGGCCCCGATCCCCAGTGCATTCGCCAACACTTCGTCCGTGTCGCCTTTCGCGTCACTAGGTGCTGCTTCCACGAAGACAGAAGGATCCTCTAATCCTAGCCCAGTCAAGTCCTCATCGGCCTTCGCAGCGTCGAGCTTGGCGGCGTTTGCTACCTCGGAACAGTCACCCTTTGGCGCTCTGGGTAGCTCCGCTTCCTCCTCTGTCTTCAAGTCGCCGACACCTTCGGATGCCGGCAAGCCCGCCGTTACCGGATTTGGCGCCCCGACTGGCGCATCAGGTGTACCTTCCCTGGGCTCTGGTTTTGCGAGCTTCAGCGGTGGTTTTGGCTCCGCAGCACCCAGTGGCGGTCTCACAAGTTTTGCTTCCCCGACGACACCCAGTGCTTTTGGCAGCTCTAAATCTAGCGCGTTTGGGCAGCCCGAGGAAGAAGAGAAGGAGGAGGAGGCCGATGAGGCGGCTGATGCCGGTCCGGGCGAGTTTGAGCAGGACAAGACGGACGAACGATTCTTCGAGCGACCGAGTAAGTTCGATTGGTGGGCTGCTTGTGCGTACCGCAGCTAATCTTGTGTTCAGTTGAAACGGGCGAGGAGAACGAGAAGACATACTTCTCTTGCAAAGCGAAGCTGTTCCAGTTCAGCAACAAGGAATGGAAGGAACGCGGGATCGGCACTTTCAAGGTCAACGTGCGGGTGACCGACGGGGTGGAGGATAAGAAGGCGGCCCGGATGATCATGCGTGCGGATGGAGTGTTGCGAGTAATGCTGAATACGCCTATCTTCAAGGGGATGACGGTGGGCGACGCATCGGGCCAGGAGCCCAAGTCGAAGCAGATCCATCTTGCCAGTCTGGAGGAGGGTCGATCGGTTCCGCTATTGTTGCGGGTGAGTTTCCTCGCGAGGACTGATCAATGGAGGCATTTGCTAACCGGTGGAATAGACGGGGAATGAGGACCTGGCTAAAGAGCTGTACAGGGTGGTGAAGGAGTTGCAGACGCATCAGTGAGGGTGTGGGATGGTTGCACTTTATGGGGAGGGAGTCATGAGTCGAGGGCGGCAGAATTGGATTTCAACTGGATATACATGCTATGAAGGAGCAGAGGGATTGATTATTTTACAGACACTTACGCCTTGGAGGGCGATGAACGGCCCTATCTGTGTGTAGGACTTAGGCTTTGAATACCGTGAACAATGCATTTCCTATGTTAATTGTTATCGAGAAACGGGATGAGGAAGGCCAATCAGGCCATGGCAAAGATTGATTACTAGGACTAGACTGGATAGCGCAGTTGGACCGGTGTCAGGTGCCTCCTTCTTGCGTCTGTTTTTAACGTCTGCTTTTGTTTGCAGTTCAAATCCAAGATGCATCGTCGGGATGCATTCTCCCCTGAACGGGTATTCCTTCATCACTACCACCACAATGGCGCTCAGCATCAACATGAGCATCAACATCAACATCAACCTCCCCTCCACCTCCACCTCCACCTCCACCTCACGCACGTCACCGGTTCAATTCCCTTCCTGAACCCAACGCACGCCGCTTATCGAGCCACCACCAGCACCACCTCCCACCAATCCCCCAAGACAAGCAACCCGAGGCAATCCCCGGGAATCTACCGCCTCTGGCGCGCCCGCGACACGCGCAAAGGCCGGCACGCCCTCCGCATCGTCACCGCAGCCAACCACAGCGATGTTGATACCACCAAGACCCAGAGAACGGACCCCCAACTCCAACCACCCCCAAGTACAAAAACAACCCCCCAAATCCAGATCCAGATCCAGAAACCCCGAAGAAGAATAACCCCCAGCACCCTCACAAAACCCCTCACAGACCTACCCACCCTAACCGCCCTCCTCTTCCTCGTCGGCTCGGTTATCTGGATCCTCAACGCCTTCTTCGTCTGGTTACCTCTGCAGGATCCTGCCTCTGAGTTTGCAGGGGAAGAGATTGGAGGCGGGGGGTGGACGGCGTTTATTGGGGCTGCGGTTTTTGAGGTGGGGAGTTGGGGGTTGGTTTTGGAGGCGGTGTCGGTTTTGCCTTCTGGAGATGATCGGTGTTGGGGGTGGGGGGTGGAGGTTCGTTCTGCTCTCTCGATAATCAAAGGGTCTGCGTCTGGATCTGGGGTGGGGAGTCCGGGGGGTTCTGTGGGGGAGAAGTCGGACGAGGCTGGTGGGACTGCGATTGAGACTGGGGTAAGGGATGGTGGTGACGCTGGGATTGAGACTGCGATTCGGGAGAACAGTGGTGAAGCGACGACCCTCGTGCTCCAACCCACTACAAGCCCCTGTATATGTCGGAGGGCAGGACGACGAGGATTCTTGGGAATGCGGTTACTACGCCAGAGCGGGAAGAAGGACAACCTCCACGAACTAGGGTTCCTGGCCTCCCTCACGCAGCTGGTCGGCGCGTCGATCTTCTGGATCGCGGGGTTCACGGGCCTGCCGGGCATTATCAACCATATGGGACCCGCGCTGACGGACGGCGTCTACTGGGTGCCGCAGGTGGTCGGCGGGGTGTGCTTCGTCGTCAGCGGCGGGCTGTTCACGCTCGAGACGCAGGAGCGCTGGGATCGGCCTGCGTGGACCGTGCTGGGTTGGCATATCGGGGTGTGGAATGTGGTCGGTGGGGTCGGCTTCACGCTGTGCGGCGTGTTCGGGCTGGCGGGCCTGCAGTATCAGGCGTGTCTGGCGACGTTCTGGGGGTCGTGGGCTTTCCTTTGGGCGTCCGCGTTGCAGTGCTATGAGAGTTTGGAGAAGTGGCCCGTGGAGAAGCAGAAACAGAAACAGAAACAGTAGCAAAGACAGAGGCACTATCATCGTCATGGCGATGACTGAAATTGAATTGAACCCATTTGACACCATCAAATTCAATTGACTTCTATAAGGGGGAATTTGGAATATGCTGTAAAAGAAGAGGAATGTACATACAGACCACCCAGATCGAAACCTTAGAACTCCTTGGGATATATAACAAACGCAGGGCAGAAAAAGCTATTGTGTCTTAATTAGCCACCCCACACATCCAATCGCGCCGCCTCCCAACATCAGCGTGAGGATCCACGCCCCCGCGCGATCGGCGGTCGTGATGGGCTTCGACTCCGACGGGTTTCTCTCGTCGGCGCTCGTGTCGATGTGGTGCTCCGTTGCGTTGGGGTTGGTTTCGATCGTCTTCGGCGAGTCACTGGCCAGCAGCATCAGCTGCGAGGTAACGCCACCCAGCGCGCTCATCTGGACTTCGAGTCCCAGCGAGCCGTCCCACCCCGGCTGGTACCATCGCACACCACACAGGTTGCTCATTCCATTGGCCGTACCCGAGCACTGCAAACCGATGGCCTCGGCTGATCCTGCCAATTTGGGGGCGATGAGATCTCTCTTGGAGGGCACCAGGATCGCCGTGAACGCCAACCACATGGCAACATAGCCCTTGAAGCCGAGCTGGTTGCGATCGCACGACAGAATCGGTTCGCACGCCACCTCCGACAGAACCGTCCCGTTGCCGTAGTCGGGGCTGCTGAACTGGGTCGGGAAGAACTTAGCGAAGGTCGCATCAAGCAACCGGCTGACGCGCTCCTGCCATATTTCGCTTCCGTTGGTCTGGCACGCATATTAGCTAACTAGAGGGTTTCCAACGTGTCAGACAGGCAAACTCACGTAGTTATACATGAAAGCCGCTCCGGATAAATATGTTCCGTAGTTGTATGTCCATTGGTTGTTACCCGCATCTTTGCAGTTGGCCTCATTGGAGGTCGAATCGGCAATGTTCCAAATAGTGAGGTTCGTATTCAGTAGCGGCGTTGTGGAGGACCAGTCCCAGATCTTCTCCGCCCATTCAGCATAGGTTTCATTCTTGGTGAAGCGGGCAAGTCGGGCCGACAGCTCAAACAGTCCTCCGTTCGAAATGGCGTTCTTCATTGTATACCCCGCCTGATACGGCCACACCTGCCACCGCATGCCGCCATTGCAGGTATCGTTGTCCCAGCGGTTAACCTGCATGTTGAACACCGCGCGTGCAAGCGAGGTCCAAGACGGTTTGCCGTCCCGCTCCGGGAGGCCAGCCTCGGAAGCAGTGATGGCAGCCAGTCCCCAGAACATTTGGTCATCGTTACCCTAAGGTCGGGTTAGTCTTGTTCTTTCCCTAACTGACACGTCTGAGACGAGTATCATACCAGCCATTGACTGTAGTTGGCGGAGAAGAAGTCGTAGTTCTCGCCGGCCTGGAACATCAGGTCATGCGAGACGACGGAATTGTAGGTATCGACGCCGGAGGCTTGCCAGAATTGAATGAGGGTCATGAACATGCTACCGGCAATGTACCATGTGTCGGTGAGTTTTCCGGGGATTCCTTCGGTTTGATTTTGTTTGTAAAAGGTCATCAACGGGTCGGCGATGGACGTGCCGGCCGTCGCAAGGGAGTCTAGCAGAATCGCGGGATGAGCGGGACAATCGAGATCTATGAGGTTCGGAGCACCTACCAGCATCATTGACTTGGATGTTGAGATTAGCCTGGACCAGGCTACTGACCATGACCAGCCAGAGCGGAAGCTGTCGAAGGTAGCGCGATAGGGCTCGCATGGTGGGTGTGGCGTATGTGTATCTCCTCACAAGGTGAATTGTGGAGGAATGTTTAAGGGAGAAGAGGGACGACAGCAGGCAACCATCAGGGAGGAAAAAGCAGGTTTGAAGGACTCAGGGGAGGGGGGGGGGTCTGTTGGACGAACTGAGACGCCAAGGGTGCCAAGAGAGGCATTGGCACGACCAGCCAAGAGTGTATTTATGGAACACAGCGAGGGGGGGTGGAGGGAGGTTGGCATTGTGGGTGGGAGATGCCAGACCGGCAGAAAGAATGACATGCAACAGCAACGCAGAGGAGGAAGGAGCTGGGACTCTCCGGGTGAATTGTGGTAAACGGGCTGCTATTCAGGGACTGCCAAAGGGTCCATCCAGTCCCTGATCTTTCCCCGGATCTGGAGATCAGTGACTTGCTGGGCTGAAACCCTGAGGGAGGCCTGGATGTCTGACAGCCGCCCTCGGATCCAGCTGCGACCCGCGATCTGCACGAACGGGTCCAAGCTGACTGGTCATTGACCCCTGTGACATTATATTGTGTATGAAATCGGCAGGGTCATTGGAGTGGGATCAATGGCCAGATAAGATGAAGGTAGAACAGAACAAGTCAGGTTGCGAGGCAGCAGCAAAAGAAGAGAGGATCGACGGCTAAAGAACGCCCGCTTCATCCTTGCCGTTTCCGGTTAGCCCCATCGCTGCGAGGCTGCTCTTGCCAGCGTTGCAAATCACTGAAGACAATCGCTGGACGAGAGAGAGAGAGAGAGAGACTCAGCAATCGGAAAAAAAAAAAAAAAAAAAAAAAAAAA